ACATGCATGTGCATGAGTTCTCAACGAGTAGTAAAAGCACAAGAGGAGTCCCGAGTAGCCCTTCTTTTCCCTTTAGACTCAGAGTAGCTCATAGTATAGTGTGAAATGGAACCATCTTAAAAATTAATTAATGGGTCTAAGCGTAACCTCTAGGGCGGGGAAAGGCGGGGAGGGCGGGCGCTCCGCTATGCTCCGGGATTTATGTCAGTATGACATAAGATTAAGGCACTACATCCCGCCGGCGCGGAAGCAACAACGGAACTTCTAAGCGTCTCGTACTGAGTCCTCGGCTTCTCTGGCTTCACGATATTTCTAAGTTCCGACTGCCATCATCGTCTCTCTTGACAGCTTCTTCACAACTTGTTGACCACGACTTGCACCCGACTCGTTGATGGCCGGTTGGGCAGGCGCCAACCTGCAAAAGCCTGCAAAACCTGGATAAAGATAGCGTTATTCCGCATCAAATGCGCTGAAGCAACTTTTGTAGGCTTCTTTCAGTGCTGTTGCTGGTAGGAGGCCAGGCTCTTAGCCAGATTTACAGGTTTTGCAGATTGGTATGGATGTATTTATTTCTAATAGCTTACGACTCAGACTGAATCCTAGTAAACTCTCATAAATCTCCCATTCCTGTGACGCGCCGCGCTGAATGCCAATTCTCCGTCTGTTGACTTTCCAAGGGATTAGGGACAGGGTAGTGGTATGCGACGACGTTGGCATATCAGTGCATAGGCGTGTCATTCGATTTTCGGATACCTCGGAATCCATTCGTGTCACCGACGATGTACTATTAGCAGCCTGTAGGCAACTTGAGGGCGATGATACTCAATCCTGGAGAAGGTAAAGAATTACGGCAACAGAGTGCGTTGAACGATCCATAGAGCGCCTTCCGACCGTGACCATCCCAAATTCACAGAGGCATCGACAATGAAGTTTTTGAAAAAGGTGAGTACTACCTACATGAACATTCAAATTTGTACAACCTTCGGTTCTAGAGTGTACATAGTACTGAGATAAAATATCCAGTCAGAGATCTAACTTACTTTTGGGGCTGACATTTTATCAACGACAACGTACTCAACATGATCTTGCTCCCAATCTTGTGTATACTCGCCGGTAGTATTATCGCATTCATTGATTCATGACAGGCTATAAGTATGTACAACTGTACAAGATGGGCAGCTTGACGGACGACTTAATACTGACTGTCATCGCATACTGTAAAGGTCGTATTGAGTGCTTAAGTACTCACGAGCGGCTGATGGTTGTGAGCGAGTGCGACCTGATTTGCGACTAATGTTCAACGTATCGACATTGTAAGTGTTCATTATCAGCCTATGTCTGCTTGTGTCCCAGCCACGGGGTGACGGATGACGACAACATCCTAATGTCAAGAGAAATAAGAGATGTCACAGTCGCGTGTGAATGGAGGCCAGTAGGAGCCCTAGCCAGTAGGTCGCAATACCCCGAGTTGTCCTGGCTTATCCAGATCCAATCATCACTATTGAAGCTTCTAGCTCAGTGATTTCACAAGAAGGAGGTAACTTGCATGACTGTCTGGCAACGCTCGGATAGGTCAAGACGTCTGTGTAAGTATTGGGAGCAGCATTCACCTACATTCTAACATGCACAAATCCAGGGATGTCAAAACCTGCCTACAGTCGATTCCGAAACCATAGAGAGAGTATGTCGCGACAAAGACTAGAAGAAGACTATCCTCCGCGAAGTTTTGGATTCGTCATATGAGAGCCATTCTTCGCCATGTAGCAATCACAAAAGCAAGGTCCAGACATCTCCGTATTGGCTCATATACTCAATCCTATCCTATCCTCATATCAACAATATAATATTGTTTAACATTTTCACTCCATTTCCATTTGCTTTCGTATCACTAGATTTACGGACCTTCCAAAAAACAGCTGACGGTTGTGACGGTTGGTGAGCGCAACCCCATTTTCATGACGGGTGACACGCTGAACGGTCTCGCGCGGTTCATCCCGCATATGTTCAAATTTTAAGTAACAACCTCTGAGTTCACAATGGTCAAGGATTTAATGTGACAGAAGATTAGATAAAGGAAAAGGATTCCTTTGTTATGCCACTAATATGCGCAGACTTTGCCTAATGCTGTAGAATGTGATTGGAAACGGATTATTTCAACAGTATGCTTCAAAGTTGAAACGTTCTGAGGGACACAAAGACCTACGTCATGTTTCGATACGATTATGCAAGGACTCGGAAGATCTAGACGCGGAATCCTTTGTATAGGTCGCGTAACCGGAGTCAGAATTCCCTCGTATGAACTCTGTAGTTTTTAAGTCAATGTAGACTTTGAGAACGGGAAAGGTCGAGGAGGAATGCCTAGAACGTTCAAATTTTCTTCCATGCGGAGCGTAACATAAAGTTCACATGTACCTGACGAAGCCATTTCTAAGCTTTGGCTGAGACGGTGCGCTCGGATCCTGGCCTGGAAGGGCGTTTGCGTGGACGGGGACTCGTGAAATATACATTGCAAGCGCGGAAGCTGAACCACTCATAGACTCGAACCAGTCTGCTGCTGAGAAGCGATATGCGGGCTTTGCTGACACCTTTGAGCGCCAGTTTCCAAAGTGTCAACATCCGAAGCTACTGGCTCGAGTCTAAACCACTCACCGTATATCATACTAGCTGCAAACTCGCTATTCTGTAAGATATTACTTCACCAAAAGATGGTTCTGGCGCCCGCGGCGAGGACTCAACTGGGGTACTTCGGGGATTCCTGTTCAACGAGTAGCTGTTATTATGAAGTTAGTTTTTACGGAAAATTCTCGAGCTTTCGTGAGAAATCCTCCAATTGTATTGATTATCTCTGCTTCAAGCTTCAATCACCATTAAATCCTCCAACCTCCGTCCTCAAGCGTCCAAAATTTCATTGAATTGCATCCACCATCTTGCAGATGCTCAGCCTTGCCTATGACACTATAACTATACTGTGCATATAGGCTGTCTCTCTTGATTAGTTTCTCATTGCACAATTAATTTAACTTCAGTTGTGTACTACACCAACTGAGAATTCATTCAGAATTGAGTCTTAATAGCAGTGTAAGTGTTGATGTAAATTGCAGAGATATTACTATAAGTACTACTAGATCCATAGTTTTTTGAATAACTTTAATAATTTTATTTCCATGAGTAACCACTTATAGTAAGTATCAAAGCAGAAAGTCCCCCTGAGAGTAGAAGCTCAAGAATATCCATGTCAATGGGGGAGGTATAGAGCACATTCAGAGGCAGTTGTTGCAATATTAGACCCATTTTCCTTGAAACACTACACAAAGTTGCTTGAGGTTCGACGTCGGACGCTTGACAACTCATCAATTGAAACTCCGGAATTTTCCGTGAAATCTGCCGTCATATGTTATATGTAGATAAGTCTTAATGAGTTGAATATCGTCGTTATTACGGTAAGTTGAAATCCTTCGAGCGGGCGGTACACCGGCAAGGATTTCAACTGCTATGAAGCCTACCGCTCGATATAAGAAACTTCCGGATCCGAAAAAAGCACAGCGAAATCGTTCGGATAAAGTTTCACGAGGAACTACTACATCCTCAGACCAATTAACATTTTTCAATGAGTGAGAGGTACATATCTGCGGGACGACAAGTCAGGCTCTCGGGAGGAATATTCAACAGCGAGCGAAGAACAGGACTTACTCATGCATGCATACTTCTACTTACTCTAGATCGAGAGTCTAAAGACAGTAGATCGGGTGAGATCTGCATCCGATTTGGCGCTCTGGTATTTTGAACGTCGACTTGGGATGAGGATTGCGCGAGCCTGAGGTGGCGTGCAGTTCGTCGGATGACGGATTTCATACTCGGGTTCTATTAGCTCCTACATATTAGCTTTCTGTAATGGGTGCAAAAACCGTAAGGAGTTGGTTCCACAAGCTTTCATAAACTAACCCGAAATATACCCAATATACCACATGGACGAAGCTGGGAAAGTTTTCAAACATGGAAGAGATAGATCTTGTCAGGTTCGTTGAAGAGAAGAAGGCCTGCCAGACGGGCCTTGAAAGTATTGAAGGGGGGAGATAAGCATGGAAAGTTATGAAACGGACCGCGTGTGGGTATTCAACCAGAGGAGTGCGAAAGATATGACAAGTGAAATATCTTGGCCCATGGGTTGTGTGCGCAGTCGTTTTCAGTGTTATCGAGCTCGCGCGATGAAGGCAACGAATGCGTCTGGGAAATACACGAGCGGGAGGTGAAGATGTCCTTCTGGTGTAGGATTCTGGTAAACAGAGGAACCACGCTCGAGGCTCGAAAGTCGATGAATGAAGTTAGAAAGCCAACAAAGGATTACTGTGATTGGCCACTTGCCACCATGGACGGTGACAGTAGTTGTAGGCGAGAAAGGCTTAGGGAAAGGACTAAGAAAGAGCGGTCGTATGTTCATCTCCGAATCAGTCCACGAATCCGAAATCCTTTACATCTCAGACGAATATTCCAGTTGTTCCCTTTCGATCGTTGAAGGACAAGTTGTCCTGTTGAGAATCAGAGTCTGACGATGAAACGGTTTTCTTGTTTAGGTACTACGTACTAGTCGACGTGGTCTTTGTGGGTGGAAAGCAAAAAGCAAAACCATGTACAGTCACGACACGTGTGTATCGGTTGAACGATTCGATTATTTCTTCAGCTCGACGGCCATGATCATTGAAGGACTGTCCCCAGGTCTTCTCCCTTCTCCTCAAAATGTGCAATACAAATCTCAAGTTCCAAACTCTTTAAGCGCATACACCTCCGTGTACAATTTTCAGACAAAAGTGCTTGAAGACGACGCCAAAGTCATTAGCTAGAGTTCTTGGCTATCTACTCATCCTTGCCCCCAACGATGTTGTGCGAGCAGAGGTCTTCAGGACAATTGTATCGTGCCTTAGTGATGAAGCTCTTTATGACCTCGGAGATACATATATCGACTTTTTCATTCGCCCGTGTAAGTAAGTTCCCTTTACGCCATCATGTCTCAATTTAGACAGACTGGCAACGCAATGCATATCTGTCTAGTCAAGAAATACAAGGGCCCCTGCACCCCAATCCTTTCTAGCCATTCCAGCCGGCCCTCTTTCGATGCTCTTAAGAAGCAATTGCAAGACGAAATACGCCAAGCGCCGGCAAACCACCAGCAGGCTAAGGATCGGGTGAGTTTAAATTTTTTGACTTTATTGCTGTGTCTAACGTCATAATCAGGCTCTCTACCGCGATGGGTACCGATGCGTCGCAACCAAGATTTTTCTCGACGTCCAATACTCTATACAAGGCTATCATGAAGATTATCAGGACACGAAAGAGCTATAGGAACACGGTACACCAGCCACGCAGTGCGCGCATATCATACCAGAATCCACATAATTTCAGACTCTCCGATGACAAAAAAGTATGTTGTTTGATAACTCTTGACTTGTTCCTTTACAGCAAGATTATACTACACCAGTGCTTGCTGTTCTTGAGCGTTTTGGGTATAATATCGACAATCTCAATGGGCCAAAAATCCACTCGCCGCACAATGTCATGACACTGATAGCCAGCGTACATGGTTTCTTTGACCAACTGTAACTTTGGCTTGAGGCTACGGTACGCTAATACATGATCCTCTTCTGATATGTGGCTGAGCAGGTAGTGATATTTTAGAAAACTCCCCATTGTTATGAAATAAAACATATTCTCCAATTTGATGCGGAATATCTCGCCCTTCACAAGTTTCACCACAACAGATCCATCGATCCCACTCCCAGATCCAGCACCTCTCGCTCTCCATGGCCCTTGCGCAAAAGTGGCACATCTATCTGGAGCTGGTGAATATATCGACCGAGTTCAGATAGATTTCGATCGTTTAGAAGTGTTAGCTGAAGATGGTGGATCCTCTGATGTTCTTTTCCATGCACTGTATCACTTGGCTTCTGTTCGCGTTGTTGGGGCCTAATGTCGACAACAGCATTCGCCTCGCACTCCTTCAACACCGTCGTGAACCATATGAGACTGGTCCTGCAAAATACCAGGCGCGAACTCTCCCTCACTACCTCACCTGAATATCAAAATCCAGCCATAGGCTCACTCTTACCGGATTGCTGTGTGGGGATATGGTCAGATATGGTCTCATTGATTTTCCGTGCCTCGCCTACCCGCGTACTCCCTCCTGAGCCTGTTTATTGCTTATCAAAACAATGTCGAGCCTGCAACTCACCCCTGTCAACCGGAACTCGTTCAGCGCTCACAACCTCGATGGTATCGTTCATTCTTCCTTGGGATACGGAAATATTGCTACATTCCTTTATCTTTTCCTCATTATCCTTATCTCCTCTCATCGGTCTTCCCTGCAGCTCCTCACGACTCGAACCAATTTCGGAATGCTAAGTTGGATTGGGAGCACATTGCATCCTTCAAAGTTCCTATGAGAGTAAAAACGACCTCACGAGGTGCATGTGCGTATAAAGCAGGTACAGAGCGGAGTCGAGGGCCTGACGAAGGCACAGCCTTGGGTGACTAGAGGTGTTGAGAAGAAATAAATCTGAAATATGTACTTGTTCGGTCCACGCATAACTTACACCGCGTATATGCTCAGATATCGCGGACAGCTTAACTGAGCTTTTGGTGCCTTTTCCAGTGAACCTTGTAACAATCCAAAAGCTTGCAGTACATATATCCGGAATAAAGGAATGATCCACTCCTTGAATCCTGGTCTGATCACCTGTAAAGTAATTCATCGAGGAAAAGATCATTCAGGATCATTCTCTCAAAAAAAAGTTGAAAGGTACACTGTTTGTCACGTACGCCTCCTTTATGATTAACCATTATCACCACTATCGACATTCCCTTTCATATTCTTAGTTTTCGTAGTTTAAAGTTTCGCCAGTCGGCAAAAAGCTGGAAAGCAGTATAAATACAGCCTTTGTTCTCTAGGTGGTATGTTGCTTTGTACTGAATAATCTACCGTAGCCTCATTGTACTTCTTGTCCACGACGGCTTAATTTCAGCTATAAAAGCTTCAGCTTGAACATCACTGACTTTCACCAACGACGTCTGAAATTTGACCATGGCGCCATCTACGCGTGCTCGAAGCGCTAACAACACGCCTGTCAAAGGCCAGGATACATTCGTCTCAGAACTCGACACTCTCGCTACTCCTACTCGCAAGATTCCTCACTGCTCTAAATGTAAACGTCCAAGAGCCGGTCATCCTCGCTCAGGCTGTCCTTTCGTTACCCCGACCGACGAAAACGGGTCGGACAGGAGCAGTACCAATCTCACGGACGCATTGGGCTCCATGACCCTCGATGGCCAGGAAACACCTCCCAAAACTCCTGCTCGGCGAACAGGTAGGCGTTCTCTAGGTCCTGCTCCTCCAAGCGTACCTGTGGAATTCGAAGATACGAAACAAGTGATCAGAGAGCGACGAAGATCGGAAAAGGCTACAACACTTGCTCATTCACAGACTCTGCAGTCTCTTTCTGACTCGGATCTCGAGGCGCTGCTACTTCCAGCTGATACAGATGTTTCTGATGATGGGAAGGGCGGCGAAGCAGGAGAGGAAGATCAGAACATAGTTCATTGGAAGGACAGAATCGGGATGCTTTCGGCTGGTGGAGGTATACCGACAAGAGCGATCATGCCGGGTACCCTCGTTACTCCTTCTCCCTGGAGCAGCTTTGCTTCTATTCCAGAGGAAAACAAAGATGGTATCTTACGAACGAGTTCCCCGTCCAATGCGTCCTCTTCGAGCACTGAAACCATCAGCGTTGAAGTTGTATCGCCGTCGTCTACGACCGCTCCCCGCCCTCTTGCTCGTACTATGTCTATGGAGGAACGTGCTGGCTTCATAGCTCATCTGGAAGAACTTTCCTCAGCTAAAGCGTACGTGTTGAGCAGAGCCGACTTGACAGAGCTCCGAGGTCGCGCACCTAAAGGCTTGTATACAAGGTTTTTGATGGATGAGGAAGCAGGTCGTAATGTTCTCGTCGTAGGCCGCGATGAGGTGGATACGGAAAGATTGTATCAGACGCTGGATGCTGAGAAGCAGCAGGCAATGTATGCGACTCGAGGTGTTAGTATGAAATCTGCTGCTGGAGGTGCTGTAGTCGGGGCAGTAGCTACATTCACTGGATTGGCGTTCGCTTAAGTATTCGCTCTTTCAACTTGCATGCTGTAACTTACGACCTGTATGGTCCAATATACTGAAATTTCATGTACTGTAAAACGTTGGCGCTAAATTACTTGAACTTGGCGCTCAGAAAAGGGTGATGACATAATTAAAGTCTGTCTACTCCACGACGTTGGTCATCGTGCTGCACGATGACAAGCAAAGTCTTCGTCCTTCTCTTCTGGCTTGCTTTGTTCCTTCTTCAGGTCAACTGTGATCCGGCTAGTCTTTCTTTCACCGATTGTTTTGTCCCCAATGGAAACAACACGGCACAAAAACTCTCTGTTTCAACGGTGTACGGCCAAGTCACACAAGACGAGCTACCTGTACAGTATTTGAATCTGACTGTGCTTGGGACAACTCCAGCAGAGATTCAAAACTCTGCCAATGGAAGTGGAGAACTTTGTGTGTTATTGCAATATCTCATGTGCCACACTAACTGACCGATACCTTTAGCTACTCTTTTTACGACAACTTCAGTACTGACACTCAACGCTTTCACAAACAGTTCCAAATTCTGCGAAACGCTGCGCCCTCCATCTCCTCTTACATCTCCCGGTGATGATTACAATAGCTCCTACTATTGTCCAATACCGATAGGCGCATTTGCATTCTCATCCAGCATTGCCTGGGGATCTCATCGTTCTCTGACTACACTCAACACCAGACTAAGCGCGGTCGATCCATGGGGTACCGAACTCGTTTGTATCGAAGTAGATACCACACCACTTTCACCAAAACCTCACAATCCGTATGGTGCCGCAGTAGCAATATTTTGGGGCACAGTCGCTATCACAATTGCTTACTGGCTCTTAGTCGGGATAGCGCGGATAGTGTCTGCCTGGGGCCGTGGCTTAACACGACCAGGGCGAAATCCTTGGGCTCGAGCGCAAAGTGCAGGCTATATTTTGGCTAGTGCCATCAGCGGAGAGCGGCTCACAACTACTCCCGCTTTGCTGCGATTCTGTGAGTCAATGACTGCTGCTTCCGTTAATAAATCATCCCCTAACGCGAAAGGCAGGTACGCCGTCAATGAGGGATCTCATCTTTCAGGCGCAGTGGTGCGCCGCGCTTTCAATGGTTGCTGTCCAGTGGCCTTCATTCGCATGTACGTCGGATTTCTTTTTTCCCCGTGCAGTGTTTTATCCTAACTCTGGATATGTTTCAGACCCATTGCTGAGCCAGGCTGCATGGTCAACGCTTACATATAGTAAATACATATTTTTAAATACTCACTTGAACACTGTTGATATTTTCCCATAGATATCAGCATATCTACCAACGAGCGATGGAATCCGCTCTCAACCGCTTTATATAACCCTCCGTCTAATTTCTCTGACCAACTCTCTGACAGCTCATCCGTCCTATACATCGACCCAAATGCTCCCAATGTTCTTTTCATGCTTCCTGATAATGCTACTTCCGGAATCTCATCATTTGCGTACACTGTTGGTGTACCTCCACAAGAGTTGTTTGGCATCTGCCTCACCCTTTTCCTCGCTATCATTGCTGGGACTATAGTCCTCTCTCTCGCCGTATGGTTCGTGGATCATGTCATCTACCTCATCACGGGGGTACTTTCTGGTGACTCGTCTTCGGGACCAGGCATAAAAATGTCTGGAGCACGTAGTCCTGGTTTTCCTACCAAAGACGTAGATGGACCGAGTGAAGAAAACAAATCCTTGAACAGTCGAGATCTGTCCGCCATTATCCGACCTCCGTCGAGATTTGGTTTCGGACCTAGTGCTCCTAGTGGATGGCGCAGGTGGTGGCGTGCACGTACTTCCCATTCGGCTTTAAGCTCATTCCACGGCAGCGTACTGCATGGCAATCTTGTTCGAGTCCTCGTCCTTTTCCATCTTCCTGTCACCATTTTTTCAGTGTATCAAATGACCCAGCCATCTTCTATAGCATCATTGACCTCAAGAATTTTAGCCGGACTTTCATTCGCCCTTATATCATGCCTAATTCCTGCGATACTTGTCCTCCGCGTGCGGCTCACTGCGACGAATAAGTTGTATGAGGAAACTCGAACGTTACTGTTCTTGGGACCCTTGTACAATCACTATCGTCATGGATCACAAATGTTTGCTTCGTTGCTCTTTGCTACTAATCTAGCAATCGGAGTGACTATTGGTGCCGGTCAAAAAAGCGGAACTGCACAGGCCATAGTAATCCTGGTGGTCGAGGTTCTTTCTGCGCTGGTAACGAGTGTGTGGCTGCCTTGGGGCACCGGAGCGAGTATGGGTTTGATCAGTTTCTTGTTTTGCGTGGCGAGAATCGTGATTGCGGTGTTACTGGTAATTCTAGCTCCTGCGGTATGTTCAACATCGGAACCCATTTATGACGTTTATTAATGTTCTACAAAGATCTCAGTTGGAGTGGGCCCAGATGCCTGGGTTGCCTACGGCATATTGCTTATTCTTGCCTTAATCTATGCATCTCTCGCACTCATGCTGGCCGTTAAAATTCTCGAGGCCATCGTTCGTATCGTCGGCGGAGTTGCTTTCGATCGTTCCAGGCATGTCGTTGACAGTGGTCTTTTTGGTGCCTGCGGTTTACTGGGATGTTGTGGAGGGCCTCGTAAAAGCTCACGTCGTGATAAGCGCAGTGGAAAATCTTCTGACAGAATAGGGTATTCTCAAGCCGAATCAGCACCTCGTTCTCCTCAATCAGATCTCTCGTTTCCACCCACGATTGCGGTCGGGACTGGCAAAGGCTCCATCCACTCAAGTGGGCCGCCGCCTTCCGTTTTAAAACCCGAACATGCGTTAAGACCTTACAGAGAAGAGAGCGATGATGAAACAGGTTATATCATGGGTGCATGGCAGCCTTTCCAGAATCGCGCATCGGGATATATACCTGTCGCTGATTCAGGCTCAACAAGTGCTGTCCCTCCGGCCGCAATCAAGAGCTCGGGCTTCTCCCGTGTAGCCGGAGGAAGGGCACACATCGATTCACCATATGCAATATCCCAAGAGCAAGCAACAGGGTCCACGCATACTTTCCCTTCCATAGGACACCGGAACGCTGCTAATCAAAACGCCACCGGTAGCGTAGGAGAGCTAAGTTTATCCAGACCCAAACTCGACGAATCTCCACCACCTTCCGTTTCTTCCACTGTCGCTCTGGGTCAAAGACAGCTCCATGAAGGGTCGAGTGGACTACCACCCGGTGCAATGCTGCCTTTCCATTCCCGAAAGAAATCTCAAACAGCCATCATCGAAAATGTGGACGCTGTGCCAGTTGCATATCGGCCTGCTGGTTCCTCCGCTTCTAACAGCGCTGGAACATCTCGTCCGCCTTCGCGTTCCAATCGATTTGAGTCTATCGGAACATCCCCCGCTCCTCCAACTGCCTATCGGAGAAGAAGCGCCACTGTTGAAAGTGATGACGATAGTTCCTATGGGCGTTCGAAGAAGAAATGGTATCACCTCCGTAGGAGTCGTGCGCATAGTACGGAAGGCTATCCAGCCCCAGCAGCTGCTGAAAACGTAAATTCGTCACTGGCGCCTCCTTCTTCGTCAACGCCAGGGAAATCGTTTGTCGTTATTCGGAAGCAGCAGACGTCCCCTGCTAGATCTCTTCAAGTAGCCAGTGGATCAGGCTCAACTCCTGCTACGCCGACGCCCAATTCTGTATCCTTTGCCAAGGATGTCGGCGGAGGCGGGACTTAATCATCTTTCACATCTTGCTATTGACCTCGCACTACTGCAGTCACTCACTCTCATTTGGATGATTACATTCTCTGGATTCGGCAACGTTGTGTATGAATAACTACTTAATTGGTATGGACAATCGTTTTGGCTTGCTTGCGTCGCTGTTTTCCCTATCTACATTATCCTGGTACAAATCCTTTGCCTTTTATTGACTTGCATTGTACATTAATAGACAATGAGATCTTTGAAGAGATGTGCAGCTTCGTGCAAGTAAATTAGTAACGTGTTAGGTGTGAATGGATGATATAGTGTCCGTAATCTTATTGCTCTTCGTCCTCGTAGTCGGCTGTCAAAGATCCTCCGAGCCAAAACACCCGAAAATCTTCTAAACCTTTGCGACACCAACAATACAAACCCTTTTCTAGTTCGAGTTGTGTTGAATCTGTGCTAAAGCTCGAATTGGTACTTAACGTAGAATACGAGCGATTGAGATTGCTGGCAAAGGTACGCTGACGATCCCAGTGACCGCCTGTGCACAGGAATCCAGCATCTCCGCCGGTGTCTTGTTCTGCGTACAAGATATCATCTGCACGGGCTTTGCCTTTCCCCTTAGTGAGAAGAGAAGGCAGAGAGAATTCTTGTACTTCAACACCAAGTTCGCCTAGGGATATCAATTGCAGATAAGCCGGAGTAGAATATCCATCCATATCAGGTTCTGACCCTTCGAAAATCCGAGGGACAACATCGGTAGGGTTATTCCTCCAGGAAACGATACGGAGAGGAATATGTAAGGAAGAATTAGAAGGAAGGGGACTGGGTAAGATATGTGTTCGTCTACCCCGCGTCAGCAATATGACCTTCGTCGTCTGCAGGGGTGCTCCGGGTGCAGACATTGGCAGTTCACACAACGCGGGAGGAATCCATTTTCCAAACGAAGACGTGTCCATTATTATACGAGATTTACGATGGCTAGTTGGACTCGAGGATTCTCTAGGAGTAGGCCCAAACTGACTATCATCATGCAAATCCACCTCGCCAACGGCCGAATCTGCGAGACGGATCCACCCGGATTTCTTGTCGAATATCACAAAGATACTGAGTTGAGTTCCGTAAGTCACTGTCATGGCGGAAGTACTTGAAAGACGATGCGCATCTCGAGAAGTGATGGAACTATCCGTACGTCTATGGGAACTCGAAGCCTTGTAGCCTGAATCGGAAAATGAACGTGCAATTTCGGAGACACTTTGTTGGAAGAAGGTGATGCTTCGAGGAACTAACGGGGTATAAAATTCCTGCAAAATAAAGTTCAGCTGATGACATGGAGAGGTTCGTAACACCCACTTTTAGAAAATGGAAGGCCCGTTCACCTTTGGGAGTTTCGTAAATAAGTATGTTTGATTTTGTCGCTATTGCGAGCAGCCGGCCTCCTCGGAATCTTGGTCGGTCATCGTTGGACCATAACGCGTAGGACAAGACTGAGCAGGTGCTAAGACGAGAACCAGGCGTCGCCAATGATACAAAATCTGTTGCCCATCGCAAAGGTAGTTCGTCAATCACGTCCCAACTGGCGGAGTCAAACGAGTCTGCTCTGGGGGAACTCGGTCGACTTCTGGTTGTGTTTGAGTCTATAGACGGTGATGGCGACAGCAATGACTGATACGATGAAGATTGAATATTGTCGGATACATGGTGATTATTAGGGGAATCGATGAGATTTTTCAAACCACGAGCGATACTATGCTGTGGCCGATGCCTCTTCGGAGGTGTTTGGTGTTGAGAGTGCCAGTTGGCCGGTCTTCGCAAATCCAATGGACGTGCGCCCTGGTTAATCTAGATATGACCCATTGTGAAAGCCTGATTTGAAAGCCGATGCTAACCTTTTGGTTTATGGCCCATTTAGCCAAGCTGATCAAACTAGTCAGGTTGTACATTCGAAGCACCCTAGGAGATTCTGAATCTTTACTAGACATTGACGGTGAATCTATTTCTGGGCCGACGAGAGCTAACACAACACCCTGCGGAGTCCCCCGGGCATCGTTCTCCATTTCAAGTAGGGACATCTGAAATACCCTGGTGAGAGTAAGTCAAAAGCAGACAAGAAGTACAGTAAAAACACCGTACCCTTCACCAGTCCATATCGAACGGGCTTGTGCTTCCTCGGGCCCTTTAATACTTATTCCTGCTGCTGCTTCAGAACGCGGGTACATGTCAAGCACCGAAAGACCTTCGTCATGACCGATCAACAGTAGCTTCCCTTCCATTATCGATAGCACACAACGAATTGGAGAAGTAGTGTGAGGGATAAATCTCGATCCAAACTGGTGCATTCGTAAATGAGTAGGATGAAGCTTCAAGCTCACAGAAGGAAGCGGAGGAAGTGGGGGAGATAGGGTGTTTCGTGTTTGCTGGGATATATGAAGATTATGTAGATCACTTGTCTGAATATGTAAAGCTAACGGAGAAGGTGTAGGTGGTTCATTGATTATCGTCGGAATAGCCGGAAATTCGGTGAAGCTTTCTGAGCCATACTGATTGTCACCGTATGAGTTTAATGCGTAAATTTAGAGTATTGTTGAAAGCCACAAACGATCTCATCATTGCCCCAGCCTCGTTCACGTCGCCTTGAACGTTCTTCTCGAGATATATCCGTATAACGTTCAGCTGCTCTACAACAACACAGCAAAAGCTGAGCAAAGTGGTTCTTTGACGCTGTATTAAACGCACCTTTTCTCTATCCAGCCTCTCCAGCGTCCGAATCTAACGATGAATTCTGAGATCTACAATTTCGATGAATTCTACACAAAGAACCGACCTTGAATTGGGCCCATTTTGAGCGGCAAGGTCATCGTAGGTCGGAAGACCGCCTTGATTGGTTGAATCATTCGTATCTTGTTCGACGTAAGAGTAATCCTCGCTAGACATGAAGAGGTATTGGCGAGATGGTAATTGGAATTCACATTCAGTCCAAAAGCACGTGGAATCGCACAGCTTTGCTGCGTCCGTTGCAGCGTCTGCTACATTTCTCAGATCAGTGATTTTGTTCAGTAACCAAGCTGGAGCCTGATTTCCAGCTCATCGACATCAGTCTTACGCAGGAAACAAAAAACTGGACGAAGGACAAAATGAATTGCATCAGAGGGGAGTCGAACCCCTTTCCCGGCCAAACTGATAACAATTCTCTCCATGGGAAGACCGGATCATAACCGTTAGACCACTGATGCTTACTTCTCGCCTCTTACTAACTGCTAACTAGCTAGTATGATGATAACTCGTACGACGTAGGAGGACCCTAGGATTCTTCCTCCTGGAAAGGTGACTCTACATTCGACATTCGTAGACGCCATACTACTTTTCCCTACAATTTCAAGTGCACGAGGAAACATGTTAAAAAATTGAAGTGTCTCTAATGAAAGACTAGGAAGGTACGAAAGTATAAAGTAATACTAGAAATCGAGTAAACGTGCATCGCCCTGCGAAAAGGCGGGGAAATCAAGGCATTAAATGACGTGGATTCATAGATGAATCGTGAATGGTTCGAAGCGGGAGCAGCAGACTGCTAGGACATGGACGAGGGAATCAAGACACTGTTGAGATAATTACTTAGCATTTAGTTTAGATTCACAGTGTCTAACATTCAACATACCACTGTTTGTGTCTTGGGAAGAGACCACAGTGACCTGGTAGCTCATGCTATCACGCAAAAGCTATTCGTTGCACTAGACGTAGACTCTTCGTCAGCAGGCACCGAAGTTGTGCTCCGCGCATCTTGCAATGTGGAGCATGATAGAGCTTGCGGGCCAACGCTCGAGGAATTCGAGGGTTCCGAGGAGGCGAGGAAGAGAACGGATTGAAAGCAGTCCATTGCAACTAGAGCGTTGGGAATGCAGAGGTTGGTATGAGAAAACGTCGCGGGTTCGTAAGTTGCAAAGATTGCAATGTGAAGAGCTACTTCCTCCAGAGGTAAGTAGCTTATAAGGACGTAGAGTGAAAGACAGAAAGGGACAGATCCCTTGAACTTGAGATTGTTTATTTAACCTTCTCGATCTTGTCCCTGTACTGGACAATAAGCCTAAGTTGCGAGCACATAGAGCAACCTGGTAAAGCGCGGTAACGTCCAATATTTCGCCCCGCTTTATTGTATTTTGGTCGGCGTTACGATCTAAAGATGAGTTAGAATCAATGAGACAGTATATTCCTCCATGAAACATGAATGCGCCCCGTCCGTGCTGAGTAGTGCTATCTGGTAGAAAGACAATAGAACAATAAAGGGAATCTCTGACGGCCCCGGTCAAGTTTTGCATCTACCTACCTACCATTGTACCTATTCTAGGCAGGATGGTATTGATGTCTTTTCGTTTCCAAGTTCTGGCCGAAAGTTTCGCACGACTGCAGCATGGGGTTAACCTGACTATCCGTCTTGTAGCAGCTCGATGCCCTTGAGGATTCGCGTTCGTGGGTTGTGAGCTCAGAGGTACGAATTTATACGAGTAAGGCATCGTGTCAATGAGTCAAATTTCAGCAAATTTCCCACACGCCGTCGTTACCTTTCAGAAATCTACCTGTTCATCTTCCTGCTGGGCAAGTAGTTTCTCTAGATATCGTTTCAAGTCAAAATACCCTTCAGTCCAGAGCGAATACCGACTTATTAAAAGTAGCTGGTATTGACTGCTGACTGGCGCAGATGCTCACCTCAAAGATCCATTCTTCTAGATTCTTCTGCAGTGGTGAGTCGGCGTCGAGAATACTCAGTATACTATCGTTCAGAAAGGTGAATGACACGGCGAGCCAGGGACTACCTGGGGCTACGATACACCGCAACGGCAGCCAAGCACCGACAGGATAAGTTTGGATGAAGTCTGATCAGTGATGGAGTATGGGCGTCTTCATGACCACACTTTCTGTCCAGACTTTTTGAAACACGGTGTCTTTTTCAGGACGTTTCATCATCCACCGACGCCGCCTCGGTGACGTTTCGTCAAATTTCGCAATCTCTCTCTAAAAACTTCTCAGGCTCAAAACTACTACAGACCCTAATTCCGATGCGGGAGAACCTATTCGTATGGCTCATTCCTATAGGCAACTCCCAATTATCCCTGCGTAGAAACGACGCCCAGGCTGATGTTGTGGACTGCTTCCAGCATTACGATAAGAGTGAGTGCGAATTTCTCGACGCATTTCCACAGGTCTTTGACACCATCAGCGCTCATTATTTTGGCAATGGCAGATCTGTACTACCATATGAAAATCCACTACCCGCCGAATTAAATTCTACCTTGCGATTTTTCCTTCTCACCTCCGATAATCTGAAAGCTATCAATCCACGACTATTGACAATCAAGCTGGGTGTGGAGGTTCACCAGACATGACTATCTATCCATCTATCTCGCCTGAGCGTGGAAATTCCTCATATGGATTGACATCGCCCAATGCATACTCCGATCATGGTCGAGTTTCATTACTCTATGAAGTATCAGTTTCTACGTGCCGCCACCAAAGATTAATGAGAGCGTCTTTCTTGATTTAAGAAGAACAAATTCTTCAATTCCATTTTGCTCTTCCCAACACATAACACACACTTCTTTTCTCTTTTCTTTCTTGCTCTTTCCCAATTGCTTTTCGCTACTCACTTCGTTCATTCGTATCTCTCATTTCATCTGTTCGATTTTTTCATTCCTTTGCCCTAAATGTCTTTTGGTTCTTCGAGCCGCTTGAATGGAAAACAAGCCTTCGCTGTAACTCGAAACTTACTTCCTGCAGTCAAGCCCGACATACCATTTGCGCAAATTACGCAGGCGCCTGCGCACAGCTTTCTTGCTTGGACCTTTGGACGAGGTACTGTGGTAAGTGCACATGTGGCGCTCCCTTTGGGATGATATATCTAACATACTTGCGAATTAGATATATAAAATCTGGCCCGCTGTGATCTTTCAGACTCTCTTTGCTGTTGGTATGGGCGCGGGTTTTCGCTCGGCCCAATGAGATCCTCGCTGACCGTTTGGACAGTCATCGTTACTTTGGAAGAAAAAGCAGGTGTTAAACATCTTGCAATCCCCAACGTCATGTTGACCGTACTTGGTGCGTACTTTCAATGTTTATCTTGATCTTCGCCCCTGAAATCCAAGTAGGTGTTGTTCTTGGTTTCGTGCTATCTTATAGGTATATTTCCTCAGCAAAATTGTGACCTGTGATCGACAAACTAAGTATTGAACTACGTAGGGCTATGTCAGGCTACGACCGTTATTGGCAGGGGCGAACTGCTTGGTCTGATGTTATCCAGCATTCGCGCTCACTGGGGCGTCTGATTTGGTATCATGTCCCCCCTCGGTTGACTCCGAGAACTGCAGAAGAAATTTCCACTGGCTTGATGAACCGCACAAGTTCGGAACTTGTGAGGGTCATGGCGGAGAAAAGAATGGCACTTGATTTGATCCTAGGATTTGCTGTTGCTTTGAAACATCATCTTCGAGGTAAGTCTATCGATCTAGAACCTTTGATGAATTGATTCCAATGTATTTGCACAGGTGAAGTTGGCATCTACTACGAGGATCTATATTCTCTCGTTCGTCCTTTACACGAAGTAAGTAGGACGAGCCTTGTCCATATTTGTGGCTGACTCGGTTCTCTAGCACGATCATACTCAAGGACAAAAGCAGGCTGCGATGACCTCTGCTCTCTCACTTCCTACACGAGTGCGCAGAATTGCCTCTAATCCCGCACTCCCTCAAGCACAAACGTCGGCATCAGGTATCAGCCGAGAATCCTCGCCTCCCAAAAAACATCGTGTCCACTATCACACCGAACATCCCAACACTAGCGAGAGCACCTACGGTACCTTCCCCGGGCCCATCTCCGAATCTCCGAGTGGGTCAATTCATCGAGTTCCATCTAATGCATCCTTTCAGAGCCAACACCAAGTCCTTGCTCCTTCACAGCAGCCCGGCGAACAAGACATGATGAAAGATGTTTCTACCGAGCTCATTCCTTTTGCAGGGATATTTGGGGGTCTTAAGCGTCTTTTCTCCCGAAAGAAAGCATACTCTGAGCTTTCCACTTTGGAGTCCGGAGGGAAAAACCCTTGGGGTTATGATGCGAGTCAGAGAAAATGGAGCGGTCCTCTACAACCGAGGATCGGAAAGGAGAAGCATACAGTATCTGCCGCAACTCGTGGTGAAAATTTGCCCCTGGAAATTCTTAGGTGCATGAGCGAGTGGTGCAGTGTTCTGGAAGAGAGAAATACTGTTCCGGGTAAGCAATTTCCATTCTATCGTCAATATGCCAAGCTGATCATACTCTTACTCTCTGCAGGTACGAGCCTGGGCTCTATTATTGGTACCGTCTCTTCTCTTGAAGCGACGTTGTCCGGTAAGTTTGTTCCAGAGCTATCCAGACAATTGCTGTAATTTATCCCATTTAGCCCTCGAACAGATTCTTACTACACCTCTACCTTTGTAAGACTCAAATCCAGGAATAATGAGAAGAGCACATGCTGACATGATTAACGAATTTCTAGCGTCTACTCAGTACACATCAAACAGTACGTGTTAAATTAGTGTCGTAGTGGCACTTTCTGCTCACGAAGATTCCCTTCAGCACCGTCTGGATCTACCTCTTCTTCCTACCTTTCCAACTTGTAGCCGAGTTCAAATGGCACACTATCCCGGGTGTCGCTTTGGCGGCGTTTATTTACCTTGGTTTCCTTGCAGCTGGCGAGGAGATTGAGCAGCCATTTGGTGGGTTTGTTGTAACATTCGTATGCCAGTAATGCTCATTCTCACTCACTTAGGCTATGACGAAAACGATCTCGACTTAGACATGTTCTGCGGTGAGATCATCCAAGTGGACATTGAAAACTTGAAGAAGTCGCCATGCCTCAATGCCTATTTTCCTCCTACCCCCCAGATTCAACGGCTTGTCAGACATCGTTCCATGACTCTCACAGAGACCACTGCTCGTGAGGAGATATCTGATTCAGATCTAGAATACTGAACATTAATATTATATCCTTCCCGTCCACAAAAAAGAGATGTCACGCTCTAACTTTTACTTGAGCGCGACTTACATATTAGTTTATTTCTGGTCGTTATCTTTATTCTATCAGCTTGCGAGTCTACCGCTGGTCGTGGATTGTCCTGCGTACTATATATCTCACACTCATTTGTATCCAATTAATCCAGTTTGTAGTCCTAACATTATATTTATGCCACTGAGTCAAAGTGAGTGCAGAGCGAGCTCAGAGATGATTTTGGAGTCCAGATGATGCTGGGCATACGGGAAATTCGGGCGAGGCGTCGACATGAATTCGGTGTCTTCTTGGGTAGCTTCTTCTGTGTCAGTCGAATTCGGAAGAGGCTTTATAATCCCTTCCTCAGGCTTCTTTTCCCTTTCTCAACCGTCATGATTTTTTATTTCTCAAAATCCTCTTTCCTTTATCTTTCCGCCTTTTCCTTGCTCGTTTCAGCTTCACATGAACATCATGAACATCACGAACACCATCACGAACATCATGATGCTAGGGACGCGCTCCAAGTCCAAATCCGTCGCAGAGACAGCGATTTCATCGCTGCTGCGTGGTTCGCTGGCTGGCATCAGGACTCGACACCTTCATTTAATACTCCCGATATAAGTTGGGGAAAGTATACTCATATGGCGTATTCCTTTGCGTAAGAATATTTTCAGGGCTATCTTACACTAGGCTTAATAGACCACAGTGTACCTACACAGGATGTCACCCAGCTCAGCCTGGACGGGTCTGAGGGTGACAAGCTCCCAGGATTTGTTCAAGCTGCTCATCAGAACGTTTGTACTCAGCGTCATTTTCTTGCCTATTGCATTTCTAATGTTGGGTATTAGAACGTGAAAGCTTTGATTGCGATGGGCGGATGGGCAGGATCTATGTACTTCTCCTCTGCTGTAGGTTCAGCTGAAAACCGTACCGCGTTCGTCAAAACTGTGACAGACTTCACGTCTAAGTACGGCTTGGATGGGATCAACTTCGAGTGCGTATTTTTAAACAGCATATATGCACATTTTTCGCTCAATATGTGCAGTTGGGAGTATCCCAACAAACAAGGCATTGGCTGTAATGTGATCAACACTAATGATGCGGGAAACTTTCTTGAGTTCCTCCAAGAGCTGCGCCAGGACCCAATCGGAATGAAACTCAGTCTGTCCGCCGCCACGGGCATCGCTACCTTCTCCGGTCCGTCTGGTGATCCTCTTACAGACGTCTCTGGCTTTGCAGAAGTCCTTGATTTCATTGCAATCATGAATTACGACGTTTGGGGCTCTTGGAGCGCGGCAGTGGGTCCAAACTCGCCTTTGGCCGACTCTTGTGCCGCTAGTGAGAACCAACAAGGATCGGCTGCCACTGCAGTGAAGAACTGGAACGGTGCTGGCATGCCGCTGGACAAAATTGTGCTAGGCGTTGCTTCATACGGACACTCGTTCGTTGTGAGTCACGACGATGCATACATGAACGGGTCCACCACGGAACTTGCCCCATATCCCCCCTTTGACAAGTCGGCCTTCCCTCATGGAGATTCTTGGGACGATGATGGGGGTCCTGATGCTTGTGGTCACCATGAGCCTAGTGGGGGTGAGTTTGAGGGATATTTCTAGCCAGTGCCTCACTTAGAGTCCCCTTCGTTCACGTTAGGTAACTACAATTTTTGGGGCTTGATCGAAAACGGGTACCTCGACCAGAACGGGGATTATGTGGACAAAATTCCACATCGATTCGACTCCTGTAGCCAAACGGTAAGCAGATCGCCATGATGGGGAGATGATACTGACGCGTCGGCTCCGTTTTTCCACCAGCCCTATGTATACAATCCCGACTCCAACATCATGGTATCTTTTGACAATGCGCAATCGTTTACCTCCAAAGGTAAATTCATCAAAGGAGCTGGGCTTAAAGGCTTTGCTATGTGGGAAGCTGGGGGGGACTATAAAGACATTCTCTTAGATGCTATCTCGGCCGGGATACATTCATAATGACTCGGAGTTCAAGTTGCACCTTAGTTTTGTACTTTTACACACATATTTGTTATTTTCGGGGTAGATATCTAGAACACACACATTCATTCAACGAGTCAAGGAGATGCAAATAACGATAGAAATAAAGTTGTATAACGCTTAAAAATGGAGCTAGTAGTACCGGAGTACCGTGCTGACAGCTAGCGCATACATTGCACCAAAATACGCGCATATAGGGAAGTCGAACCGCAGAATCCCGACGCCCTGACACTTGTGTTTGCAACTCTCAATCTTGAGAGTTCTATTTACTCGGTTGCGCAAGGTGCGGAGAAAAAAACCTTAAAATTCAAGGGTTTAACGATGTCAAAAAAGATGCTTGCATCGTGAATGCCTGTTGCAACTACTGGAGCGGTCCCAACAATAATTAATGGCCATGGAGGATGGCCATAGTATAAGTAAGATGGGAGAGGCTGTGGAGAAGGGGACAATGGCAATGTAACATCGGTGATGACATGACGGCAAAAAGCAATGAGCCTGTACTGTATCTTTTTCTAAATCAAGGTTTTACAGTATAAAACAATTCTTGATATTGCTACAGTATTTACACATTAACAGGGACAAGATCATTATTACAAGTATCACTATCATGCAAACTGCGTACTGTAGCTTTGCCGGATGTCCGTTCTTGCACGTAGCACCAAGAATTTCCTCTCAGTTTTCATCATGAGAGAAACAGATTCGTAGAATGTAATCTTCATCGTTCAAAAGATTATTTCCGGGATGCAGTCGCAATGTCTCTGATAGTCGAATTGTGGTACTTTTTGCAAAGCTTTTCGGGACAGTTGTCGAACCTTTGCAATTCCTCGATCAACGCCTGTAGAAGAGTTTTTGCACCGTAAATCATTTGAGGTATTTATGTGCGATCTCTTACCCTCCATGTATGCCACTGCGTTCTATTTGTCGAAACTTTCCAATGCCCAGCCTTCGAAAAAACGATCTTCCAATGCTTGGCAGCTATCCTCGTTCCTCCAACCAGAGGACAGATACGTGCATCCCAGGTTTGAAGATCATCGTCCCAGAAGCTCAACAACTTTTCCAAGTATGGCTGAGGGGATCGAGGCATCTTCACTTTTGGGAATTCGGAGATATCTGCCATAGTGTACGTAACAGTTTTATTTGATAAAACCACACTAAATTTTTCGACAAACACGTTCTCGACTGGTGGCGCAGCAGCCAAACGCCTTGCAAGATGTACCGAAGGGGGGACTTGAGACGGGCTCGAAGAGATCGAATATTCCATGCGTGTAAGAGTAGGGACCAGAGTTGTACGAGATGGCGGGGCGACTATTTTGATTGAAAAAGCAACCTCGTAGGGATCTGGCAGCAATAAGTCCACCCTATCCAGCTTCCCGGCCCCAAGTTCAAAATATAACAGTAGAACGATTAAATGTCAACCTACCCAATTCCGTATTTCAACACTTTTCTTATTGTCAGAATTGGTGAGCAATTCTCGCGACCGGCTGCAATGTTTCACCCGCTTCAATATTGCCTTTGGCCTGGGGGGTTCAAGCAAACCAATTTCCATGCTTGTGGTTTTTTGTTCAGTTCGATCAGGTTCGATTTCCCTCTCTGAGATAATATAATGTATGACATACTTAGACCTTGTTTCGTCTCCGTAAAATGCCTTCGGGACGTCAAGCAGCTGCTTTTGGTCTTCAGACTGGCTACTAAATTTGGGGCTGCAGATTTCATCGACACGAACATGAAGCCGAAGAAAAACTCACGAGTGGCTAACTTGGTCATCAGAATCATTCGAAAGCATTAGACTATCTTCTGCATCTGTTGGAATTGTGGGTTGTAACATTGTCGTCGACGATTAGAAAATTACACAGAGAGCCTGAGGGCGTCACGCCTGGGCCAGCGCCTAATTTCAAAACACCAGGGAAAAAAGGATTCCAATGCGGGGAATCGAACCCCGGGCTGCTGTGTGAAAGACAGCAATGTTGGCCACTACACCACATTGGATTCTTTTGGAGCACACTTATCGTCGTTGTATGAACGCTACGATAGTGGAAGTACAGAAAACAGAGCAGATACTTATACAAGTACAACAAGTGTTATTACTCTCAAGCATGGGACATCATGGTCAAAACATCAAACTAGCCGCTGCATCTACATTGCCTCCTGTAGCATCCAGCATCGAAATCGCAATTTCGCGCGTAGCCCCAAGGTCCATTAGTACGGCGATATTTGCTTCCGGATGAGTTTGTCGGGCACCAGATGCAGGATGTGATAGGGAGCTGGCAGAGCTACGAGATGCGGGGCCATGGGCGGAGGGTGTTGCAGGAGATCTAGGAGCAGCGCGGATGTTAGATGCACCTGGAGTAGCTGCACCTGCTGTGGCCAGTCTGGGTCCCGGTGTCCCGCCTAATGTGGCGCCGCCTCCAGGAAAATGTTGTGATCCAGTTGAAGGACCTGGCAGAACATATGATAAGGCCACAGTAACAACAGTAGATTGGAAAGATTGTATACCTGGACTACGACTGGCATTGAGAGCGGAATTGAGAGCCTCCTCCTCCTCCTCAAGGCCTCTTGCTTTAGCAGGAAGTTGGTGTTCTGCCAAGAAAGGTATTTCACGTCCTTGTATTCGGAGAACATTCTTTTCTAGATCGATGGAGGCCTGATAAGACTTGAGCATGTCGAGACCGAGCAGAAGGTCGACGTCGCGACCCTGTAGGTATAGTGAGTGAGGAGGAATCAATAAAGCTGGCGAACGGACCTCCATAATCGTGAAACTACACGGTAAGTGCAGATCTGCCACTTTGAACTGAGTTGAATGCACCCGCCCCAGGATTTTAGCAGTACCGACCCCACGAGCTATACCTGCGAATCGGGTGTCAAGAAGACGCATGATCCTAAAGCAAAAGTCGATGTATGGCGTATGACACAATGTAGAGACGCGCCTTACCCGCATTTTTCTGCGTATTCTGGGGATACTGAATAAGGAACGAATGAGCTCATCGCAAGATGAACATAAATGGAATACGCACTAATGGTTTGTTGAGCGCCACTATCCACGAATGCTTTGACTGGTGTACCATTTACCTCTGCATCGATGCTTGGAATAAAATCAGCGAATAAATGGTTATCAAGGCTCAAACCGCACTTACTATAACATAGTAACTCTACCAAAGCTCTCCGGACTCCATTCGATCGCGTGAGCCATGTTATCGAGAACCGCCTGCTGCCGTATTCTCTCTTCTATCTTCCGCTGAGCCTCGACATCAAATGGATCTGCGTTCATAAGACTAAGTTCTTGTTGAGCCTCCAAGTCCGCTGTTTGTTGCTGGGTGGTTCTTGTCTGTCGCAAAAGCTCGGCAAATCGAGCAGGATTATTTCTTGCCGCAGACGCAATTTCCGGTTGGTGTTGCTCTAGCTGAGACATCAGGTCTGGAGAGCCTAGTAGTTGCAGACGCATTGTTTCCGAGTCGTGGTCCACAGATTGTCCTGATGGAGCAATCATCGCCTTTCTTCGAAGGCTCAGCATCGCGGAATCAGATACGTTCAGTTGGCGAAGCGTTCGTTTTAGTGATGAAGGTGAAGATGTTAGGTCATTATTTTGATATGAGATAGACTGGTCTGTGGTTGGTATTCCGGACTAAAGGAAAATATCAATATTACCGCTTCTGCAGATTAGAATAATATGTCGAACCTCGGCCTCCAAAAGCACCATGACTGTTTCCAGTTCCATGTCTGGATCGATTTCGATTGAAAATGTCTCTCCAAGATCGGTAACAAAAGTTAAATTCATGGTATAAGTGGCAAGTCGTGTAAACTGATGTAGTGGTAGTTTGAATGTTGAGGATAGGATTAGGATTACGCGGCTCGAGTACAAAGAAATGTTAAAGTTAGAGTAATACACGCCGGGTGGTCGGACCCGAGTATCCGGATTGTCCTCGAACTTCCTCGAATGTTTTTCTTCCGTGTTCCTTCATATCAAAATTTTGTATGCTTTGCATCAGTCTACATCCCCTGATTTCTTCGAGCACTCTTCTACACATAACCCAGAAGTCATTTGCATACAAGCGCAGCTCACGCGACGACGTTCTCAGCTCAATAAAGAGAATGTTGCGAAATACATGATTCGAATGGAGGAATATTAAGTGGGAATGATATTCTGTTCTCCAACACCAGTCATCGGCCATCCACAGACTACTTGACGTTCTTTTTTCTCTCCACCGGCGTGTTTTTGTGCTGTCAAGATGATGGATTTAGAGGTATCTAGAGTCGAAACCACGAAAGAGCCTAATGGAAGCGTAAAGTAGATTCCTGAGTATTGGAGAAAGGATCTTTATTCTTCATGGATTTATGCACGACTCTTTTTGGTCTGTTTGCTATGCAGTGAGTCAGCGAAGTATCCAGCCACGCATTGCCGTTGATATTCTCTTATTCTAGCATGTCGTTTAAAAGCCTAGCAGCGACGACTCGTCCTGTCAATGAACGCTTTATCGCCCTTAGCAGTGCTAGAAGTTTATCGCAAAATCTACAGCACTTTTCTGGGCCTCACAGAAGACCTTGACACAAATTCGGCATTAGAACAGGCTGCACAATCACTTTTTTGAGCCAAGCAGTAGGATAATTGGAAGACATGCGGTACCTTAATTGAACCGAGGCAGTTGATTCTCTCGTGAATTGTCTACATATACATACAACATATATCTTCTCAGTGTGAGTTCAACTTGCTTCCGCCTTGTTCTTGATGAAGTTCTTGATATGTAACCATCAACCCCGTGCTCTTTAGCTACTTCTCCCGCAATGGTACATAATGTACCAACTGCTTTGCGGAGCCGCTACCTGCGAGGATCCTCCCCGCTCCAGCGGCGCATTGCTTCGATCAGACTGGTATTAGTACTCAACCTGTAGGGCCGTAGACTTCTATCACCGCTTCATCTCTTTTTCAACTCGTCGCAAACCACCACCTCGACTGGAATTGAAAGTTTGAAGAAGATGTCTCCTCAACCGTCTTCCACTACTTCTCGAAACAGTGGTGTAAGATCTGTCGCTCTTCCACCTTCTCCCAGTTCTGAATTTCATAACAACTCAACCAATGATGTTCCGGAGAAGAGTTCAGAAATAACTAATGACAAGGATGTCCCGGTGGTGACGGACTATAAACCAGTTGAGTTGAGTGAAGATGACGGTATTGCTGAAAGGATGGATCACTATGGAAAAGCTGGGGGTGACGTTCATTCAGTACCAGCTGTGATTTCGCCTCAAAATGATTTGGAACCACCTGATGGAGGCCTGCAGGCTTGGCTGGTCGTTTTTGGGGTGCGTGCTGTGCAAATGATCCAAGTATTAACGCTGACCGTCGATGTTCTAGGCCATGTGCAGCACGTTTACAACGTTAGTGCCTTCTTTTTAGCGTCCAGTTTAAGTTCCTAACCCTCATCTTTGCGAATAGGTTCGGGTATGTGAATGCGTGGGGGGTGAGTGAATACCTCCAAGTCCCAGAAAAACCTCTGCTCATTGTGGTCGCTAGGTCTTTCAAGAATATTACCAGCGGAGCGTTCTCTCTCATTCTTCGCCTTCGGATATGTGAGTGCTGCGTCTCTTTGTTCCACACGTTGATGTATTTACTTCATCTTGCCTTGGATCCACAGAGCTTGGATAGGTTCTATTCAGGTATGCCGTATGTCTCTAACCGGTGTTGCTAAATACTCATTTAATCAGTATGCTCTTGTCTTCCTTCCTGGGCTCCCCGTAGGGAGACTCTTCGACCTGGGATACTTCCGCAGTGTGTTCATACCTGCTAGCGCCTTATTGATTCTCGCCACATTCCTGATCCCTGAATGCAAGGAGTACTGGCAGTTTCTCCTTTGCCAAGGATTTGCGACTGGTGTAAGATGAATTCCATTTTTTTTTCTGCCAATTTCATCAAACACCGTTATAACTTCGCGTTTCTCAAAGTTAGCCTGTGGGACATTTTTCGGGCCCGTGACTGCGATATTGGCAATGTGGTTTAAGAAGAGACGTGGGTTTGCCTTGGGCTTGTTCGCTACCGGATCTTCCATTGGGGGAACAGTAATCCCTATTGTGGTGAGGAGTTTGATCCCGAAAGTCGGGTACGTGTCATTCGTCTAGATATGTGGTCACTCATACCATATTTCTTACTTAGATTCGCATGGGCCGTCCGCATCGTCGGATTCATCCTATTTGCTGGTCTCACTGCAGCGAATCTCGTGGGTTTTCACAATATTTTTCGCCACAAATGCTGATCATGCAATTGCATTACCTAGACTCTGAAGCGGAGAATACCTCCCGTTCCAAGCTCAGAAGGTGTTTTCAACCTACGGATGTTCAAACAATTCAAGTCTCCAGCGTTCACCATTTATTGCATATCGACATTCTTTGTATACCTGGGATTCTATACGCGTGAGCATTGTACATCTTTTTTACATTTGTTGAGAAGTAAATGGCTTTCCTGTAGTCCTTACCTACGTCAGTGCAACAGCGACGTCGATCGGTGTATCCGAATCATTTTCCTTCTACCTTGTATCAATAGCCAATGCTAGTGGCGGCATAGGGAGGATTGGAGCCGGACTGTTTGCTGATAGATTTGGTGAGTCATCTGAGATCGTAGTCTACTTCATTGCTCATCAGGGATGTACAGGTGCGATGAATGTTCTCATACCATTCACGGCATTAACGGGCGTGATGACCTGTGTTTGGCCGTTCACGAGGTCTACTGGTGGACTCATTGCGGTTACTGTGATCTATGGGTAATTTAGAGAAGCTTTTGACTGCGCCCACACACCCTCACTCTTATATTTCTAGATTTTCATCGGGTCCGTATGGATCCCTCGTATCCGTTCCCGTCATCGAGACTGGTGAACCAGGTGATACGAATCGCGATCTGGGGCGCAGAATAGGTCTATTGATGACGTTCCTTGCAAGTGGAGGTCTTCTTGGTCCCCCAATATCGGGACTGATCTTCCGGAGTCGAGGGATTGAGGCTATGGGGATATATGCTGGTACGTTGCGTCGAGCAGCTCTTCAACTTTCAGCTGACTGTATTTCTTTGAAACCAGGATGCATGATTATTTTAGGTGTTGTGATTATGTGCATTCCAAGATTCTTGGTTCTTAGTGCGCGAAGAAAAAGAGGAAGGATGACTGGGTGGATTCTTAGTAAAGTCTGAACCTCTTGGATATTGCATCCTTCTCACCGAAAAGAGGGCTTCTTATATGGACTCGATATTGTATTTGTAACCACTGATCTCTCCCTGAGCGTAGAGGGCTTGTTGACGGCCGAGCTTTGTAGAATATATCATTTAGTGTCGGGAATCTAGTAGATTTAGAGTTTGCATGCAAATACAGTAATTCTTCGTGATCCTGGCAAAGATTGAATTTCGGTTCCCTCTTTTTCTTCGACTGGCAATGGCAATGTAGATACATTACATACATAGTCACACGGATAGGATAGGATACATATAAATTATACTGGCGAGGACCGATTCTCGAACGACCAGTTTACTATATATGTACTGTACAATTCTGGAACAAGGTAGTTGTATGGATGTCATTCTAGAGCTGTGTGCAATCTATTAGAGACCACTGGGCAGATCTGGGCAGATCGGACTAGTAGTCATTCTACAAAATAGCGAGAATCCTTGGAAGATCCTTCGATAAATTCAGGTTTACTAAGCTCAAATCCCTCTGGGTTCCCTTGTTCACCATACTGCGCAAGCATAATATCGGACGAAGACATCTCTTCGGGCGAGTTGACCCTTCGTTTTGGCGAGAAATAGTAATAGGGATACGTCGGCGGGAATGAAGATGAAGCTGACTGTCCACTAGATTCGCCCTGATTATCGTCGACGTCGAGAAGATCGTCCAAATGAACTGCACCAGGTATAGTTCGCACCACATTTGGCTTGCGGTCAAAAGCAGTCCCATCAAAAGATATGTTGAAATCCTTAGGCCTGGGTGTTGACTTATGAGCGCCGTATAGAGGGCTTAGGCTGGGTACAATAACATCTAGGTCACCTCTGTGCCCAAACGGTGATGGAAGCGTAGGAAAGCCCGGGCTGGATGCATTTGTAACAGGTAGTTCCGGTGATGCAGCCAAAGGATTCATAGGTCTGGATGAATTCGTATGATCCACAGAATGCGGTACATCCGTCGAATCAAGAGGATCGGGTGCAAACATTGGAAATATTTGACTGTTAGGAGAAACTGACGGGAGAGGTATTTCTTGGAAAGGCCCGCTATAGTTGAAGGGGTGTCTGCCCTGCATTCGAGACACCTCAAATTTCAAAGGTGGACGCTGATAGGGATGTGAACGTCCTTGACTTTCGGGGGGCCAAACTGCAACCAAATTCGACGGATCTGAAGGATCTTTTGACCATCTCCATGTACCAGGAACGTCGAGGTTCAAGTTGGAGGTCTAAAAGAGATTTGGCAATATTAGGGACAATAAAGTCAGTGAATTAAATATCACTTGCATTGTCTATCCTTGATGGTGCGCCGAGAGCAATACGTTGAAGATTGAACGAAGGCTTTCGTAAGAGGTGATTTTGATTTCCTTGGGATGGTGCCTGAGATATTAGGGATTGCTCGACAGCGTATGACGGCTGTCCAGGTTCTGGTCTAAAGTGTGCCCGTGGTGTAGGTGTGAATTGTTCACGATCCTCACGATCCTCACGATCCTCACGATCCTCTTGTAGTTGAAATGGTTCCATTGCTTGAAGAGCTGTAAGACGTTCTTGGGAAGCCTGAGGCTTCTGCACTGGTGCAGGTAAATGATTCAAAAGCCTGCCTTGTTCATCAAAGAGCTCGTGAGATATTGCTGTTGCATAGGCAGATTCACCATCGTCGAGAGGACGGCCGATTCGGTTCATGAGAGGTTGACCAGGAGTGAGATAGCGAGCAGGGGATTGTGCTTGGTCTGTGTTGGCGTATTCTCGAGGGACCGCTTTCACCGCAAAGGTAGATTTAGGTTCGCCACTAGGATAGTGCCGACCTTCCGGAGTGAACGGTTGAGGGACAGCAGAAGTGAACTCATGGGGGTGATGTTGGCGACCTTCTTCTAGGGAAGTTATTGCAGTAACATAGGCGGAACGACCCTCGTGTTCAGCATCCCGTGCTTGTACCGGGTAATCATGAAGAACCGGTATCTCCACCCTATGTGTTACGGGATACCGCCACTGCTCTGGAACACGATCGGCCTCTCCAGTAGGATCATGAGTTGCATGTGTGGCAAATACATCGTCGAAACTTTTCGGGTTGACCGGAAGTTCACGAAGCCAATTGCTCGCACGGTCAAATGGTCTCATGTCAGGGTCATTCCGAGCATCCAGTGCAGTCAAAACAGGACGTATTTCGCTGGGTGAATCCTGAAGGGCTCGATGGGCTAACATGCCTGCATATCCTGCAGGCCCTGAGAGGTTGCGAGCACGCTCGAACTCCTCTATGTGTTCGGGGACATATTGAGGTATCGCAGAGTTCCTTTGCGACGTTGACGCACCATGGGGTGATGCATTTAATGAGTCAATCCCAGGTGTCTACACGCAACAGAGAAGAATGAGGTACTGCTACTCATGTAAAAACAGCGAGAAACTAACCTGATACAAAATGTTTGGAGAATAAGTAGAATATTGAGGAATACTCGAATGTCCATTAGTTGCAGCGTCCGTCTGTCTGTCGATTCGGGAAGGTAAAATGGGATGCGGAAGTCCAGGCGGATACAAAGGGTGATAATTGTTTCTCTCGGACGGCACAGCAGGAGGGGGAGAACGAGGAGGAGGAGTATGATGGGAATGGGCTTGCTCAACAACTCTAGGCCGTACGTTTTGAAGTTCTGTCACCGTATCGTCAAGCATTTCACGTGTATGAGCCACCGGAGGTTGTATCGAAAGCTCACGCATCACATCATCACGGAGCTGCTGAGCTTCGCGAATTCGCTCAGGAACATTCAAAAGCGGATGGTTTGTGATACTTGGACTTGGAGGAGTATGAATGTTTGGTAAGCCGATGCCACTAGATCCCTAATGAGATATTATCAGCATACAAAGCTGTTTTGGATACTCGAACCACTTACAATGATAGCTGCCTCCCGCCGTTTCCCCTTCCCATTATCCTGTACAGGGGTAGCCGTGACAGGACGCGAGCTTTCTCCCAGCGGTCGCTGTGGAACTTGTTGATCTTCCCCAATGTTTATGTGGATTCCCACATTTCCTCCAACCGAGAGCTGTGTATTCGGGATATTAATAGCTTCCGCTATATTGCGTCTCACTCGCATTCCAGCTTCGAGTTGTTGGGTGGTCAGAATGTAGTGCTTTATCACCTCGGCCACATACTCTTTACCTTCTCCAGTCGGACTGCCTATCAACAACACAACTCTACGGCCTGGGCCGAGTACAATGTTCAAATTTGGGCTAGCGATTTGCATTTCGCCCGCAGGTATCAAACAATTACAACCAGGCCCTGGAGTAGCCTCTTCGATTCGGAGAAGATAATCAATCGGACCAACCGGGAAGATTACATGTCCGCCGATATGTACATGAGAATGTTGCTGGAGAGCGAGAAGATCCTCTGTGGGGTATGGCACAGGGTGGTCATGTTGAAGCGCAGAATCTAGGTGGGGGAAGCCATAGTCAAATACACGAGGACTTGCAGGCCTGGGTGCAATTGTGGAGACAGTGTTATCCTGTCCATTGAGAGCATATGTACCAAATGGACTCTCATCTGGTCCGTCATTAGGTCTGTTGGTTTGAGTTTTGGGACCCCTCGCAGGAGCTGTTGTATAAGTCGTAGGTGAGTCGTACTGAGTTTGTTTTGCCCTGTGAGGTCTAATAAATTTCGCGATGCGCTTGAAGGCTCGTAATTTCATAATGATGTTCGTTGATCGATGGAATCAAAGTTGATAGAGGTTCGTAAAGAATCTTGCCTATACAGATTCAACGTCGCGGTCGTGATTTTGATTCGATGTTGGAAACGTTAGAAGATCGTAGTATGAGCTGAAATCAAATCAGAAAAAGACTCACTCTTAAATATGTTTTATTAGCACTCGTTCTCAGACAAGGTGAACCATTCCAGTGTATCACCGCCTCATCCATGGCGACAGAAGTGAATTTGGCAAAACCTCATTGAATGTTTTTGTTCTTTTTCTTTCGGCAAGAAAGTCGCCAGGTCCCAATATTACAAGGCTACGTACTTCCTTTGACATCAAGTTGCGTTGTGGGTGCGATGTAGGTCCATGCTCCTTTTGTTTCCGCAAAAGGTAAGTATCAATATTCTGAAGGTTGAGGATAAGCAGCATGGTGCGAATTGAATGAAGCTGGCACAAGCTGATATTTATGTTTATAGATTTGGATATCATACTTATGTTACATGAATTGGGTTTTATCACTTCTGAAATTGATAAGACCTTGCGGTGTTCAATGAGGTGCACCGCTTCGATAGCTCGTTCCAAATCGACTGCGAGCAAAAGCAGAGCTGGGTTGTGTAAGATAAGTCACAACAAAATAACAATGAGACGCTCACAATTTCGAACCGTTCCCTCGAATATTCGATAATAGCGCACTATCCAAAGCACTCGCAGATAGGCTGGTGTCTGTGCAAATTGTTCAATAGAATATACGGAATAGAAGAGGACGAGAGCCTACCACTAATATCACTAAAACTCCCTGTAGAAGCTTCAGAGCCATCCTTATCATGTTCATTCAACCGACCCGATGCGTGCCCAAGTCCGCGATGAGATTGGCCCAAAGCACTGCGCGGGGACAAAGCCGGAGGACTCAACGACTTGGTCGGTGACATATGTCTTCTTAACGGCGGAGATCTTGGCTGTGGAGATTGTGGCAATGAATCTGGTGTAGGAGAAGGTATCTCGGGTAAAGAGCCCTGTGGCGAGTTAGCACTGGACACACTCTGGCTCGTACTGGCGCTCCGGCTGGACAACGAAGCGTTGTAACGCTGTTTATGGTAGTTATGGTGAGTTTCCGAGGGTATGTTGGGATCATCTCTTCCACGACTGTACTCTCCACCCTGCTGTCCTATCCGTCGAACTTGCTTCCGCCCAACGCTGACCAGACCCAATGAGTCCCCCGTTATCATTTTCTGTAATTCGGCCAGTTTCTTATCTAAAGCCTCTTGTTCCTCCGCAACGCGTTCAGCTTCCTCCTCTTTCAGCATTTCGTCATCATCTGAATCCATTTCATCCTCTCCAGACGACGGCGGAGAGGGTCGACGTTCCGAACCTGATTGCAGATGCGTGGGGTTCCTTGCGAGGGGACTTTGTAGCGTGAGGGTTGATGAAGATGCTGTCGCCTTTTTAGGGCGTAATGAGGATACAGAGGAATTATCTCGATGTCCGAGTGAGTTGAGCCTTGCGCGTATACCCAAAGGTGTAGTGCCACTTCCACGGCTCAGAGAAGGTGAGAGCCGTGTATTCAGTCTACCTGGCGTTCGTCCCGCAACGCTTCGTGCCGCTGGGTTTCCTGAAGGTCCAAAAGGTGTACCGGAAGGCGCATTAGGAGATATAGGACTCGACACTCCGGATATATCTTGCAGTCCGCGCAAATCTTCTTGATATCTGGCATGCACCCGATAAAGTAGATACGGCAGTGGGACTTCAAGATGAGCGGCAAGGCCTTTCCCTGTAGAACTCATTCATGAACACTGATTTGTGGCGGAATCCCAACCAAGTCATAACTCACAGTCTGCCCCTCCGCCGTCGCTGGCTCTCGATTTCTCTATCACTTTCCAAAGTATATCTGCTTTTTCTGGACTCCATTCTACCTGTAATATTCAATTATGAAAAGAACAATTAGTGAAGAGATTTCATACCTTTGGTGGGTCAATAATCTGATCTTCCTGGTTCGCCGGTCTATTGTACGGCAGCCGAACAATGACACGGACGTTCTGCGTTGTAGTTGGCGACATGTTGTCGGTTCTAATATCCTTTCAGATCAAGCTCGCACAACAAGACCGAGCTGCACCTCTGCATAGTGAGAGTCCGTGTTGAAGCTTGAAGGGTGAGAAAGTTACTTGTTGACTTATTGATATTTGCAGATACCAGAAAAATACAAAGACACATACTATATATACACTCTAAGCATACATGACATGGTATACATCATAGGAAACTGAACGTTGAACCTAGATCAATGAGACTCTCGTCCGAACAAGTCCTCCTCGCCAATTATGCATTCCTGCAGACCGTCGATGAGACCAATCACCTTGCATCCTCGAAAATGCATCCTGGATATGCTCAGGCCCTAGTGCTGTCCGCGCTTCAGGTGGCGGAAGAAACAGAGAGTTCACTGGCAGTGTATACTCATCCCTATCTGGCGAATCCTCACGACGTCTCTTTTCCGCTGACCCTCCAACACCATTGGCTTTGCGCTTTCCGAGCACAGGGGAGGAATAATCGTCTCTGTGATAGGCTTCTTCCAAGGACTTTTTCACCGTGAGCCCGGCAAGAGTCAGGGAACGAACCATCTCGAAAGCGAGGAAACCGACAATGTCAACAGTGTCATCGTTTGAGCGAAGATCGAGATGCGAAGGGAGATTAAGGAATTCACGGAAACGTTTGGCTGTGAGGTGGACCGAGGAGGCTTCAGTTGTGACCTTGCTAGGATGCAAAGAGTGATCTTACCTTTGCGATATGTAAACGTAGCCTGCCGACAATCTGCATAATGTTGGTACTCTTCTCTGGTCATCTGTCGAGTAGCATCGTCCGCTTCCTGTAATGAATGGTAATTATCATAACTGTGAAGAGCATATGTAGACACGGACCTTCAAACGCTGGATTGAAGCCTCGTGAGCTTCGATATCATCTTCGTCCTCTTCATCCTCATCCTCACGTCCACTCTGCCTTAAAACTTCAGAATAAAGCGTAGTGATTTCCCAAGGTAGCTTGATTGTTATCTTTTGCGCTTTCGCTGCTAGCTTATCTGTGCAATGTATGTGTGAGTAATGTTGGGAATGCCTAAACGCAGACAGAAAAGAGGACGCACCATCAGCACCATCCTCAATAGCTTCTTCTACTCCACCTCCACCGGCTGCATTATCAGAGTCCTTTGCGTGCTTTCTCACGTCTTTCCACGAAAGATAGGTGCGGAGACGGTTGACCTTGCCTCTATCATGGCGTATGAGGAATATGAGGTCTTCAGCGGAGAGGTATCGTGCCCCGCGGCGGATTGCTAAACCTCTGGCCTGAATAATCTGGGTTGTATAGCATTAATCATGACTGAGCATGAGGTGTTCATAAATGGAAAACACGAACCAACTCGACAAGCTGACTTCGTACAATATCTTCGACGAGATTCACAGTCTCAGAGAGAGGATCTTGTACTTCTCCGAATACGAACATCTATATGATAGTTCCGCATTATGAACATCACTCACATTTCAGTTTCGTTCAGAGTATGGCGGACATCTTTACCATTTGGGAAATTTCCTGGGTGTACTTGTAGTCCTTCGTGACACTCATGGCCTCCGCAGGCTTTTTGGAAGAAGCCATAGCAATTTACCGACGGTGAGATTTCGAGAGATTTCGAGAGGTTTCGGTCAAGCTGTAAAAGGTGGTGCTGTGAGATAAGAACAATTGTTTATCACAGATGTACTATGGAAAGCCGGAACGGTACGCTCCCAGATCAGTTCCGGCATCATAGCCGCTGATGGCTTGCATTATAAAACCAAGGAGGACCTCGGAGAGCTCAATTCATCTCGGTGATTAGATAAGGCTGATTTAGTATTCAAGTATTGACATATTTTGTCCTGTTTCGCCACTTGCCCCCTTTCCCACCAAATGTTCGACCATCCACCTTCAGCACTGGCTCTAACTAAGCTTTAGTATAACATTTGCAGCCCCTCAGACTCCAGGTGAGTGCCTATGGTTGTGTTATTCATGTTGGAGTTTGGGCTGGTGCTTGGAATTCATGTTCTTCTGCTATATTGCAGCTTATATGTGATATGTTTTCATGCTCCATTTTGCTCACTTTTAGGCTTTTCTTGAGATTTGTGTATTTTCTGCTCCAGCCCTTCAGAAACCCAATGCAAGTGATCAAGTATATTTCTGGTTTGTTTAAGCTATCCGTTATCAGTATAGAATAATCGGCTTTTCCCGAGAAAGTCAGCGGAAGATTCAACTCAACCCGCAACTTTGACTGGGATATGCCGAGATGCATTGTCATTTGCATCCTAAAACCACTGTCATCCATGTGGGCTCATCTCCCCAGACTCCAGGCCAACTCCATTTTAATTGTCATGGCATTTTCATTGCATCGTCCTTCTAAATATAATATCACTCATTACAGTTAGCAGTGAGCAACTCACAAATCATCATATTTCCCTCAATACTGACTGTCTCGGACTCATTCTAGGTTCATTGGAATTGTATCAGCATCGTCTCAATGGCCCACACTTCGCTCCCTGATTGGCTCAGAAAATTTGACCTTCATCATCGTTGCTGGTGGTCTCCAGGTGAGCAGCTCACAAAATGTCATATTTCCCTCAATACTGACTGTCTCGGACTCATTCTAGGTTCATTGGAATCGTATCAGCATCGTCTCAATGGCCCGCACTTCGCTCCCTGATTGACTCCGAAAATTTGACCTTCATCATCGTTGCTGGTGTTCTCCAGGTGAGCAGCTCACAAATTATCATATTTCCCTCAACCTAACTGTCTTGGACTCGTTCTAGGATTCTAAGCTTGTTCAATTTGTTTCTCTATAAGTCATAAATATCTTTCATAATCAGCATATAACATGGTCAACATATAACGCATAGGAGGCATAGAGACATAGAGAGCATAGTGGGCATGTTACACATAATATCGGCATAATTTTGAGGGTTGCCCTGAAATTAATCTATTCTGGCTGAGTTTCTAACACCATTGCCTGCTCGTCGTAAAGTTGTAGTGCTTCACAACCTGGAACACCATGTTCCTCAACTGCCTGAGCACTGCACATGTTGATTAAAGGGAGGTCAAAGAAGCGACAAAAACGGGATTTTGAGCATTTGTGTTCTGTCAAGAACTTGTTGAATGCATTCCGAACATTTCCTGGGCCGAAAAGGTCATCGAGGTCATCTTTGAGCTCACTATTATAACCATAGAATTAGCATAGCAATGGATATGTGGTAATTGGGATGGGTCGTACGGAGCTGTCATAATTTGACCATCAGTCAAAAGTCCGCTACAGCCTGCAACAGTCATGAATTAATATGGGCCTTTCGATATAAAGATAAGACTTACCCTGGAAGTCAGAAAGATAGGCAAAACCTTCCGTTTTCCAGAAAATGATGTGCTGAATAGAAGAGAGATATTCTGTTTCAATTCTATGAGGATCGTTCAAGGCCAGTTCTTCGATTAGAGGACCAATGTCTGCAGAGCCATTGTTGATATATTTACAGAACGATGTTTCTGCTGCAGGTATGACTTCCTCGGCCATGAGCGTCATCTTGCGTGAGGAAAGGTTCTTTACAGAACTACCAGTTACTTCGGAATGCACAGTAAGGACAAAGGCATTGACATAGCGAAATGAAGGAATATTGGCAGGGGGAATAAGTTTTGTCACTCCAAGGAAACGAGTTATCCATCCTAAGGCAAATTCAAACAACATATCTGACCACAAGTGGAGGTTGGCATCACGAACAATGGATTCCAACTCAGCCCCTACTGGAAGACGGAGAAGATGGGCGTCATCTTTTGAAGTACCTTTGGATTTGCCTGTAGTATAGGGTCATTTCACAATGACATTGCAGTTCCATTTCGGAGTTTGTAATCGAGCTGAATGTGCTGTCCGAAAGGACCCTTTTCCAATCACAGTAGGATTTAAGACAATAGAGCCTACATCACGGGTTTCGATGTCGAAGGTGAACCGCACCGGTGTAGGTGAAGCAGCAACATCAGCATAGTCGAATGAGGGGATTTGAAAGAGTTCCACAGAGTAATATGTTCCATCGACTAATACGATATTGACATGAGATCAATTATACATAGATGCATGAACACGTACATTGCTTCACTTGGGTAAGCGTGACCTGCCCTCCAGATTGTAATACATGTTTTGCAGCTCCCCGTTTTGGTGATCGATAAGTTTTCTTAGATGCACGTGAAAATGGAACTGTTTCATTGGGAGAAGTGACCTGTAATGAAAGTGTAAATAAGGTAATCAGCAAATCAACACTCCAAGCTCACTGATAGACTACGCTTCCGTGACCCTTTGTTTGTACCAGTATTAAGTGAGTCCTGCCATCCATGCGTAAAAAGAGAAGACGCAGGTCCATGTGTATTCATGGAATGGGTTGCTACAGTGGAACATGTATTCATAGAATGGGTGGCTGCAGTGGAACATATATTCATGGGAACAGCTACTGCGGTGGAGCGGGAAGGATTTTTGGATTTGGTTGTGGTCTGGGATGAAACAGCATCTTCTGCAAGTTCGAGCGCGTTCTCGAAGTCTTCATAAGGAATAACAATTCCAATCTCAAACGGTTTTGCATTATGGGTAAAGATTTTATCTCCTGTTTTTCCTTTCCCCCCTCTCGGAGCTTTCAATAGCTGGTCCCGGTCATAGAACCAAAGTCGACCAGGTTCAGCCTGGATAAGGTTAACCCAGGCTGTAGGCCAAATTTCACGGACCTCCACCCGAGTCCAATCCCAGGAAAAATCTGGGAATTTCGCAAGAAGCTGAGGCCAAACAAGGCGTTTTGCTTGCACTATAAGTTCTTCGGCTGTGATCCCTCGAGGCGTTGAAGGATCAGTTTCAGCGATGTTCTATCATACAGAGTTGAGAGATGTATTAGCATTATTGTAAACACTTTACTCACACTGATTGGAACAAACTTAGGCATGTAACTTTTTGTAGATGCCTTGGGATTGACACAATACCCTACGAGATATGCCACCGAAATGAGCTCATTACTGTGCACATAAGCTTTTGCCTGTTGATTTTTGATAGCCTGATGGTAGTGTCGGTGGTGTTCACCATATCCAATGGCACGTCCAGTAGTAGAACCGATTCCGGTGGATAAATGAGCTGCCGGTCCACCAATGTGGTTTGCAGGCATTTTTCGACTACCACTCAAAGAAGGTGGTGGTGGCGGCGGCATCACTATGCAGTTCAAAAGTGGTAAGTTCCTGATATTCAACACGAGGATAGGATCAAACTGACATCCAATAGGGGCTGGATTTGCTCGAGCAACACTTGTGCGACCTGGAAGTGCAGTAACAGCTCGTTGTTCACGTGTTGCTTCTTAGAGCCCAGTATATCTGTAAGTGAGGAAAAGGATGTATAAATCAAGGCCCACCTTTTTTTTTCGCATCAATGACACGCCTCCGGATGTCTTCTGGGTCAAATTTGCGCTCCCATGCCAGTTCTTCGGCTGTAAAGGATAGATCGCTAATGCCATAGACATCCTCAAATTTTTTGGTTGATTCTATGAGCAGATATCAATAATGTCTGATAAAAGTTCATAATAATCACACCTTGCAGGCCATTAGAGATCGCCTTGTGCCAGTAGTACAATGCACAAGGAAGGCACATCTTGACCATAGGCGGAGCAACACTTTGGTGATTGGTGTTCTGAACAGGATAAAATCTGGTACCCAGAGGTATGCCATATTTACAACGTCCACAGGCAGTTGCTTCCGTTGCAATACAATCAATAGTAAAGAGAGGATAATTGCTATTTGACATGGCGGTTGGATAGATGCAGAACAAGCTCAAGGCGTGTGAAAGTTAGCACTTCGAAAAGTTCAGTCACTGACTTTGGACGATAATTTGCAACCATATGACCTCCAAGAAGAAGAACCAGTATGCAGGCCTACGTGAGTGTTCTTGTTGGTAGACACATGAGATCAAACTAATAGTATTCCAGCCCCAGTCACTATGATTGAGCCAATAATCTCAAAATATTGGAACATGGGCAAAAATGACAAGTTTATACTTGAACGGATACGAGAAAGCCTAAATTCAAATGAATATCAGATTGGGTGTGGCCATGCCATAAACTATTCTTACACTTCATTGACTATGCTCTAGGGAAACCAATCTACGCAAAACTCGTGAATCACTGGGAATGTTTTCTGCAAGAAAGCATGGGGAAACAATTGAATCGATTGCTGAACGGATGAAAAGTTTGCGACTGACATATCCCAAGGCAGGTGTACGTGATATGACAGACTTGTTTTGGCGAGAGTACCAAATCAAGATACCAAGGTTTGATGAGATTCCTGTGATTGAAAGATCTATTTTTGACGATGATTCTAGGTCACTGGTCAATAGTTACTGTAAAACATATGAGCCAGACCTAGTCAAACAGCGAAGAGCTAATCGTCTTAGCCGGAAGTTGTTCTGGGCAGCTGGGCTTTTCGATGTTGTGTGTGTGGATCAGCATGACAAATGGAGGGAGAAGTGGAAGCTAGGACTTCACGTTGGGGTGGAACCAATGTCTGGACAAATCCTATGGCTTGAGATATGGCATACAAATCGCAATCCCAAAATTGTTGCCTCATACTATTTGGATTGGGTCGAAGCAAGTGGCTGTGAGTGTCATTACGAGCAACATTCAAATGCTAATTTAATACCTCAGATATGCCGTTGGTTACTCAAAGTGACCCTGGGACCGAGAACTATGGAATCGCAAATGCTCATACTGCCCTTCGTCAGTGGCATGATCCAAACATGGTTGGAACTTTGTCACACCGATGGATGAACCGAAAGAAGAACATCAAACCAGAGATTATCTGGAATCAGGTTCGAAGACGCTTCAGTCCAGGATTTGAAGATATCCTGCTCGTGGGCATCAATCAAGGATGGTATAACTGTGAGAATCCATTGGAAAAGTACGTTGTCTTCAGCTTTACTAATTCTGGATTTATGGTGATGATCAATATAGTTTAGTATTCCGATGGGTATTCATCCCATGGCTACAGAAGGAACTAGACACTTTCCGTCATCGGGTCAACAATTTTAAAAAGAGGCGTGACAAAAACAAGATTTTACCTCAAGGTATACCAAATGAGATTGTAGATCGACCAAGTGCATTTCAGGTCATGGACTTCCGGGTGCGACATTCAGAAACATTGTCATAGTATCACAGTTAATATCTGTCTTTAGGTCAAAGTCAATAAAGAGGCTATAGATGTTGTTCGCCAACGATATGCACCTCGGTCAGATCAAGTGTTCGATCTTGTTCCATGCAACTTCAATGGAATCATATCTAACATGTATGTATTCCTTGGAAGTCCTGAAATCACACGAAGCTCGTGCTGGGATGTGTATCTTGCCCTTCTCAATAAGCTTGAAGAACCCAACATTCAACCTTCAGTCTTGCATACACTCGAAACATGGGACTCAACATTTGTTGATGGCGATGATGGTCAAACGCCAGAGCTTTTAGCAAACTCAAATCCTCTTGCAAATGGTCCTGGAGTCCGTACACCTGCTGGGTCATTCTACTATGGTGGTGTAAATCATGGAAATGGTCTTGGTACGTACATCACTCTGAGATATCAGGATTTGACTAACTTGGAAGGATTTATTAGATCAGGATCAGGTATCAGTGGGTGATGAAGATCCAGGTAACAGTGAGAATGAGATAGAGGAAGCAGATCTAGATGGGGCATTTGGGTTGTTCTCTGAGGATGAGGATGATGATATGTTGGACGTTCCAATGTAACCTAAGTGTATAGTTTCTACAAAAATGTCATATTGACCTCTCTGAGTGACCTTTGTCTGATTGCATGATGTGTGTTTTTCATAGCGGCCTTTACATGCTGCATAAACTACGCAAAAAGCTTTAAATTACTCCCAGAGGTTCAAAAATTCTGAGTCAATCCTACTGGGGGTGACCACATTAATATAGGTTAAAAATCTTTGGCTAGGAAAATGGGTGGTATGGGAATGGAGAGGAGAGCCAGGCGGAGAAATCATGCACTGGAACATAGAAATGCATTCAGTGATGAGAAAGCTATGAGTACAACAATGAAACTCAACTTGAGGTCAGGATAATGACAACGACATACTTCAAAAATCTTCGGCCAGGGAAATGAGTAGCATAGGAATGGAGAGGAGACCCAGGCGAAGAGATCGTGCACTAGAACGCAGAATTCCATTCAGAAATAAGAAAGATATGAGTACAATAATGAAACTCACCTCGAGATCAGGATAATGACCATGACGTACTGCAAAAATCTTCGGCCAGGGATATGAGTGACATAGGGGTGAAGAGGAGACCCAGACGAGGAAGTCGTGTGCTAGGACAGAGAATTCCATTCAGAAATGAGAAAGATATAAGTACAACAATGAAACTCACCTCAAGGTCAGAATGATGACAACAACGTACTTCAAAAATCTTCGGCCAGGGATATGAGTAGCATAGGAGTGAGGAGGAGACCCAGGCAATGAAATCGTGCACTAGAACGTAGAATTCCATTCAGAAATAAGAAAGATATGAGTGCAATAATGAAACTCACCTCGAAGTCAGGATAATGACAACGACATACTTCAAAAATCTTCGGCCAGGGAAATGAGTAGCATAGGAGTGAAGAGGAGACCCAGGCAAAGAGATCATACACTAGAACGTAGAGTTCCATTCAGAAATAAGAAAGATATGAGTGCAATAATGAAACTCACCTCGAAGTCAGGATAATGCCAATGACGTACTGCGAAAATCTTCGGCCAGGGATATGAGTAGCATAGGAGTGAGGAGGAGACCCAGGCAATGAAATCGTGCACTAGAACGTAGAATTCCATTCAGAAATAAGAAAGATATGAGTGCAATAATGAAACTCACCTCGAAGTCAGGATAATGACAATGACGTACTGCGAAAATCTTCGGCCAGGGATATGAGTAGCATAGGAGTGAGAAGGAGACCCAGGCAGTGAAATCGTGCACTAGAACGTAGAATTCCATTCAGAAATAAGAAAGATATGAGTGCAATAATGAAACTCACCTCGAGATCAGGATAATGACAATGACGTACTGCGAAAATCTTCGGCCAGGGATATGAGTAGCATAGGAGTGAAGAGGAGACCCAGGCGAAGAAGTCGTGTGCTAGGACATAGAATTCCATTCAGAAATGAGAAAGATATAAGTACAACAATGAAACTCACCTCAAGGTCAGAATGATGACAACAACGTACTTCAAAAATCTTCGGCCAGGGAAATGAGCAGCATAGGAATGAAGAGGAAACCCAGGCAAAGAAATTGTGCATTAGAATGTAGAAATCCATTCAGTGATGAGAAAGCTATGAGTACAACAATGAAACTCACCTCAAGGTCAGGATAATGGCAACAATGTACTTCAGAAATCTTTGGCCAGGGAAATGAGTAGCATAGGTATGGAGAGGAGACCCAGGCAACGAAATTGTGCACTATAACATAGAACTCCATTCAGAATTGGTAGTCATGAACAGATTGATTCTACTCCCGGCCCCAGAGCGCTTCCAGCAGTACCGAACTGTAGATACTGAAAATGTCAGATTTAGGAACCCTTCAAAAAATTCCCACTCACCAGAAGCACAATGCTTATGAATACATGAAGCCTCTTGGTTAGTTCGTCCAGTGTTGACTGATTTGAAAGCCCTCATATTCAATCATTATCAATTGGCAGGGCCTCTGAAAACACACCAGAGACATACCTGTGTAAAATACATAATCAAACATCTAAATCGGAAAAATGTAATCCTTCGAAATTTCTGCATGCTACTTAGGTACTGCACCAAGACATGAATAAAGATAATTAGACAAGGAGAGGAATGAGGATGAATTAATAACAGCATAGAGATACTATATGTGTACTTACGTGAAATAGTCACATTACATAATTAATTGGGGAAGTAGTCGGGGTCCTACCCACCTGAGGTGTCGGTTAACGTACCTTGATGGCCATCATGAAATTTATTGAGCGTACCGTTCCGGCTTTCCATACAGATGGGAGTTTCCACAAGTCCTGCTTCGAACCCCTTCATACTCTTTCATGTTACTTCTTCTCTCAGTACTAGTCAGGTTCAAGACTCGGTTTAAGACTCTTCGCATTGACCAGCATTGACCTGATGCGACGCTCGTCTTCATGACTTTGTTGTCCTTACTCGTGCTCATGTACAAGATGTGCTTATCCACCTCATAAATCAATGTGACGTGTGTGCACTAGAAATACGTGTAGAGTGCCGGAGGACCTCTTGCAAATACCTCCCGCCCTCTTTTCTCCCTTATGCAACCTAAGTATCGCGGACAATTCAACTCAATGTGCTCAACCACAACAACGGGACAGTCCGTCAAGTCCAGTGATTCGACTTTGTTCCCCCTTGTTCTCCGAACGTCAACTTCATATGACGCTAGTGATTCATCTTCAAAGTTCAAGAGACCAAACCTCACTTCTTTTATAAGGAATTAAATGGAGTGCACGCGTTACAACCTCTTGGATCCTTGGAATTTCCTTCACTCCGGAATACATTATACAGCTCTGTATCAAACTCTAAGGAGTCAAATCATCAGATCTTGTTCGGCGACACCTTCCAAGCTGATGTTATAATTCAGTTTTCCGTTGCTCAACTGACGCTTGGCGCTTGGAATTGGTACAACGTATGGGAAGATCACAATGAATGTAACACCTGTTTCATGTCGCCCAATTCTTGGTTTTAACTCACATCTCGCTTCTTTATGATTTATGTACATAGCTCTCTCGAGCAACCGTTGATCTCAGCCTGGGAAAGAAAAGGAAACCAACACAGTTGAGGAATACCCCATCCAGGTTCTGGCAATGGAATTCCGCTTCCAACTTGGGCATTTGGAATGATAGGAGCTTCAAAAATACCAGGAGGTTTGAAGTTGCAGCAATGTTTATGTTCTGAATTCTTCACCTTCTCATAGAACTTCGATTCCTATGCTTCGCAATCACCTATGCAGTCATTCAGATTAGCGCCAATCTGGTGATATCAAGTTGACACAGGTATCTTCATTCGGTGTCTGTTCTCGATTTGTAAAAAAAAATTCACCAGCGTTTGTCCTTCTTATAAGTTCGAGGACATTTCAGATGGTGGGTCTAACTTCTCCCTCGTCTGTTCCCCTCTTCGAAAACGCTCTTGAAACATGTCATTGCGTTCGTCCACTTGTCCTAAATATTTGAGTTTGGACTCCAGCTTAAGTGATCTCACTGTGCATGGCGAGGATGGTAAGAATTCATTTGCTACCTCTTGTTATATGTTGATGAGTTTATCTGCTATTGTAGATGCGGAAAAGGGTTATATGGACCCTCCCCAGCCCTGCCCGCATCTCCGCAAGAAAATGAACCCTCTCCTCGACATCATGCGATGGACTTGTCTCTTTGCTCATGTTAGCTTGATTGTACTGCTCATTGTGTTGATAGCCTTGCAGCAAAAATTGAGGAGTGAACCAATAAGCGATTCCTACGCAAAGTTTGTTGTCTGGGAAGTTTTTAGTGAGATAGATGGGTATATCATCACAGTAAGTCCTTCTAGCCTCGAGATACCCGGTTTGAGACACATTCTAACTGTATGATATATGTAGGTATGGATTATTGTCTTGACCTTGACAACACAAAGGCTAGCTCTTCGACGCCAACTTAATCTCACCAACAGTGTGACTGCAAAGCATGATGCCAATGAGGCGTGGATGGGTACCGGAGCAGCTATCTTAGTGCCCTGAGCGCCTTTCATTCTTCGGCAACTGGTATCATCCAAACTGTGCCAGAGCCAAGTCATTTATTTACATTCCAGTCACAAGGGATTCCAAATTTCACTGCGTCCTTGCAAAATGAGTATGTGTGAGTAAAATCAGCTGTATCAATGGGAAGCTCTTTTATCACTAATTCCCTTGCAACTCAAGTGGGGCAGATTCCTTGATGACCATGTTTTCTCTGAATACATTTGATTTCACGGGACTTGCTAATAAAGGTGTGGGTGTGATATACGAAACACCCATTCACCATGCCCGAGAGTTCGATGATGTTCCCGGAAATACACGCCTGCATGTCAATGCCACATACTTTGATGTCACCTGTGGGTCATTGTCAGGGTCTGTCCGAGATATCGATGGAGCACCAGCATTTGTCTTTGCCAATGATTTTGGATTAGAGAATACACTGTTCCCAGGGAACATCAACACTTTTCCATATACTATATGTGCGTGGTTTGAGTTATCTTGTTCAAGATGGAACACAAAATAACCCATCATTTCAACAGCTCAAAATGGTCTATATCTTAGAACCGCACCTTGGGGACCATTAACCATGGGTCTGGATGCCACGGTGCGAAGAAATGCCAGTGATCAAAATGTTTGATTCTTGACACTACATTACATAGGACCCCAAATATTCATGGCCAAGCTCCATTCTTATATTCACAACTGTGCCAGTCTTTGATTCATCTAATATGGCTGTGGAACCGGTAGCGATACTCGAATCAATGACATGTGAATTGCAATCCTCAAAAAATTCTACAAACCTGCCAGTACTTATTATCCTGGGCATGTAGATACACCATTTGATTCCCAGATGAACTCCACCACCACTCATGTCTCAGCACTTGCATGCAACTTGACCGTGGACATGTCCTCAACTAAGGCCGATGTCAACTCAATTAGTAACTCTTTGATAAAACTACACGGCCAAGGCAACAAAACCTCTGCCAATCTGAGCCCATTTCCATCAAGTTACTGCTCCACACCAGTAGATATGCACTCAAATCCTGAGGATGCACTACTTGCCATTGTGAGTATATCATGTTACATTGCTTGCTGTTACTCACTCCCAGTCTTGCTCAAATCATAAGTGGAGCCTCCTAACTTATGCTGCAGTGTCTCCACTCAATCAGCAGCTTTTTATGAATTGCACTACAAGTGGTAACTCCGACCTTGCCTGTGGGACATTATACGAATCAGAACAGTTTGTACCCTCTCACACTTGTTTGTTCACTGAAATAATCAATGACCACCACTGTTATTACATCTGCAAAACCTGTTTTTTCGGCTAATTCTCCGAAAGCAGCTGAGAGCGCTTCCCAGCAGCCAAAGCACCCAGAGCAAGGTTGAAATTTTGCTCTCGGTGCTTTGGGTGCTGGAGAGCACTCTCCAGCCAGTACCCTTGCTCTGGCGAACATACAGGTTTTGCAGATGTAGGTTTGTTATGGAATCATTGAATATTTTTCCTGATATTCTCCTACCCGGGCCTTCGGCAACCAGTATTCAGCTTGTGGACCTAGAAAACACTCTTTCTCGAATGACAGCGATTGAGTTTTGGGCAGGTTAAATTTTCACCACAAATGACTTCCAAGAAAGATCACTAATCGCAACTCATTTTAGAGGGTCAGGGAATTAATTCTAAATTCTCGAACAGACTCTTCGGCGGTAACGGTGGAACAAGCGAGGTATTCGTTGTGAATGAAAATACTCAGTGGATTTGGGGAGATGGATTTATCTATGCGGTCAGTCGACAACTTGGTCTTGACACCAGTTCATAATGACTCAGATTCAATCTCCGTTCTCTTTATAGCTCATTCCTTATAATGTAAAACAATGCTCATTCACTCGGACACATGCCGGTATGCTAACACACTCTCATTATCAGCTATGGATATCCCTCGGTCTTGCAATTTTCATATTCGCACTGGCTATACCGTCATTGATAGACAAAAACACTCTCGAAATTGACTCAATTGGTATCTTGCAGATGATATGGCTTGTGAGCAACCATCCGGACCAGAAAGTTATTACTCAAATTACAGAACCTACAACCGAGATTTTGAGGAAGGCTGGGTTAGAGATTGAAGAGAACTATAGGGAGTGGTAGTGGACTCTGCTTTATACTTCAAGCTTGCATAATATGAGTATTCCGAGTCTGATCATTGTGTTTCGTGCATATTGTAGCTCGATATTTAATTACATGTGTATTATCTCTGAAAAATTGGTGCAAGCTGGTACTTGACGGAAATTTGGTGCTTACCTAAAAAATGGGGTTTTCCCTCAGGCTGCGCGAACATGGGGGAGGAGGGATGAGGATCCCCTTTTGATTTTGATTTCTTCCGGACCATGTCCATCTATCTATCCCGCAAAATGATCACTTCTCTCTCTCAGTCGCTCTCTTCGCTACCTCAAATCGTTATTTAGAACTTCAAGATATTACTCAACGCTTCGAGTTCGTCCGTTCACATCCTCTCATGATACACTGTCAGACACCTCAATTGTACAGCTCTTTTACCATTCTCACACCTCGTCGGACCTTCGAGAAGCTCCTCGTTTCCCCGTCCTTCGCACAGCTACTTTGGGCGACGACCAGAATCCCTCTTCGATGTTTTCCCCGCGCTCAGCCGCGCTCGAAACCCTTCACAATTCGGAATGGAGAGTTGTTTGCGCCATGGTAACCGAAAATCATATGAACCATACACTTATACTACATTGGAAGACTCGAAGTACATAGGAAACATTATTAACTTGTGCCAGGGACTTCAGCCTGACCATAAGGGTCTGGATGCTCTATTACAACTTCGCAGACCCCCTCTCCTCCTTGACATCATTGAACAATGTCCCGATTCCCCCGCCAACCCAGGTTTCGATTCGATCCCCGTGCTTAAGATAAATGGGAGGCTTACGGGCAAAACCTACTCCCTTGGGTGTACCAGTCAAAATGATTGAGCCAGGTTCAAGTGTGGTACCTTGAGAGAGGTGGGCAATGGTTCGGCGGACTTGGAAGATTTGGTCACTATATTCAGTTTCGTCGATGGCGGTAAGAATCACGGAGATGAGGTGAGATGAATCATAAGAGCGTGCTCTTAACAAAGGACGGCAGGTGACTTACGCAGTGGTCCCGTTTTGTACCGTTTCGCCATTCAGTTTACATTTAAGGGAAACTTTTTGGGGATCGGGAATAGCTGAAGCGGAGACTAAGCATGGACCGAGTGGATTGGTATTGTCTGGTGGATATTGTTCCGTTTAGAGTGGTCAAGCTGAAGTAGATCACGCGTGGACGTACCAAATCCCTTCGAAAAACACCATTGAGAAACGGCCATTTGGTGTGTACGGAAAGAGACCTGCATTCATATTTGCCCGTGTCAAACGGTAGAATTAGAACGGAACAGGACGGGACTTACATCATTCGCTCCCGTATACGCCAAAACATAATCCAGAGCGTCTTCTTCCTTGACGTTCGTTGCCGCTTTACCAATGACAATTGTAAACTCAACTTCATAGTCGGGCAGGTGATCTTTGACTGGTTGAGCAGCAGCAGGAATAATGACAGTTCCCTCTGGTCCAATGAGTGTCGAAGTAGGTTTGACGAATAGTACTGGGAATGGAGGCGCCGCCATTTTAATCTCCTCCTGCAACAAACGACAGTTAAATAACTAAACAGCTTTCGAAGGTAAGGAGACGAACCGCATGATCATGATAATTCAAGCCCAAGCATCGCACAAAACCGACTTCATTCCTGGTAAGAGGCGAAAGCAGATACTTTACTGTGAGAATCTTTTGGGAGACCTGAGCAGCAGGGTCCAATGCAGAGCCTATGATTTCGTAGGCTTTAATGGGGGTACCTTGATGTGCAGCGACTCCGACTGAGCTATGAGTCAGAACGAGCCCTCGTCTTGCGGGAGGTGCCTACCGTCAATGTTAGGATCTATTGGTTCACCAATGTGTACCCTTGAGGTCTCGGCAGCCACGAATCGAATGAGACGCGTCCATTGGGTACGGATCGGAGCCATTTCAACAATTTCTCAGAAGGGGGGAGAGCTCAAAGATAAATTTCAGACTGGTCTTCAATGGAAGTTGGCAAGAAGATCTGTCCTGAGAATCTATCTTTATACTGCAGTACAGAGTATCGAATTGTGATGAAAGTTGTGAGCGGAGCTCCGAGTCCGAAATGAGTCTCGGCCCGGTATAATCTATTTCGCGATCACATGCTGAGGTTTATCTCTTCTAGCCTCACTGCCGCCTCGTTTTCCGCTCTTTCCCCATTTCTTCGATTGTTATACTCAAATTATTGCTACAGCATACGCCACACACAACACTCTTTTTCATAGGACCTCTAACTCTACATCACTCGCTGTTCTCCGCTCTCTTTTTCTCTGCCAGCGAACGGTTGTCATCTAAGGATGGTTCTAGACAGACCAACGAACGACTCAGAAAGGCTCCGTGCATTGGAAGAGGATGTAGGAAATGACATTCATGATGTAGGTTTCTTTTCTGCACTCCAATTCTTATTTTCACCCTGTCTAGGTTATCTCTCCGCGCAGCAGCAGTGGAGCTAGGACTGCCGCCTTGAAACGAATGGAGGTTCTCATTGGTAGCGCATGCGTCCAATTCACCAGCCAAACTCCTGCATCTGGGAATGTAGAAGATTTACATGAGCTCATGCGGCTGCAAGATGGCTTCGAATGCAACCGTGAGTCATCACTCAGGCGTTTCCAACTGGCCAAGCAGTTGTCTGATACAGACATAGTTCCTTCCAAGCTTCTTCCGTGGATCTCATTGTCTTCACCGAAACTAGAATACCTATCCCAATCCAGCAAGAATTCAGGGATTGGAACGGGTGAGTTCCACATGTTGTGAGCCAACGACAACAGACTAATTCATTCTTCGCAGATGGTCTAAATCTGGACAAGGACGATGATTACTCTGCCCTGAAAGAACTCACCACGCAATTGTGTCTCTCCCTCTCAATCGTTCAGGGAGTTGCCTTGAACCACCCACGAAGCAAAAGGTGGTTAGGGAAAATCAAATCGTTGGAGGTAGACTTCTTGCAACTCCGAAGCCATCTACATCATGTCATTCATTGCTACTACGAACCCAGATACTTGTCGACCTCTTACTTGCATCAAGACATGTGCCATCGAGTATAGACAGCCCAGCTTCTTCGTCAACCTCGTCTAAGCGTGGCGTAACACCTCCTTCTCTTACATCTGCAATTCTGGATACTATGTTGTGCATATTGGTCGATTCTACTCCTGCTCTTCGGGCTTTCGAGGAGTGTAACGGAGTACAGGCAATTGTCAAGATACTAAAAAGAGCAGGAAGTCCCAGGGAAGTCCGGTATGTTACTTTGCTGTCCGAGTTCGAGAGCTGTATTCAACTTGGTTTTAGGATGAAGTGCTTGGAATTCTTGTATTTTTACCTGCTTGACGAAACGAAACCGTCCATTCCCACAACCTCTATGTCTACCGGTGGGTCAACGCTGATCGACTCGGTCCAGACAGTTCCGAATACGCCTTCGCAACAACATGGTTCGGATACGCGATCTCATCTAGGATCTCGCGCATCCAACTTATCTCAAAGTTCGCTCTTCTCTCCGACAGTGCCTAATACGCCTCGTGAGAACACGCATTCAAGACAAAATTCTCGATCAATAATACGCGGTGCCTCTAACTCATCCATCTCTTCCACGACATCCTCATCATCGACCTCGTCAGTAGGGTCTGGCTCCACAGCCCCGCGAGCTCAATCAAAGAAACCTTATTTGAATGGGCTCGCAGCTCCCATCAGACCTTCACCGAAACCAAGATCGGAGTATGGTTCTTCAACTTTTTCTTTTCCACATTCGTCTTATTCAGGTCCGAGTGTTAGGTCCGAAGCGGCGAGTGAGAAGGGCTATATCACCGAGAGCTCCCCGAGCTCTCGGTCAAACTCCAATCACCTAAACCAAGCTGCATTAGGGCGTCAGGTTGTATCGGACGCCGAGGGAAAGACTCTCCGTTCGGTTTCCTCAGGCTCTACGAAGTCGTTTACTTCTACATCTTCCACTACATCAGCTGCCTCAGCTACTTCTTCAGCGACCACCGCTCCCGGATCCGCGGAATGTTCGCCTAAGAAGCCCTCAGGCGGGTTACCATTGCTTCCCACTATACCATCCGGGACGGTTTTCAAGACCCCTCCTGGGTCTCCGGAGATGGAATTTGCTGCGCCGCCCAGGCTACATTCTCGAACTAGTAGAGATACAAGGACTCCTTCTGCGCCTCGAACTCCTGCCATTACTAGTCTATCATCAAAGACGCCTTCTGGGCCACCCAGAACGCCTGCATACAAGTCTTCTCATCACGGGGTTCTCCGAAGTGAGGGCAAACAATTATTTCCCAGTGGTGCCTCCGGAGGACAAGCTCGCTCCTTAATGATGCTCGCGAAGGATGTTGACTTTGTTCCACAGAGTCCGCAGAAGATGCAGACATTCCGGAGGGATAATGATCCTGCAAGTGCTGCTCCGAGTCCAAGTGTCGGGGTGAGCGTAGGGACTGTTACTGGGATGGGAGGAAGGAGGACGAGAACTCATTCGAGGACGAGGTCTGCTTTTGCACTAGGCGCAACTTCGACGAGAATTTCTTCACGGGCGAGCTCTAGGGAACGTGGTCATTCCAGAGCTAGGTCTGTCGGGAGGGCGGAGCCTGAATTGTCTCAGGAGCCAAATCAGCAAGTGGAAATGCGAGATACAGATTATGCTACTCCTGCTCCTGCAATGACAGGAATATCGTTATCACAAAGGAACACGACGGCGGAAGTTAGCAAGGAGGGGCTTCGTATGGACATTCGTGCTCGGACTACAGAGGAGAAGAAAGAACTATTAGGAACGATGTTAGGGAATGTCGATGCATTGGTGGAAGGGGTACGGAAAGCTGGCATCTGGGGCTTGGGCTAAAGGCAATTGCAATGTTCTCCCAATTTTGCCCGTTTACGAACTCACGAACCTCGGAATTTTTGAATCTTGCTTTGTTATTGCTTTGTCGTCGCGCTTTGTTGCATTTGCATGTCGTTTTCGTTTTCATTTCAGAGTACATATGTAGGGTACTGGATACTGGGATACTTCTAATTGCACATTTGTTTCAATGGATCATATCGAGGGAAGTCGGAAAGGAATGACCATAAGGTGTGATCAAAGCTATCGAGCTCTCAATATTCTCAATGATCTTGATACTGCGAGGGAAGCAAACTGCATCCAGTACCAATGACATAGATGCACATATGTGGCATGCACACCTCGAAGGGCCAAAGATATAGGTGGGTTGGTTGTTGCTTATATGTAAAATACCTCGGTCGGTATATGCATTGAGTACGCCGTAATAGATCGATGACGGAGAAAGCATTGAGATGGTTGGAATCTGCAGAGATACTTGATGCTTGCGGTCCTTGAGGATGAGTGGGGAATAGGGTACATATTAGTATGAGGTCGTGGTACGGATACAGTGGGTTTTCGAAGGCGCACGAGAACATTAATTCCTAGATGACACTCTGCCTATATTATCGACGTCTGGTGCACCCCAGACTAATGTTTTCTTTGTTGGATCCAGCGCTCCGGGAAGTGTCTTGTCTAGTAATCCGACTAATACACCTCTTCTCGACCTTTGGGTAGCCACTTCCGTAAGCACAGGCGAGCTCTGCGGCTGCGATGCTCTTGAGCTCGAAGTCTCATCAACCGATGCATCCAAACTTGCACCATTTATCTCCCTCGCAACAGCTTTCGCAGCCCTTTCCATAACGTCCTTCTCTTCTCCAACTGTCAACACTGTTGCACTCTCTCGCCTCATTTTCTCTAGTTGGGCTAATCGTTCCTTTTCCCGCTGAGCATTCGTCTCGTCATCGATGTCGGCAAAGTCATCTTGACGCACGGCACGGATGGAGTAAGTGTATACGCCCACAGCGAATGCTCCGAGAAGGACACCGGTGAGTGTGTTACGAACAAGGAATGGTGCTCGAGCACGTTTTAGGCCTGGCGACATTGACTTGATGTGGTTTCAAAAATAACCATAAGGACAATGTCAAGAGTTGTACCCAGTTCAAGAAATCAGTACCGATATAGACCAATGAAAGGTACACTCACCCCAGATTTAGGCCGCCATGTTTTCGCTGCTAATCTGGGGTCGACGTATTTTCTGTTCATCCGTGTAGCGCTTGAAGGTTCTGCTAGCCTCAAAACTTCTGGATTGATAGAAGAAAGGAAAAATGCGAAGACGAAGACGAAGACGCGACCCGGTCAAAAGTTAAGGAAACGTTGTAAATGTGAATTCCCACGCTCCATTTACGGGGTTGTCGGACCTCGGTTCCTCCTCCTCCTCCTCCATTTTATGTATGCAGCTGAATTTTGAAGACATCGGTGCATTCAAAGTTTCCATTACATCTGGCTCATGTAAACTAGGGCTATTGAACAACCTCTGCAATAGGTGACTAGGGTAGAACTTGTGACCCACACAACTAATGCTGATAGCTGATACAGACAAACGATGATTGGTGCAGGCAGTGTAAACAGGATCCATATGCATGGCTGACGCAGTTCGAAAGGTAAACGTCGCTGTATCACTGTTGCAAGGATATCAGGCTTCAGCATATTTTCATATTGCGGCAGGTTTCCATTTTGGGAATGTAGCCGATAAATGACCAGCATGGATACTCGTGGATACTCCTTTGAGCTTGTCACCGGCGGCGCAGAGCAAGTTGGATCTCAGGCGATTCAATCCATGTCGTATAAAACAAAAGAACAGAACTTTAAACTCAAACGCATTCCACTGCCAGATCCTATCACAGCCTAGAGTTTTTGAGAAACAAACTCTAATGTCCTCAAAATTGCGCCCCAACTCCATAACCTTCTTCGCCCTCCTACTATGTTTCTTTTCTTGCCAGCCTCAATCAGTCGGTCCGTGGTTTCCCTATCCTCTTGAATGTTTTAACAGCTGATAATTCTCATGCAGGAGCTACGAGGAATGTCGCCCTCATCTTTGGATATGTTCCCAACCAGACAGCTGCCGTCATCGCAGCAGCGTTCTACTTCTCCTTCGGTGCAATTCTTGCCTTTCACGTTTTAAGATTCAAGAACTGGTGGGCGTTGGCTCTTCCTATTGGAACACTCGGTTCGTCGTTCGCATCCACACCCGCACCACTGGGGAATCTTAATATTGCCTTCTACTAGGTAGTGGAATAGGATTCATAATGCGTTACATTCTGGCAGAACCCGCCCATCAAACCTCCAAGACGATAATGATTATAGAGGAAATCCTGACTTTATGTTCTCCCGCTGGATTTTTGGCTTTCAATTATATCGTCTATGGTCGACTAGTTCTCGTCTGCGTTGGTGCACGTCACTCGCTGATTCGTCCGCAATGGGTCTCGACTTTCTTTATTCTGAGTGATGTTTCAACCTTTGTAATACAGGCAAGCTATCGCATTTTTTAAAGCCGCCTCTGTTGTAATATTTTACTTACTGGATTGCGGATCAGGCTATAGGGGCAGCGTTCGTCGTTCAACCAGAACATCACGCTCTTGGAGAAAAAGTTGTCGAGGTTGGCGTCATTCTGCAATCCATCTCATTTTGGTTATTCTCGGCTTCGCTGCTACTGACATACATTAGCGTGAGGAGAGAGGGACTGTCGGATGGGACAGAAGTGTGGTGGAGGGCGTATCAATCCGTAGCGTTCTCATCGGCATTCATAGTCGTATGTCTCTTGCGACTGTTTTTAAGTCCTCTGTGTGTTTTTCTGATACTGTTCAACCAGGTTCGTTCCATCTACCGTATGATCAGCTCCATTGAAGGCAACACAAGCACTGTCGCAACCACCGAGATATATCTTTACCTGCTGGACGTCCTTCCCTTAATGATTGCCATTGGGATATACATACCATTCTGGCCTGGAAACTACATTACTGGAGTGGATTCCATCGTCTCAGTATCTAATCCAGAAGAGCACAAATTATCTTCGATTCGGACTGGCTCACGCGAGTTGCTTGCCGTTAATGGCGATAATGGGGTTTTGAGAGGGTCTTAATTGTAGGCTTGCTGCCGGTTTAGTACTTGTCGTTGACGAATTTGCAATGATTTTTGGTTTCGGGAATAAGAGAGTTCTCAAAGGATACGCTGTGGCAAACAAAGATTACGAACTGAACGGCGGGAAGGTTTTAGCAACTACTTATATCGTCGGTATACCGTTCATAATAACATGAAACTTTGTGGGAAGCTGTGGGAAGACGGAATGAGCGTCATAACTTTAAGCTTATGTAGGCGCTCTGCGTTCTTCCACTACACCCGCGATCAACCAATGGTCTTAGACAATATCAATGGCGCAACGGTCCTCTTCCTTGAACAAGTTCATTCTCTATGAGAACAAGCTAAGATTCTACATCATCGCCTCTAACTCTTCCGACTCCCGCCATCGAATTATCAAAATCGACCGTTCGGTCCAAGATGAGCTTGTGATTGTAGAGGATGATGCAGAATATACTGGGAAGGAAATGAGTGCAATGCTGAAGATGTTGGATGACGGTAACAAGAACATGGGTGGCCTTGGAAAGGCCAAAGTAATATTCGGAGTTGCTGGTGAATTGACCCAAAATACAAGTTACTCGTAAATTCACAGATTCCGTCTCAGGTTTTATTCGATTCACCGCAGGATGGTACATGATCCTCCTCACCAAAAGGTCCATCGTTGCCCTGCTTGGAGGCCATTATCTCTATCACTGCGAGAATACAGAAATGATACCCGTTTGCTTCAACCATAAAGTAGACAAGCCCGCCGAAGAACAGCGCATGATGAACATCTTCAAGCAAGTGGACATGTCAAAGAACTTTTACTTCAGGTGCGTCATTGAAGCCTGATTTAAGATCCCACTCAACTGTCTTGTCACAGTTATACATATGATTTAACTTCAACCTTGCAACACAACCTTGCTGGGTCAACACGCAACGTTCATGGGAAGTGGAGCTTTAATGATCGATTTGCCTGGAATTTTCATATGATCACAGCGCCTTTCCGTGACATAGAAGACAGTAGGACTCATTGGTTGCTTCCGCTTGTTCATGGGCACGTTGATCAAGCAAGTTTGTAGTCTCCTCACTTGATTAACAACAAGCTAGTATGCTGACAACACGCTAGAATTAACCGTCTTGGGCCGAGTAATCTTCATTACTTTGATTGCTCGGAGGTCCCGACATTTTGCTGGAGCTCGCTACTTGAAGAGAGGAGTTAATGTAGAGGTGCGTCTACCATTTCCTTCGTAATCCTAAGCTAAGACTCATGCAGGGAAATGTCGCGAATGAAGTCGAAACAGAGCAGATTGTATTCGAAGCTCTAACCACACCATTTTATTACCCTGCTCGAACAGACGATGACCAATGCAGGCGACGGCCAAACCCCAATTATACCAGCTACGTTCAGGTGCTCGCACTATATCTCTCTTCCTTCGTACCAAAACTCATTATTCAAACAATAGTACAGAGGAAGTATACCCTTTTACTGGACTCAAGAAAGTAACGTTATGAGACCGCCGATTGAGAGTGAGTAAATACAAATGACCCAAACGATAAGATTGATGTCCTTTCCATCAGTCAGTGTCGCAGACCCGTTCTATACCGCTGCTGCCCGGCACTTTGATGGCCTACTCAAACGCTACGGTTCACCTATAACCGTACTCAATCTCATCAAGGAACAAGAGCCGGTCCCTCGCGAGTCGAAACTTCGGGACGAGTACACGCAATGCGTGAACTACCTGAATCAGTTCCTTCCGAAAGATAAACAAATGAACTATGTTCCTTGGGATATGTCGAAAGCCTATAAATCGTACGCAATTCAATGTATTGGTCAAATCCTCTGTGACCATCTTCATCCAGAAAGAACCAGGATGTCATTAGCATTCTTGAGGATCTCGCCGAGACTTCCATCCAACAAACTGGCTTCTTTCACTCAGGACCCGAACCTTTCTACCACTATTTACAACAAGAAGGGGAGCCACCGTGAGCATCATAGTTGTCTTGGTGCTCAAGTTTCTGACAACGGTTAGAAATGACCAATTGTGGCGCAATAAAATTTCCTTGCAGAATGGTATCTGCCGAACAAATTGCGTGGACTGTCTAGACAGAACAAATGCAGCCCAGTTTGTTTTCGGAAAGAGAGCCCTCGGACATCAGTTGTACGCCCTAGGCGTTGTTGAAAATCCAAATCTTGCCTTTGACTCGGACGCTGTCAATATGTTGACTGAAATGTATCACGATCATGGAGATAGTAAGCATTCCATCTTACGAGCTACGTTGTTGCTGATAGAATGATCGTGTAGCAATCGCGCTGCAATATACCGGCAGTGCTTTAGTGAACCGTGTTGAAACGTACCGTCGAATGCCTCACTGGAATAGTCACTCGCGGGACATCATCGAGAATATAAGACGCTTTTACACCAATTCCCTGTTGGGTGAGTTATCAATTATATTTCAATTCCCTCCCGATCTTGATTGTGACAAGATGCGGACAAGCAGGCTGCCATCAACATATTTCTCGGCATAACCAACGACCGGCCAATAGCTTTGCCTCCTGTTCGTGGAGGATACCGACAATGGTTTAACGAAGAGCATCTTAAACCCCCTTATGTCATCGAAGACTGCGACCGGAAACTGCGAGACTTTGTGCGGTACCGTGGTGACTTTTGGATAGAGTACTATCGACCCCTTCTATTTACCTCGCTTATGAAGCACTTTGCGTATTCTATGAACAGTACTCTCAAACTACCAGGGTTTGCGACTTCTCCTGTCCTTGTCTGCGTTGACCAATGTATCTTTTTTCTAGGAAAACCGCGAAGGACATGAATTATAGCCCTTTTGAAACCCATGGCGCCAGAAGTCACCATACCGGGTTAGTTTGAACTTGCCCATTGCACCGAGCACTTATTTTATCTCCTCTGAGTAGTGTTGTCCAAGGTGTAAAGCGTTGGATGAGCTCTAATCACCCCTCTGCTGCCAAGAAAGCCAGCAGGAAACCTACTCTCCAGCCCGAGGCGCACCGGAAGGCTATGGAACCCGAATTAGATCGACATTCAACTGAAGCGGTAGCAAAACAATTGTTGGATCCGATAGTATCTGAGGAAGAAGAGGCAGAATACCAAGGGTAAATTTTTGCCCAACCATGATCATTTCCACTGACGAAATTCAATAGTTATATCGACCAATGTCAAGAATTGCTTGATGCTCGCTTTGATAGTGGCGAACGCAAAGATTTGGAGCTATACACTACGGCCGTTCGCACTACAAGTGGTGATAATGATTTCGATTGGGTCGACGAAGAACCTCGAGAGTTCATTACCTATGTTGAACATGGGTCGATCCAATACCTTGAGGGTAGTGGAGGAAGACGGGAAGCTCTTCCTGTGACTTATAATTATGAGAGATGGCTTTCAGGTGCCGTGATCGCGTAAGGGTTGAGTTTCCATCCATCTTTCCCTCAAGTTCGTACGTAGGTGATAGGCTGCCATCATGAGCCCTCCCTGCAAGTGCTTATAAAATAGATAGTCTAATTCTGAACTAAAATTCAGATAATGTTGTCGAAAATAAATCTCTGAACTAATGATACCGATACGGTACTCATACCCGAAGTATTCAGCTATTGTTCGAGAGGAACATTCGCTATCAATGCCCGCAAAAAATGCCTTGCTATGTATTTCCACATTTACCGCCACTACCGGAAAATAACATATCCTACCAATATGCACTGGTTCGCGTAGTATGTAGACATTTTGGAGCACAGGAGCATCAACGATCCCTTTCTTTCTATTTATTGGCGAATCAATGGTAACCGTTTGTCTCTCATTAGAAGCTTAGATCCGGAGTAGTAGGCATTGTTGCAAGTTGCAAACTGCAACACACTTGGACTTTCCAAAATACTGATCAAGTATACATAGACATGGAATTGAAGTGGATTCCTCTTCTTGTGGAGCTCACCTTGAGTCTTACTGCGGAATTACTGTAAAGATAACAACGGTCTTCAAAGCTGTAACGTTTAGACGTATATCTACATCAAGTCAAGCAAATTCAACGTTTTCTTCCTCCACGAGGGTTCGGCTTTTTCGGTCCATCTACATCATCCAGAAAACCGCCAAGCTCTAAAGCGTTTCGTGCTGCTTGATTTATATGTTTGAACCTGTCTGGACCTAGATGTATACCGCCGTAATAACGTGTTACAACGACCAGCACGTTATCAATTTCCTTGTCAAAGAGGTGGCGTCGTGAATAGCGAAAGATCAAGGCAATTTTCACTTACAAGGATTTGTAACAGATGCGATAGTCGCCCACCAGCAGCAGTTTCACCGTCGTCGGCATTGTCTGCGGGAAATTACTGTAGCAGATGAATTCGACAACCATTCCAATCGGCGTACCTTGGTGAAGGATCTTACCAACCTGGCACCGCCATGCATTGATGGTAGGATGTGCTGCACGGGCTATATGGCGATCGGACGATAGGTAAGAAAGGATAAGTGGGACCTGATTAATGATTGTCCGAGGGATATGTACGGAGATAAAAACGGAAGTACTTGTGAGCTCAAGTCGTATCTTCCAAAGAGAGAGAAGAGAGTAGCTACCTGAGATGGATCTGTAATAGCACAAGCTCGTCCAACAAATGTACTTTTGCGATCTAGAATAGGCTCTGCTTCAAAAATTTGAATACCTGAGGGCAAATCAATCGTTTCTTGCGCGTTTGGGGTATATGCCACTTCATCCAGGGCAGCAGGCTGTCCAGCCAGATGATGGGATTCAGAGGCATATTCACGTAAAACCTCGCCTGCCTTTTGTGCGCTCAGGTGATCCTCATACCATTGAACACAGCGATCTAGGACATTCTGTAGACCGTCAAATACACAAACGGCACCCTTGGTCCATTCGACTCCGTTAGCAGAAATGAACGTCCGCAGGACGGAACCAAAGAGGACAGAGTCTACACCAAAAGCTCCGATATAGCGTGAAAGGAGCTGAAGCTGGGGAGGTGACTCTTCGGGATAGGTAGTCAACAAAGATATCAATACTTTGATTTTTACATCGTCGTAAGGGGATGGAAAGCTGCAGAGATTTACAGATTATACGTTCTGCCGTTAGCGCAAAAGATTTTCGCGGTGCTGATCAAAACTTACTCTATTGTCATCTCGAAGCGAAGTGTGTCATCTGTTGGAAATCTCTTCCACGAACGAATAGCCTCATCTCCATAGATCGACTTCAACACTAAGGTGAGCGTTTTAAAGTTAGTGATTTATAGTTGTACATGCGTCCATACCCTCTATCTCTGAGCCAACAACTTCATGGGCAGGGGAAGAAAGTAACTCTTCAATGAGCTGGTCCACTTGTTGAAGATCATGAGGAGATGAAGGACGTGAAGAAGCCATTCAAATTTAATATTACTTGATCAGATTAGTCAGTTTCAAACATATACCCATATGGAGGATACATGCGATCGGCTAAAGCGAAGCATAGCCTGACGATCTTGACCATGTACTATCCCATTCGTCATTCAAACAAATTCTTCGTTCATTATAAGCAAAGATTCTGCAGCTTTCAAGAACTCAACTTTTCTCTTCCTTCTTATTATGAAGCGCCAAAACGACACATCCCGCTCATCGTCAGCGGCCTCCAGCCGAGCAACAAAACGAACAAAGTCTGTTCAGGCCTGCGCTAAATGCAGACAACAGAAGACGAGATGTGAGATCCTTGATAGCGCCGACCAGCCAGTCATCAGGTGCCATCGATGTAAAGTTCTTGAGGTGGAGTGCTCGTACCAAACAATGGACCGAAGTCTCTTTGAGGTTGCTCGCACTAAACCTAAGGGTGATGAGCATGGCGAATGGCACGACAGAAGCTTAGATGTGCTATCAGGCTATTCTGGTACTCCGACCTCGAAGGATGCACCGGGTAGTTCCAATGCATCGCTACCCACGGATCTCTTTCCCAATAAGCCTCATCTGCTCTGGGACTTTCTTCGCACTCCTCAGGGGTCTTTGGATTGGTCAGCGCCACTACAAGCCATACAGGAGCTCATGAAGCAGTCTGCTGACTCTTCCGAATCCCGTCGCTATCCTCCCCCTCCTTCAGTGCTCAACGATTCGTTGGATAGCATTCTCTCATTGAATCAGATTCAACACTTAACATCGCTGTGAGTTACCTTGCATCTTTATATCTAGCCAATCTCTCATGTAATGTTCAGATTCGAACACAATTACCTGCCGTGGTTGAATTTCGTACCTATTCGTGAGACACATAGCCCTATTCTCGACCTCGTGTATTGCACGATTGCTTCGCGTCATTTTGATGAAGCAACCCGGTCTGTGGTCGCCCCAAGACTACAGTCCTTGACCGCAGAAATTGTCGCCAAAATGATATTTCAATCAAGAAGATCAGAAACTCTCGAATCGATCCAAAGTCTTTTTATTTTATCTCTATGGGCGCCAGTCTGTGGTGCTGATGAGGACTTTCGCGACGGCCGTCTCCTCGTTGCGTCTGCCGTTAGCATGGCTCATGATATGCGCTTGAATGACGCGTGTCAAATAGCAGCCAGACTTCGCGAGAGAAAGGCTAAGGGAGAAGATGTTTCTGATCACGAAATGTTCGACGCAATAAACAAAACCCGGCTGGTAAGCATATCCAATTCTTGTATCATTGCAAAGATTAAATTCCAATCTCAGTGGATCGCTCTTACGAATGTTGAGTCTCTGTGAGTCTTTACCCGGAATATTCCATTTTCACTGACAAATTATTCAGACTATGCACGGGGAGCGGACGTCATCCACTATCGAAACGTACCGCAGAATATCTGACGACGTTCCCTTTAACTTCCAATCTTCCTTCAGATATGGCGTCCGGGCGAGATCTGCGCCTGAGGCTTTTGGCAGAACTCTTTGACATCACTGAAGCCGGGCTAGCGATTCGTCTTCAGTCGCTATCAGAAGCCGATGTAAACCTTTGGTACGATGGTTTCGTTCATGTCTTGTCCAACCTGAGTCGTGTTGCGCGCATTTTACTGCCTTTGGCTGGTGCGTATGGGGTCTATTCTGTGTTCTTGCCCTTTATCGCTGAAATCCTTTCTTTTAGTGGTCGGCGATTTTGATGTATTCTACTTCAAAGCACTTAACATCCTAGTGCGGACCTGTCGACTCCTCATTTTGTACCAAGCCTCCGTCAGCGCACGGCAATACTTTGTTCACAAGGATATTGATAGACCTTTTTGGTTCAGAGAAGTTCGTCCTTATGGGTTGCTCATTCTCATTACATGGGGCAAAGAAAATATGGCAGTCTCAGAGTCGATCCTGGTTCTTCTGCTCGAGCTGGATGTGCGGTTATTAGGGACGTCGCCCGATTATATTTTCAACATGATTGCCTTTGCTGCCAGTTATGTCATCGGTTCGAAATTTCTCGTCCTGCAATCCCTCGGAATTGATCTTCCCGGCTCCGGCGAAAAGCTTCTGTGCCGAACCATCGACAAGTTGAATCAATGCTCCTATTCTCCGGATTCCCCTGCTAGGAAATGCGCGACTCTCATTTCTTGGATGCTTTCGCTGTGGGAGGACAAGCTCGCCTCCCTAGACCCGCAGAAAGTACGTTCTACGACCAAAAATACGCACGCTCCATTTGAACCCTTCCGAACCAGCCATTTCCGCCAGACTGCCACTACTTCCATCGATTCTAACCAATATTCACCTCCGCAGTCCACCTGCATTCGAGAGCCTGCCGCTCGATTATCTCAACAGCCTTTTGGTCCTTCCGCGTCAACGCCGGCTGGTGACGTGGACTGGTACACTTCAGTGTTCAACGACGTTTCGCTCTGCAATGACCTTTTTGACGATAATGCTGCATATGGGCTCTACGACTCACCATCTTCACTCTCTAGTTCACAGGTAGAATTATGATATAGAAGGGGAGCGAAGTGAAGAAGCGGTCGTACCGTGTATGAAATATATCTCTCTCCTTAATCTTGGTACAAGTATGTTATAATAGTAGTGCACAGTACATACGATGTCTCTTATTACATTGCCAACGAACCGCGCCACACTGCTGTATCGAAAATGACCGCGAAGCGGTATTGTACTGGCGTCTGAATGGTAACCAAGTCAATTGCTACCAAATGCTCCAAAGACCTTCCATTCAAGCGACATTATTATTCTAAGTACATTCGATAGATGGTATGTAGGCTACTGCCGTTCCATAGTAGTAAGATAGTCCAGGGATTACAGGGCCAAGATGAAAGAGTGTCGGTAATAACCATAAAATCGTCGAGTAAGTTGATCCAGTTATACTGAAGAGGTTCTGACTTTCTCCATCGGTACTGCTTCTGCTATCGAATCACGATCGAGATAAGGGCCGGGCCAATAGAAAATGTAGCCCACGATTGCCAGGAATAGAGGAAGGGTGTCGAAAACATAGAGATAAACTTCGCGAGTACGGATAGCAGTTCCTGGGTCAGAGCAGGACTCGGCGATACGGAATATAGTTCGGACCTAGAGGTTGTTGAGATATGCGTGCAGATAGTGAAAATGGAAATGGACTCACGGTAATGAAGAATGAAGACACTCCTAATAATTTGTAGATCTTCCACCAGGCTTCGTGACCGGTTGCAATGCCTTCTTTGCGACAGCTCCTCCAAGATAAGAAGTACAAGATGAAGAACATGTAATAGGATGCAGATTGGAGAATAACTCCAACTTGAAAGACCGTCTTTCCTGTGTTAAGGGTAGAGGTCTTTGTAAACATGGCAGTACCTGCAGCCTAGATTCAAAAACATGTATTTAGAACCAAGAAAAGGAGAGAGATATGCATATATACCTGAACGATGAAGGTAAAGACATCGCTGAAGATGAAGAACCATGAAACATAGTTGGGGGGAATGTAACTATGTCGTTTTCCCATGCACCTCCCAAGAAGTCGACCGTGGACGATGTAATTGAATGCTAGGAATGTTGCAGGAGAGCAGGCAGTCAAAATTTCTTCAGAGACGAATGGCCCGCGTTTCTGGTGAGCAGGGTTATTCAGCATAACACGAAGAATGAATCCAAGACCCATTGCTGTAAGTTATGCCAAAGAGTGAGATAGTTGCGCCGATAGATTTGGAAGTCGACTCACCGGTGGAACCAATAGGTAAACAGAGTGCCCACCAATCTCTTCGCTTGAAGACGTGCCAAAAGAAGCATACAGCGCACGTAAGGTATACAACAACGGCGACGATAGCGGCAGGTTTACTAGGTGTATAGCCGAGCACTCGTACTACGTTGCTGACGGCGCGTCCTACGATTAATTTATGTACATGAGCCATGGGATATCAACAAAACTGAGGAACAACAAGAGACGCACTCTGTATAGTTCCAAATACATCCACATCTTGAAGGGAAGTCAGCCACAGCTGGAATGCGATCCCTGCAAGCATGGTCTGTTTGAACAGGCTGGATAAAATTGCCATGTTGCGTGAGGCGGGAAATAGTGAAATCAAGGGATAATGAGTGTGGCTTAAATACAAGGTCTACAGATCTATCCAGATCCAACGGAGAAATTCAGCGAAATCGCTTTGCTGATCCGGGACGTCCGTGTGCGTGCTGCACGATCGAATGGACTCCGAAGGTTTTTGAGCATGGTCGTTCACATTCAAAGGTTGCTCCAAAAATTTTGGTTGTTCTTCGATGGAATGTATGTAGACTTCGATTACCATCTTTCTACTTTTCTTGTCAGAGAAAGGCGCAGAAAAGTGTAGATTCAAGTTTAATGAAGCTACCCGAAGAGTACTTGCGATACCTCAGGGGCTGATGGCAACTTACATTAGCCATTTTCACCGAAGGCACATACAGTTTCATTAGCCGCAAGGCCGAGCGTAGCGTTACAAAAACACTACTCACATGCAGAATAATTAATATTCTCAGCAGCAACAGCATAGCGTATTGAGACATATCCGAACTTCAGATGTAGATCCTGACAAAGTAATAGAAACAGGAGTAAAAATTCTGAAAGACTTCGGTGCGCATAATCAAAGTCAAAAGCCCGGCCCGCCGGTTCATGTTGCCTCTTTACCAAGATGTTAGAGATACACCCTTCATATCCTGCGCTTGCTTCTGTTGCTGAGAAATATCCCACTCATCGAGGCTCCTTGTTCCAAACCTACAATGACATTTTGCTAGGCAAGTGCTCTTCAATGGCTAAGAACAAGTGCAATCTGACTTTAACGACTTATCTTTTCAGCCCAGCAATGGCGCGATGTACAAGTGATAGACCTAGGAAAGTGTAAACGGGGTGCACTTCAAGGGAGAAGACCGAGGACCGCCGCGGATGCGGATTTGCTGCTGCATATCGTTCCATGTTCACTCGCAGAATCAATTTCGCTAGCATGGTACGACGCTGAATGTTGCTCAACACGAGTTGAATTCACTAACACTTAAAAGGATTCAAGATGTTTTCGCGGCTCTTGTAAATCCGCCTTCAATATACCTCGCCGTCGTGTCAGATGATTCGTCGATTGTGTACTATAAACTCAGCTCTGGAATTGTGAAACCATCCATTTGATAATTTCTCCATTACCACCATCATAAACTCAGCCAACAAAATCCTTTCAGTTGCTCCAGTCGCTCAACCATCCAGAAAAAATTTCCAACGCGTGCTGCTGGACTGCACCCACAGATGGATCCGCTTCGCCAAAATCCACAATCAAATCCGAAGCATGGAATCCATCGCTCACAAAAATCGGCTGCGACACGGTACTGGGAATTTCTAGACCATCTGCCGACACCGTTCCTTCTCTCCACGGATCTCCTGTTATATTATTCAGTTATTGATATTGAAGTAAACAAAGATCAAGTGGAATTCCACACGTTTTCCGTTAGCGAAGAACAAACGATCCAAGGAGACGTTCCATCCACCGTATCGTTGGTCCGAGAGCGCTGCTGCGCCATCAGCCATGGGTGGGGGGTTTGTGGTATTGAAGACGTCCGAATACCAATAGTAACATTGTCGCTATCAAGTGTGCAAGCCGATCGTCTTTCAATCAGAGTATTTGAGTCCAAATTGTCAAGACTCACTATGTCGTACTCAGGCTGGACAATACGACTCACTAGGGCAGGAACCCCTGGCGGCGGGCTGCTCTACAGCTCAAGTTAGATTCCTACAATACAATCAAAGCAGAGTCTCTGATTCGTACCTGCGAAAACGAAAGTTCATTGCATCTACGAAATATGTCAGAGTTCAGGAATGAGGTAAGTACATGCAGCATACAGAATCCAATTCCACGACCTATACGGATTATCAATTGTTGTGTTGGTGAAATATGTCGCGGTGCTGTCGTAGGAGTCGAGGCATGTGCTGTCGCGACTTTGTCAAACTATACGGACGGTAACAGGCCTTACAAAAACATACGCTATGTCTTCGGCTCCACACACTTTACGACAGTTATAATCGAGACAACCCCATTGACGACTGTGCATTGGCCACTCACTAGTTTCCAGATAAGACTCCTTCCAGTAAGCACCCCATGCCGCTAAAGCATGTTCTAATCCCCATCCGTCCATTGACGCAGATATACCTTCTTTGACTTCCAACGCGTCGCAAAACTGGTAAAACGCTGCTCCAGGCCCAGTAGTTGGCTGCATGTCTTGCCAGTCCCAGAGGTTGCTCCGTACTTTTCTAGCACAATCAGAGGGAAATGTACGAATTTGGATGGAATACACATACAGGCTACACGTTGAAACGCAAATATTTCAATCAATGGTCTGAAACAATTGTGAGGTACATACCTCCGGCAACGTCATCCAGGTGCTGAACGCTACCCATTCCAAAGGTATTCTTGATTTCTTGGATTGCGGTCATGTTGTTGCCTTCGAAAACTTCAGTGATATGTTCAATTACTACCTGCACGTCTGCAGAACAGTTGCCGGGCATGTTTTGGCGGATGGGCTCAAAGTATCCCCAATAGTCACTGTCAGATGTTCAGAATGATAAGTGTGTCCTTTCTTTCGAAGTTGCTCTGACAAACGTACTACATCGCTTGAACAGGAGCAGATGAGGCGTAACCTGCGTAGAAAAGGTTGGGTTTGCTTGCATGTTTTCTATCAGAATCCAACTAAACTGTCTATTTCAAAGTCAACTTACTTGTACATGGCGTAACTGGTTAGTGCTCCCGAATAGCTTCCACCTACCATAATCCATGGTGCGTCGAGGTGATCCCCACCGGGCATCGGTAGATGCACGTTATTCACGAAGTACTCGATATCATCGATACTTTGCTGAAGTGTCAGATAACGCAAGTTCTCTCCGGTGAGAGACGGAAGAGGGTTGCTCAATCCAAAGAAGCGGTGCTCAAGGACGACAGTAGTTCCATTCTGCGCTTGAGAGAGGAGACCGTTGAAGGTGACGTTGGTCAAATATCCTACGTATTCTGGTCAACGGGAGGCATTTATTAGAATCTATCACTGATTTCTTCCACTCAAAAATAACTGGCTCACGAAACGCATTTTCTTCGCCAGGGGTGAAGAATATAACAGGACCTGTTCAGCATTTTCAACCATGATACTGCCCACAACCAAAACACAAAGCATCGCTTTTGAAACGACGTACCGCCTGTGTATTAAATCAGAATTTTCCTGCGCCGCAACAAGGGATTTGAACTAACCAGATTCATAAAATTCGTACGTATGCCAAAATCTTTGTTTGAAAGTTCCCTTTGACGGATCATTGTGATCAATCTATGTACAGAATGGATTGATGAATCCATAGATGGTATCAAAGTATCTCGCACAAACCAGTTGATCGAAATAGTATGTCGTATCTTTGTCATGGGGAATCAGCCTTTAAACCTGTCACTTTAGAGTATATGGCTCATCAACAACTGACTGTAAGGCGGAAGCTGAGTTCCATTTCGGCTGATCACAGGCCTCTGCATCAGCTCTTCTGCGTTCGGGACGCTCGGAAGGCGCATCCTACTGTGTTCATTCAACCCGGCACCTTTTGTGCTGGAATAGCATAGCAACGCTGCGAGGAGGAAGAGCGAAGGAAGAATCGAATGAACGAATCGCATCTTGGGGATTCGCGACTCAAAATTTGGGCTACATATTGCCGTCTCTTAAAGTGCTTCTCCAGTGGGAATGCGAATAGGCAAAAATCGTAAGAAGTGCTCCAAGTATCAGTTACTCCGAGATAGATACACTGGAAGCTCGAATCATACTATCAGGGGAAGTCATTCTCGTTAAGTCAATTGAGATACGAAGGTCAAGTTTCAGCAAGCGATATTCGTCATATGGACAAGAAGGACAGCTGATATGAGACAGAGATAAAGATTGCCTGGTTATTAGTATTAATATTTGTAATGTAGCATTTTTACTCCAATCTTCTTAAACGTATCCCATACCGTAGTAGCAAGTTACCATCTGAGCTCGAGTATGCTGATGTTACTGTGTTTGACCTCAGGCTCTTAATTTGTAAGTTCCTCGGATATTGTGCCATACAACTTCCAGCCTCCCACTCAAAAGGAGGCGTCCTCGGAGGAGGAATACCAAATTTGACGGCCCTTGAAGGCCTGATTTAAGATAAGTGTAATTGAGATCAAACGGCTCACTTCAAATTCGTGCACAAAGCCGAATACAAGTCCTTCAGGGACAGACATCTTCGCCAGGAGTTGCCAGGCCCTTATGATTGATTTGGACTGGATGGAAAGTTATTACACGGTGTGGTGCGGCGGAAAGCATATTCGATACGCCGTATTCATGCAAGGACACAAAAACAGGGGAATCTCAAACAGATAAATAACTATGATTCGAAATTCGAATGCGCTGGTCGAGGTGCGACGTTTGATCATCTTGGAATGATGATGCAGATGACGATGCACGGCCAGTCCTAGCCTTGACAGTATTAGTACCGGTGTGAGCGGTGTCTTCAGCATACAAACATATCGAGGAAACTTTATGACAAAGCGTCATACAGATCAGTATTGATACACATACCTACTAGTACAATACCAACATCATTTGTGCAATATGTAAATTGTTCAGAGGCCACCAAAGACAATGAGTTTTTCGTTCATATACTCGTCAATCCCATGTGGACCACCCTCTCGTCCCAATCCACTCTCCTTCACACCTCCGAACGGAATCACAGCTTGACTGATCAAACCAGTATTCACAGCGACCATGCCCACCTCCAATTTCTCAGCCACTCTCCACGCTCGGCCAATGTCCCTCGAAAAAAAGTACCCAGCAAGACCAACCTCGGTAGCATTCGCAAGCTTGATGACTTCATCTTCGGTGTCGAATTTGACTAGAGCGGCGAGGGGACCAAATGTTTCCTCGTCATTGATGAGGGCGTCGGATGGAACATCGGAGAGGACCGTAGGTTGGAAGAAGTTGGTATTTTCGACTACTTTACCACCGACTAGTACTTGAGCACCCTTGGAGACGGCGTCTTCGATGTGACGAGTGACCTTTTCTGTTGCGCGGGAGTGGATGAGAGGGCCGTGCGTCCTAATTAGTCGAAAGTTTCAGTCAAACGAAGAAACGATCAGAGGCGGCGTGTATTCACGTTGATTCATCCAGTCCATCACCAATTTTGAATGCAGCAACTTTCTCTGCCAGACGGGATGCGAATTCGGCGTAGACAGTAGAATGCACGTAGATCCGGTTGGCGCAAACACATGTTTGTCCACTACCTCTGAACTTACACACAATTGCAGCTTATGAATCGTAATGAGCGCCGTAATATGCTTGAAACAGAGTCAATAACTCACCGGCGACAGCTTCGTCAATGTTGGCATCATCGAAAACTATGAACGGGGCGTTTCCTCCAGCTTCCAGTGATACTCTGTATAATGAGTATATTTAAACATTCACAGTCAAATGGCAAACGAAAAATCAACTTCTTGAGAGTAGAAGCAGCCATTCCAGCAAGTAATTTCGCCACAGGGGTTGATCCAGTGAATGTAACTTTTTTCACTATTGGGCTTTCGCACATCTGTTTGCCAACGGCTGCCACATTCTTCTCGGTGGTGACCACATTGATGACACCATCCGGAACGCCAGCGCGAGAGGCAAGCTATGAATCATATGGTTAGAGTCAGTTTAACGAACACTAGTTGTACGTACCTCGGCCAGCGCAAGAGCCGAGAACGGGGTTTCAGGAGGAGGTTTGATCACGGTCGTACATCCTGCAGCTAGAGCAGCGCCAAGCTTGCGTGTTATCATCGCTGAAGGAAAGTTCCATGGTGTCATGATAGACCTAATATGAACGAATATTGTAGACCCAACGATACATGACTCCGTGGAAGTAGTACTTACACGACACCTGGACTAGATTAAGTAATGGTGTATCCTGGTTGTAGGATGAAGACCTACCAACAGGCTGCTTGATAACGATGTTTCGTACATTTTTGAAAGCGGAAGGGATTTGTTCGCCATAGGTTCGGATAGCCTCTTCGGCTAGGGTGAAAGGATCAGTTTTGCGTTGAAGATGATATTTCCTCAGGTCAACTCACCATACCACTAATATTCAACGCAGTGTAAATCATATCAAAGGAAGGTATACAGTCGATGTTCCGTACCTCGATAAATGAAGAGCTATATGTATTCTCACCCTAGGGAAAGTTAGAAAAGGCACGGATAAAATATGACATACTGACTTTTCCTTCAGTGAGCGTTTTGCCGTTTTCCAGAGTCTTGAAAAACAAAATGAGAAAAGTTTCAGTGTTTGATCATGAAGATACCAACTATGAGGCGACCCAAGTCATCATGATGCTGTTGCATGAGGGCATACATCTTCATGAGGATATCATGACGTTCCTGGTGTATAGATTGCGGATGAGGATGGCACCGGGAAGGTGTGTGTATGACGGACTCACTTTGGCAGTCGTTGTACTCCAAGCAGGAAATGTTTTGGCAGCTGCAGCGATGGCTTCTTCGGTTTCAGCAAGGCCCATTTCTGGGACAGTTCCCAGTTCTTGATTTGAAGCGGGATCTGGAAATAGCAGCAAGATTGAGCGCGGACCAAGCTTCGATGTTACTATAAACACGTACTTTTAACAACAATCTTAGCACCGTCTTTTGCATCGACCCATTTTCCGTCAATCAAACCTTGAAATTTGATTAAAGACGGGTCTTTAAGACCAAACTGTGTCGTTTCAATTCCGGTATGATCATCGAAACCTCTCGGATACACACCGCGGAGGCCTGGGAGCTTGCCATTCTGTGACACCTTAATTGAGAAGATATCAAGAGAGTCTGGGGCTTTAGTAGTGGGGTTAAGAGAGAAGAAGAAAGGCGGTGGGTGATCATGGTAGAACTCGTCTGATTCGCTTGCTTGTGAGAGAAAATGACGTCTAGATTCCGGCGGCAAAAATATAGGCAAAAATCGGCCCGGATGATATAGCAATGTCTTCTTCGAGTTCCTCCTCCTCCAGTGGTTCTGCGAGCCCCGAGCCGTCCTTAAAACGCAGAAGGGAGGGAAAAAGCGCTGATGGTGTTGAAGCTACCCAATCTTCGTCCAGTGACTCGGATTCTTCCGATGAAGATGATGCTCCGGCTCTATCCCATGCAGAAAAACGTCGACAGAAGAAAAAAGAAAAACTAGCGGCACGCAAAGACAAGGGACTGGAACCGCCCCCTTCCAAGAAAAGAAAGACTGATAATCAAAAGGAAGCTACAGACTCCACTTCCCAACGACAAAATTCAGTCTGGGTAGGAAACCTGTCGTTCAAGACGACACCGGACGCTTTGCGCAAGTTTTTTGAAGGAGTTGGAGAGATTACACGGATAAATCTGCCTATGAAGGTAGCTACAAGACCAAACATGCCTGGAGAGAACCGGGGGTGAGCAAATTAATCCAAGTTTGTTTAGACTGTGTCGAGTTTATCAATCATTGCAATAGCTTTGCTTATGTCGATTTTGCGACAGCTGATGCCAAGAATGTAGCCATAGCTCTTTCTGAAAAACCATTACTTGGTCGCAAGCTATTGATCAAAGATGGTTAGTGGTTCTTGTCTGATTATCTACTTACGATTGTCCTCATTTCTTGCTCCTAGGTGATGATTTCGCAGGGCGGCCTGCTGCACCCGACGTCGAAGAGTCTTTAGGTGGAAAGACACACTCAAAAACTGCTCTTAAAATTCTTCGAATACAGAAACAACCTCCTGCTCCCACACTCTTCTTCGGCAATCTACCGTTCGAAACGACGGAGGATAATATACGTCAGCTACTCGATGCGCACAGGAAGAAGCCTAGGAAAGATAAAGACAGCAAGAAGGAGGAAGAAGATGTCGAAGAAGAGAAAGACGAAGGGAAGGGAGAGAAGGAAGAGGAAAACTGGATACGAAAGATTCGTTTGGGTACATTTGAGGACAGTGGGTTGTGTAAAGGGTACTGCTGATTTATTTTGTATAACTCCTCCTGTTCACTCATGTCTTCCCGTTTTCACTTTTAGTTTTGCCTTTGTTGATTTCTCCAGTACTGACAACGCTACATCCGCCCTCATAAACCCCAAAAATCATCATCTAAACGGTCGAAACCTTGTTGTCGAATATGCTTCCGCAGATGCTGTCAAACGAGGGCCTAATAAACCGAGAGCTGTGGCAGGAGAAGGTGGACCGGGTGATTTTAAGAGAAAATTCGGACCTAGGGTGAATGGGTCTCAAAATAAGCCTTTTCGTCGAAATGAGCGTGACGTTGGTGCGGGCGATGAGAAGTCATCGAATCGTCGCAAGGACAGGCTTGACTATCGTCATAACGCCGAGGAGTCTCAAACTGTGGATCATGAAGAATTCAGCACACCTCAGTTCGGCGGCAGACCCTATAGAAAAGACCAAGAGGGTGTTCCTCGACACAAAGGACCTCGAAATAGGCCGAAGCCTGGTGCTGCACTAGCACAAGCTAAACGCCAATCAGCCGCTATCGTACCGACGTCCGGAAAGAAGATCGTCTTCTAGGGTGGAATGCCTATTGCATTTCAAATGGGATATTGTATATGCCATTTACTCAACATATCATAGTCGTCGGGACTTCACAACACCATTGATGGTAGGAGCATGTACCATCTATTTTGACTAGACAATTATTTGGAAATCGCTTGGCGTTATCAAGGAGCTTCTCTACCTTAGATTCGAATCTAGTAGGCGGGGATGTGAACTCGTCAATTTCTATGAGGAGTAGAAACCGAATACTATTCATCTGTTTAGTATGAGCATTGTTGCGGCATACCGTCTTTTGACAATCAGAATTAATACAATATTTACATACATTAGTACACGGTCAAGAAAATCACAAATCCGTGTCTACCGCCATCTTGATCCTAGGAAGGTATACTCTCAAAGCCAGGTGCTTGTGAGTTCAGATTCTCCATGAAGGTAGTCCAAAAGGTAGCATCCATGAGCATATCTGAGGCCTCCAGCCACTCATGTCCAGCCCCAAGTCCTGAAAGCATAGATTGATTCGGGTCATCCGGAGAAGGAAATTGCATCTGTGGCTGTATCGGCTGTTGCTGTTGTGGCTGATATTGAAGGTCATCCTGGACACCGTTTGGTGCAGAGAATGACGATTGCGCTTCGGAAGGCGTGTCTTCCACTGTCGTGCGTTCGGCAGACATCTGAGGCATCATTCTCACAGGATATTCATCGTTGTCCTTCTCCTCTTCTCGCGCTGCACTAGCCGCAGGTCTTCGAGTGTTTCTAGTCTCCCAGGCATGTACAAGTCTCATGATGAAATGCGCGCATAGCGCTGGAAAATGCTCGGGCGAAGATGCAACATGCGACAACTTTTCGGCGACAAGGGAGATGAGCTTATCGTTTGCCCACCCGAGGTTCACACCGTTGAGCTGATGCATGGAAAAGTTGGAAATAATGATCCACGTTGCGGAGAACGTGACAAGGCAAAAGACGTGGTCGGGTGCAGCGGCGAGAAGGGCGGTGTCATTCTGAGATAGGAAAATGGTAAGGACTTGCTGTGCAGAATCGATAGCTTCATGTCCGTATATCAAGGGGATAGGCGTTCCTCTATACAGTGTCACCATCCACGATTGAGAGTTGTATCCATCCATGACGGTACGCAGTTCCCGAAGAAAGTGGTGCAACAATACAAGGTTCCAGCCGTGGAATTGGAGTACACACATGCTGAAGAAAAAGGGTTCATAGCGTGCTATTACTAGGGGAGTAATCAGAACAGTGAGAACAGTTGAATTTTCTTAATCATTGAGCTTACCTGGTAAGGGTTTTATGAAGCTGTTTAAGCAGCGTATAGTTCGCATCAGCTGCTGAGTCTCGATATAGAATGCCTCGAAATTTGACGGGCTGCGAAGACGAATTTTGCACCCTTGTTCTACAAGATCCAGCATCTTCGAAATAAAACCCAGACGAACTTCTCTGGCGCTTATATCACTCTTAACAGAAGTTGGGTCAATGAATTTCAAGTCTGCCTCGGTGGTCCTAGAGACTGCAATCGAAACGTCAGAGTCAGCGTACGGAAACAATAGTAACACTCACTAGGTGTTCGTCCAGTGCCTACACAGATCCTGAAAGCAAGCATGTGAGCAAGCATCCCAGATATTAGGACTAAGGACTCACATCGATTCTGTCGTTGAGGTCATCAACCACTGGAAAGAAACATGAGCACTGACCATTGTGATGATATACATAATGCAATAACTCACTAGACGGGTTTTGTCAGTGAGATCAACTAGATCAGGCGAAAGGGGAGCCTGAGCCCTGAGCAGAGATGCCTCTGATAATCCCAGACTGATTGCAGAGCTGACAGCTGTACAAGCAAGAGCTCTACCGTCCCTCTTCACGCTGTACCCTACATTCGTGAGCGGTGACCACAGAGAAAGAACCAATAACGCCTCGATGGATTCAGCGTTTGGTTCAGAGCCCAGTTGCCGATTGAGGAACAAATTTTCAGTAAGTTTCTGCAGTCGCGGAGATACAGAGGCACGTGTAACGCCATCGAGATGTCGTGCGGCGACAGTGCAGCGGATGAGGTCAAGGAGGTCACTTGAGGTGTTTTCTGACTCCCGAGGAGGAACACACATCCACGGTGCATATCGTATCTCAAAACTTTACGGACTAGTCAGTAGCGCGCTGTATCTTCAAAATAGGACGTACATTTCTAGCAACCGGTTGATCTGATTCTGTGTGAGTACAGCACGAAGATCACGGTCTGTTGTGGAAGGAAGTCGCGATGATGAAGAGGAATAGAGGTTGTTCTTGCTCGCAAGTTCATGGATAGCTGAAATAGGCGCAGCAGTCCAGTCAAAACCTCCTTGTCCGCCGCATGGACCCCATGGAGTTTCTTCCGATACAAGATCCTCTGGTCGTAAGTCCCTGACTTGTTTTGCACTGCTGGTATTGCTAGCATCATGGTAAGGTCGAGGGGATGGTTCTGATGCAGAAGGAGTGGGAGAAGGCAGTTGATTGGGAGGCAAAGGAGGACAAAAGTGAGTTGACTCCGGAGGTGAAGCGCTGCTCGAAGCAGATGTTGGATTTACCAAGATTGCTCTGGATGTCTCGGGGTGAGATTGAGAAGATGGAAGGTGGATGATATTCGAGGACTCAAAAGAACATTGGACGTTCAAGATTTTGCAACGATGGCAAGTTATGCCTTGAGATGGGGATGGGAATTCCAATAGCTCGCATCTAGATTTATGCCGCCGACAATTAGAGCATGCTTGACTGGCTTTACTACGTTTAGCGGGCTTATTGGAGTTGAAGGATGAATCGTTATTGCGCTTCGACATGAGGGTTCAGCGCAAAATTCCGGCTTGCAACAAACGTACGCCGTCGGCAGATCCGAACGAGCGTCTAAAAGTGTGAGCAAAGTTTGGCTTATAAGTACTACTGAAGCTAGCTGAACATAGCTGAACACTAAACAAATACATCAATCTATATTACGATCCTTCAAGGCTGAAAGACACGCGGAAGTACGGAAATAAGGAGGGGTTGCCTAATGAAAACGGGGGAAGAACTTGTCGTGCCCAATCCCAAGATATTAAGGAAAACCGAAAAGAGGTAGACGAAACAGCAGGAAAGGGACACGACATACCAGAAGAACAGAATAGTGAACTGTGAGTGTGTATACGATAAATCTTGATAACGACAACCAGGACCACTAGAGACAAACAGATAGCAAATGCGCATGAGACAAAGAAGTAAGAGAGGCTATAGAACACAGATCGTTGAATGGATGAGGTGACGTAGAGGGATGATACAAAAACAATACATTCAAGGGACAGGTAATAGACAGCCTACGCACTATCAGTTATCACTTGAAAAACGTGGACGGGGAACAGGTAACATACCGAGGATCATGAAAGTTGTTGAATGAACATGATCAAACCTTAGCTGACGATGAAACCGAGCCCGAACTGTAGGACGGTAGCAAACCCTCATCGGGATGTATAGGTAAACTGATCTGGCCTGAGCCATTCAATACAGACTCGTGGTGAGCGCGAGAATGATGATGACGGTGTCTGTGAGAGTGACTTGACCGGCTAGCTTTTTCATCAGTCTTCGACGATGTTATCCACGTCTCTATAGCATTCTGTCTGAGATTTCTTGCCATATCTTCTGGCAGAGAACGCAAGGGCAGAGGAGCATACATCACGACCTCTTCAATGTCATTCGGAGAAGGTTCGATGTTGCTTGACGACTGTGATGACAGTGGGAATGAGGTGATCCCGGGGACACTCTGGGGTAAAAGGAGTACTCGCTGCATCGATCTACTTCGGGACGGAGACCGAGTGTGGGTCAGCTGTGTGCTATTCGCTACAGGTGTGCGTTGAGAATGATGGCGAGAAAGGTGGGAGTGATAGATGCCAACTGCCAGGAGAAAGTGCAACTGTAACGGGATTAAATCAGTAAGGCAACTTGAGTGCGGAGAACTTGAAGGATGAAGCTTACCCTGGCGACAAGGATCACAAGCATGACGGCCAAAAAGACGAGACTACTCCTCTTAAACCATCTTTCACAATTCTCGGAGCTCAACCCCAATTCCGCCATATCCCGCATGAGATCAGGGTGCTGTGAAAGACCTTCACAGACACCTAAAGGAAGAGTTGGTTGAAAGATACTGTATCCGATAATGAGGGTGATGAACGCGCAGAAGGAAAAATCTGCGATAGAATAGTCCCGATAGAACTTGACCAAAGAGGGTTTACTCTGTGCCACTGAATCAGTATCATGGCGGCGGAGTAATTAAGGGGAAAGATATGACCTTAACTACGCCAGCAAAACCCACAGCAGAAACAACGGATGCCGCAGAGAAGTAGGCTAAAAGAAGGCCCCAGACAGCCTGAAGACCGTCGAACTTCCACTTGTCACTTGATGTCTCCCACTCAGAAGCTTGTTCCCACTTGAGCGAACGCCATGCAGCCAAGACTTGGAAGGCAACAGCAAAGTTCGAAGTTGCAGCCAAAAAAGTGATGATGAACGAGGCAGACCTGCTAGGATATTTCGGCATAGTTTAGCAAAACAGGTTCACTGCGATAGAGCAACAGCGAGTTAAAATCCCAAAAATTGAGTCCTCTGAGATTTGACGGACGGGAAAAGGCAGTCTCGGAAACGCCCAAATCGACAGTGCTGGTACAAAGCAAAGGAGGAATGAATGGATTTCTCAAAAAAGGCTTACCTAGCTGGGTGCCGGGACATGATACGATGTGGAAGAAAATGATGGAAGCGTGCTGACATATTGACAATAAAATTATAAATGGTTTTCGGGATCAAGTCAGCATTGATTTGTCCGGAGCGGGTACATCGGCAACCGACCACTTCCGCACTAGAGTCAAAGTCAGACAGTCCTCCGATTTCCTTCCGTCAAAAAGCCAGAGGGGACTTTGGCTTGGTCGGCCAGTTCATGTGGCGGCCGTGTGTACCTAATGCTCCATGTCCACGAGAGGGGCTCAAGTATAACATTGCAGATAATAATTTCATAGAACCACATAGAGAACTTGAACACGCCAACACTTCGTTTTTCATTTCTTGTCAAGGCTACTTATGAACGTCTGTACGTATTATATATTATATTGCGCTATGTTTCCAAAACACGACGACCCCCTAAACTATGTATCTTCATTTATCATGATTGAACCAACGCCACCCAACAAACCGCTAGTTCCAGGACAGCGAAACCACTTTCCAGTGGGAAAGGAGGGTCGAGGCAGAAGGAAAGGTGTCGTTTAGTTTAGACCTACTTGGACCTCGCATCATCAAATCAGTCCGAGCTAGTCGATAGTAAACAAATGATGAAAGTAGACGAACAGATATGTCAGAGCTCTAGCCGTTTAGGCAGAGGGGTTGAAAGAGAAAATACACACGGAAGGTTCAGTACTAGCAATCGTCGACAGTGTTTGTCACGTTGATGCGCTCTTGCAAGAACTTAGGTCAACCACGTGTGGTACGTATGCGTCGATATTACGAGGCTGGATGATCAAGTGAGCCCCTGTGAGCCCGTGAGCGTGCTACGCGGGGCAGCTGAAGTGCTGACCACTAAGACCAATTGAGTCTGGATACCGGAGTAATTGGGGAATTGTCAGGAACAACCACTAGATGATTAGTGAGTGTTGAAATATTTTAGAGACCAAATATGAAATTACGCGTAGGGATCATCCTCAGGAATTATGGTTTTTGCCCGCATAAATTGCGTAACGTCGAAAACCGCCGCATTAAGAGTATCGTCATTTTCCTCGTTGTTTTTTTAGCTTCGTAGTCCCCAGGAGTTTGTCCAAATCGACGATGTATCCTTTAACATATCGTTCCTAAAGACTAAATTGGTCAACGAGAGCTGTGCTCGACGCAGACCATAAAGATTAAGGGAAAACGTTGATCCTGTTCGGCTTACGCATTTACACCACGACCAGTAGTATAAGGTAGTCAAGTGTCCACGTATACTCCCAGAATAATACTATTAAGTTTAGTCAAAATAGTTATGAAGGTTTTGCCTGGGGACGAAGCCTCGCGCGGGTGGGCAACACATCGCTACGTGGAAAGCTTGGGCTTTGAGCGTCTGAACGGAGATAAACTCATTAACTAGACACTGCAAATAAGCAAAGTGAGTTCCAGAGTATCAGTTGAGAGCGGATGGTCCGGACGATCGATGACCATATACGTTTCTGAAGTCTAGAACCTCGAAGGTCAAAGAGGAGGGTGGACCATGAACTAATCAGGTAGTACATGAGGCGATAACAATGCCTTCATGTATCGGGAACTTCAAAACTGGACCATGGGAGCATAAAAGAGTTTTGAGAATATATTGTGTTTTTTTGAGGAACCGGCGGGAGGGTACCTCAAAAAATCGGACACTGTAAATGTAGACGCTAGTGGAACAAAGAGGACACCTACCCATGCATTTATCTCCCAGCAATGGGCGGAACAAAAGTGCATGTTGTGGAAGATATGCGGAATGTGAATTGATATCCTATCCTACCTGAGTGAATCTGGAACTGCCCAATGCGTAAGGAACACAGGGAATCGGAAGCAAGCTTTGAAATAGATATTTCACCAGTTGAAGGAGTTGGTCATAGAATGCGCATGAACGTCGACACTTGATTTGCTGAGGGTGTTAGACTCCTTACAAGTCACAAAGCCAGAAATGCACACATTCAAGCAAGTATGTTGGAAACCTGTTAATAGCAGGGAAGAAATTAAGAAGTTTCATTTCATGAGTGGAATCGAGGGGGTTCCAGCCTAAATCTAGATGTGGACCAATGGATTTGCCAGACATAAGAGAACAACATATGGCCGGTTGCGGTATGGTTCTTCAGCTTGGATTGAACCTACTTATTGAAAGTTTGAAACAAGGTTGGAGACGCGGTCTGCAAGCCGAACTTTATGATGAATCTTGTCGGCATTCAAATGAAGCATTGGTGCATCGGAGTCATAGAATGCTGACAGTTGACCCAAGGTTTTGTTTTGTAAATTGAGGTACGTACTGAAACAGTCTGGAGGTAGAAGGTCCGCGTTATTCTACATGCAGGAGAATCACCGACAATGTACTGTATGAATAGATATGGAGAACTTAGTAGTTGAGGGCAGAATTTGAGGTTTTGAGCAAGCCGTATTCATACGTTGGAATCCTATGACCTAGACTTCCGCTTGGACGAAGGCTGGGAAAATCGTTATCATTATCTGAATCAATAATACTCACAATGTGACCGTGTTGCTTAACCTACCTACCTACCTCAGTGCTCGCACCCAGAAAAGTAGTCAATATGTGAATGGACGAAATTTGAATTTGCGCGACCTATGGAGAGTAAGGAAGGTCCCTCATTGGACCGGCCATGTAAACTCCTCTGAATGGCTTCCGTTCATTGGCTAACACTGCCAGCGACCAATAGTCGTTCCAGACTCGTATATTTTCAGTTGGCCAATCACTGCGAATCTTCATTGACCAATCAGGAGAAAAAGCGCATGCGCCGAACGCCCTAAATGTGAATTTGCGCCGATGAGCAGGTCTAGACCTACCTCAGATCATGAGATTTGAAGAATTCGTTTAGTTGTACCACTGCTGGTGGTGTATACATAAATGGAAACATAAACACCGACTTGGACTGGCTTGGACTGACGAATCTTCAATCAAAATGATGAGAAATACAGCAAGAGTCCGATAGACTCGAGAGAAAATGGAGATAATAATTGAGTGATGGTTTGTTACAGAGTTGCAAATTGGGAACATTCGAGGTCTCGAGTCGAGACTTGCTCCAAAGTTCTCAAAAACAGCATCTGGTCCCAAACTCTTTTTTTTCTCATACCCTCAATCTGCTACTTCCCATCTACACCAAAATCACAAACTAATTAGTTCAAAGGCCTACTTTTCGGCCCTTGTACTGTAAAAAGAGGCGTAAAAATCTGCATATATGGCTCGTACACATTCGCGCCCGTCTTCTCCAGAACCTTCTGCCTCGCTGATTAAGAGGATTAAAATCTCACATCCGACATTGCACGTCGCTACCGCTACAAACGAAACTTTGGCTGCTTTCGCTTCCGAGGTTCTCGAGTCATCAAATGTTGCTAAACTGCATAAATTCTACCTCGAAAGCCAACCATTTCACTATGCTCTGGTCGGCAAACTCTTCCAGGATGATCTCCTCAAGAGGGTTAAAGACGAATGTTTGGGCGAGCTAAGCTTCACAGAGAAGGAGACTGACATCTACAAGGTGCGAATTGTCGCTGCTGTATTCGATAAACTTTCGTTGTAAACTTTTTAGCATATATTTACAGGTCAATCAAACAGGCGATTTGGCATCGCTGAACTATCTTGATTCTTCACAATTATCTCTTCTCCCTAACCTCCTCAAACTCCGCGATGCTCTCTATTCGCCTGAATTTAGGGCGTTCCTGCAATCAGTTACTGGGTGCGGCCCTCTTTCTGGTTTCAAACAGGACATGTCTGTCAATTCGTATACCAAAGGCTGTCATCTTCTCAATCACGACGATGTAATCGGCACACGGCGCGTCTCCTACATCCTCTACATGCCGTTGCCGAATTATCAGCTCTGGCAGAGGGACTGGGGAGGTGCACTTGAGCTCTATCCTACGAAGCCTGGCCCAGATGGTCTACCCGAGCCTGAGTGTGTTCCATCAAAGAGTGTCGCTCCAAGTTGGAATCAATTTATCTTTTTTGAAGTACAGCCTGGTCGTAGTTTTCATTCAGTCGAAGAAGTCGTTGTTGGTAGCGGCGGCGAAGATGGAAGGGAACGACTAAGTATCAGTGGGTGGTTTCATGCCGCCCAGGAGGGAGAGGAAGGTTATGAAGCGCCTGTAGATGAGATAGAACTGAAAAGCTCTAGGGAGCAATTAGTGAGTCGAATAGTACATACTCCTTATTCTAGAACTTACCTGTTATATCCAGACTAATACCCAAACTGCCTTCAAATCATACCAATCGTCAGAATCTCCAACTGACAGACCTCCATTACCTGATGTCGAGCTCTCCGAAGAAGATATCACCTTCCTCAGCGAGTTCATCAACCCGGCCTACCTCCAGACACGTACCATGCAATCCCTAGCTTCTCGTTTCGTCGAGGAGTCATCATTAGAACTTCACTCCTTCTTAACCAACTCGATTGCGGAAGCGCTCGAACCTCGTCTGAGAGATCTCGATGCGCATGATGGTTTGGGTCCTGACCGTAATGGCAAAGTCCCACCTCACTGTTCCGGCGTAGATGCGAAAAACCCGGATATCGTGAGCGCTGACGATGCCACATGGTCCCATTTTGCAACAAACGGTACACCTACTACTCCGCTTCCTCTGGGAGGTACACTTTCTGTCAATGGCATTATACCTCCTGTTCCAGCTGCATCTGCTACGCCTGTGGTGCCTAATCCTCCAAGCGCCTGGACTCTCAAAGGACCACCACATAAATGGCGTTATTGCACACTCCTCCCTCCCTCTGCTTCTGCACCAGCTGTTTCAATCACGCCCATCTCAGCTCACCCAAACCCATCCGAGATCTTGCGCAAATTACAGGATGAGCTTTTTCCGTCGCAAGCTTTTCGTGCGTGGCTGGCGATTGTTTCGCGATTATTACCTATAAGGCATTTCGTCGAGGCGAGAAGGTTCCGGCCCGGTCTAGACTATACGTTGGCCACAAGCGAGGAGAAGGAGGCTAGACTGGATGTCGTTCTTGGCTTAACGCCAGAGGTAAAGGATGACGAATCGGATGAACATGAAACACATGCTCAAAGAGGCTGGAGAGCAGCTGAATGGGGTGGTTGGGAGGTCTGTTTCTTTCTCAAAACGGTTTTGAAATAACCATTGTTTCTGATACCTTCATATCCAGTGTTACATGGCACCTCATAATGAAGAAGATGATCCTGCAGTCTACCGTGCTGGTACTTACAAAAAATCAGATGTTCTCGGGCACAACACTACGAAGGTTGCAGATCACGATTCCAATGGTGCCAACGATCACTCGGTAAATGGAACCAACGGCCACTCAAACGGGACCAATGGTCACTCAGTCGACGGCACTAACGGCGTCAATGGCAAAGCCAACGGACACCCCGGGTCTAATGGAAGTAAACACTCTAGTCCTATTGGGAGCCCTGCCCCTGTTGCAAATGAGGAAGGCGAGGAAGCGGCCATGGAAGTCGACGAGGCAGAGGAAGATAGCACGCTCTTGACTGTTCAGCCAGGTTTCAACCGCCTACTCCTTGTACTTCGCGACGAACGAGTAATGCGATTTGTCAAGTATGTTTCCGCTGCTGCCGAAGGTTCACGATGGGACGTTTGCGCCGAGTACGAGGTCGGGGTGGTGCAGGAGGAAGGTGACGACGAATGATCAACTGAATCCTCCATCTAGTGACTTGAGTGTCACGATTTATTGACCTGTATGCCTCGTACATACCATGTATCTTACTTGCTTGCTTAGTTATGTTAATAAGTTTTCTGGTGTCCGATATATTAAACTGAATTTAAAATGTATGTACCATTTCCGGTCGGAGTAGGTGAGAAAATAATGATTAGCTTCTTCCAATTCGACTCTATCACAACTCTATTTATCACAACCATCCTCAAGCTTTTAAATTACAAGCTTCTGTCACAATTCTCTGATTCCTAGAGTATTCCTAGACACTCGACCGGTTTTTGGATTCAAGCACCAGACCATGACAGTCCAACTAGACACCAACGCGCCGCTCTTCTTTGAGCTTATTTAACGGCAAGATCGCTGCTAACTACTATTGTGACAAGGAAGTTAGAACGCGTTTTGGACTGTCGGGGTCGTCAAAAAAACAGTGCTCTTCTAAACTATTGAGCTTGAGTACATCTCTATACATACATGGTTTCAGTGCTGCAACTAATCGAACTAGTAGGATACAGTCTGCCCTAGTCTGCCTCGTAGATTCCGTCATTCCGTCAACAATAAATCAAAGAAGATGATCTGCTGGTAGCTGCTGCCAGTGGTCTATAAAACGCGTACTTCGATGGAAGAAGACGGTAAGCCTAACGGCGACGTCAGCAGGTGAAAAAACTTCGATTGACGACATGTAGGCTCACGATTCGAAGAAATTCCAACATGTTGTAGACTACCTGAGGTTGACTCTCGCTGTGGTTCTTTTGTGGTCTTTGAACAAGGATTAGCATGACGTACGTCGCAATTTTCAGCAGCTGTTAACTTGGTTAATTCTTGCTCATAAGAGTTGGCAACAGCTCAGCGCTCGGATGTGGGTAATGTCAGCGCCAAGGCTGATGACGCTTTTCCTTTTGAAAAAGGCGAAATATGGGGTTTATATGAGTTTGATCAACAGCGGGGCCGGAAAGCAACTCGAGGCCGCTTGCTTGAAGCGATTGCAGCTGGATGTGATTTGAGGACTGGTAAATGTTGGTGAATTTTGTTATATTAAAGACTAATTTCTGCTAAAATTTTGCTTTGAGAAAGCTGCATGCAATAACGCACCCTGCGGATGCCCTGTAATGCTGAAATTACCAGATTGGGTTCACCCATCTTTCGCTGACTAAGGAATTCGCGATTTGCACTCATTCTTGCACTCATTACACCTCATACTCGCGAAATTATCCTTGCTACAGTACTGTGCCCTTGCAATGTGCGTCTTGCCTCATAAACTCCGGAAAATTCGCCGCCCTCTTTTTACCAACCCAAATCCTTCATCACCATGACCTCTATCGAGACTCTATCGAAACCCCTTCAACTTCCCCTCACACCTGGCGTTCTAGAACTCATCAACGCCCATCTATTACAGCTTCAGCCAGAGCAGATACTAGCATGGGCTATCGAGTATCTTCCCAATCTTTACCAGACTACGGCATTTGGACTGACAGGGCTTGTCGCCATTGATATGCTCTCGAAATTAACCACTTCACCACCGCCACTGATATTTCTCGATACGCTGTATCATTTCAGAGAAACTTACGAGCTGGTCGAAGAAGTGAAACTGAAATATCGCACCCCTTTGCACGTGTACAAACCTGCAGAATGCCGCACTGTGGAAGATTTTGAAGCCAAATACGGTCAAAAATTATGGGAAAGTGATGAAGATACCTATGACTTTGCCGTCAAGGTCAGTCCCAATCCTCCTTTTGACGAAGACCGCAACCTATACATCTGTTTCGACACAGGTAGAACCTGCACGAAGGGCATATGCTGAACTCGGTGTTCAGGCTGTGATAACAGGCAGGAGAGCTTCGCAAGGTGGCGATCGCGCATCTCTTCAGCCACTGGAAGTTGATTCAACGGGATTACTGAAGCTGAACCCACTATTCGAGTGGACCTTCCCAATAGTGGAATGGTACATAAGTGAAAACAACGTCCCTCGGAACAAACTTCTATCACAGGGGTATCGTAGCGTTGGTGACTGGCATAGTACCGTGAAAGTCGGTGAGGGTCAAGGCGAGCGAGCAGGTAGATGGGTTGGAAGGGAAAAGACGGAATGCGGTCTGCATAAAGATTATTTTACAATGAAGAAACAAGCAATGAGAGCTTCGGCTGTGAGTCTTACTTCGCTCGATCATGTCAACTTTCTAAACCAAGCTTTTAGGAACAAGATCATCTTCCACGGTAGAACAGACACTCGGTACACGCTTCGATTCTAAGTATATCATCAGGCTTTGGTCAGTATTAATTTTGAACGAAGACGATCATCACACTCACAAGAAGTTCTAGTTCTCGTCCTGTAATTATTATACTGTAATTCGAGTAAATCAATGGATTTCAATTCATCTTACATTAAGTTAATGTTCATTTTTCAGTCATGCTGCGAATGTCGTACTATGTAGTTTATCATTGTGTTCATTTGGTGTCCATTCCGTATGTCGATTTAATGGCGGGTTGAATTGACATAACTCTACAGATAATTCGCAGATAACAGTGATAAGCAGCTGCCAACATGCATATGCTTCTTTTCAGTCACCTGAAGCGGACTTTTCTTTTGTTGAACTCCGCTTGGATGTGGGCGTTTTATAAAGCGTGTTACTATGATGCTGACCCTGTTTCGCAATGGCTGCTCGGTGAGTATCCTTTTCGTGAGTTGACTCAATGGGGGATGAGCTGAATGGTTCCAGATCCCCGCCAGTGGTGTTGGAACCGACCGAAGAGCTACCACCTCTGCCACAGTTTGAATCAGAGGATATTCGAAGACAGGTGTTCACTCACCGCTCATTCCATGGGCGCCCCAACCATATCTTCGAGGATCACCCCGATGATCCTGCCCCAGACAACGAAAAGTGATACTTGGCCAGGGCGTTCTTCAATTTTGATAGTAACTAATTTATTCTTCGAGGTTGGAACATGTGGGGGATACGGTGCTTTCGCTCGTGGTGACCACCTTAATGAATGAAATGTACCCGACTCTTCGCGTTGGTCCCTCCACAGTGATTATCTTCTCTTCATTTTCCACCCAGGGACTCATATTGTTCCAGAAAATGCGGGCCTTAATTGTGAACAACGCCACACTTGCAAACATGTAGGCAAATCGCTTTCACTTTGAGTCGATGACATGCTGAAGACTTGTATGTAGTGCAGTGAGGTACAATCTTCCAAATGACCTCAGGCTTCATCCTGCTCAGGCGGTGGCGTTGAAGGCATCGGCTAATGTCCAAGGTAACATCAATTTCAATTTGCAGTCTGGTTTTTCACTTGATTCGCCTAATTCATGTAGCGGATTTATTTGAGGTAAAGTATCGCTGCTGCTTCCCGCAGGACTAATTACTAACTGTACACTTTCCCAGTCGTATGTCGGAGGCCTACACCAGGACCGAGGATTTGAGGTTGTTCAACGTTGGCTCAGAGACCTCTTTCGTCCCTATGCAGTGTCTGCGTACCGCATCGTTCGTACCCAACATGGTTTATTAGCGGATTCTCAACCTCCAAGATTTCACAAATCCTTAGACGACCAGAACATCCCTTCTCGTTCCCCCTTTGGTGATGTCAACAGAGACATGACGATGACTACCGTCGGGCATCTGGCGTTATTCAACCAGCACATTCAGAGATCCAACCAGCCTGTCGAATGGATCTATGATTCAACAAATCCGGAGGTCGACCCCTCCGCGCAAGGAGACATACAACTGCTCAAACCAGAGATGATGAAAGGGATGAAGGCAACGACAATCTGGTCTGTCAGAGTCATGGTTAATGGGAAGTGTCTGGGAAAGGGGAGAGGGGGGACAAAGAAGTTAGCAAGGAACGAAGCCGCTAAGCTCGGATTGAAGAGCCTGGGTATACACGTTTAGTGAGTGGAATTCAGTTGCCTGTGCTAAGAACTGGGTGGTTCATTGCCATTTGGTATTGTATGCTTGTCGACGAGAGATCACGGTTTTTGGTAATCTTCGGGAAGCTAGTGTATCATACCCTTTCCCTTGACATTTCCGTCTGTCAAATGTTTCCACCTGACTCTTTTTCTCCCAAGAGCCCAGACCTATACTTCAAGCCTCCCGTTGGATTTCGAGGTCCCAACTTCCCGCCCTGGTCACCTTATAGCACGGGAACCAGTTCCAGGGAGCACGAAGATAATGGTACAGGTGAAAATGACAACTCTAATCATGACTTCTTCAGACTGAGGCCGGGAGCTATTCTCTGTGGTGCGTTGCTGACGGGCCTTATGAGACGGACTGCCTGCCTCAATGTGAAGAGGTTGTGGAGGGAAGATTGTCGGGCTCGGACTCTACATCAGATCAAACAGATTTTGCCTGGCTATCAATCAAGTATGTTCAACTATCGACATTTCTATGGAAGTTTCTGGGGGAAGGCGAGAAAAACAGTCAATAGTGTACAGTTTGTATGAAATTTGAATGTTATAAATCATGCATTTTCGGATACCCTGTTGACAGCATAAGAATACTAAGAATACTTGTTTCCTCGCACCATAACGTTAGTATACATGAACCCAGGACTACCTAGGCTAAGAGTCCAGCTGCTTCTCAGCTACTGGTAGTATCAAACTCAAGGAATTCCCGAAAAGTTGGTTCCGTAAATTCTATGAAAAGCAGATACAAGCAACATCAAACACAAGAAGGAGTGGCGTGGTAGGGAAATATTTAGGCGCGCGCACGATATGCCACGCCAGCTTCTATCATTAGGGAAGGCTTATGCTCCAGAATAATATCTCCATGCAAAGTATGCTCCCATAAGGCTGAGAGGGATGAAATACATCATGCTAGAAATTAAAAAAATAAGGCTCAAAGCTATAGACCGAGGTAACACAAAAACTCACTTGGATCCATGTTCAATAGCCTTCTGTGCTGATGTTGGTGCGGTTGATAGCTTCTTAAGGTCCATTCCCTATCATAAATTAGAGCCAGTCAGAATGAAGAAGAGAATAACAACCTACGCTGTTCTTGTCGAAAGTGCCAATTAGCATTTCGGGCAAAAGGGCACGAGCTTCGTCGGAGTGACCGACATCCTCGAATGCCTCAGTTGCATCCTTTCCTGAGGACATTGACATTTGAGTTATGAACATCAAACAAAGTAGTAATGTTGACCGCACCAGACTCAGCCAAGATAACTTCGTCTCCTCCGGGATGCTAACGAGAACGAGACGATTGAGAACAAGGTTCTTGATTTACAGGGCTTTGGCACTACCTCGTCAATAAATTTCGTGCAGTCATAGACTGGGCAAAGAACAGTAAATTTAAGACAAAACGGCGGATTGTGATTGGTTCATGTACCTTTGCCGTCAATAAGCAACCAGATACTGCTTTTCGAGTTGTTGGTTTTGAGCTCGTCAATGGTAATGATTTTAGACATGTCTACTGAGCAAAAATGAGAGCGAAAAGGAAGGAGAGAAGTGTTGGACGAGTGGAGGTTAGAGTAAAGATAAAGATGAACTCGCCTGACCTTTTATTTCAGGGAAGTTTCCCACCGGTCCACCGAGGTCCGCAGGCTTCGCATTTGATCGCACTCGACTCCTCACAGCTAACCAAGGTAAAATTCAACCAAAGTGTATTCCTGTATGCCACTGCAGCCTGCAGATATCTACCTACAACTATGTACACATAATACAATACTATTCAGGAATATCTGCCCAATTTAGTACTCGAATAGCCACGAAACCAGCCCAGAAACAGGCCGGCGATTCAAGCGTGGATCAAACATATTGAATCTTCCACATCGCAAGTTAAGGTAACGAAGGCACTGTGAGCCGTGTTCCTAGGCATGAGCAAGTGGGACAGCTTCGGACAGGAAAAGTTTGGGAAAATTCGACTTCGAAGAAACAAATGGTTTCGGGATAAAGGTAGGATCAAAGATTCGTTGTGAGGAAGCATGCTTAGGTCGAAAGTGAGATCCTATTACAGGCTCCATTACAGTTCGCGCAGAAGGTCGGTCGCAGGCAGGTTGGAAACATGGAGAAAGCGATTGATTAAAATTTTTAAAGCTACTTGGAATTCTCACGTATCACGTGTAGTGCTGAGCCAAGCGCGGTCCCATCAATCACACCTTGGTCAAAGACTCCATCATCCCAGTATCCTACAAAAAGGTCGCCTTTTTCGTACTTCGCCTCGTGCTCTGGTCATGGGCGACGACTTTTCCGACATTCTGGGCAGTGCTACATTGCCTGTGCGGCAGAAATCTCAATCCAGCTCTTTTTCTCTCCCTGTAAAGATCACCTCTACTCTGACTCTTTTATTGGTCGGCTATATCATTGCTGCTCGAGCTTGGGGGCGTGTTCTCAAATGGCGCGAAAAATCCTACCGATTGTGAGCCCGACTTCACTTCCTCCATTCTAGATGTTAACTTGGCCTTCTCAGGTCTTTGCGAAGAAGACACGGTATTCCTGACAATGACCATAGGCCATTTAATGTCGCGTACGCCGCTGTCCAACGGGCAAAGGAGCAGAGGGAGAAGGAGAATGCTAGGATAAAGCGTGCGGATCTCGTTGCGGTTGCAGCAGTCTCATCGCGGGAGCCAGCAAATGCACCTCCAGAGCCAATACGTCACCGTTTAGGTCAGTTTTCGTATTTTTTTTGTTCGCGGCCGTTGCTGAACCGCATTCAGGGAATCAGCGAGGTGTTGACTCATCTCGGTCTGGTGCTCCGGTGGGTGGACCTCCTGGCCGCTACAACCCGATGTCTATGAACAATTTGTCGATGCCATCTGTACCGCAGTAAGTATTCGCTCGGATCGCCTGTGTAAAACACTGACTTTGCGTATACTAGGTCTCAAACCAACCATGTTACGTTTGCTGATGGCTTCAACACCAGCGCCTCTCCTCTTGACATTCATGCCGAGCTCGCTAGTCCTACGAAACGCTCCGGGCGCAAGAGCCTTGGAATTCTCAAATCCAATGATGATCGAAGAAAACGCGAGCGCGGTTTTGATGATGAAGATGGGGATATTGCCAAAAAGACTCGCTTGGAAGGAGATGAGTTCATCGATGGTGATGAAGAGGCTGTATGGCAGGGTTCTAGTGATCTACTGAATTCGAGTGATTCGAGAGTTCCAAAACGCGGAGTGGGCGATGATAATGACGGAGATTTTGGAACGTTGAAAAGAGCGCATGGGAAAAGGCAGCGCAAGGTATCTAGCGACAAAGAATCTCCTCGTCGTCATGATATGGACGTCGATGCGGAAGCGGAAGATTACTTGGGTGACCTGAGATCCCTATCCAGAGGTAAAAAGCGTGATCGCGACGAAACTGGTTCGTCCTATGGTGGCGAGATCGAACAAGCAGATGAAGACGCAGATGCCGATGTCGAAGAAGAAAAGTATCGTCGGAGAAAACGACGGAACAAGAGACGATCGGATGCTAACTCAAGTTCTCGAGGCAAGAAACGAGACAGAGATCTCGAGGATGAACTTGGAGATGGCGAGGACGAAACAGGTCTTGTGTCCCAGCGAAAGCTTAGGAAAAAGAGAGGCAAGAAGATGTCAGACGACGAAAAAGCTAGCGACGTGTCCATGGAGGATTCATCAAGCATGAAAGGCAGGAAGATTGGCGAGACGTGGACATCCAACGGCGTTCAGTATAAGATTGGCCCCAATGGTCAACGGCTCCGTTTTGAACTCGTTAAAAAAGCCAGACAGAAGTTTGTCATGGTAAGTCTTTCATCTCTTCCTTTGCGCCAAAATCTGAAGAGATGTCATCGCAGCCTATGGATTCGGTTCATCCTGACCGTAGAGCAAACTTAGAAGTTTATGTTGAAGCCTGGTTGACAGAAGAGGAGTATCGTATAGCCAAGGCCAGAAACATCCTGTCGTGGCAAGAATCGCCCAACGGATCTACGGAACCTGAAACTCCTCCACCTACCACTCCTGTATGTTTTTATCTTTTGTTTACCTTTGTACATAGCTTATGCTCGCCAATAGGACGTATCACCCGCACCTCCCCGTACTGGCAAACACCTTCTCTGGGATTCCACCACGAGCACACCTTCATCTCAACCTCATGATAATCCTTTCGAAACCCCCAAGAGTGCCTCGCAACAGCTGGCTACAACCATCAGCGGTGCTGCAAGTAGACGGATTGCCTCTGCTGTCCGCAGTATCTCCGGCGGTAGTAAACCTCTCAGTGGTAGCAATATTGCTCCTCCCAGCCCTAGCCTCATGGATAGCACAAACATGCGAAGCCCTCGGACGTACAAACAATTTTCTAAATGGGAAAAACAAGACCTCGAGGCGAAGGCGATGATGCGTATGCGCGAGGCTAATCGTAAGAAAGAAGAAGAAAAGGAGAGCCTCCCTTCTGTTCCACCTGCGGTGCCCAAGATAACCTTCACACCAGCTGCAGATGGTGGGTCCACAGCGAAGCCTCCTCCTCCCGCCTTCCCTCTTCCAGGGGCTTCAACCGCTCCCAAATCGATCTTCAATGCACCCACCACGAGTTCGCCCTTGGCTAGCGGAGATAATAAGTCTGAAGCTATTAAACCGCCTGCGTCAACCACGCCTTCGGTTCCGTTCAGCAAACCTACTCCTGCGCCTCAACCTGCAACTTCACCTGCCTCTACACAGGCGTCTGTTCCCACTTCGACCCCTCAGGTAAATGGTTCAGCGAATGTCATTCCCGCGGCCCCAGCCAAACCATCGTCGTTTTCATTTGGACCACCTGCAGGTGTAAGTCATGCTGCTAGCGCAGATAAGCCGAAGCCTGCTGTGGGTCTTGGCTTCCCATCGTTGGGGCCTTCGGCTTCTGTAGCGCCTCAGCCCGCTGGCTCGAGTTCTACGTCTGCATCTAGCACCGCTTCGCTTTCGTCCACTCCTGCACCACCTAAATTTAGCTTCAATATGCCAAATCCCGCATCCAGTAGTAACGCCGAACATAAACCCGATACTCCTGCATCGAATGCAACTTCCCTAGGTGGCGTATCGTTGCTTTCACGGCTAGGAGGCACTTCTGCACCTGGTCAAAACAATGTAACCTCTTCGACGACGCCTTCTCCGTTCTCGTTTGGCCCGTCCCCAGCGCCAGCTGTGTCCAGCACTGCAACTTCATCCTCCCCATTCGGCGGTGCGTTCTCAGCTGCACCCTTGTCCTCACCGTTTGGCGGTGCCTCATCAACGCCGGCTGCAACTACGGCTTCACAACAGCCCTCACAGCCAACCAATGCTGGTTCTAGCTCTTCCGCTGCTGCTGCTGCTGCTCCGGTCAAGTTCAACTTCTTCGGCGGTGCGAACAAAACATCCTCACCCTTTGGAAACTCTAACTCCAATACACTAAATACAACTGCACCAACTACATCGGCTACACCTTCGTCGTTGAGTGGTGCGCTGAATCCCCTACCGGCTTCCTCTGCGAATACTGCTAAGCCAATCTCCTCACCCTTTGGTTCCGCAGACAAAAAACCTGAAGAAGAAAAGTCCACGACATCGGCTCCCACGTTCAGCTTTGGTACGCCTGCTTCTTCATCTGCAGGTGCTACAAATGGTGGCAATATCTTCGGTGCTGCAAAGGCTGCGTCAACGTCAAATTCAACTTCCTCCACGAATCCCTCTCCCTTTGGAAGTAGCTTTGGTGGGAATTCTGCCTTCAGTAGTGGCACCTTCGGGTCAAATATCAATTCTAAATCGGCATTTGGCTCCACTACTACTGGGCCAAGTAATTTTGGCTCGTCGTTGACCCCTTCAGTCGCTGCAACCGTGCTTCAGAGCGGTAGCGGCGCATTCGGTGCTAAACCCACCGATTCTGATACTGCAACAACACCGGCATCAACGTCTGTGTTCTCGAAACCATCGGAAGCGCCAAACCCTGGCTCGGCTGCTGCTCCAAAATCGGCATTCTCGTTTGGCACATCGGCAACGCAAAACTCTGGCTCTACTCCTGCTGCCAAATCGGCATTCTCGTTTGGCACAACAGCAACGCAAAACTCTGGCTCTGCTCCTGCTCCCAAATCGGCATTCTCATTTGGCTCGTCAGCGCCGTCTTCCTCATCGGGCTCTACCTCTTTTGGTTTCGGTGGGCAGAACACCTTCGGGGCTTCAGCAGCAGCCAAACCCGCTGGAGAAGCTCAAACCAAAACTGCGTTCTCGTTTGGTTCTTCAAGTTCTACCCCCCTTGTGACACCCAATGCTACGCCAGCCGGTGATCCACCAAAATCTGCATTTTCTTTTGGAAACAATAGCACCACGCCTGCAGGAAGCCCTGCTAAATCAGCGTTCTCGTTTGGATCTACTGCTGCGCCTGGTACCAGTGGCGCTACTGGAGGAGCGTTTGGGATGCCAGCCAGCGGTCAGTCGACGCCATCAGCGTTTGGAGGAGCTTCGACACCTAATCCTTTTTCTGCATTCGCAAATAAGCCTGCTGGTTCTGGGACAGTACAGTAATTCGCATGTTCGCTCGACGTCTGGATGCTTCTTTCTACTTGTCTTCGTCATTTTTATCCTTTTCTATCTACACAAACAAGTTCTTCAATTTGTTCAAATTACTACAATCATATACTATCCCGAATAGTATTCATCGTTCTTGTTGTACCTAATAGCATCTCTAGTATTTTCTACTTGCGTGACTTGATTTAGAAGTTTCCCTTCGCATTAAGCATTAAATTCAGAACTTGGGTACCTCTTTGAAGGTGTATTGGAAGTATGAAATTTTCATTCGCAAAGGGAAGTGATTCAATACGTGTGTCAAAATAAGAATGAAGCCTTCAATGAAGGTCCATTAACCATTGGAAGCACGGAAAAGACTTTTGAGGACTCACGGACTAATTCTTCTTCTTCTTCTTGGTCTTCGCGACATACAAGCTTGGATCAACCAGTTCACCCTCGAGCTCGATTCCACTGCCCTCTCCGGTTCCAGCCATCCAATCAACAGTCCCACCAGCACCCCCAATACCCTCAAATCTCTTATTGAATCTTCCCATCCTTCCTGTTGTATTGGCCTCGTCCTCCACTGCCTTATTGTCTGCCCACAATGCAGTATTCCAGACTGGATTATTGGTCGTGTCACGCGTTAAACGAATCAGAGACCGAGGGGATGTTGTCCAATGAGTGAAGGATGTCCCATCGGCTCGAATAACACGCTGGGGAAATTTTGGAACTACGGGATTTGGAAGTATAGGTGGACGTCTCTTCCATACGTGGGTACGGCCGTAGGGAGAGCTAGAAATGAGCCTAGTTTGTGCGGTTGGAAGTGAGGTATAGCTAGAAAGTTTTCGTAGCGAGGCGCAACGCTGGCAAAGAGCGGATGATTGCATGTCGCTATAAAACTTTTGAGGCTGACTATGTAAGCGCCGGTCCCTCACTTTGTTAACGCCATGACTAAGAAATTCCAATGTTATTTCTTCACCGAACAGAAGTGCCCAGATGTGATTCTGAGCGGCACTTCAGATCCTGTGTTAATCAAGCCATTTGATCCAAAGTACTACCAGGAGTCGAACGGATACATGTGCATTTGTATTGACGCGGGTATGCTACATGTATCCAATCATGATGAACTGACAATTACGGTCCTCTTCGTTGCCGTTCACCCGATGTTCATCGAAACGACAACAGGTAGGTCCTCATAGAGTCTAGTTTTGATCCAATTGCACTGATTGTTAAAGCTCTCGTCAGTCCCATCTTCTGTGTTATATATCTGGCGTCAATCTTTGCCACAATCTGAAATGTCTTCGACCAATACAAAACTTATAAAGTGAGGACCAAGAAGGTGGTATCAAACATTTCGTTTTCCTTCTTCCCCTCCCTTTCTCTCTCGTTTTGTCCTTTTGGACCTTTTATTTTGTTCATTTTTAGCTGTGTAGCCTTTTTTTCAAACGCCTCGACGGCCTTTTTATTGATATATAATGTCCTCGTCTTTGGTAACTGGACATAGACACTTTCCTTCCGCAACCTCCATCCCAAATACAGTAGGCGAACGCGAGTCCTCGAAACGAGGTGAGCGTACTCGTTGCTCCTTCTTACTTCCGATTCTTATAAGTATCCCAGATGATTACTATATTCCCGAGAAGGTTCCTGTGGTCGGCGCGCAACCTCAGACCCTGACTTCGCGAAAGCTCCATCCCGCTTTTGACACTATGAGATGGGCGTGTGCATTATCCCATATCGGTTTGATCGTACTACTAGCTTTGTTCGTTTTCCGGAACCCCGACAAGGCGGATTCGAGTATCATATCCTTCAGGAATCCAAATTTCAAAATAGTAGACGATGATGACGCCGATCTCGGGCAGACCCTCCAAGCGAGCGTGAAGCTTGGTTTCGGTTGGATTATCACTGTGTGTCTGTTTGTGTCCCTATCCTCGAACTCATCCGAAAATCATATCATTTTCCTAGGGCTGGACCATTGTCCTTACATTGACAACGCAAAAGTTGGCTCTCCGCCGCCAACTGAACCTTTATAGTAGCCTTACTGCAAAGCATGACGCTAATGACGCGTGGATGGGTTTGGGATCCTCGCTCATGACATTCTTAAGCTTGAAATGGAGGCAGCTTGAGTTTCGGGAGTCTCTAAACTCTTTATTCCTTCCGTTGCTTTACCTTGCTGGTATTGCTTCGTTACATTCTGTCGGAACAGGCATGTTCGGGCTCGTAGCGACACCATTGGACGAAAACTTCAATTTTTTGTCACAAGGACTTCCGGACTTCACAAACACAGCTGGAAATGTTTTGAGGCGGGTACCGGACAGATTTTACCGATTTCTCTATTCTAAATTTTTGCTCATCAAGTGGGTCAAGCGCACTCTTAACTATGCTCTCACTCAACGCACTCGATTTTCCTGGGCTTGCATCGGGAGGTGTTGGTGTGATATATGATATTCCTATGAACGTTTCGTTCTTTCCTCCTAGTATCCGACAAGTTGAAGTTATGGCTACACACTTCAATGTTACTTGCGGTTCGTTGGCAGGGTCCGTTCAAAATGTCACCGGGAGTGGCCCAGCGTTTTTCTTTGAGCCTGGTTTTGGGTTGGAGAGCACGTTCGTGCCAGAGTTTGATAATAATTTTCCAAACACAATCTGTGAATTTCAATGCACTCTTAGCTAACAACTAATTAACACCAATTCTATGTTCACAGCGCAACACAGCTTAGCCATCAGACCTGCGCCCTGGGGACCCGCCTTCGTTGACACGTCGGTAAAGTTGAATCTTACATGTTCGTCTCATTTGATCGTTGATTGTATTGGTATCTTGTATTTTATGTAGATAAATGCAGATCTGGCTTCATGGCCCAGTTCGATCCTCGTCTTCACAACCGTTCCCGTGACGGATTCCTCAAATACGACCATCAAGCCAGTGTCAATTAGTCCACCAATGACTTGTAAGGCAATTGCCTATGTGGTACCGTTCGTCGCCCCTTCCTGAACTGTGTTATGATCAGATTTTCCGCAAAATCAGACAACTCTTTCGACCACTTCAGAGGTAAACGTACTCGCCTGTAATCTGACTGTGGATGCGTTGCCAGACAAGGTTATCATCGACCCCGTTAGCAATGCTCTCCTGAGCCCCATCGACCAAGCAAACAAGACTGCGGCCAAGTTGAGCCCATTTCCAACTGCCCTCCGTACAACGCCATTCGATGAATTGAACTCTCCTGAAGACGCTTTAATTGCTTTCGTGAGCCAGTTTCTTTTTCGAATACATCACATGTGATAACGTCGGTCAAGTGGAGCTTGCTACCTATCGCCTCAGTATCTCCGCTAGTCTTTCAGCTGTCCAATCTATGTACCACAGAAAATTCAGCCGAAACTTGCGGAACTCTGTATGAATCAGAGCAGTCTGTATCTTTTCTTGCTCGTCCGACGAACCGAGGAATTGATACGTGTCACTAGATTTGTAATGGAGTCTTTGAATCTTTTCCCCGACCTTTTGCTGCCTCCAACTTCAGATGCCAGCGCCAACATTGACCTTGCTGATCTAGAGAATGCACTTTCCCGCATGACTGCGATAGAGATTTGGGCAGGTAAGACCTGATGATGTACTAACTGCATAATTAATTAATCACATCGACTATTAGAGGGTCAGGGAAATAACCTCAAATTTGCGAATAGGATTTCATCTTCAGAAGGCATCTCGACTAGCAAAACATTTATTCAGAACAGCAACACAGTGGAATTTCCTGAACAGGTCTTGGTTTTTGCGGTGAACCTTCTCTTCTATGTATTTCAAGCCCATAACTAAACTCAGCCCTTGTAAAAATGCTTTAGATTAATCGCATACAGGTGAGTTTTGTTTTTTAATTACTCAAAGACGTAGAGTACTGTATTAAAATCATATATTAGTTATTCGGTGTCTTTGCTATTGCGATCGTCCTTCTGCTACTAGTTATTCCGTCACTGCTAGATAACAACGGTCTCAAGATCGACTCAATTGGGATTTTACAGATGATATGGCTAGCAAATGATCATCCAGAACTTCAACAATCGATATCTGCGCTCGACGACCCATCTACGGAAGACCTTAGGAATGAAGGAATGAAGGTCAAGCGTAATTTCCACAGGCATAATGCTGAAGGTCTTCCTCAGCAACCTTGCTGAATATCTGTATACTAGACAAATGTACACTAGGAGTCAAGTACAACGCTATAGGTTGACTTCGGTATTGGAATGCACATTTGGTACTTCCGTTGATTCACGCCATTTTACATCCTCAGCAAGTACTTGCTGGCCTGAAAATTCTAATGATACAACAGTGAACGTATAGTCATGAATCTATCCCAGATGATATTATACTTGAATGTATGTGAATGTCCACAATGAGAGTGTACGTCTATGCAAACGCAGTGAATCGAGAACGCAATAAATCGAAAACGCAATAAATCGAGGGCGCAATACGTCTAAAGAGTTGAAACGCTACGTCTGGTAGCAGCAGAGAGACCGGGTTTAGCCTGCTCCTCTACTTCGCGTGTTCGCTCTTGTTGGGCAAGCTGAGAACGAAATTGTAATCAGAGGATGTTCAGATAAAAAATCCAGATTGTATACTCACAACATCCTGCCACGAATGGTCGACATGTCTGTCGGCAGCTTCATTCCGCTGACTGTGCTTGAGCGCACCGGCAGCGATAAGGATACCGATAGTCAATCCCTGCGCCCACATACGAGCCTGTACGACTTTCTGTGCTGGCGTTTGGTATCTGTAAGCGGTGTAATAAGTAATTGAGATATAGAACGAAGATTCAGGAAAAGGCTGACTTGTCGCGAGAAATAATTGCTCCTGCAACACCAAGACTGAGAGCCCACGAGCCCATGATGAGCGAGTACTCATGTCGGCTGGCCCAATCTCCAAGTTTTTGCCTGGGTGTCATGGCATCCCACTTCTCTAAAACCTTTCGCTCTTTCTCATTCAGAATCTTGAGTCCCTCTCCGGTCCTGGCGATATGTAATGTTAAGAAGAAGAAAACGACAGACTGAAAATCAACACCAACCATTGTGATTCATCATATTCTAGAGCACGACGCTCGGCCTGGATACTGAGTAATGGTGCAATGAGGATGACCGGACCAAGAGCCTTCAGTGATAGTGGCAAGGTCTTATACGCAGGCATCCGGCGATGGGCAAAGTACGATACAGCTCCAGAAAACAAGAGACCGGCAACGGTTCCTTCAATGGCACCTCGCCTAACAGCCTTGGAGTGCCCTTCGAGTTGTTCTTCTGTAACGTCAACCTGAAAGGAACAGCTGAGGATCGACTCAGTAAACAGCGAATTTGACTTACCTTCATTTTGAAAAGCGGAGGGTTTGTAGCAAAGTGGGTATAGCAAATGGATCGTGGACGGCCTTCACAAAGCTTTTTATAAGCCCTCGATTTCTGTTCGATGTCATCTTGAAATCATGCCTTCACGCCGGTTCACGGGATTGATTCCATAAGCCTCTGCGCCTGCCAAAGCCGGCAGCTTGCACACTTCCGACTTCGTCCGAACAGAAAAAATTTTCTTCGCATCCTATGGGAGCCTATGGGCAAGTACTATTATCTAAATAGTCACCGCCTCTTTCTCAATCTAATAGGCCGTTAAACTAGTCCGTTCCTCTAGATAATCGTCGCAGAATTCAAAAATCGGGATTTGCGGAGTGACTCTCAGCTCATTTCAATTGGTTCGGAAATTCATGTTCCAGACCATGGCCAGAGCAACAGCTCGGTCTCAGCTGTACGTTTTCCGACTCCTCCCCTCCCTCACAATGATGTTTCCTGACCCTGCCCCCCCTGCTCTTATACATAAGCTTTTATTTGGCGCTGAACACATATATTCATCGGAACTACTACATGCTGAACTATATACTATCCGAACAAGCTACCTACTTTACCTACTACCGACTTTAATGAAATATGAACTGCCCGATACTATGTAGCGTAAACAAAGAGGTGACGAAGAGAACGGCGAAAAAAAAACAGATCGAACGAAGGAAAACGTTGACTCTTAGAAATGATCCACCGTGAACGTCCATGTCCCATCAGAAATATCAAAACTTTCAAAGTGCGTATCCTTCATGTTCCGCAACTTTTTCAGATGCTTCACAGCTGAGGCGTTCTTCTCATCCTTGATGGGTTCTCGATGTGCCTTGTCCATCGCCCAACATCTCTTTAACGATATCTTCGCGCGGACATTGAGACCGGATCCTTCAGGAGGTTTTTCCGTGTCGTCCGCATCAGGATACACACTGCATTCCTTGTCCTCAAACCGGATCACACTGCCGAGGAGTTCGCCTAACTTGAGTAATCCGGTAAGATCCACTGGCTCGAGAAAATGTATCTCCCCATACCCGACCCGCCCAACCACAAGATCCTTGAAGGACGAGAGTTGGTCGAACCCAGATGATTTGAGTTTTTCCATGTCTGGCTTGACATAGTAATCGCCTTCTTGGAGATCGTCCTCATCTGCTCCTTGTCCGTTATGTGATGCGGTGAATTTTTTCGGAGTGCGTTGGGGCTGCGGGGTTGGTGTCGGAGACTTCGTTGGTTGACTCGGCGGTGGAGATGCGGCAGCGGCAGCTTCACGTTCTCGCGCAGCAATGCTAAGTGCAGGACTGAACGTGATTTTCCCTCCTCCTCGTAATGGCGAACCACCGGATTTGACAAACAGCTCTGTAGGTTCAACCTTTTTATCAAGAATCAACTTCTTTACACTCTTTCTCTGTCCACTCCCTAATGATGGGCTAGAATGCGTCCCGAAGATGGCTTCGATGGACTGCTTTGGTGTCTGTGATCTGCTCAACGTCAGTGTTGTAGAGTTTGAAGGTGCGAAAACGCTTCCGCTCAATGCCGAACTCGATGTCGAGGATCCAAAACCTCGAAGTTTCGAGGCGGCAGGAGTGTAGCCAAGTTGGACTCGAGGGACTGGGGAGCGAGTAGGAACGTCGACAAAGAAGGGAATCTTCTTTTTTGTTGACTGTTCCAGATCTACTGCACGAGGACCAGGTGGAAGCATCGAAAATATAGGGAGGTTTGGTGCGATTGGTTGATTGATAGATGCTATGAGGCCACCTTGTTGGTTGGGAGTATTAGTAGACCCGGCGAGGGTGTTGGTAGAGTTCCCAAAAGTTGAATTGCCGAACAAATTACCGCCTGGACCCATTGAGGTAGCCATTCCCATCGACGGAGCTTTGTTGAAAAACCCTCCGCCTGCAGCAGGTTGCTGCTGGTTCGTGGACTGATTGAACGTATTTCCAAACAATGTCGGCTGCTGGGCGGTCGTTGTAGGCTGCGCGGCACCGAATGCATTATTATTCCCGAAAATTCCACCTCCGGCAGGGGCTGCGGGCTTAGCTCCAAACAAGCTAGTACCAAAGCCCGTCGTTCCGGTTTGTTGTTGTTGAGGCTGCTGCTGCTGTTGTTGGTTGTTGGCTCCAAATAAGTTAGTCCCCGTGCCAGTCCCGAAAAGTCCTCCGGTACCAGTGGCGGCGTTATTGCCAAAAACTTGGGATAGAAGAGCATGTCAGAAAAGCTCGAAAATATTAACAAATTACCTACGCGATGTGCCGGGCTGCTGGGGTTGTTGTTGCTGCTGCTGTTGATTAGCATTATTGCCAAACAGACTACTGCCACCAGCATTAGTAGTGCCGAAAATTGAAGGCTGTTGTTGCTGCTGCTGGTTTTGTTGCGCAGGCTGCCCGAAGATAGACGTCTGGCCAGCAGGTTGAGCAGGTTGACCGAATATCGATGGTTTGGTTGCAGTATCTGCAAGGAACACTCGTCATTACATTGAATCAGGTTGACAATGTCAGATTTCGCGTACTTCCAAATGCACCGAAAGTGCTGCCCGTATTCGCGGCTGGTTGAGGTTGACCGAATATACTCCCAGTTGGTTGCTGCTGCTGAGGCTGTTGATTGGAATTTGTGCCAAACGCAGTAGTACCGAAAGCACCAGTGGGGTTCGTGTTACCTAGAATAAGCCAAATAAGAAATTGATTACTATCGATGGAAAGTTGAGCCTACCGAATGCACTTCCTCCAGTATTTGTGTTACCAAAGAGGCTGGCGGTTTGCTGTTGAGGCTGTTGTTGGGTTTGGCCGAAACCAAAGCCTGTCGTCGGTTGTTGTTGAGGTTGTTGCTGTTGAGGCTGCCCAAAGGCATTGTTTGTAGCTCCGAACGCTCCAGTATTTGTGTTAGTGGCCGTAGTATTACCAAACGCGCCAAATCCGGTCGTCGGTTTCGGTGCTCCAAATATAGAGCTAGTTTGTGCCGGCTGGGTGTTCTGTGGCTGACCAAATATACTGCCACCCGTAGTCTGAGTACCACCGAAGCTTGATTGTTGCCCAAAAGAACCTGCGGTAGCGGTTTTGCGTCCCTGCTGGTAGTCTTGTACTCGGAGTTCCTGACATTTAAATGAGATGAGGCCCGATTAAAGATGAGAGTTGATAAACCTCGAAGGATGTCCCAGCGTACGCAGGCATGCTTGAAATGGATTGATATTGCAGGGTTATACTGGAATTCGCATCTTTTTCGGGAGTCGTGGCATATGGAGGGTTGGAAGAGCCAGTAGTGACAGGAGCTGTCGCATTGGTAGCTGCTACATAAAGACGATTAGAAGACTAGCTAAAAAGTTAAAGTGAATTTATGGGTACCCGTCGTAGTCCCAAACGCCGATGTCGTCTTGGGTTGACCGAATATACTGCCACCAGTACCACCACCAAATGCACCGGTATTCGCGGGTTGGCCAAAAGCACTCGTCGTATTCTGCCCCGTATTACCGAACGCACTGGTGCCACCACCTCCGAAAGTACTAGTTCCACCGCCTCCGAACGCGCCAAAACCAGTGGCAGGTTTTGGAGCACCAAACACTGAGCCCGAGTTGGTACTTGCCTGATTAGTTGCACCTCCAAACGCGCCTAGATAGTTAAGCTAATGGACAAGACAAAGATTGAAACGCGTACCAAAAGCACCAGTTCCAGTATTACTCGTCCCACCCAAACCTCCGAACATCGGGTTGGCTTGAGGTTGCTGTGGAGGTTGACCAAAAGTGCCTGTTGAAGAACCAAAGCCTTACGAAATGTCAACAGAAAACATCGCGCGAAAGTTCTGAACACACCTGTCGAACCAAAAGCGGTTGGTTGTCCAAAGGCGCTGGTTCCCTGTTGTTGCTGTTGCTGTTGTTGGTTTTGTTGGGGATTAGCCCAAGAGGATGTTATCGCATTGTTACCAAACATCCTGAGGATATGAAGAGGATATAAGGGATAGAGTGCAACAACAGCAACGAACTGCTCTTTATCTTTTCCTCCTGAGTTGTTTGAGTCAGAGATGGGAAAAAGCCGGACAAACGAAGCGCAATATCGGTGCCGGCACCGGAAGTCGGCCGGCAGACCGAGCAAAATTTGCATCGCCACTGCTGATACTAATAGCACTTCATATCGTCGTCGGCTGGGTCGTCGGTCATGCCAGATTCTGAGCGTACACACAGACAACCAACGTTCGACACTCTCCAACGTGAAAATCTATTTAAATATCCTCCAAAACAAGGCTCCAGCTATAAGATCTTGAACGAATTTGTTGCGCCGCACATAGAATCTTTCAATGCTCTTTTTGACGACTCTGGTTTACCCTCTGGCGATGGAAAGGGAAAAGGTCTTTTGTCTATGGGAATAGAGGATATTGGGGAACGTGTTATATTTGATGGCGCCGGAAAAGATGCAGGCGCGTGGGGTAATCGAATGAGGAGTAAGTCGTTCGCGGCATCACAGTTCATACTCTGTTGACAAATTTAGTATGGATCGAATCGGTTTCAATATCACGGCCTATGGTCCCAGACAGGAACAAATTTGCCAAGGATCGAAGAATTTTTCCAGCAGAGGTAGTTCTTGTCGATAAATTTTCACTCTGTCTAAAGCATATTTTCAGGCTCGTGAAAGATTGGCTTCGTATCGCGGAAAAATGTCTGTAAAGCTCTGTTGGACAGATCCAGAAGGCCAGCGACAAGAAATCATGAAAGATTGTGGGCTTGTGCCAATCATGGTTCGAGTACGTCTGTCAGTATTTCGTATCCTCGGCCAGATCCCTCAATACCTGAAAGCTAGTCCGTTCGTTGTAACCTACGCGGCATGTCCTCCTCTGAGCTGGTGAACCACCACGAAGAAGCTGAAGAATTTGGCGGCTACTTTGTGATAAACGGAAACGAACGTCTCATTCGCTACCTCATTCTTCCTCGTCGGAACCATGTCATTTCCCTTCTTCGACCCTCTTTCGCGAATCGTGGCCCTTCATATACCCAATACGCTGTGCAGATACGCTGCGTGCGCCCTGATCAAACCAGCTGCACCAATACCCTACATTACCTCGCGAACGGAAGCGCTATGTTTCGGTTTAGCTGGAGGAAGCAGGAATATGTTATACCAATCATGTTGATTTTGAAGGCTCTGGTTGGAGCTTCCGACAAGGAAATCTTTGAAGGATTAATGATGCAGGATTATGATAACACCTTCCTGACAGGTCGCGTTGAGTTGCTCTTGCGAAGTTACAAGAGGTTCACGATGCGAACGGGAGAGCAGGCGCTCGAATACCTTGGGGAAAAGTTCCGCGTCGTACTCGGATTGGCTGAAGATATGTCAAATTCCGCTATCGGTGCACTCCTCATTCGAAAGTTAATTCTTGTACACATCGAAAATCCTCGACAAAAATACCATTTGCTCCTGTAGGTCTTTTTGATACTATATACTGGGCATCTTTGTCAACGTGTGTCACTTACAGATTTATGCTCCGCAAACTATATTCCCTGGTCAACGGGACATGTTGTGCGGACAATCCAGATTCCCCTCAACATCAGGAAGTGTTACTTCCTGGAACCCTTTACAGCATGATCATTAAGGAGCGACTTGAAGAAACTCTTAACGCGATTCGTACTTTTGTTAATGTCGACGTGCGGAACGGTGCAACTGTAGATTTTCACGATAGTGCGTTCTCGAATGATTGTTCCATTCCGGAATAATGCTGATTTTTTTCTTCTCAGAACGATATTTGGCCAAAATTCTTGCTCGAGTGAACTTTGATATTGGGTCGAAGTTGTCGAATTTCCTCGCAACAGGTAATCTCGTCTCTCCTTCAGGTCTTGATTTACAACAAGCCTCCGGTTTCACTATTGTTGCCGAGAAACTCAACTGGCAACGATATATTAGCCATTTTAGATGTATCCATCGTGGTGCATTTTTCGCCGAACTAAAAACTACCACTGTCCGAAAACTCCTCCCAGAGGCTTGGGGCTTCCTTTGTCCTGTCCATACACCTGATGGTTCACCATGTGGTCTGCTCAATCATTTAGCGAGAACATGTCGTCTTGTGACTGCACCTCTCGCTGTTGCACATATCCCGGCCTTACTCGTAAAGTATGGGATGTCTGAGCCGTTCAGCTCATGTATCGATGGGCGAACAAATTTGTGTGTGCAACTTGATGGACATGTCATTGGATGGGCTTCACCTAGTGTTGCGAAACAGCTTGCTACAAATCTGCGTATCTGGAAGACGGAAGGCAAAAATGAGATTCCAATGGACTTGGAGATAGGAATGGTTCCTCCGTCAATGGGAGGCCAGTATCCTGGCCTGTTCTTATTTTCGTCACGGGCACGGATGATGAGACCGGTGAAATATTTGCCCAATGGACGTGACGACTCGGTTGGACCCTTTGAACAGGTATATATGGATATTGCCTGTACGCCAGAAGAAATTGAACCTGGAGTCTCCACACATGTTGAGCATAATCCTACAAATTTCCTGTCTATCTTGGCGAACTTGACCCCGTTCTCCGACTTCAATCAGGTGTGTGATTTATACATTGAATACCTCAATGTGCTATACTGAAATGTTTGCTCAGAGCCCTCGTAACATTTACCAATGTCAAGTACGTTTTTGATGTTTCAAAGGGATAGCTTACACGAAATTTCCAGATGGGTAAACAAACTATGGGAACACCTTCAACTGCGCTGAAACATCGAACGGATAACAAGCTCTACCGACTACAAAGCGGACAAAGTCCGGTTGTTCGACCGGCACTACATAATACATACGCCATGGATGCTTTCCCTAACGGCACCAATGCCATCGTCGCCGTCATATCTTATACTGGGTACGACATGGAAGACGCTATGATCCTCAATAAATCCGCGCACGAGCGTGGGTTCGCATACGGAACCGTTTACAAATCGCAAATCATCGACTTGAAGGACATGAAAGGAGCATCTAAGACTGGCGCACCTACACTCCATTTCGGGCTCGGGCCTGAAATCAAAGTCAATTCTAGGGCTGAGAACAAACACTCTTGCCTTGATTTCCTTGATCTGGATGGTCTACCCTATGTTGGTACGAGACTGAGCACCGGCGATCCAATTGCGGCTTATGTGGACGATGTCACCCGTCGTACAAAGTTTGTCAAATATAAAGGGGACGAAGCTGCTTTTGTGGATGAGGTTCGTCTTATTGGTACGTTATGTTCAACGGACTATCCCTATGGTGGTATATAACTCCTTTGTCTAGGCGATGAAACTGGCGAAACCGAATTGCAGAAGGTTCATATAACTCTTCGGATAACTCGATCCCCCGTCATCGGTGACAAATTCTCTTCTCGACATGGTCAGAAAGGTGTCTGTTCACAAAAGTGGCCCGCTATCGACATGCCCTTTAGCGAGAGTGGGATGCAACCTGACGTAATCATCAATCCTCACGCATTTCCCAGTCGAATGACAATTGGTATGTTGGTCGAGAGTATGGCCGGGAAAGCAGGCGCCATGCACGGTCTGGCCCAAGACGCCACTCCGTTCAAGTATGTTACTATTCATCACCATAACACGTACTGATCAACATGAATATTCATGATTTCAGATTCTCAGAAGAGGATACAGCTGTCAGCTACTTCGGAGAACAGCTGAAAGCTGCTGGATACAACTACTACGGCAATGAGCCGATGTACTCTGGAATCACGGGCGAGGAGTTCGCGGCCGATATTTATCTTGGAGTCGTCTACTATCAGCGACTACGACACATGGTGTTGGACAAATTCCAAGTTCGAACGACGGGACCTGTTGATCCTATAACCCGACAGCCTGTAAAGGTATCAATCTTCGAACTTCTACTGTTTAGGGAGTGTCGCTGATGAGGAATTCATAGGGTCGCAAGCGCGCCGGTGGGATTCGTTTCGGAGAGATGGAACGAGATGCACTTATCGCACACGGAACGTCCTTCCTGCTTCAGGATCGTCTGATGAACTGCTCGGACTACTCCACCGCTTGGGTTTGTCGAACTTGCGGAAGTCTTATATCACTTGGATACGAGGACATCAGTCTGGGAGAGGTGTTTACAGGCATGTCTAGCTCGCGAAAGCCGACAGGACCTGGCGGTGAGTATTGTAGGACGTGCCGAGCAGCTGCAGAACAAGAGGATGAACTTGAGAGGCAAGCTCTAGCAACGGGACAACATCTTCAGCGTCCACAGGGAAATATTACAGTCGCAATTTCTTCGCAGAATGTACTCGGAAAGTCGTCCAAGGGCGGGGATCTTGATGTTATCGCCGTACCATACGTCTTCCGATACCTTTGTGCGGAGCTTGCTTCGATGGGTATTGCCGTATCTCTCGAGATACAATAAAAGACACTGTCCGCGTTACACGTATGATGCGGCAACTAGTGTCACCACAAGCAATGTTATATACTAATCAGACCCGTACATGCAAACGGTGTGCAGAACCTTGTAACAGAAGATGAGAGAAATGTTTGAACACTAGAGTATGTAAAGGAAAGCACCCTAAAGTATATATAAGAATAGAATAACCCTGAAAGTATTAACTGCGTATGTATGCAAGCCAGCATATGAAACAAGAGTGTCGAGTTGAGTAGGTAAATCCGTAGAAACGATGATAACACATAATAATAAATTTAAATCAATCCACCCCCGCAATCTTTTCAAAGGTAGCAATTGGGGTGGGTATCGCGTTGCCGTTGCTAGCGGGGACAACAGGCTTTTGGAGGTTATTGGTAGCCTGGGATTCCACTCTGACCTTCTTTGTGGTATACCGCTTCTTGCGAGGAGGAGGGTCCAATGAAGGTTCACCTCCGAGGAATAGTTCGACCAGTGATATCTCGAGGGCTGTATCAGAAGAAGATGAAGGGCGACTATTCGGGGGATCGGCAGATGAGGGAGAGGGGTACGGTACGTCGTACTCCGTCTGTTCAACAGGAATGCCGGCCTTCGCCATAAACATATCCATTATGAGACGACATTCTTCAGGAGTTGTAGCCTTCGCCATAAGGCGCTTCATGTCCTGTGCATCTACCATACCAATCCCACTTGCTGCAACACCAGGAGTGGGAGTAGCAGTGTCAGGCGACAAGGTTTTGCGTTCAGATACAGATGTTTCTATAGCGGGAGGAGAGACTCGAATTGTAGATGGTTGGATTTCTGCGATTTTTTTAGGTGCAGAATGTTCACTAGTAGCGGAGGGGGTGGATTTCGGGAGCGGCCTAGTGTCCTCAAGGTCAAACTCGCTTCTGACATTTTCGCGAGAAGAGGTCGAGCGAGATACTTTCAACTGTTGCAATTTGTCGGCCACAGGAGGTTGATGAGGTTGAGAAGGGGCTACTAAAGTAGGTGCTGCTTCCTGGTCCCGATTCAATGTCTTTCGGATTCCAGAAGACGGCAGAACTGAGGTTTGGCGAACCTTAGGGGTGGAAGGAGCGGCAGGAGAGAAAATAGATGGGGAAATATCAGCAGGATCATAAGCGGGTGATGAGGGCGGAGATATCATTTGTGTCTGGGGAGGACGGGGCGGAATTGGACGGTTTCCGAATGTCGATAGACTTCCATTGGAAGCCTTCATTAGCAGGGGTGGTCGGTGATAGCTCGGAGTAGTCGGCGTCTTCCTCAAATCGTCAATGGACGGTTGCCGACTTCCTTTGTCAGATTCCCCCAACTTCAGCTTTGATATCATCCGCTGTAATCTTCCCGAGCCTTTTGATTTGGTACTGCCATTATCTGTCACCGCCTGGGAAGGTGGGCCAAAGTCAGGTGGGCCCTGTGCCAAAAAGTCTATCAATTCACGACCTGCCTTGGAAACTGGTGGATGGTTGATAGGAGGACGACCCCCGAAATCATTACTGCCTGTTGGCGGAGGACCATCATTCAAGAAGTCCATCAGTTCTTTCGTCCTTGCAGAAACCCTCATATTGCTAGGGGTGGAGGACGCAAATGATTTTGACGGGCTGACGATCTCAGTTTCATCGAATTCTTCGTCGTCCGATCCAGCCATAACGTCATCCAGGTCGAGAGATTCTCGGTTCTTTTGCACTTTCCTCGTTTTCTGGGGAATACCGGGGCCATCGAAAGCCTGAGGAATACGGAGTTCGCGATTTTGCATGATTGCAGCTGAAGAAGGGGTGCTGCTCGACGCAAGAGCGGTTTTAGATGTCTTCCGTTTGACGGGAGGAGCAGCTGCCGACTGAGAGCGAGCACGAGTATTAGCGATGAGTAATGTTTGTGGAGGAGGTGAGGCGACACTAGTTTGTCGCATGCGAGGGTGTGTTGGCCTAGTAGTGGGTGACTCTTCTTCGTCCTCAACAATGGAGCTTACGTTGGGAGCGGAAGGACGCCTGAACGGTCGTGGCGGAATGGAAGTAGGTAAATCCAATTCGGGATTGCCGGTGGGAAGAGGAGGTGGCTTAGGTCGGCCGCCGCGTTGGTCCTTCTCCTGTTTATATACCTTCGGATGTTTATAGGTACACGAGGACTACATTAGCACGAGAAATTCATATAGAGTTAGGAGTAAGCGCAAGCTTACCTCCATAGTCTTCAATCGGTCCGGTGTCAAGGACACTTTCATGGTCGCATCGGACTTCATGAGGTCGTCGAACTCTTGTAACGATGCTTGTTCCTACAATCATCGATGAATATTCTGAAAAAACGAGATAACGACAACGAATGACCTCGGCATCAATTGAATCATATGCTGCCCATGTCTGCTTTGTCTCGTCGCTAAGTACGGACTCTGACCGTTTGTGCCCATTAGACTCATTGGAGATTGAGTTTCTGCCGTTGATTAATTTTTTCATACCCTTGGCACGGTCCATAGATGAGCGATTGGATCCAGGGGGCATTGCATCCAAGGATAAACGATTGTTTGTTGGCGGCGAAGGGGAATCCTTTCCTGATGATTGGTCTGAGCGCTTGTCGTTTCGTGAAAGGGACTTGCTTCTTCGAGGTTTGGGTTCCTGAGAGAGCTGCTGAATTTGTTGATAGACTGGAATTATTTAGAACAAGGCATTGGTAGCATGATGGGTAGCTTACCATCCATCGACTTGAATAAACTATATACTGTTTCATCCTCGCACAAGGCTACGAAAACATCTTGAATGTTGGCATATGTCCGACTGCTGTCGCGGGAGGCTACACGCCCAACATTCGAGAGTACGTGTCTGGAACTCTTTTCAGTGTTGGTTCGATGAAAACAGATAGAAGGGCACGCACTCGCACATGGCCCTGGAAAGAAATGTAACAACATGAGAATAAAATTTCCATATTTCGTAAGTAAACTCACTCCAGGATAGCAGTGAGATACAACGCAGCAGGAGCAATCAGAGATGGCTTTGGTGGTGGCCCAGTACCAACTAATCGCTCTTGTAGTCTGGCTTCTGCGGACTTGTCACCATCTGATTCATTCAAAGTGGAATACGCCTCGCATTTGAGTCTTAAAAGCTGTGTGAAATAGTTATCGGTACAGAATCCCTACCAAACAGTAAATCACGTACTTCAAATGCCCACTGTAGGTTGAAAGTCCCGGTATCATCATCTACGGCTCCGCTCTTCGAAGGCTTTGTCCGATCCCAATATGCCCTTAATTCCACTTCGGCCTCTAGAAGTGCTTCCTTCCCAAGAGCTGTCGGAAGAACACTAAGTAGACCGGCCCGCAGTTTGTCAGTGGTCAAAGAGTGGGCGGCATTGAGTATTCCATAGAGAAATTCATCCAAAAAGACGTTGATACAGCGTAAAGATTCGATTCTGAGCTTTATAGGACGAATGTCGGAGAGAATAACATCGGCAGAATGGTTGGAGATGTAGGTAGGACCTAACAGGAACATTCACAAAAGGCCACTGACGTCGTGAAGGAGTTAAGACGTACCATTACCGATGCTTCCAACAGGCATCGTGGTGGAAGAGATAAAGAGAAGACCAGATTGCGCGGTTGCGGTAAGGACTTCCTGTTGATCGGGGTGTTCTCACATAAATCAAGATCAAAACATTTTGTGTTGTTGAGCCTTAATTGGCTGTTCTCTTTCGGAATAGAAACCACTGGATGACTGCTCGCAAATACATAGTACTAGATAATTTATAAATGATTTGCATCGCCGATTTACCCTCAAAGCAGTTCCTCATCGAAACCTATTCCAGACAAAACAAGTTCGTCTGTGCTACGCCTACTCGGTACCCCTGAACCATCTGCATCAGCCGGCAGTTCAGAGGGCGACGGAGAGTTTCCAGGCTCGCTAAAAGCCGTTTCCTCATCCTTTTTTTCCTCCTGCCAAAATGACATACCATCATTTATGAGCTGAGACACCTGGTCAGAATTCAAATCTCCAAAATCACGTATCTTTGCGGGTCGGGAAGGCATGCATGAATGTGAAGATCTGGAAACGAGGAATTCGTATTCATCTGATGTTGTGGGGGCTTCGACGCGGCCTAGATGTTTAGCCTTTAGGTAACGCTTGAGGCTTACGGAATCGACTGGTGGCATCATGTTCTTTAGAACCTGTGAGGTACAATGGATGAATACATTACTTCACTTTGGAGGAGAAAATAATTCTACTAGACACTCACCCAAGGTCCTAATACTTGATGCCGTTGTGCTGATATAGGATGAGGCGTAACTGCCCTAGCGACGACCATATAGGAAGGCAGGGTAGAAGGGATATCAGGTGGTGATGCGGGTTGGAAAGGAAAGTAAGGCTCTGCGGACGGTCGTAACTGATCGTCGCAATGGTATTTGAGGCTATGTTGTGAAAGTTTCCTAGACGAGCGAAAACTCTCGTCACATCCTATGGAAGATGGTGAGCCCGTTAACTCCTCAGCTGAACATCAACGCATACCTTCATACGGACAGCACAACTGATGATAGGCATGATTTTCGACATGATCTGGATTCTGAGCTTCATGCTTTCCACAAATTTTACAAAGTATGGGATTCTTGAAGAACACAATCAGGAGAAGGTTTCCGGGGAATGGTATAAATTCACCCCATATTTGTCCTGTTGCGATTCTACCACATGATTTCTCATGTGTTGCCCCAACTTTTCGGTGCTACTCAATATTACTTCGCATCCTCCCCACTTACACATGCACTCATGTAGTCTTGTAATGGACTTCTTCAATGCCGCAAGCTCCTGCGGATCTGACGAGAGAATGTTCAAGAAATGTCAAATTGTTTGCAAAATACATTACCAACCTCGTACGGGTGTAGGGAGAAGGAAATCGGATGCTACATGATGTCGTAGATCTACTCAGTAAAATTCCATGATCTGCCAGTCTGAGGAGCCATACCTTCTCGACTGGATTGACTCCGTCGCGAATATTTTTCTTTTGTTTTTCGTGGCTCTGGCTCCTCGTCCGAATCTAAGATCTCTATGACACTTTCTATCTCCGCTTGCTCCTCTTCCTCTTGCCTTTCTTTGGACTTCCTCATGCGACGCGCAAGATCACGCTTGACCCAACCCGGAGCTGAAGGTACTTGTACACAATCGACCACGGTCACTTTTTGACCTTTCCCCGCCCGAAAGTCATCTACATGTTCAATATCGGAACCGCGCACTGTGACAGACTCTGCGAGGCAGAGAGACTCCTCATCCATGTTGGGAATGGGAGGTGGAGATGTAGGCGGGGACGGGGTTTCAGGCAGAAATAATGGAGTGACATTCACTTTTGGAGGTGATCGTGCAGGTAATTGTTCAGGGATGAGACGATTTTGCGATATGGATATGGGTGCGAGTTTCGGAGGACTTGCAACCGGTGCAGTTTGTAACGTCGAGGAAGTTATGGCCGTATTGAAATTGGTAATTGCCTGTGAAATTCGGCCAACAAAGCGTGAAGGACCAGCTACTGGAATATTCTCCATCACAAATTTCGACGGCTTGGTCACCACCGGTGCAGCGTCGGGATCGACATTCGCCTTAGAAGAAGGTCCTGCATGGTGTGAGGGAACAGCACTGATGACATCATTAGGTTTATCTTGGCGGGCGGCGTTGCTCTGATCAGAAGGTAGTTGTGGTACAGCTGGCTGGCTAATGACTGAGGGATGCTGATAATTGAACGCGGGTGCCTGAACTGGGAAAGAAGAAACCATGGGGGGTTGATTGCTGCTCACTGTTGATTGAGCAACGGGAACAGGTATGTCCGATAACGCCGTCCGCTTCGCTGTCCGCCCATCACTTTCACCAAAGCTCTCGCGCTGGCGCTTTTCCCTAACGGAACCTAAAGCAAATAACACATCCCGAGCGAGAGACTTTCTGTTTGCGTCTCCGGGTGTACGTGGAGAGCCTGTGATGTTCGAATTCTTCCTACTTAGAGAAGGTAGAGGGGTAGTAGGATGTTCATGGGCACTGTTTAGAGCGTTGACTAACGACTCAGCATGACCCTTCAATTTCGTCGCAGTCGCGGTTGGAGGAAGACTAACAGGATTAGAATGGGGAGGAGCATCAGCAACAGTGGTCGGCGTGACACTAGGAGGTGCATTTGCAGGGGCTGACACAGTTTGGGAGACTTCGGGAATGACCATTTTCTGCAACGCTTTGATCCATCCAATAGGGGTCATAGGCGTGAACTTATTATTGACTATTTCGCCGATCTGGGCCTGACCAGTGGCTGGGCAATGGATGAAAAGACCAGTCAGGGGTATGCTTTCAGTAGCTCCAACTTCCGCTTGTTTAAGCCATTGATAGGCATACTTGTGCATCGAACTCAACCGCCGTTGATTCATAGGTGAAAGGTCTTCGATCTGCTTCGATAACGCAGCAGGGTTTGCCTGATAAGAACAAGAGCAAACATAAACTATGGTGCATTCATGAAATTAACAATCCTACCATAGCACTTTGAGTTGGTCTCTGGAAAGAAGTTAGGTTGAACCCTGAATAAACATTATCAGGGAAACACTGACTGATTGAGAAGGGACCTTTGTCACTGGATTTGAAGGAGGACCATGTTTCTGCTAACGAATTATTTAATTGTATTGACCTGTTACAGTAGAACCTACAGTATCCCTTGAAGGATTTGCAAGATTTGCTATCGCTCCACTTGTTTGCCTGCCTGCAGGCTGACGACGGATAAAGATCAGACACTGTATAATGAGTGAAGAGGACTATTTGGGAGCAGACACACCTTGATTGATTGAGAGTGTGTTTGTGATGTCGAAGCAGAAGTCACAGACGGCACGGGCTTTCCATGCGACTTTGACTAGTTGGCATAATGAGAGAAGGTTAAATGAAGAGAACGGATGGCAATACCGGTGGCACTTGATTCAAAGTAGGGATTTGAGGGACAGGCTCTTGGGTAGCGAACTGCTGACCTAAACGCGAAAGATGTGTGAGAACAGACGATAAGAGGGATATTACGCAGAACACACCTGAAGATGTGACTGATTGTCTCTGACGAGCTAGGATTATTTGCGGTGTGAGAGCTGGTTGGGAAGCTATAGATTGCTGAGACTGAGTAGATGAGGTTTGTAAAGATGGTCGAGATGGTTGAAAATTTGATTGCTGTTGCGCTGACTGCTGCTGAGGTCTTTGCGACTGATGCTGATTCCTCATGAGCTGGGCTGGCTGAGCGGCCTGCGAGGGCTGGTAAGATTGCGTGAATTGTGGTTGATGTGCAGATGTGGATGACTGCGAGGGAAAAGCCTGTCTTGACTGGTACTGGTGAGTCAGAGCGGGTACTTGAGGTCGTGCTTGAGCCCCCGCAACGTAATGAGATTGAGGTCCAAGATTCTGAAGATTTGTCTGTTGAGTTCGATGTGGGTGATTAGGAGTTGCGTTAGCGTTTGGACGCATTGACATGTTTGGAACGATAGAGCTATTCGACCAAGTATTCCCTTGAGCACCGGAATACTATAAAAGAGTGTCAGAACCACAAGGTACCGAGACGATGAAGATCGCAGCTACTTGACGGTGCTCGTCTTCAACAGGGACAATTCGCGTAGTAGACGGGGTAGGCTCATAAGTCGGCAATTGGTAAACGTTGGAGGAGTTCATTGAACCAAGGGAACGTTGTCTGGTACAAAGGTGAGAATCATACAGGCAAGAGTGATGTCAGTAACACCTTTCAAAGTTAAGCGCTTCCAATCTACGTCTTATGGAGTGAACAGATTTAGAACAGGAATGACGATCGGTATGGAAAGAAAACTCACTTTGCCTCTTCTCCTGCAGCAATCTCTGCATTCAAATGGGCTTCCATCGCTTGTTGGCGGGCTATTTCGACCAAGTGTGCCCTTTCCATATTCAGACGCGCCTGAGCCTCATTTATTTTTCTTTGCTGATCTTCTAGGTATATTTGGCTAACTGTAAGCGCATCCGCTTTGGATATCACCAATTGCGCGGCGGCGTTGTTGGCTGGTACGGGATAGTTCTGGTGGTCAGAGGTTTCTCCGGCTTTGTGTGGGACATAGCCATTGTACATTCTGCGGATCAGTAGAACGTGAAGGCTTTGTACCAAGAAGGATTAAGCAATGAAAGCAATGAAAATTGGGTGCTGCTTATGGAAGAAATTAGTAATCACAAGTCATGCTAACATCACCTGACTTGAGCGACGCGACTTCGGTTGCCATATTTATTTTTGTCCTGGTTCTAGTATATATCAAGTTCCAAGAAAGATAGGTCCATTATTTTCATGAGGATACACTACATTGTCGTTAACTTTCATTACTAATATTTGACATACACTTAGTAGAACATCTCTTCAGCAGCATGATCAGAAAATATATCTCCACTACAACCCACTCAATCAGAAGCTTGGGTAAGGGAAACTCCGTAAGTAGTATAGCCGCTAACTAAAGTGGTACCGTAGCTGTCTGAGTCGGCCGCATATGTGCTGGTGAGAATAATTTCATACTGTGCATCAGGATAGGTGGTAAAAGGAGAATAGGTTGGGTCAAACTGACAAAGGAAGATCAGCAGCAGTACCCGCAATAACTGTTCAAATGCTTACAGTGACCGTGAAAGTATCGATTCCACTAGAGGGACCATCACGACGTCCGAAGTAGATAGGAGGTTGGTAACTATGAATTTTGTTTACGGTGATCGTAGTGAGCGGAAAATTCAAGATACACACCCAGTGTTGTTGGCTGCTGGAACAACCAAAGTATAGTCAACGTATACTGGGGCATAACCGAGCTCGATGGCACAAGTAAAATTGGCTGTGAAGGTCACTTCCTGAGAAAGCGCAAAAAAGGTTCAGTGACTCGTTTCAAGACAATCATTGATGCTTACCTGCCCAAGAACTATAGGCTCGGGGGAGACTGATGCAAGGGAACCAAAACGCAAAGCTTCAGGACAGAACTGAGCAACAGTAGAACCAACAAGGGCGAGGACAGCAAGAGTAGTCTTTGAAAACATGTCGAACGGTGATAAAGGGAATAAGGATAATGTGGAGCTTGGGGTGCAATGAATGCAATGAGAATAATGCCTACTCCCTTTCCGCCTTTTATACTACTCAACGTCGGCCTACAGTAGCCGTGAAAGCTATTGCCCCGCGTCTCAGATGATCCGATCCATACCAACCATGTGTCGAGGGATATTATATCAAGCAGCGCAATCCATGGTAGGAGTCAGCCCCGGCCACAGCCAGGCCTCAGTAGAGTTGGAGAGTTAGAGACAATACTTCCGGATTCAAATCCCTTCCGTCCCAGTGTAAATTTCAGTGTGATGTCGTTATCTAAACCGTAATCTTCTAACATCCTGCTGAATCCTGTTTGATCTAGGGCTTCTGCACCATGCTGCGAAGGTTTGAGGTAGGCTTAAGCCACGAACAAAGCTCGCTCAACGATATCGAGTCGACGTCACCAGAGTGGAGTTGAAATCTGGTTACAAACCAGTCCTTCATGATCGGGGTCAATCATAATTGTTGCATAATCCTGAAGGGTCTACAGTCTGGCTAATTCTAGCTAGAGCTAGTCGTCCTGTTTAAAAATGATAGCGTTGTGGGAGGCTAACGCTTTTTAGCACGTGGATATCCTTGGTCAGTCACATCTTCCTCCTCTCCAAGAGCGACAGTTCCTCATTTTTAGATAACGTTACGGTCTGTTCCACTGCAAGATTCTTTTACTTGAATGCATACACAATGATGTCAACGTCTTGGCCCTGATGCTAATCCAAGCCGTTGTAATCTATACTTCCGGCCCATTTCGAGGAACTCCAAAGAAAATGAACAAAGGGGCAAGGCTGGTTTCAAGAATGGCAAAGGATGAAGTCGATCGGTAGACGAAATAGCTTGTATGGTGGAACGGTGTCACAGGCATGTGCCCACCAAGTGCAGTGTTCACTTTTTCGAGCTCTTCTCCTATTATAGGACGTCGAACGCAATCTTCGGAGATACTATTACTAGTCACTTCACAACTTAGCTGTTGGAAACTGGTTGGACCCAAACACAACACGAGAATGCATCATGATTGATTCTGGTTATGCAAAACCAACGAAACATACTCCACGAGGGGACCTATCACCATTGATGTTCCCGTTCATTCATCATGATACGCCTTCAACTATACTTGTCTGTAATTCCCTGTGTGTCCTTCGATGTTTAGGAATGTGTTAAGATTCAAGTTGCGAAATCTTTCTTCGAGACTGAAGAGACTTGCAATACGTATATATATACAACACCCCTACATAAAGGAAAGCCCAAACCCAGAGGAACACTATACCTCTTTTGCAGGATGTACCACTCACCGCACAGTCGATTTTTGTACGTCATCGCAAACCTTTGACATGCTATTTAGTCCCATCCTTGGTCCCGTCTCAGATGGATTCACCAGCCACGAAGTAACAGGTACTAGGCCCCGCCAAACACCACTCGTGCAGATGATGCTGTCTGTTCAAAATTTAAATGAGATTGCAAACTCCAGTACTTGCACGACAAATGTATCGCAAGATGTTTGAAGATGATATATGGTCCTTGGAATTCCCAAGTTCTGTAATATTTTGAATGTGGTTGCCTGGTGTAGTAGTTCCAGGGTAGTTCCAACCCGCGACATGTTGAGATGCCTAAGCTCTATAATGAAGGATCTGTGGATTGAATCACTTGATACAGGTTGATACATGAGCGAAAGAAGGTTCACGTGTCCCTGCGCGCATTCACATATCGGACACGGTTGTTTCTTGTTGACGTCCATAACGCTACATAATTTTCTATGGGTATTATCACTGTACGGTCACTTGCAAGAGCTCGTCTTTGGGTAGCACAGACGCGAGGATACGCGGCGGTATCAGCCTCTGGCCCTACTCCAAGCCTGACAATGCATACTTTGGGCCCATTTCAAGTATTTGACCGCGAAACCAAACGAATACAGAAGGACAGGGCCGCTTCCAAGGATGGCGGAGAATCAAGCAGAACGGTAGACTATGTACGAGACGAGATAGCTGATAGGATGATGGAACGGTTAGAGGTGCGTTTGTTCACTTGGCTGGGCCGCGAGTTTTTCTTATAACGAATTCCTGATAGGACATCAAACGCAAATTCAGCACCATAGTCGATTTAGGTTCAGGTTCAGGTCACTTCTCCAAACTATTAGACCCGGACAAGACGCAAAAATGCATCATGATTGATTCTAGTCGTGCGTTCCCAGCAAATTAGTGGAATATACTGTTTCTTGACTTCGATTCAAAGACGAAACTCTACACCGTGACCCAGATTCTGAATTTGAAGGTTGGTCTATACCTGCGGACTTTGTAAATGAGTTTAATTAAAATGCAGTTGAGGTGGAACGAGTACATGCAAACGAAGAGAATTTGCTTCAAATAATTAGTCCCAATTCACAGGAAGCCATTGTGTCTTGCCTGAGTTTACACTGGGTAAACGATCTTCCTGGTGGGTCAGGAGCGTAATTAATGATGTATGAAGTGGTCTAACCGTATCCTGAAGGTGTGCTCATTCAAATTAAAGAGGCTCTCCAGCCAGATGGACTGTTTTTGGGTGCTATGTTTGGAGGCGAAACTCTCTTCGAACTGAGGTTAACTAATTACTTTCCACCATTTTCTCAAAGATACTAAACTCCCATCGCTTCCCAGAACCGCACTCCAACTTGCCGAAGTCGACCGGGAAGGCGGTATTTCTCCGCACATCTCACCCATGACGGGTACGTTATGCCGCGACTTGTCATCCAATCGAATAGATGTTTAGGTAGCTCCACAGATACGAGAGATGTCTCCAACCTACTTGGCCGGGCAGGTTTTACCTTACTCACTGTCGACATTGATGAAGTGAAGGTGGCCTACCCTAGTATGTGGGAATTAATGGACGATCTGCGCGATATGGGAGAAAGCAACGCGGTCATTGGAAGGTCTGTTTTTTCCTTTTGCTTCGTTGTCCTCCTTAACTAACCTTTTCATCCTAGGCGGCATATAGTACATCGCGATACTCTCGCAGCCGCGTCAGCCATTTATAAAGGTAATTTCGCGCTCTTCTCCTCTGTTAAAACCTTGTTGAAATTGCGTTTCCTATATACAGAGTTACACGGTAACGGAGACGGCACTGTCCCAGCTACGTTCCAAGTAATATTTATGGTATGTTGATTGCTTTATTGGTCTTCCCCATATGTCTGACCGTCCTCTTTATAGATCGGTTGGAAACCTGCCCCAACTCAGCCGAGACCCTTGGAAAGAGGCAGTGGGAAGACAAATTTAAAGGATGTTTTGTAAACGCATCGAGCAATAATTAACATCAGTTTTGTCCAATATTAGCATGGACCTACTCCAATGACATTGACATGACCGGGACCTTCGGATTCGTTTTGCTCTTCGTCTTAACCATTTATTCGGAGCGCTCAAGAATCAGGAGTCTCGATTCGCATAGCCGTACATCCTGCATCGGTGAATCGGCGTTCGTTAGACTCATATTACCAACGCCAAGCTTATAAGCGCCCACAGTTGATTCCCTCCAACTTTGATCAATCCCATTTCCATAATCTCATTAATGCCAGGGGGTCGCAGAAATCCTCTCAGTGTCACAAAACTTGTGGAGAAAGTAGCAGATGTAGTACATACGGCGACGGGTAATGCTCACGATCTTGCAAAAGTGACCAAGTCAGTAGTCGACGACAAACTCAATGTGCCGTGTGTAGATTTAGTGATCAAGGTATACAGATTACTATGATGTTTTGAACCATCTCATCTCAATTCCATACTGAGTACAGTTTATTGGTGCTTCCGGGATCCCTAAACTGGATGTAGTTGGGACTGCGGATCCATATTTTGTGGCCAAAATAGACGATGAAGTTTCTATGGTGTGCGTCGTGTATTCTACACAGCACCAGAAAGTTGACCACACAATCTTAGCTCTACAGTGAAGACGAACACCCTCACTCCTGTTTGGAACGAAACATGGCGGGTCAAGAACGTGCCGATAACATCAGATTTACTTGTAGAGGTTTTGGACAAAGACTTTGGTTCTCCTATTGATGACTTTGTTGGAAAATTTAAGACGAGTGTGGCTGCTGGGGCGAAGGAATTGGAAATTGAGGGACCTTTATTTAGAAGAAACCGAGGAACTTTTTGGTTGAAGGTCCGTCTTTCTATCATATTCATACGCCCTGGTTCATGCTTCATACTTTCCCAGATTGATTCTACTCCTTCTTCTGACCCACCAGAACCCCGATTTCTATTCGACGGCCCAATCCGCTACTCACGCCATCTGTCGCCCACTGTGGGTAGATTAACCAATTTAGATGATGCTCGTCTCTATTCCACATGGAAGTTGTATCTCATCGGCGTTTCTTTATACTTCAAAGACGTGTATCAACATTGGAATGTCAATTATAAAGCGGCACAGACTATCTTTGGAACAGGAGCAACCTCACTCGCAGTACGCACTGGCATTCAAGCGGGTCATAAGATGCTCTATGCGCGCAGCACTTCCAACGGTTTCGGAGTGATCGAATCCGCTACAGACGTGCTCAAACTCTTTCACGGAGGAAGGTTGAACCCCAAGGGGATTGTTGGGAGCGACCAAGAATACTTGTCTGCACAGGATGGTACGCCTGCCGCACGATCTTTTTTCGCACATCGTGTCAAACCTGCAGTCTACACATATATTATTTCCGCCGAAGACGACTCTCTACGCTTCTCAGAAACTGGTGCCGCCTTCTTTGTTGATTTCGCCTCAAAACACGCTTTGCACGCGAACTGCTGCGACCGAGTGCGATATTCTGGTGAATTCCATCCTCGTCCGCGTGCAAAGGATGATTCTTGGATAGGATGGCAAGATTTTAGTGACTCTATGTCCGATGAAATGGTCGACTGGGAGGTGCTGATTGATAATAACTCCGGAACATACTCTCCTGATAAAGCAATGTTGCCCACTCTCCAGGCGTTACTGGAATATAATTTTCCTGGATTTAAAGTGCAGGCCTTGGATAGGGAGGATGAGGAACTCACAAAGAGTGTGCAGGCATGTCGGGATTATGCTCTCAAGTATAGAGGTGTACAGGTCAAGCACCTGCAACCGCACCTTGAGGAAGGCGAGGAATCACTGATGAAATGTGCGGGGGTTAGCAATCCTGCAATCGGTGTACAATGAAAGAAAGGAGACGATGATGGAAGTGTGCTGCTTCACATCGGTATACTTATTTTCTTTTTCATACTGTTTAAGATAATTCGGACGGCTAAGATATGTATTTTCAATGTATTAACATTCATCTCGTAGGTTATAGTATTCTAATGTTTATACGCCTCAACATGTGATGCATAATGTATGAAGTTGTACTCCATGTCGCAGCTGTGCACATTGCACACTGAAGAACGTCTCAATAGCTGGAAAAGGAAAATACATGAGGAAACAACTAAAACAAACTATAAATGAGCATCCAGCACTACATAAGAGTGTATCTTACAGACAACTGGTAGTCCCCAGATAAACAACGAATGATCACGCACATATGACAAGTAGACTGAAGTATATCCCTATAGCAGAACATGTATAGAATACAGCTAGTCCCACATTCCGAAAAGCTACCAGAGCTAGCAACAATTACAAGATTATCCCGTATCCCCATCTTTCGCACCTGGCTCTGAGGGAGCTTGAGTAGCTGATGATGGCGAAGAAATTTTAGGGGAGGACAACGAATTGGCTTTCGCCATCCCAATTTTGAGTTTGAACTTTTTGGGTGGATCGTCTCCTGTCTTGTTGCGATTGATCAACGAGATGGACAATCCTCCGGACATATCCTTCTGTTTTCCCAGATCAGGCTTTTTGGAAGTCTTTGACAATCTGCCTAGTAGCTCTTCGTCGTCCTCGTCGTCATCACCCCGCCGCCTTTTCTCGGCTGGTCTCATTGGACCGAGAGAATCTACGCTGGACATCAACCCTGGGGCAGGTGACTGCGGCCGCGATCGAGCGACGAGAGCTTCCAGCATATTATCTTCATCCTCCTCGTCCACCGAGGGCAGGCGTTTAGGTGGGGGGCCGTTCGGGGGTGAAGGAATTTGACGATGTGAAGGTTTAGGGCTTGACGGGGGAGCAAGGGTGGACGAAGATGAGGACGCTGAAGGATCTTCTGAAGTGTCGATTGAAACCGGCTCTTCATCGTCTTCGTAGTCGACAAGGGATCCAAGGTGTGGAGAACGAGAAGGTGGACGATGTGTCCGTATTCCCTTGTTTGAGAGAGCTCCAGCGACGGCCATACGGCGTTTGCGTTTCAAGCCATTAGAACTGGGTATAGGAGAAGACGCGCCGGTTCCTCTCGACCATGAGTGACTGATAGCAGGCACAAAATCGTCTTCGTCGTCTCCGTTGAAATAGTCTTCTTCTTCCGCTTCGAGGACACGGCTTCCAATCGGCCAGTTGCGAGTGTCGATAATTCTGGTCGAATTGGTGAATGAAGAAGGATCATTGAAACGGGGTGAGTAGATAGATATGAAAGAAGCAGAATTACGCACTTCTCGGGTTTTGCCTCGACCGGCATGGGCTCGTTGTTCATCTCCCATCTGCGAATGAAAAGCTGGAAACGCTGACCACCAAGGCGGGTCTCAGCCAGGGCTTTTATTTCCACTTCATGTTTAGTCATACAAAAGTTGATTTGGTCCTTCATGTTTTCCTACGTGACATTGTAAATATGTAATCACAAACGATCGACCTGAAAGAGGTACATACTCGCCGCATATGCTCAAAGAACTCTTGACATGAGCAGCTGAGAAGGTTATCCCGCCGTGACTCTTGGAGGGTGAGATCCAGTATCGGCTTGAAAATATCATGCTTCATCAACTGCGACATCATGTTCTGATTATTCTGTTTGAGCAGAAGCCTGAAGACTCGGAAGGCAGCTGAAGCAAGACGTTAGTGATTGGGACTCCAAAAACAACTCGGACCTACCATGCCGTAGATGTTTTTCTTTGGCTTTCAGGAGTGAGGCAACCTTTAGAACAACGTTCGTAGACAGTATATAGAAATGACTTCGAAACTGATGCTGCAGGCTGAAATTGTACAGCATATCGCACAGATACACGTATCGATTGGTCTGTTCGCGTGTCAAGGGATAAATTAACTCTGTGGAACGAGGTCATAATTAGGCCAATGTTCTGATAGAGATTTCGTACCGGTCACATTCCTCCAATCCGGAAGGTCGCTGAAGGGTTTGAATAAAATCTGAGCACAATTCTTGTAGAAATACTCTATGAACCGTTCTGTTCCAGGTTCATCTTTACGAGTCATCTTTGATGCCATTGCCTGTATAACGATTTGATTCCACACACACAGTTGAGAAAGGTAGGAGAAATACACACTTGTGTAGCCTCGGATCCTCCCGATGAGAAATTATCCGTCGAAAGGGGTACGTCCAACCAAACTTTCAACGCATCCCCAATCTGACTCTGGACCGCGAGATCTTTACTTTGTGATAAGTTCCGGCAGCATAGCTCCACAATCGTCTCCGCCTTATCAGCACCTCGCTTCCCTGCTGCCCTTTCCTTGTCAATTGCCACGACCTGCTTCAATACGTGGGCTCGAACGCCCCCCAAGTCGTGGTCAAGCAACGCAGCCAAAACCTCCCCACCAGCACTTATCATTGCCTTTGTCACTGGTTGTTTCTCAGAAAGACCTAATGCCCATTGGATGGCGAAGAGCACGCCGCGGTCGACCAGTGTTCTGAAAAGTGCCAATCGGGCAGGAAGTTGTACATTCTTTCCCATTACGCATAATTGTTGAATCAAGAATATCACGGATCGTCTAAGTTCAAGAGCAGCTTCTGACATCTCTTCCGGAGGGGCAAAAGAATAAGGTTGCTGTTTAGCTTGACTGGGTGTAGAAGGGCGCGGAGTGGGCGATGAAGAGGGTACATATCCGTTAGCCAAAGGCTGGGCGCCATTGGTGGGGCTCGACGTTGACGGCGGATCGTGACCATTCACTTGAGGACCAATCTGCTGCTGTTCTTGTGCCTTCCTCCCGCCGCCTGCAAGCATATCTTCATCAACATACAACTTGACGATATCTCGCAAAAACGCATTGTCTTGCTGAACGTGTTGAATGATGTCCATCTGGTTGAAGATGATACAAGAATTCAAAACATTGAATGTAGAATCGTCCAGTACCCTCGCTAAAACTACGTCTTTGAGAAATTGAAGTCGGTATGTGTGGTGGATTTTGCGGTGAATGCCAAAATCTCGAATAAGTACAGGCTCATGGAATCGGGTACCTTGAATCAGGAATTCACGGAAATTGGCTTTGTGCGTAGGGAATTCGGGATCGTCTAAAGACGAAGATTATTGGTCACGAGTAAAAATGTCAACTGGAAAGTCAAGAACACACATTCAAGCATGCCACAGACGTGGAAGAAATATTCATCTTCTAGGATCTGCTCATAGATGCCGTGATCGTTCAACATGACTGCGATAAAGATGTAAAAACTCTGGTTGACTGAAGTAGGTATAACGTACGTATCGTTTGCATAAGACTGCATAGTGCATGCAAATTCTCTAGACTCTCGGATTCCTCGGCCAGATGCAGCACCTCAATAAGTTGTTTGATATAATCCTGTGAAGAAGTTACGCTTAGCCTTTGTAGATGGTACAAAAATTCATGTATTGATAGTCATACGACGGTACAACTCTACAGTAGTGAAGACCTATAGAGACGCACCTCATTCTGGATATACTCGCATATTTTCTCCTTGACCTGTTGCGTTCTAGCCAGTGTCTTGATAGCCCTGTCTATTTCTCCAATCATGCCCAGGTGCGGAGCGGGTAAATGACCAGTACGAATGATGGTTGCAGTAGCGACAGACGAAGGTTCTGAAGAAGCAGGGAGAGGTGAAGATGGGTCGAGGGTGATTGAGCCTTGTTCTTCCGCTGCTCAGTGAGGGTCAGAAGTTACTCAGAAAAATGCAAAAACGAAAGACTCGCCAGCGCCACTCATATGTCTTTGAACGTCGACGATAAAGCTCCAAACTTCAGCACAACCCTCCGAATCTTGGAAACTTAATGCATAATCAACACCATCAGGTTCCGTCCATACAATCAGGGTTTCTAGCGCAATATAAGCACATGGATATGGATACGAATACAAGTCAGACCTTGCTGTCGTTGATACACGTCACTAGTACGAATAGTTGTGCTAAGGATAATGTCGTCCACCTCCTTCTCTGAACGGGCTGTCAAAAGTGCTTCAGATCCGTCCTCGGAGAGATGACCGAAGCAAAATGCCGTTCCTCGGTCTACCCAACGAGAACCTACAAGTTCGTATACCTTATGAAAAAGCTGTAAGTACACGCGTGCCGGTCAAGTGGATATGCAAACCTTGACGCGCTTCATTTCATTCGGATCAGCATTCTGCAGATACTCTTGGTCATCGTCAGCGATAGCACCAGCACCAGCACTATCACCGTTGAGCTCTCCACCCGGTTCCATCATCTCAACCTGACCAACAGTCAGATCCAACCTCTCATCGTGTTTGAGTGGTATAAGATTGCTGTGCTCAGATTGTGAAATGGACAAGTCGCCGTTTCCATCTGTAAGCGTCGCATATTCATTGTTCTCGGCATGCATTTGAGAAGAAAAGTTCATGGAGAGAGCGTCGTTTGTTGAGTCGATTTGAGTGGAAAGCCCAGTAGCCACGTCAGCAGTATTGGCAGAAGGAATAAGAGGTAGAGTCGAGTCCATCACATTGGGCTCACCGTCGCCGTTCATGGCGACCGGGACCAAGTAAAAAAGTCTGCTGAAGACTTGTGCTGTTTACTGTAATTGATTTGAATGATGACAAAAAAAACTTTTCCGAAATTTCGTCATCCCGTGTCCAGTTCTTTCTCTTTCTTCTACACCATCAATGAGCTCAAGAACAACGAGTGTGCTCACTATCGCTGGAATCGCTGTGCTCAGTATAGCCGCCTATGCTGTCTATTTCGACTACAAGCGTAGAAATGATGTTGAATTTCGGAGAAAATTAAGTCAGTCATAGTTTTTCGGCCTCATGTTTCCTTCACCAATCATTCATTTACACAGAAAAAGAGAAGAAACGCGTTGACAAGTCTATAGCATCCTCGAAGGCTTCTCTTCCCTCTTCCCCAGACGCTGTGGGCGTCGATGAACTCCGTGAAGCCCTAGAGCAGGTCAAAGCAGAGCAGGTTCCAATTTCGCCGGAGCAAAAGGAGGCATACTTTATGACCCAAGTCGCTTCAGGCGAACAGTTATCTCTTCAGGGTGCGACCACATTGAAGCCATTTTTTGTTATCTTACCGCTGTTGGCTTTAGGTCCAATGTTCAGCCTTCCGGCGGCTTTAGCTTTCTACCGCGCCCTCCGAGTCTACCCATCTCCAGTTGAGCTGATGGTGATATACCAAAAAACAGTCCCAAAACCAATCTTCAAGGTGACTATCATATGGTTGTTCACAGTCATTACTTTCTAATAGTTGTTACCGCATAGCTGGTCATTGAGTTGACCAACCTTGATGTGAGTATGTCTGTTCCAAAACCCGGCATGGACGACCTCGACGAAGAAACGAGTCCAGTCAGAGGGCCGCCCTCCGAGGCGTCTTCGCAGGAGTGGGACAAGATCTCCACATGAAAGATCTAAATAATCATCACCATCTGTACACTCTGCATGTCAAAAAGTCGTAGTCAGAGCTACCACGGATATAACTCTACGCATTTTGCTTTGCTTGCTCGTCTGTGTGTTCTAATACATTCTGTTTCTTTCTTCCTGTTGTTTCAGGTAAAAGGCAGAGTTGAAGGTGCGGCCTTGTGAGATATTCTGAGAACTAGTGTGCTAAGTCGATTTGCGTAGGGTATTATCTGAAATTTCCCCCAAAATCGTTTGGTGTCAAAGTGGAAACTCGGCAGGTGGGAGATGGGCCGAAAAAGACTCTTGTACTTACGAAGGGAGTGAAAACAGGAGAGGCTATATACAAGGTGCAATAGTTCATTCTTCACCAAACCCAACGTTGAATGATAGCGTCATAGGAATTCCCTATCGTCGCAGCTCTAGATTCTGATATTCAAGCCGCAGGGACACATTGCTCCCAATGTCTACGTTCTGTTGAACCTTCTATGTCCATCAGAGAACCTGAAAGCCATGCTTTAAATACCGTTTACTGTTCCGCTGCCTGCCAATCTGCCGCCAAATCTCAGTACTACGGTCTCCTCTTCACCCTCGAACGCCCCCTACCTCAGGAAATCCCTTCAGAGCCCAGCACTGCCGAGCAACTCAACGAGAGACGCAAAGCCCAAGCACAATTTGCGAACTACCTTAAAACCGAAATGCCTGGTCATGCAGCGCCACTCCTCGTAGCCCAATTCATCGCTCGTCAGGTCAACGTCGAGATGTCCAAGTTGATCTCCCAGACCTTGTCGAAAACCACAACGACAGCCGATCAGGCAGATTTCACTGACGCTGATGGTGGAGACTACCTCCTCGCTGATCACTTCGAGCGTTTAAGATATGTGGATGTGGATTCGCCAAAGGACGGTTTGAAATTATTGACGGCCGTGTTGGATAGCGCGATGCCTGGTTTGGACGCTTTAGCCACGGATGAGAGGTATGCTACTCTCCTAGGAAAAATGTTGTATAATGCATATGGAGTGTACTATGATGGTGGACGCGATGATAAAGTACGGTTTTCTCACCATATTACACATTTCTCCGACTAAGCTATCTTCCCTCAGCCTGTCACAAACAATCGTCCAGAAGACATCGAAAGAACTCGTACAGCCGTCGGAACCTCCCGCCAAATTGGTAGTGCGGTATACACCGTCTCCTCCTATCTCACACACTCTTGTGAGCCCACCGCCCGTCCTTCCTTTGACGCGGGAACCTCCCAACTACATCTCATCGCTACGCGAGACCTCAAAGCCGGCGAAGAGCTAACAGTCGCGTACGTTGATGTAACCCAACATGAGGGCGAAAGCGTTGTCGATTGCAGAAGGAGACGTAGGATGGAGCTCGCTCGAGGCTGGAAATTTGCTTGCCCTTGTGAGAGATGTGAGAAAGAGGCAAAGGAGTTGGGAGTCATCAGTGAGGACAAGATCAAGGATCAGTCGAAGGTGGAGAAAAGTATGGAACGTTTCGAGGCCAATGAAGGGTTGTTGTAGTTGGTGATCGTTGCTATTAATCTGAATTAATATTTATAAATTAGATGTTGCAAGGTCCTCATGCGATAGCAAAAATGCATGGCCACCGTGGTGGATCAAAGCTAGGACGCTAGACTGGCATCTCCGTCTTCCTGATTTCTACTTGTCCACGGTGTTGCCAGCACCGACAAGTCCTCTTTAGCTCTCCATGTGAGTCTTCATCTCCATGTGAGCCTTGATTAGGTGAGAATAGGCAGGTAGCACGAAACACGAAATCTGACATTAGAGAATGACGGTTGACCACTCTTCCTTGGCCTCGGTCCTCTTGATAGATCCAACTGACTGGTAACATTTAGCTAGCTTCATAGTTGGTGATGCCATCGTGATGCAGTGGTCCAAGATTCAAAGTGTTCAAGTTTCAGAGTGGTTTCAAGTTCACCGTCGCTTCATGGGCCTATTCAAGTTATGCTTTCCACCTTACACACTTCGTATTCCAATTCAACCTTTAAGAATCGGGGCTCAATAGGGCTCACGGCATATGACCGCAGACTCGGATGACGAATCTCATTTGTCACTTGCCAGTGAAAACCATAAATGAGCTGAATTATTGGGCTCATGCTTGCTTTATGGGATTGGTGTGATGACACTTAGTGCTAGATAAGGGGCTTATCTGGGGCTTACTTATAGATTTGCCTTCAAGGTACGGTGTGAAGGAGGTACTCAAGTCAATGGAACTGTATTTATACCGATGTGTCAATGCGGGATTTCGATTAGCGCGCAACTGGAACTTGATCCAGGATTTGTGGTCTCAAACAAGTCCTCACAGGACAGGATACGAAGTTGTCGACAATGAAGCAAAGGGTTTATCATTAAATATGTATGTGTGTTTGAACTATGTAAGGAGAAATCGGGAGTCTGGAGGTGTCCTCAATAAATCCATGGATACCAGCAGGATACCAGGGTCTATTCTCGTCTATAACTACCTACCCGCAAACCCGCGTTGATGATTCCATCCTCAAAGTAGTCCCACATTGTTCTGGGATCGAATAATAATTTGCTTTTTGAAGCTTGCTTCTCCGCAACTGGAGCCTGGGCGGAAGACGGAAACCTGGAAATGCTTGAGCCGCCAAGTCAGGATCAAAATTACGCGGAGTAGTCTTCCTATTGGTTGTATTGCTGAGGTGTCAGATAGATGATATACTATCATATAGTCGAGGAAAGCGTACAGTACTACTCGAAGAAGATAAAGCAGTGATCATTAAGCTCTCCCGCGAACTAGTACTCATGCCACGTGAAAAACATACATTTACTCACATTCATTGGGTGCTGAACGGAGATGGTATAGTACTCTGATATGATACTATTAATTACTGCGCTCATCCAGTTTTTCACCTTCACCCACGTCTATGTATCCATACCCTGGCAGTGACAGAAAGCGCCGTGCTCAAGGGGCCTGTGATTTTTGCAAAAAAAAAGTGTATTTTCTTATTACTTCCCTCTGACATTCATACTCACGCCCAAGTTTGAAGAAAGGTAAGTGGTGATTGAGGATGTTCAAGACTAAGTGCCTCACCAGTCTCGTGTCATCCTTCTGCAAAGTTCGCTGTGGGTATTCATAAAAAGGTGTTACTAAGCTGCCACTGACGAGCTGAACCAACTAGGTGACAGTGCAACAAGACCTGGTAATATATGCTATAATTGCCAAAATGCGGAGGTTGAATGCACTCACAACGCCGAACAAAAGGTGTCTTCCCTCGCTTCATGTGTTATCCAGATGCTTACAGCCTTTGAAGAAACGCGGACCCAGAGTCGGGTAAGCTCCAAATTCATGTGGTCATGGCAGCCTTCCGTTCACCAATATAACGTCGTTCAGAACCATTCGGAAACATCCTTCTGAATCCGTGCAAGCGTTGATCACAGCCGTACTGACTGAACCAAAAACCTATCCTATTCCCGATGATCCAGGGCTCGTCCGAAAAATGCTTGTTGATCTCTCTCAATGTGTTCGCGGATTAGAGAGGCAAATGTCTCGATGGCGACGCACCGTCCAAGAGATTACCGCCTCTAATACCCCAATAGGTTTCCAGAGTGACTCTGAAGATTCCGATTCATCAGAAGATGTGCCCATGGATGATGTACTCGCCACGTCCGTGCAAGGCTTCACACTCAATAACAAAACTGAGTCACCGCGGCGACATTTCGGTAAATCAAGTAACCTGGTACTGATGAGGACGGCGGTGGACATGAAGAAGGAAGTAATGGGAGATCAGCCAATACAGATCGTGGACAGAAGGCCGGAATTTTGGACTGTATATCCTGTGAGCTTCTCGCCTTGTTTTTTTCTGAACTACATAGCTCAATGTTAACTTCACAGTGGCAACGCCGAATCTTGAGACTAGATCAGCAAGTACCTCTCAGATTTCCCGCAAATGATTTACTCTGGAGCCTCATTGATCTTTACTTCATACATGTCCATCCATTCCTCCCCCTTTTGCATCGTCCGACGTTCATTAGAGCTGTATCGGATCAATTGCACATTCAAGATCATGGCTTTGGGAGCGTTCTTTTATGTGTCTGCGCAATCGCGTCTCGATTCTCTCAAGATTCTCGAAACTATCCTGAAGGTATAACCTCCGAGAATTCTCTGGGTTGGCCTTGGTACCAGCAAGTTTCTCAAGTACAGGCCGTTGATGTTGAGCCGCCTACACTGTATCAGCTGCAACATTGCTGCGTATGTGTTTGGAGTTTTTGAATTAGAATACAAAAACTGATACATTCTAATGATAGCTCTCTGCAATATACCTGAAGGGTACGTCCATGTTCCATTCGACATGGGGACTCATAGGTCTTGGAATACGTTTCGCACAAGAAATGGGAGTACACCGAAAGCAAAAAGGGCGACCGATGACTGTTCAGAGTGAACTCTGGAGGCGTGCATTCTGGGTACTTCTCGGGCTTGATGTGTTGGTGAGCATAAACTTTGGCCGACCTCGGGCAACTACAGATGATGAGTAAGTGGTAGATAAGGACAGTTCTGCAGATCCATCTAACTATTGATTCTTTTCAGCTTTGACTTAGAACCGCCGATTGAATGTGACGATGAATACTGGGAAAATGAAAATCCAGCTCAAGCCTTCGTTCAACCTCCAGGCGTTCCATCCACGACATCGTTCTTTATCTGCTATGCAAAACTCCTAGAGATTGCGGGTTTGGGGCATCGTATGCTAGTAAGTCCCACCTGTCGGTCCCAACGTGTTTTATGGTTAACAAGATCTTTCTAGTTTTCAGCAAGGAAGCTGCACATTTGGAAGAAAATTGTCGCCTGTGGCTCTAATTGGGACCATAAAGTCGTAACAGAGCTCAACTCAGCGCTGAACCAATGGATGTCATGTATACCAGAACATTGTCAGTCTACCCGTCATGCCACAAGAATTAATTACTGATTAGAATGATTTTGTAGTGAAATGGGATCCTAATAGAGAAGATGGGTTATTTCACCGTCAATCCTGTATACTCTATTGTTTCTATTATTGGACACAAATTCAGGTGTGTGGACGTCGTATGGGTTCGAACGCAGGAGTTTATCGAACGCCCAACAGATTCACAAACAATTCATCCCCCGATCCAATGAACCATCGATGCTGAAGTTCCCCTCGCTCGCGATATGTGCCAATGCAAGCCGAAGCGTGATTAGAGTTCTTGAAGTCATTGAAAGGCTCAACTTTGAAATTCTCCCCAATTTTACAGTAAGTATTTCACATCAACTCCCCTCGTGTACCCTGCCCAAACACATACATCAGTCCCCCGTATACGTCGCAGCGATTGTGCTCTTGATGAATGTATGGAGAAATAAATATTCTCTCATTCCCCAAGATACATGCAAAGATATGGATGATGTACGCCACTCCTTGAAGGCTACTGCCAATTACGAGAAGAAGTGAGTATCCGTGCTACCCCGCAATATTCTAGTGGAAGCTAACAGCGGGTTGTTGAATAGATATCAGATAGCAGGAAGGATCAAGTGAGTCTTGAATTCAATGGCTAAGCTGTAATTCGGTGCTAATATGAGGCTGGAAGTGATGCATTGAGCTCTCTGATATACATGGTCGAGCTTTACTTTGCGGGGCAAAGTGCTACTCGGGCAAGCCCTGCTACCGATACTTCTGGTTCCGTGTCGACCGGTTCTACATCTACTCCCGACGATATGTTGCAAGTGCCAACCGATAACAACAGTCCTACTACTGTCTCAAGCCTTCCAGTCACTTCCAATTTTATCGAAACTCCTCTTTATCATTCAAATGTTCATCCACCTACCACAATGGGTTCTCAGAAAGTCACAAGCGCGGAGCCAACTTATACCTCCGATTTCTCAAACTACTCTGCAGGCGGTAAGTCGTGGTTAAATCCGCTCAGATGAGAACGAGTGATTGACATTGGTAATGGTATTGCAGTAGCAGCACACCATCAAATGGATGTTGCTTCTGGGTACTTGGCAGATTATTCACAGGTGAATGCACCGTCATTTGGCACCGCTGTCCCGGCAGAAGATTGGACTGCGTTTATGGCGAATGTTGATGAGGTTCTGCTTGCTGTAGATACAAGGGGCTTTTCGTATCATTGACTGACAATAGTGTTCAGCAATTGTGTCTGTATTGATAGATGTATAGATAGACGTCAACGTATGCACGTACTAACCTAGATTCTTTTCATGTCAACCGTCTATGTACCCGAACTAAAATGGTGAATGCTCAACTAGCTGAAAACAAGCCCGCCGTCTACCAAGATCGTCTGACCCGTTACATAGTCTGAATCCGGTCCAGCGAGATATGACACCAGCTTCGCCGCATCTTCAGGTACGCTTGTCCTCCTCAAAGCAATATTCTTCGTGAACGAGTTGAAGTTTTCACCCTGTGGCAGCCCATTAATCTTTCCCAGTTCAGCGTCAATGTGCTTCCACATAGCAGACTGGACGATTCCTGGCGCATAGCCATTGACGGTGATACCATGCCTCCCAAGTTCAGTGGCGAAAGATTGGGTAAGACTTCGTACAGCGGCTTTACTGGCGCTGTACATGGGAAGCAAAGCATCTGCTTTGAATGACACACCGCTGAAAAAAAAGCTTAGAACATAGATTTGACATCATAGTTTGTGCCCACCTCGCAGCGTTCAAAATTTTTCCTTTTGTTCCTTGTTTGATAAACTGTTGTCCCGCTGCGATGTTCGAATTGACGACACCAAACACGTTCACCTCGAACAGCTTACGCATGTCCGCTTCTGTGACATCCATTGGCCAACCGACCTGAGCGATGCCCGCATTGGCAACCATGACATTGAGGGGTCCTAAAGCCGTGACGGAGGTAGCTATCATTTCTTGGACAGAGGCCATCGACGAAACATCGCCGCAGAATGCAACACCAGAACGTCCCAATAATTGAATTTCCTTGACCACCTAAAATGAGATCATCACTAATTAGCAAGCATTCGGCGATTAAGGTTTCAAAAAAGTATAATGACACACGTTATCCACGTCCTCGGCGTTCACGTCCAAGTCATTGACACAGACATCGAATCCATCTTGGGCAAGACGTAAAGCAATCGCCCTTCCTCTGCGCGCAGAGGATAAATCATATGTTAGAAAGTTCAAAGGCAATGGGTCGAGGTTGTTGATTCAAGAACCCACATCCCACGTCCTGCTCCGGTGACAATCGCAGATCTAGAATTAGACTGAGCTGTATTGGTGAGAAATCGCCGCATATGAGTTGCAGGGTTGCGACTAGCTCTCGTCCATCGCGGAAGCACCAACATTGAATTCACGATTCGAGAGAACATTGAAGGATCAGTGAAGCCAAAGAGAAAAACACACCTCCCCGGACCGAGTTCCGCAGGGGACAAGCAAATCAGGCCCCGGCAATTTTTTTCGAACCCTTTCCTGCAACTTATTCCATTTGCAACGCCAAGAGCCTCAGTGTAGCTCAGTGTCTTGTGCATATTGTTTTCACGAATCAAAACATTGCTTTATTCACTGCGCATGCAGGTCCCAGAATAACATCTTCATGAGACATACAGTAAGGATCCACTGAACTTCCATTTTTAGTGGCCCTTTCTGTTTATTTCCTATCACTTATTCCGTCGAATTTAAAGCGTTATTCTGCGTCGCTAGTTTGACTTTGATGCAATGAATAGGTGTGTGTCATCTGTGTGGTATAAAGTCTCCTTTTTGACTCTTCAGTACTTTGCCCCCCTCCTAAGCTTGAATGTCGACAGATTCCAGTTCCTAGTCAACCATCTGATTCCTGGATGCCCTTTGGCGGAGGAGAGGTGTGACCGCGCGCAACACATACGGACAAGAAAGTCTGGCGGATCGACCCAGACTTTCGTCAATGGTTGACCCAGGGCAGCCCAGGGCCTTAGAGATAAGCACACATCATATACATAGGTGACATTCCAACCAGATATAAGTTCTCTTTTGGCCAGCTGCGCAGTCTGAGCGGAGTTGTGTTGACTGGCATACTCTAGTAGCTCACACATTGAAGCAGTACATATGTTTAGCTACCTCGTAAGTTGAACCTGCTCGAGAAGGGGTAAAGCTTCCCAACATGCTTCCCCCCCGATTTCCACAACTTCCCACTAAACTGCAACGAACGGTCCTTTGACAATAATGTTGCATAGAATGCGAGCGGGAAGTCTGCAAAAGCGTAGGGATATGCGCGAGCTTCCCCGTCCTGGAAAGTGATCTTGGCAGTACCAAATTGCTGTTCCAAATACTCCTTGACCGCTGCATGCACCGTCGTAGCAGCCTGTTGTTTCATGGCTTGTATCTGCTTAGGTGAACCCACTCCACGCCTGGTTATCAAGTCTCGTGGCTGGTAGAAGGAGACCTTGAAATCTGAATCCGGAGAATCCTTCATCATGCTTTTTACGATATCCGACACCGATCCACCGGAAGCTGGGGTTGCCTGTATATGACTCGTCCCGGTCTGATAAAGGTGCGATTGAGCTTAAGGTAGCAAAGCGTAAAACTATCGCTCACATCATAGGCAAAAGGAACGGGCATTGTGTGCGTAACGGAGAATAATCCAAGGAGGACCACTAGGTACATATGAGAATAGCGCATAATGGTATGGGTGTTGCTGATTGTTTGGAAGCGGCGAGTGAGGGCGAGGATGTAGCAATGTCTAGGGGAAGCGATCACTCGAGCGGTAAGGTGTCCCCAAAGAGCGATGGCGTTGGATCTTTGGCCAGCAAAGATATGTGTGTAACCAGCAGTTGCGGGGAGGTTTTATAAATTATGAGGTTTTAACTTTTATGTACCCTCGATTATAGCATCTGTTTCATCGGGTATCTGTAGGTATCTGTTGATGGTTGTCTTCGTGGTCCGTCGGGGGGATTCGTGCCTGTGAGAATTGCTGAAATGACAGGTATGGCCAATAATCGATAAAGAACGAACTCCGTTTACCAAGGTCTATGTACCCACACAAGCACTAGCACTGTAAATAAAGTCGCACTTGGTTCTGCCAGCTGCATGTTGCGGGGGAACAATGATTGAAATTAAATCTGCAGCAACTTTATTTGGTTATGTGAGCGTACAACATTGCACTTCTTCACGCCTGAGCCTCGAGCAGCTGATCTTCCTGCACTACCGTTTCCAAATCTTCAGCGCCGATCTTCAATGCTACCTGATCACTTGTAATGTCTCCACCTTCCCCTTCTGTTACAACATCTTCTGTTTCTGAAAGGCTCTTCCTGTCCTTCCCTTTCTTCTTGCCGTCGAGGAATTTGCGTTTTGGAATGATACAGTTGAAGGCCTCCTCCCAATCCCTAGTCTCGACCCACTTGAGCATAATCTCGAATACCTGATTGACGGTGAGCACCTTTCGTGTAGGCAAAGAGCTGATGTATTTTCCGATAGGAAGGCGAGCATGGCGAATAGATTCTTTGTTCGCTTTATCGAAGGTCAAGTTCTACGACAGGCACGTCAGTACACCAATCAGCGAGATAGACAGAAGATATTCCGAGAACCTTATAGCGATTGCGATCGACTAATGCACCTATAATATACGTTTCACCAGGCTTGAGTTCCTCGATCTCCTCTCCAGAATCAGCGGTGAGGTACACGATGTTCTGCTTTTGAACATCCAGGTCTGCTTGTGTAAGACTTGCTTCTCGAGTGGAGCTTGAAGCACCTGGAGACGACCATAGACAATCATAACTATTCTCCCACCACTCAGTATGGGTCCATCTTTTGTAAGCACCGTCGTTTATCGCTTCTAATCGGTCTCGCGTACGTCCGTTCAACGAAGTGCATAGCAAAGTAAATGGATAAGAGGCATTGCGGTTTGCACTATACGTATACGCGAGCTGTGAACAGAGTGAATTGATTTCCTAGAACAAACATCAATATTTTCGTCTTCCTTGTTTGATAATACACGGAGAGGAGACCTTTTCTGACATCAACTCGTCGAAAGACAAGTCCAGCACAATCTTTCCTCCAAATCCACTCATTTTTTGCCTCTTCCTGGCCTTCTCCTCGAGCTCGGCAGAGTCATCCAGTTCCCCAGCAGCTCTTTTCTGAGCCTTTAAGCGCCTTTTCTCCTTTTGCATCTGCTTTTCTCGAGCCCGCCGTTCGAGCTTGAAAGCCTGGTAACGCTCGGCTTTGGCTGCTTTTTTCATCGCCTTTTTGCTCATTTTCACTTCGCTGATAGATTCTGTATCTGGAGCTGGGGAAATTTCCAATGTTTCATCGTTTGAAGGAGCTTCTGGAGCATCGATTTGGAGAGAGACTGGTTCCTCGAGAACGGACATGATGGAAGCAAAGTGAATCCGGGATCTATCCTGGATCTATCCGAATACGGAACGGAAATCCCGTTGGCAACCGAAATTTCGCAAGTTTTCATCGAACCTTCATCTTTTCTGCTCATCAATGGCTTCAGTAGCGACAGCTCTTCATTCCCTCACTGTTCCTGCAGCGAAGAAACATACAGCAACGGTCATCTTTGTTCATGTGAGCGCATCATCGTAATTACACCAGCTCTTTCTCCATGAATTCAATAACTGATTGATATGATCGTTCTGTAGGGACTGGGAGACACTGGACATGGTTGGGAGCCCGTCGCGAATATGTTCAAAAAAGAACCCACCCTCGGACATGTGAAATGGGTGCTGCCTCATTCGTATGCTCCCAGTATCAAGTTCTCGCAATCATAACTCTCATTCGCTCTTGCTACAGACCTCAATCTCCGGTTACTGCGAATATGTGCATGGTGATGCCGTCCTGGTCAGTCTAACTGCAATGATGTGAAACTTTGATTCGAAGTTGAATGCGCACTGCAGGTTCGATATTAAATCATTTGGCTTTAAAGACGTCGAAGATGAAGCAGGGATGCTCAAGAGCAAAGCCTCTCTTACACAGTTGATCGACGCAGAGTTGGCTGCAGGACTGGCACCGAACCGTATTATACTCGGTGGATTTAGCCAGGGAGCAGCAATGTCGCTCCTCACTGGTCTGTCATTAGACAAACAGCTTGCGGGGATAGTTTGCTTGAGCGGCTGGGTGCCCATCAAGGATACATTACAGAAAGTGCGTGCTTCCTTTCTGCTGCAATCGCTCCTTCTGCTAATTTCGGGTGTTATCTCTCAGATGCTCGCACCTCATTCGAAACAAATGCCCATCTTTTGGGGTCATGGATCGAGCGATCCGCTCGTCAAACCCATATTCGCAGAAGAATCAGTCGAATTTCTGAAATCAGTTGGCATATCGAATGCAAAACCTGGGGAATTGAGTGGACTTTCATATAACGTTTATCCTGGTGTTGGTCATAGCACTAATATGCAGGAGCTAGAGGATTTGAAAGTGTGGATTGCCAAAGTTATCCCAGAGCAACCGTAATTTTTCTTTCTTCAACCCGTCGCAGTCATTGTACACTATCAGCGTAGAAAGCTATTCAAGTCATTTCTCGAATTTCGTGCATACACTATTGGAGGCCTCAGATTCAAGGGTATCAAGATTAAGCTACCACAGGCTTCAAAACACCGATTATCAACGGTACACTCAAACTATGACAATGTAACGCGATTCAGGCTGCACTGCAAAAAGGTAAACGATTGACCACTGTATAAAGGAGAGTGAGAACGAAAAGGGCAGAATTGAAGGAAATCTGTCAACGAGGTCGTGGAGAATAGGGGATGTGTGCTTTACATTTGATTTTCGGGAATGCATACCTGGCAGTTTCGATGTGATGCTTTTGGAGCCGCATGTACAAGCCAAGTACTACATTGTACAAGCTTAAGCCTAGGGGCGCAAATGCCTAACTATGCCAAAGACAATTGGAAGTCACCGAACCAGTGGTTGGAGAATCAATTAGCTTGGAAAGTAGGCGTCTCTTCGCCGTACCCATCTGAAAAGAGGGGTTGAGAGAGGTTGAGAGAGACTCGGAAGCACGGGCCATACATAAAGCGTTCCGCCGGATGATTCGGAAGGACCGTAATTACGGATAAGATTTAGTCCTTGTACTTCTCCCATCGTCATCCTGGCCTTTCGTTCGCGCCAGCTTGACAGTCATGGGCAATGAACAGAACACGTTATATTCTTGCAAATGTATCAACGTTCAGCTTAAATCTTCAGCGCCGCCGACGACTGGCGCGCAGTCTGACCTACCTCCAGCTTCTGCATGGACCACTGTTTTTGTTCCACGAGATGAGGACATAAAGATCGTAAGTTGCGATCCTTTCTTTGCTTTGTGTCTTGTGAAATTTTGATAGATCTATCCTCATTTGACGTTGCGCTCTCGACATCGAGCACCGTACATTCCGGATCCTACGCGTTGTGCAAGATATACGACGGTCACTTGTTTGTCATGCCAAACTCTTGTTTATCGTATCCACCAAACTGTCTTACTGGACGACGAAGTAAACATCCGAGAAGGTCCGATTATCGCCAAAGGATGGGTTTTTGAAGAGGTCCTGCGTAGTTCTTCTGGGTGGCTTGAAGTTTCCACTAAAGACGTACTAGTGAGTTTTCTCGATTTTATGTGTCGCCTCATTCAACTATAACTGTTTTTTTAGGTCGGTGAAACTGTCGTTAACCAGCAAAAAGCACTACCACAGTTTTCTGAATTGTTTGGAATAGTTCTTCCTTCATCTACTTCTACTTCTTCACTCACCCCAGACTTTGATTCTACTTTACAATCTATTTCACAATCACAACTTGTGCCGAGATACCAACTTCCGCCTATACCAGCCATATTCCCCGAGCCTAAATCAACTCGGTCACTGTTTACAGTCCTAGCCGCGGTTGCCACTCGTCATTCAAATGCTATACGAACCGAGGCGGAAGAATATATTGACCGCATAGTGAAAGAGAAAGTTGAAGAGATTAGACGGGCCGAAGCCCAACTGAAGCGAAACGTGCTTGCTCTTATGACCGCGTACAGCGATGGTATCAAGAAAGCGGAACAAGAACAGAACGCACTGCAAGAAGGTTCATCTCAAACTGAGGCAAAAAAAGAGAGAGTGCCATCTCCACCGGCTAGTCCTAGTACCCCGGTTTTTACGGGGGCTCCATCCTCCGTTATACGCGATTTTGTACCGATGAGGATTACTCCATCGTCTACCACTGCTCCGGCAATACCATCCACTTCTTCTCCACGTGTTTCAAGACCTTCTCCCTTGATTAACGGTTCCTTACCACGCATCTCTGCTCTATCTGCATCCCTCGCCACTTCTTCCTTTCATCATCCAAGAGCCGGAAACGCCATCGCTGACGGAGCATCTATACCACCTATAAACCCGTCGCGCACCACGGCGGACGCGGATTCGCTCCACTCCCTTCGCTCTGCGTCGTCTACGACGCTAACTGCACCACAAGATTTTACCAATGTCTTCCAGTACCCCAGATTGATCGATGACCAGGTGAACACTGCCGCGAGTTTTAGGTATTTCCAGCTGGAGGATGAAATGATGAGGCGGAAACTTGAAGCGGAGAGGGACAAGAAAGCCAGAGATGGCTTACCTGCGACGACTTCTGCTGGCCCTAGTAGAATATCGGCTCCATCGGCTTCATCCTCAATAGTCAATGGGGCAGTGTCAAAAATGGAGCAGGGCCATAGGAATGACAAGGCTACGGCCGTCGAGCCGCAAGAGAAGTTGAAGGAATCAGAACTCCAGGATCAATCGCAGGCTTCCCCAAAATCTAAAGGCAAACGGAAAGTGACATTCGACGTACAGCTCGATCCCCCTTCCAATCCCGTGGAAGATGGGACGAATAATTTATCCGAAGGTTCGATTACATCGTTATACACCTTCCATCTTTGATTAACTTTCCTCTCAAGACATGTTATTTGATTATGAAGAGGAAACGAATGGACAAGACACGACGTCTGTCGTTCTATCCATGTCTGAATCTGTAAGTCAGCAGGGAGCTGTGTCTAGACGACACGATAAAAACTCTAGCGGAGGTGGCTCTCCAGTGTCGTTTACTGGACCAATTTCGGCTTCATTGCCCGCGTCTTCGCATATTCCCCTTCCTATCCCGTCGCGAATTCCTCCTAGAACCATCGCTGCCGCACAGAATGGTTCAGACAAAGGCAATCACGCAGAAGCAAACCACAACCAAACAGATCCCGCCTCCGATATCGCATTCGACTTTACTACCACTAATTTTGATGCGCCAAGTGCTGCCCGGGCGTTGAAACGTGACCGACATACTCAAATACTCAATCTCCTGGCAGCAAGTCTGCCGAGTCATCGTGCAGCATGGGCAGGGAAGAACTACGAAGCATTTGTTCGTGGTGCGTATGCGAAGACTAATGAAGACTATGACGACGACGAATTTGACGATGGTGGCGATGATATGAAAACCGAAGAGTGTAAGGTTTAAGTTTCGTTTGGATTTTGATCTCCCTACTCAAAAGGGTTTTTTTTTTGTACAGTACAGCCCGAACTGTCACGCGCAGGCATCCCTTCCTCTGTCCCTGTAACTATCAACCGACCATCCAAGGTACCACCGTTGAGTCTAGCGTCGTATCAGCCCGCAGTGCTCACAGAGAACATGGATAACAATCGTCCCTTACAAGCGGATGTCATGTATAAAAAGCGTGCATCAGCCGCAGCGCTACGCCGTGCATCGTACGCGGAGCGAGATATTGAACGAGGTGTAGATCCCGGGATGTTTGATTATCTGCTGGCGGTGCATCACGAAGAAGATGAGGAAGATGAGGATCAGTTAGACGGCCATCAGGATTCCGAGCACGGAGAGAATGGGGAAAGTGCAACGAATAGGGCAAATTCGGAAGATGCGAACGGGAGTAGTAGAGGACCAACCGGAAATCGGAAAGGGAGGGATCGGGCACATAAAATTCTTGAGGCTCAGGCAAAAAGTGGGGTTCCGGACGATGAGATGTGGAGGAGTTTGATCTAACATTTGTTGACGGGGCTCATAGTACATAACTAAGTATACCGTAAATTTAATTAGTATCTTGTTGTGTTTGATACTTGCTGTAATTATTGCTCTAATACGTGAGTTCGAGCAGTTGGTGGTACTAGTTGTGGGGTGATTGTAACCAAAGAGTCTGGATTTGACTATCAGTATCAAGGTAGGCGTTTTCTCCGAGAGAGAGAAGGACTACACGTGATCTTTTTCAGACTCTCCCACCGGCACCGATTCTCCCAAGTCCTCCCACACAGCCGCTACGCCCAGTACTATTAATTTTTCCTTTTGTATAACTTATAAGATTCTTGACTCGAATTCATAAGGTTGGTCACCCGTGTCTCGTCCTTTCGTGAGTCGAACATGATATTGAGAGAAAGTTCTCTGATTCACCTCCAACGATTCTAGTCTTTAAAGCTTTAACACTCATTCACTCCACAAGTCGTGAATTGTTCATATGATGGTCTATTTTCCAAATACCCGTTTCTGTACAACACGTTTTCGGAAATTAACACCTTTTGTGGACCATATGTATGCGGATGAAGAAGATCTCGACATGTGTCGCGCATTTTTACGATCGGTAGTGGCCCATGGTTATAACGGGTTAAAGCCAAAGTAGAGCTGCTTTTCGTAATTATCATAAGAATTCAGTGCGGTATGGACTATATTTTCTACCGAGAGGCGCTGTTGCTTCGTAGTTGCTCTTTATCCCTTCCCCTACACCGTCGATTCAAATCCGTTCTCTTTGATTCTTACTGTGAACCTGCCCGACTCCTGGCCTTGCCCCTCGTTCGACGTTTGGATCGATTCCATTCGCGATGTCAAATCAGACTTCTTGGTTGGACGGGTCACTTCAAGGCCAAACCATTGATAATACACTAGGAGCAGTATTCATTGGAATAGTCGGAGCAACCTTGTGAGAGATCATTCCATGTCCCAAATCTTAATCACTGAATACAATCATGACAGTCTTTTCGGCATTACAACTCTTCAGGTATACATGTACTATCATCACTATCAACGGGATTCTTACCTTCACAAACTTGCGGTGAGTACTATTTATATTCACCCGAGATCTTTTGACAGAACGCGAATAGGTTGCGATCCTATGGTCAGTACAGTCCTCTTAATCTCTCCATGTATTGACGATGGATCACGTCCAGGATTCTTGACACCGTCCATCTCGTGTTGATTGTTCACGCTACATACCACTATGCTGTCAAGGGATTCGGGGACGCGTCAAATATGGCTTTCATCGTTTGGTATGTTTGTTCTTTCGAAAAAGATGTATTCGTCATGACTGAATGATAATTCTCCAGGTCGGTGAAGGTCAGTACCGGTTGTTATTTTTGGACATTTTTTTCCAGGTATCTAACGCCTCCACTAGCTCCAAGTAACCATTAACGTAAGTGGCCTCATGGATTCTTTGATGGATTAGGCGTTTCGAGCAATAGTTGCAGGTGATCATCATTCTTTTTGTTCAGAGGTACCTTCTATCGCAGTCTTTCCCTTATGCTGCAAGCTCATATATTTTCCCAGTTTATACGCTTATCGCGTCTGGATCCGTATGTCCTTGTTTCTCGCACAATTTTGTACCCTAAAATGTACTTATTCAGTTGGTGGATATCATCATGGCGTTTTGGGATATGTTGTGGTGCGTATCCTACAGGGACTTTTGTTGAAGAGTTGAGTGTTGATGACTCTCAAGGCCGGCGTTGTGATAGGCGGATTCGGTGAGTCTCACAAACCCCCTTCACCATCGGCGGCCTTCATGTGAACTTTCCTCATCAGGTATTGGAGCTAGTGCGTACATTCTGTCTTCATACTTTCGCTCGTGTTCCCAATATTCGAAATTTAGCCGTGGCCTACAAGATGTGCGGTTCTTTTGTCAATCAGGTGTACTTCGCTTTAATTAGGATTTTACAGCTATACGATTCAAATGTTCGAGGAACTACATGCCATTTCTGTACGTTCCTTGAATCTATGTTTATTGTTTTCATATCATTGTGTGCAATCTGTAGTGGACCATCTATCTGTCTTTGGCAACCTCGACCGCTATTGATTTCACCATTGCTTCGACCATGTGCTACTACCTTCACAAAAGTCGAGGATCCGAGTCACAGTCAGTATCCCGTCTCAAGTGCCTGTGCAAATTTGTAATGATTCTGACCTTATCAAGGTTGAACTCGAGAATATCGACGGTTATGCAATATACTTTGAGTTCTGGGCTTTTCACCAGGTGATGACTGCTGTACATTCCATGTTCCTATTTACTAACTTATACATCTAGCGCATGTTCTTTGTCAACTTTATTCACTGTAGGGTTCCCAACGTCACACAGAACAACATCATTGACGCGTGGTCTTACAGTACACCCTTATGCCGGACAATCTGATTTTTCTAAGCCTTCAGTTCCTATCGACGAAATGTTTGTGCCCATATCACGTTTTGTTTGAGTATTGTTGATCGAGAATCTTCCCAGTCTACGTTGGCTCTTTCTTAGCCATGCTCAACTCCCGCCAACATAGGAACGTAGACGGGCAACCGTCTTCAGGCGTCAAGCCTGGTATAGAATTCAGGGTACAGATGTCGACGTTTACCGACGAGGACGCCCAATGGCAACACGAAACGTCCTCAAATTCTCCACATAGTCCAGCGTCAGAGAGTCAGTCCACATACGTCGTGAGTTTCTTCTGTCCTGTATTTGACCAGAGACTGACAGTCTTGGGATCTACTTTTCTCTACAGAGCTTTGAACAAAATTCAAAGAACTCAGCATGGCATGTAGATGTAGAACCGGTGCATCCTTCAAATACTCTGCAGAGAAGTGTTAGTAGTGATTCCTCAAGTTCGCTGAATACGTTTCTTACCGCAAATCCTCTTGTATGATTCTATACAACAGGGACGACCTGAATATATGTCCCAGTGGTAAAAGCATAATCTTCTTGTTTCCTTTTGAAATTTTGGGACTCTTCGAAATTCATCGTTTTGTATTCTTTCTGGTATTTACGCAACACAGAGTGCTGCTCATCGGTATACTACTACCTTAGTTGGAGTGTTGTATAGCATAATTCGTGTATAACAGTCAGTGGAATTACAATCAAGTACATCTAGGATCTTGAGTTATTGCTCAAAACCGTTGTTCTTTCGGTTTGCAAAAGTGGAAAATGACTGGTGCCACCCATGATCAGCGCAGTCACAGCAACAATTAGACAATTACGTCATACGATTCGGAAGAAGACCTCGAGGCCGGCTTGAGGCTTGCTTTAGGACCAGGTCATAGGTTCTGTATCAAATTGAGGCCCTTACGATTTGGATATCATTCTCTCTTTCCTTCGGCCGCGTCGTATTCGCCACACGAATTACCTTTCGACTTAGCCTAATCAGTTCTTAACGTTGACTAAAGAAGTTTAAATCACATCGCTGGCACCCCTCTAGCCCTGAAATCCTCTACTATGGACTTGAACCGAGGAGGGAAAACTCCTCCTCCAGCTTATACACCGAGCCTCGCAGGTCCATCTTCATTGCCGCAAGTTCCAAATGGCAATCGGATTCAACCTGGCACTGATTTTGACACGTATAGTCAGTTTAATAGTGTCAACTACAATCCGTGGGCAGCCGTTCCCACTCCTGCACATCCTAATCCCCTAAGCTCGGGGCCAACACCAGCATCTGCGCTTTCAATACCATATGCTTACTATGACCCGCGTTCGGCGCATTCCCTTGCTGAAGCAGATGTCCGGGCAAAGTGGCGCTTCTGGCTTACACTGTTATGGGTGCTAGGAGCATGGATGATATGTGGACTGTTGGTGAACTGGATCGAGCAGATGCATCCAGGTTGGTTCGAAGATATCGAAGAAGGATGGCACCGATGGAGCAGGGATGGTAGATTCTGAATGATTTTTGGCAATTGCGTCTTTCTTGGTGAGATTTTGTTGACTTTTCAGTTGAACAAATGCTTATTAGATTGCATGACCAGTGTCCTCTACTAAATCTATTGCATTCTGTTCACAGACGTGACTTAATTGACTTATCCACCATGCATGTCCTGTACTATTTCATACCCTACCCTTCTCGTTGTGTCTATCGCAAGAACGCTGCAATACACTTTATTCCTTCTATCTAGCACTTGGAAGAGTTCCTGGTGGTTCTACTCATTCTAGATCGCGATTCTCTTGCAGGAAGACTCGGTTCAGAGTCAGGTTCGTTCTGAAACATTGAAGTTTGAGACTTTGGGCGAGTGTTATTTGGCGCCCGCGCGTGAATTGGCCACAAGTCAAAGCGTGTTTTACAGTACCAAATAGGGACTATGTAAATTATAAGCGGTGACGGGCAGCTGCGAAAGCAGATGTAGAGTTCAGTGATCCAGGATCCTACCCATACCATATATGTTCATTAATTCCTTTATCTCTCTATATGGGTTGGGATCCTGTTCATAAGGATCACAAAGCTGAACTGCCGCGGCAACTTAGGTTGCAAAAATGATTACACGAACTTAGGCTCAGCCCGGCCGTCGTGTGAGGTGAATACCTTAGTCTGACAGAGGGGGATATTAAAAGAGCGGCCCAACAGCGGGTGATAAGTGTCCAAGAAGGAACTTACTGGATTATAGTCATTCTAAGGCACTTCGGTGATCAAAAACTGTGAACTTTTTGTTATTATTCGCTATGTAAGATCTGCTTTACACTAATTGGCGGCTTTCCAAGATGATAGATTATACTACCCGAGGATCCATCGAAAGAGTTGGTCGAGAACAAGACTGAGATCGAAAGAGCCGTCCGTACCTTTCTCCAACGCCAATCATTCAAAATTTTGATTTGCAACTAAGTGCGGAAATCACACATCATAATCGCCTGTAAAAGATAATAATTCTGCGGTAGTGCTGACTGTGCAGTACAGAAATTTCAATGTCAACTCCCACCATGGCCTACTATCTCCTACTATGACCCGGGCTCAATAAAACTCTACCAATCTCGTTACCTGTTCATCTTCGAACTGGTCTTGTGTCAAAGCATCCTCGAGTGTCTACAAAAACATAAGCCTCAAATTCATGCAGAATATTGAACTATCACCAACTTTGTTTACCGACAAAAATGCTTCAATGAGTTCCTTACCAAGGACCTCACATAATTGACCATCGCCGCGCAAATACGACCTTGCTTCTCCCGAGCTTGCAGGCATTCTCTTAGTAATTCCGTGAGTCTTTCTCTCTTCTTCGGTCATAACCGCCGCTGGTTTGGTTCCAGCGTCCTGAACTTCCAACTGGACATCCCCGGATCCGTCACTAACAGCCCCCATTTCGGCCAATGCTGAACCAAGAACTGCCGCAAGGGCAAGATGCGGATTCGCGGTTGCATCGATGAACCGACACTCGTACCTTCTGGAATTGGGCGAAGCAACATTTGTCAATCGGATCGGCGCTTCCCGATTTTCCGTTCCCCAAGAAACATACGTTCCTCCGCTCCAGGCACCGTCCACTGCTCGCTTGTACGACGCAGGGATTGGCAGTGTGATGGCGGCGATGGCGGGGAGATGGGATAGGACCCCGGCTAGAAAAGCTTTCTCAAGCAACGACAATTCGCCCGGAGCTTTTCTAAATTCGGGGCGGTTAGCAATGTCATGCACGGAGATGTGAGCGTGGGTGGAGGTCCCGGCGCTGTACATGAATGGACGTGGAGCGAAGGTGGCATGGACGCCGTGTTTGGCTGCGACGTTGACGATGATTTCACGTGTGTACACCAAAGCGTCTGCCGCCTCCAGTGGAGGAAGTGGACCAGTCGCGACTTCGTATTGACCTTGTATTGTCACGAGATTAGAATGTTTGCGAAAGACTCAGTGGAAACTTACCTGGCGCAGCTTCTGGGTGAAAAAGTTCAACTGTAATCCCACTGGCTTGCAAAGAGTCGGCTATCTCTTCCATTATTTCTGCTTCTATCGATCCATTGAGCATACCAGCCGAAGCAGACCACCCATGCACGTTCATGGACACAACAGGGTTAGTCGATTTGAGTAGAATAAATTCGCTCTCGAACCCGACCAAGAATTCTGCAGAACACTTGGTTCGTACTTCTCTGTTGCTCAAATTCATCTCTTTGCATCGGATGCTTTACCATGACATACCGAATTATCCGACTCAAGGCGGTCCTTGGACACATCTCAACTTCGACGCCACTCTTCTTGCCTTCTGGACTCTTGTTTTCAAATTTGCCCAGAATCCCAAATATCGGACTTTTGCCCACACCATGCAAAATTCGCAAAGAGCTTAGATCTGGCACATAGAGATATTCACCGATTGGGTGAAATCCTTCGGCTATGGTTAGGTAAACGAGTCCCAGAGCGACTTGACCAACGTTGACCCCTGGGCGGTTGGATTCCATGAGCTGCAGGAAGGATTCCCGTGGAATGACACGGCATCGACGCGTATTGGAGAGATCCACCCAATATAGTCGAACGTACTCTAAGAGACTATCGATCAGATCCCGAATAACTGACTATGAGGACGCAGGAATCTTACTGAGCTCAGTCGAAGCCTTTATATGTGCCAAAGTTATTGCCTTTGAGCTGGCCTTGACAGTCGCTGGAGTGTGAGTGATTCCATGAGTGAAATTCATGATGGTGGGTTATTGAGAAGAGAAACGAGAGATCAAGTAGCCGTAATTATGTATACGATCAATCCGAGTCACCCACAAACGGACGCGCTTCGCATTACTGTGAGCAGACTCATTTCACTCAGCTCGGAAGGATACATGGTAGGACTTCTTCGGCGAAGGTACCTTCACCAAGTGTACAGTCATCGGTTTTGTTGAAAATACTATTGTCTTGTTCAAAAGCCGACTGAATGTACAAGGTTGCAGTATAGATTGGTCGATAATTACGGGTGATCGTGTATAAAGCTGCAATAAGGGGGCAGGATAAAGAGGCATTTACATGACATTAGCGCAGGATGGCTAATGGCCTTGTGCCGAAATAGAGAAACTGATATTGCCTGATATTGTCTGGACAGTTGCACCTATTTGGCTTTGTTAATCTCAATCCTTCGCACTGTGTCCGGACCCAAGAATCGCATTCGTTACTTCCCTAACATGCAAATAAACAAGTAGAAAACTTCGGACCTGCAGACAATGTCAGACATACTGCACTGAGTGCAACAGGCAATATAAGTTGGAGTGAGTTTGAGTTCAATGAATAAAGCAATCGTCTCTAATACGTCAGGAACGAGACAAAATACTGTTCAATGGAATAGCGCAATAGGTTGTTGAAACCATTCCGTTGAAGTATTCAGTAAACCACCGAAATACAACATATCAGCGATACTGGATGAGGATGCATACATCATTCAGCGTAACACGTACTGTATATGGCTCTGCTTGGTTTGACGAATTGACGAATCTGATTGGCTAGACAAACACAAAAGACAATTTGGCGCCCGCTGCTTTTTGACGTCTGCTGGGCTCTTTTTTTGTTGCTCACTGCACGGGCGAAGGGAGTGAGTGGGCGAAGCAAAGCGACGCCCCGAGCAGAACTGAGCTGCCCAACGGGCATTGCACGGATCACTGCTAGCTGATATGAGAAAATCTAGTGAGTAATTCGGTGACCTCCCGAATTATCACCCTTTATCACCACTACCCAGTGGAGTCCGAAGTGTTTTACAATTCCATCTGCTTCATTGACACGTCTCTCAAGGTCTCTTACTCCCAATTGTCATGGTGATTGTGAGGAGCGGAGGAGAGCAGTTTGTACAAATATCATACGTATACACTGTGTTGGCCAATTGCGAGTACTTAGTGTCGCCCGGCTGTATAGATTGATTCTTCGTTACTGGTGATCTTTTACGGTTCCCTATGTATGTACTCAGTAACACTGTTCGTCGTGGAGCCAATCTAGTTAAATGTGGCTAGGACTATCGATATCATCATCACCTACTAGTACGCCACAGTATGCCACATTGCCCCTTGCGTTTGTAGCCAACTTTATAGCTCAGAGAAATCAAAATACCGATTATGGCGTCGCGTGTGGATCGCGTGTAGGTGTAGATGCACCTTCGGAGTGGTTGGCAGGCATCCGAGCCGGCCTGTGACGGCTACGTCGATGGCGATGGCGTGTGCGTGCTACTTTGTCTTTTCTTTTTTTTCAATCTCTGAGGGTTTTTCTGGCAGCAGACGACAAGCTCAAGTTTTCTGCTATCTTTCTCTCGCTCAAAAACTTATGTGCAAACACGAGCATACGAAATCAAGACAGAAAAGCTACAGATGCAAGGAACTTGATAGGCTACAATGAGAAAACACGACAATGGGGTAGCTGAAGCTGGAATCAAATGAATTGGAGATGATTTTGGGATGTTTGGATTAGAAATATGGGACAAAAGGTTGGACAAAGCACCAGTTCTCGAGCTCGACATCGAACAATGGCCACTCACTCCCGCTCTATCCGGCAACTTCCGGAGCCGGTACGTAATGGCCCGTGCGCAGAATGCGTGGGAATCCAATTCTGCCGTTTCAGCCCTTGTTTACAAGCCATCATCATCTCGCCCCCTTCGATCACATACTCCTTTTCCCGCCATATCCCACCTCGAGATTTTATCCGCGCTCAGTTTTCGCTTGTCACTGTATGTTTCGTTACTCTTTCCTACATATACCTCACTCATCTCTTGTTCTTCCTCAACTATTGACATAAGCTTAGGATATTTTGAGTCATTATCCCTCGCGTCGGACGCGCATCTGCGCTTACACTCATTCCTTGCCGTTACCAACGCACTTCAACCTGGATTCATCACTCGTTCCCCGTCTTCGTCAGCGGCAGGCCGACGAGGACTTCATCAACAAGTCTCTGCTCGAGCAACTCGACGCTGAACCCATAATATCATCGTCTTCACTTTCCGACTCATCCACCTCCGACCATCAGTTATCTTCCTCCAACCCAAATTCATCTCCAGAAAGCTCTCCAGTGCTACCAACTATGCGTCAGCAGCCTCATAGACCAGACTCGCCCTCTGAACAGTTCGCAATGTATACCGAGCTTGAACCTGAGCAACGGTCTGCTCTCAATGGATACCATCGGTCTTCTTTTACTGCTATTCCAAATGCTACACGTCCCTCCAAGCATCATGCGACACCCTCTTCCACGATGCCATCCACGAATCCTACAATTTACCGTGATGCTGGAGCGCCAGTCTACCAGTATGAAGTATACGGTCTTTCTTCTCCAACCCAGTCTCATATGCAGCCGTCTCTTGTCGATAGACCCAAATACGCTGGTTCGTTCGGCCTTGCTGAGCCATATGTCAACTATAACAAACTGTCACACCCTTCGCAACCGCATTTACTTCCTTCTACCGTCAATCCACATCCTATGCCCATGTCCTCTCAGACACCCTATGGACCTCATTTGGCAACCAACAATGTTTCAACTGGCGTCAATTCTGGACATGGCGGTGTTGGCGGCAACGTGCCTAGCGGTGGTAATAATATGCAGGAAGATATTTCTACAATTTTTGTCGTTGGTTTTCCGGATGATATGCAGGTATATCTTGTTTGCCAGATCGTCGAAAATTACTCAAACTGACGAAATTTTCATAGGAGCGGGAATTTCAGAATATGTTTACCTTCTCTTCCGGATTCGAGGCCGCCACACTGAAAATACCGAATAAGGAGTATACAGCCTATGGCGTATCTGGCTCTACAAACAATCCTGGCGCCGCTCCTCCTGGCCTGCCAGGACTCACTCCTTCTCTTGCTTCTCTTGTACGGGCGCAGGCAGCTATTAACGACCCTTACAACCTCGTTACCATGAATCAAGGTGGTGTCGTCGTCGACGGTGGTAGGGACGGCACTATGAGTAGTTGGCCTACGGCTTCGATAGACGACTCATATTATCCTCCCGGATTAGGAATAGGTAACCTCGGGGGTATGATACCTAGTGTCGGGGGTCCTGGTATAACCCTTGGCCCTAATCCTAACCCTAACGCTTCAGGCACAACCAGCGTCGGTAACGGTCCGGTCCCGCCCCGGAAACAAATCATTGGCTTTGCAAAGTTCAGAACGAGAGAAGAGGCGTTGGAAGCTAGGGATGTGCTTCAGAGTCGACGAGTAGACATTGAAAAAGGTTCCATACTCAAAGCTGAAATGGCAAAGAAGAATCTCCACACGAAGCGAGGAGTCACTGCTAATGGTGGTGCTGGGACTAATGTCGGGTCTGTCAACGGAAACCCATTAGGGGCCACTTTGACTTCTGCTAGTCACCTCGGTCCTGCGCCTCCTGCTGCTGTCAATGGCATCAGTTATCCCGGCCATGCCTCAATGTCTAAGTACGATTTATTCTCTGGCTCAGCAAACCTTGCCGAACCCGGAAGTGGAAATATAAGTGCCAGAGACAGAGAATTGGGGGCTCTTGGTGCTATGGGATTCACAATGGCTGGCTCATCGAATAATGGTCACTTTTCGGGGACAAACAACGTTACTGCGTTGTCCTCATTGACGACGCTATGGGATGAAGATAATCGGGAGCGAGAACGCATGGTCTATGATGCAATGGGTCTAGGTATCTCTTCTGGAGATGAGTCCTCAGGACCGATCAGTGCCAAAGAAGGTGGTAGACGACAAATGGAGACTTGGAGGGATGGTCGCGAACGTGACCGGGACGAAAGGCAGCCTCTGCGGCTCAGATCTGGGTCCGCATTCGATGCGTTTCATTCAATTCCAGCGTCATTACCCCAGAATAGTTTGGTTTCTCCCCCTTCTCAAAAGGCCAAGCCCCTTCCCCTTTCGTCGCTCACTCACGACGACGGAGTTCCCGGTCCATGGGATCACTTCTCCAAGTCTTCCGCTGGATCCAACGTGCCAAATTCCGCATCGTCAAAGGTTTCACACTCGTCTTCCAATGGTACGAAAGGCTCCAATGGTCGTTCAAGGTCCTCCCGCTCGTCTAGTGTTGCGGCTGGCTCAACTCATTCTAGAGGCTCGGCCCGGGATATGAACGGGCATGAGGATGACGATGATGTGCATACAAACCCAGAGATGGAGCTGGAAGATTCGAACACGACCGTCAAGGAGATTGACGTGGCGCAGATTGCTCGTGCTGTAGGAAGCTTGGCTGTCACTACAAACAAGCATGTCAGTCACGCTGGTTCTACAGGTGCGAATACTGTCAACGGTGCCCATTCTCTAGGACACACGTCTCCTCAACTGCCATCGCCGTCCAGTGGCAGTGGCACCAGTATATCTGCACTGTCCGCAGGAGGTGCGAGTGGAATATCGGCCTCAGCTCCCATGTCATCGTCTTCATCTTCCTCCAGCATGCGGCATGCCCCTCCCCCGAATCAACATTGTCCAGCTCCGAACTTTACAACACAGCATTCGGTGTCTAATCCCAATCTTTCGCATCTTTCTTCCATGCTTTCTTCTACGCTTCCCGGCCTCGTTTCGGGTGTAGATCAGAATCCTCCTATTAATACGCTTTATGTGGGGAACCTACCCATTTCGCCGCCGCCGTTGGGGTATCCGCCTGATATTTTAGAAGAGAGTTTGAGGGAGTTGTTTCGAACGAGACCTGGATACAAAAGACTTTCGTTTAAGCAGAAAAGTACAGGGCCCATGTGTTTTGTCGAGGTGCGCCATTGTCTTCTCTTTCCGATCAATACAAACAACTGATGTGTATCATTTCTTAGTTTGAGGACGTCGATGCGGCAACAAAGACTATCAATGAACTTTATGGAAATAACCTCAATGGCCTCGTGAAGGGCGGTGGTATTCGTCTCTCATACAGCAAAAACCCGCTCGGCATTCGGACTCCAACAAGTGCAAACGGACCTGGTCCAGGGTTTCAGCAACAACATTTCCAACAACAGGCTCATGTCGGACGTGATGGTGACAGGGAACGAGGGGATAGGTACGGCTACGGTGGTACTCAAGCCCTTTCGCCCACTCCGCACCATCATTCAGTCAGTTACAGGCCATCACACACACATGAATTCATGATCTCTCCTCCTCCACCTCGCTTTGCCGGTAACTCTTCTGGGGCGAATCCCCTTTCGAACATATCCTTTGGCAACTTTTCCTCGACATCGTTCAGTGGAGTTAATTCTCAGCTTGTAGGCTCTGGCTCGAACTCTATGTTTGGGGCAACCAACTCCTTCCAGGGAGGAACTGGTCCTGGAGTGGGATATCATTTGCTGCCTTCGGATTCTTATGGTGATGCTCAGGGTCAGGGGCTAAACACGTCCTTCTCTCCTTTTGACGGCTCACATTTGGATCATCCCCAGATGCCTCCGATGTCTTCTCTTCCCATGCAGCATGGTCCAAATCCTAGCCAAAACCAGAATTTCTAAACGGATGCATTTTATCAATATTGAACCTATACCCTTCGTCTCATCTCTCCGGGCATTCAAAGAAACGGAACATTACAGAATCATTGGCCATTCAACGTCCGCGACACCTCTGCGCCACCCGTCACTGCCTCTTGTCATCTGCCGCGCTGTGGCACGTACATCATCACTATCTTATTCTGCTCAGGTCTATCGTGGTTTTTTACCATCTACTTCCAAGCCCCTTGCTCGCTTCCATTCTGCTAATATCTGTAATCTGTCCCTGCATAAAGACCTCTCCTCATCCCCTGATTGTTTCTATCACTTTTTTTGTCGCTTCAGGTTTGGCACCTCAATTATCTATTTGTTGTCTTTCAGGACTGTCCTTCATTTGTTGTCTCTGTCATCATGTTTGTTTCGTGTTTGCATTAACTCTTCCATTGCTCTGCAAAATATACATCGATTCTTCTCATATATCTATCTATTATTTGCTCATGATACGCTACGTGATAAAACAGAATACTTTTGCTTTATAGTTCAACCTAGTCAGTCTACTTATCCTTTCCAAGAGTGCTTTAGGTCACTAATCCATTCCACAACTCCCCGCGATACTTTACCTGCCTCTTTTTGTTTGATATTTTCTTGCCTCCCATGCTTCGATCTTGCCCGTGTCATCCATGCCTCACAGTCCTTCTGCATATCCAAGATTCAATCATTGCTCGTAACCACCTTACTACAGTCTCATCCATCTCAAATCACTGTCTCATCGTGTCGAATACAAATATATGTGTGCATTTTCCAGTATTCTTCTGTTCCTTCCTTCTTCGCATCCTCCTTTTCTTTCTTAAATCAGAGATACCTTTCGAATTCAATGTGTATTATAGTATCATATACATAAGAGAGAAATACTATGCTCCTTCGCCCCTTCACCCGTACAGTGGTCACTGGTGATGCGCTGATTGGCGCTTACATAAACATGTTGGCTTAAAAAAAGCAATGACCCGTGTGATATGTTGAGCTTTATTAAGACGTTCATCAGAGGAATCGAAAACAAGGAAAAGAGCATAGGAAAAACACGCAATATTTGCAGAGGAACAGAGATAAGTAGTTTATGTACTACTCGAAATCGGAAGTTAATAAGTCATTGGTCAAAAGTGCGAGCTAGGTATGTAGATAAAAAGACGTCGTTCGTCATGATCATGGAAGAGTACTTAATATACGAAAACAGATGAGATTAGATACTTGGATGGCATGTGCACGTAACGGCATTATGGAAAGTTTTATCCCTGATATTTCTTGATGAGATCCCTCAGTCTGGCCTGCCCAAAAGCCAAATGTTCCCCATGAGTATAAGTTTTCTTGGACTCCGAATTGGTGACGGCACGAAGATTATTTGCAGCTTTACCTGCGCCCAAGCCCAGACCTGTCCTTGTCATCTTTACATTGCTAGTCGGATCAGAGGATTTACTCTCTAAACGGACTTCAGAAGGAAATTCACTTATAGTGGGTGGAACTTTAACCGGTGAAGCCCTTGAAGCAGCTGTGGTTGGACGAGATAGGGATGCAGTCGTAGACAAAGCAGGTTTTGCGTAAGAGGAAGAAATCACCGCAGGAACAGGCGTAGATGCTACCTTAACACCGACACCGACGCCAACGTTCCGTCGTGTCGGTGTGGTACGCTGACCACTGATACCATCTCCAGAAGCCGAAGATGAAGAGCTGGATACAGACACGGGAAATTTCGGTACAGAAAAAGGCGAGGTCACCTTCCCAATAGCTTTGCTCGATTTACCGGGGGGATGAGGTGTAGACAATGGTGAGGTCGCTGTAGGTTTTTTACCGGAAGCACCAACCGAACCAGACGCCCAAATCGCCGCGACAGCAGTAACTCGTCCGCCTTTACCTCCTCTAGCTGATCTGATGTCGTATTTTACTTCAGGATCAGACCGTTCGGGAGGAAGCACAGATAACCTTCCCTTTCCTACCACGCTTTGCCACGGATTTTTCGCCAGGTCATTTAAGGAACTATTACTTTTCGGTGAAGGACCAGCGTGTCTCGCAGTATCACGATGATTCCAGATGTCAGTGATGCGCTTGGCGTCTTCCGATGGACTTGTGCTGGCCATCGGCGAGTCTTTGGGTACAAGGGTACGCTGGTATATATCACGCTTGAGAGTCCCGATAGGCACGAACCCAGACGAACGAGGGTCAGGACTGGGTGGTAAAATAGCAGTATCGGAATCTTTACGATGCTCTTTTTCCTTTTCCTTGGAACTGTCTGTGTCCCGAGATTCACTTTGTAAATCAGCGTGCGGTTTATCCAGTACCTCGATATCAGATGGCAGCTCAACTATCCTCGAAGGTTGAGGACTGGGACTGGCAGAGATGACGTCGTCTAAGGGAGGTTCAGCCCCTACACCACCTAACCAAGCAGCAACTCGTCCCTTTGAAGCACTAGATCGGTCTTTGCCCTTCTTCTTGCCGCCCTTCTTTTCCGAATCCTTCTTCTTAGCCTCTCTTGTCTCACCCTCATCGTCCTCCTTGCCATCCTGACCATCCTTCAACGTCCCCCTTGATGAATGTTTCTTCCTCTTATTGTTTTTACTTCTCAGTCCCCCTTTATGGGTTTTTTCATCTGAATCCCTATCCCTATCCAGCTCCAAATTGCTATTTCCGTGGACCTTATCCATCGCTGCCGTTGATTTCCACGCATTCGCCACGTCTGGTTGAGCATTCGAATTGGATACGGCAGGCTCGATATCACCACAATCTGGTAACGTCAGACTGGAAATTGCTGAATCGTTGAAAGGATCACGATCCGAGTTCCTTCGAGGAATCTCAATGGGACTAGGTTTCTCGGTTTTCTCTGCGCCAACTCCGGAGTCGCGACCAAAGCCAGGGCCAGGGTTACTAGTGTCATTAGGACTAAGATTCTTTTCTTTTCCACTTCGCAAGACACTCCAAACGTCCGGTCTCTTCTCATCCACAATTTTGCGCGTCCCAACCTCTGCGAGGAGTTTTCTCTCCAGCGCATCTAGCCCGCTCTCAGCTCGACCCTCTACACCAAACCCAAGTCCAAGGAGACTTTGATCATTACCAATTTTCCCCTTAACGGCTTTCACAGCTTTCGTTGAATATCCGTTAATATATCCAGTCGCCAGGGATTTCCTAGGTGTGACAACAGCGGTGAGAGTAGGCGTAGCTGGCGTGGGAGGGGTACGAGACCGGGAACGAGGACGGGAGCTCGCAGATGAAGAAGGAGCTGCAAGGTCGCCGTTGGTAAGATCTTTCTTTGGGGAACCATGCGCATTAAGTGCAGATTGGTTCGGGGCTGGCGCGATAGAAAAATAATCGTTTTCTCTCGGTTTCGTCAACAGTAATCTAGCTTTGTCTGTAATCGTTGGTACCGGCGGGGGTTCCTCGGCCCAGCCATCGAGCTGCTTCTGATCACTGGAAGGAGGAAGATCACTGCTCAGATCTCTAACCCTAGTTTCTACTTCATCCGCCATCCTCTCCAACTCCTCTACCCTCTCGCTCTTCGGAACACTCTTACTAACCATCTCGCCTGCATTTGATACTTCTGTGACCTTGGTGAAAGAGCGTTTCGGGGACAGGACAGGACGTGGTGAATGGAGCGGAGTTCGCAGCGTGGTTGGCCTGAAATTGAGATTTAGTGGAGGCAATGGCGCAAGTATTGGATGAGAAACGCCAGCACTAGTAGGCTCGTCATTGCCGCCGTTTAGGGAATGACTTTGGCCGCCAATAGGTGACGTTGATCGTCCCCTTCGCTGTGTTTGTGAGGTAACACGTAATGTTCGCGCTGATGTATGATGCGTCATCCCCTGTTCTCCGTCGATGCCAGTTTGAGGGGTTGCGTCTCCAAAACCGGTGGCACTACCGTACATGCCAGGGACAACTCTGGAAGACGAACTAGGTACAACGTTTGTAGGTGATAATGGTGCACGCATCTGACTATGCATCAATATTGGCTCAGTGGAGTAATTGAACATGGATGTCAGGTCTTGATGAGTGGAAGGGGGAGGAAGTCCAGGTAGTTCAGGCAGAGGAGGAGATAACAACGCTGCTACTGTCGTCGTAGAAGATGAAAGAAGTCCCGGGTTAGATGGTTGAGGTGGAGAACGTAAGAATATGTCATCATCGCGCGGATAAGACGCGGGCATTTCTAAACTCATTGCGTATTCAGCATGCAAGTGGTTTGGTGATTGAGGATAAACATAGGGCTGGGGAGTAACAGTAGGAGTGAACGGAATGGAAGGTGGCAACCAGACCAGATTCTGATTGGGGTCGACATATGAGCCAGTGGCCAAAGCAGGGCCAGGAGGCCCTGGGCTCATTGGCAATGCAGGATATAGTACGTATGCACCTTGAACTTGAGCTTGCTCTGGATACGGTGATTGGGAAGGAAAAGGTGTTGATGGTGATTGTATCGTGTATGGCTGGTATACTTGCTGCTGGTCGTAGTACGTATACCCCGGATCTTGCTCTTCGGGTAGAGGTAATTCTGGTAGCGCACTTGGGTGAACGACTACAGCAGGTATCTCGATGAGGATATCTTTACTAAAACCCAATTAGTTTTAGCCATTTCATTGAAAACCATGAGAACGAGAACACCAACTTTCCTAAACCCATAAGCATCTTGACAGCGATAACGCAGTTAACCTCGAACAGCCCCTGGGTTGTTCTTGGACTTTTGCCATTCTTTAACGCCTCACTTTCATCGCCCACAAGTAATCCACCCCTGACACCTCTCGCGCTTTTGGGTACGTCAAAAACCAAGCTAGCGACTCCCTCGACACCTGGAGGTATTATGTATTCTGGCCCACGGAATGGCACTGTCGTGACTGTATCGCCTATGTGTAGCGGCTTCTCATCTGCGGGTAAATTTGGTAAATGAAGTGAGCGATTGAGCGATATAGAAAGACCGGTATTCTATAGTGGGGAGACAGTAAGAAAGATGTTGCCTGGTGAGGTTAAGCTTAAGCTTACCTTCTTCGCAGAATGATTCTTAACCTGCAGTTCGATACAAGCACTTTCGCCGGCGATGAGTATTCCTCCAATTAACCTAGCCTGACACCAGATTTTCCCATTCTCTCCAACGACAGTAATTTCTGGCTCATCCTGTCCGATTCTTTCTTCATCGTAAGCTTCAACAACATCGGCATCCTTCCTCTCCGTTACAAGCTGTCGTTCACCCTTCCAATATACGCCTACACTTGCTCGGATCTCGTACTTCACGGAAGCAAGGCCAGAGCCGAAGGATATAGATGACGGCGACGTTGCGGGAAGAGGAAGTCGGAATAAGAAAGTCGAATGGCCCCGTTTGGCTTGGTGGTAGTGAAGGGGTAGTGGAGGATCACCGGGCAAAGGATGTGCTTGAACAGCGTTTGAAGGCGGAAGTCCGGGGCCCTGGAATAGTCTCCGAGCATGAATAAACGTAGATCGTGCAGAATGATCCCTTGAAGTCAATTCTAATATGAAAATGGGATGATGTATACACATTTGAAGCTTTTTTGAGCGAACCTTGTGTAGCGGATAGTTCTATCATTATCATACCGATGCCCAACCCTTTATCCGCCTTGCAATCCATCTCCATCTTTCCGCTAATATAATCTCCTGCGACGAAGTAGGACTCAGCCAGTATCAACGACACGTTGACCTTTGGATGGTGTTTCGTTGCATTCATCGGCTCTGGCCGGCTTGGGCTAGCCATTGTCGCTGAAATTGATCAAGACTTGTTGAGTAGCAAATGCAGTGAGTAAGAGTTGATGGCCTTCAGAATAATGGATTATTGTTTGAGTCGATTCTGGGTCCGCAAAGTCGAGAAGGAAGTAGGGTAAAGAGGCAAAAATTCAGAGATATCTAACAAGCAAGCTAGCAGTGCATTTGGTGCAAGACGATGTAGAAGAGCTCCATGTAGCTGATGATAACTAGTGAGTTGTTAATTCTCGGAATGGGTACTAATAAAGGTTACCTTTCTGCTCATTGAGTGAACACCATAGTATCTTAACTATCTTATGCAGAGGAAGAAGACACTTGGGAACGCCCGGTCATACCGGGCCGGCGTTCGCTGATGGCTGAAACGAACCTGTAAAGACTGCTCTCCATTCTTTCAACATAATCAAATAGACTAACAGAGATATCCCGCAATGAATCTTGTGCACAGAATGTCTTTCCATAATACATTCCCTAGTCAAAAAGCCAATTGCCTGGACTTTGGCAGGCTGCTGTGTTAGCTCAGCTCCGGGTCAGGAAGGGTTTGTTCCTTTGCCCATGATGGCAGAGCAGGGCAGAGCCTTAGTGGAAATCAAAAGACTCGGAGAACAGCAGCAGAATACTATGTTTATTTCTGAGGCAATGAATGTGTACAGAAGGAGTGTTGTACTGAATGCGAAGGAGACAAAGGAGTAGTTCCATTGGCAACAGGAAGGTGCAGTTTATTGGCAGAAATACCAAGGGCAAAGGAGAGGAAGGAGTACAATACCCTACAAAAACCATAGACTCGGGAGGGACTGGCACCAATGGCAGTGGGAAAGGAGTAGGGTTGGCTAGGTATCTCACTATCTTTAATTGATACTACAGTCTTCATTCTACTAGGCCGCGTTTTGCAGATGCTAGTCACAACATGGCTTCCTTCTCAGCCTACCTTGTCCCTCATTTGTGCATATTTGTGCTCCAACTACATCTGCAAAACCTGTTTCTTCAGCTAATCCTCTGAGAGAAGCTGAGAGCAGCCAAAGCACCCAGAAAGTTCAAAATTTTGCTCTTGGTGCTTTGGGTGCTGGAGAGGCCACTCTCTGAGAGGTTAACATACCTCCCAAGTCCCTTTAAAGTTTGCTTCATGTGTGCTTATGAATATATCAAACCAGAAAAAAAGTGTGATAAGAGGTTGCCTATAAGAGTTGGAGGTACGTTAGGGGAGGCTCAGCATCAGATGAAATTATGAAGTGCGTGATCGATATCTACTTCACCGAGGGTTGGTAACTTATCACTTGCCTGTTCAGTTGCAACGGTTGCACAGAGCGACACGTCTATATCATTAGTGGCCGGTGCAATCATTTCCGGGGTCCATAACACTATGTAGTAGCAAGTAAATATACGATATCTACGCAAGACATCACCTCTTCTTCTTACTTTCCTTGTCATCTACCGTCTCAATCACTTTTCCATCTTCTGGTAGAACCTGTCCATACTCATTAATACGTTTAGGATCGATTCGGTAGATCCAGCGCTGGGGAAGGAAATCAACGATCATATACACAGGATTGTGCGAAAGATTACCTGGTAAAGGAAAATTAAGAATACGACGTCGTCACGGAAACATGCTAGACGGTGGAGGAAAGGCATCTTGATGCAGAATCTGTGCGGCAAAGAGATAAGACAGAGCGCTTTCGGAATGAGAAACAGCAGAACATACGCAAAGAAATCATCGACAACGGTAGACAATGTCTTGTATATCATTGCTTTCATTGGCATATGTGCTACACTCTGTATAAGTTTGAAGTCATGCGTGTAACTTCTCAGATCCGATGATATTTGTAACCAACCTTGAGCTTATAATTGATGATCAATTGCGGAACAAGTTGCGCCTGCTCATCGACGTTAAGCGCAGAAAGATAGCGGGAGCAACCAAACTCACGAATCCAAACATGTAGACAAACGACGTCAACGTTCCAATGATAAAGCTGTACCAGCCCCGATGGGACTCGTACATCAGAGAATAGATAGTATAGGCTGCAAGTGTAGGAATGGCGACGTAGGAAACGTAGCGGAATGCGAGTTGATCATATCTACATGAAGGGCGGTTAGATAGATTGAGGGAGAACAGAGGCGAACGTACTCCTGAGTTTTCTTTTCGTCTTCGCTCAATACGTGCTTGTCTAAAAAATGATAGGTTCAGACGAAGACGGAGAGAAATCAGAGTATAGGGACCTTTAATGTCTAGGGTGTACGGGAACCAAGAACCTGCAGGCGCTGCGACGACTGAGATATCTACTGCCTTGGTAATCTGGAAGAAAGAATGGGTACGAATAGGAGGGGACACATGGAACGACATTCACCTTCCAAGCTTCGATGATAACTCCCGTTCCTGATCCAAACAGAATCATCCAGCTGGTGTTTTCGTTGTTATCGATAAGATAAAGCAAAATGATGATTTGCACAAAGACGTTGGTTATGATCTAGAGAATCGTGAGGGGCCTAAGCGAGAATAGATAGATAAGTGCGAATACGCACGGTCCTATGAATGAACGGTTGAGTCAAAGTTTGGGCAGAGAGCGAGATGCTACTGACCTGACAGAGACTCCGACCATCTCCTTCTTTTGCCGCCAGTGCGATACGTCCGACTTGAACGCCAACATTTCAAATCTTTATCATCAGTAAGCGCCTTTAATGTTCCGTATCATTCTGAACACTTACACCATATGCAACACGCTAACCAACCCCGTTAATCCAAGGAACCACGGATTCGTTTCAATCAACATTCGTTTAATTTCGTCCAGCTCGGCACCTGCACCTGCACCCTGTTGTTTCGCAGCTTCATTGAACCCATGTGTCATAGATGCGAATATCTGGAACTTCATGTATGACATCGGCTGGAAGGTGATTTGGATGGGCATGGAAGGCGTTGAGGAGTTGAGCTCGACATAATGAGAGCGAAGGTGCCAGAATTCGTTGGGGAAGACGATGGGTTTGTAGACGCCTTTGGTGCCTGTTGCATCGCGTCGGTTAGGAATGAGGTGGACGTCTAGAAATAGCAGGGATTGTTAGGCGGGGATCACGGAATGCAAGAAAAATGATGTATTACGTTCTAAAAGAGGTGCGGGCAGTTGAGCGTATGGAATTATCGTATTATCGGAGACCAAGGCAAGAGTGATGTTCTAATCCTGGGATGAGCTAGTGGGTAGACGATATATCAATCGTAGTTGCATACCTTGTGCCAGTGCGGCATGATTACATCAGCTTCCTAGAATACTATTCTCAACACGGGATACAAGAGTAAGCTTTGATTAAGGAGATACCTCAATTTCCTCATCGATTTCTTCCTCGTTGTTTCCACTAAGAAGATTCTTTTGTTTTCGGATCTTGGGCCTTGCCATGTAAGGCGTAAGGACTAATCTTGAATAAACAAACGATTCGATCCCAAAGAGAGAATAGTAACCAACGTTTGCGGACATGATGGATATGTTCAGGATTGAAATTATCGTTCTGGGGGTCGGGACTGGCGCTTTCCTTTGTCAGGAAGATATCTGCCCATAAAGTCCCATTTTGCAATACAGTCTAGGACGTCATTTCAGATTACGAATATGCATTCTGAATTATTTGCGTTCGTACCTCGGGGAACACGATGTCATGTTCCTCGACTCTACTGTCTGCATAGTTCCCATAGGTGATATTCTTCCAAACAAAATTCGGTAACCCTTCGTCCCTATCCTTCCGGTATCCTGAAGTCCATTGCCTCGAGAACACGTCCCCATTGGGTGAAGTCGAGAGGTAAACGTGCATATCGAGTGAGGCCCCAAGCGGCCATCCTGGCGTGGCCTGGGCTGGAGGCAAAAGCCAGGGGTTGACAGTATTCTGACCAGGGGCACCGCCTGCAGGGGGTGGACCAGTAGTTGTCTGAACAGCAGGAGGAGTCGCTTTGGGTGCAAAGTACTTGGTAGCTAATCAAAGCAAGATTGAATTTGCGGGGTCATCAAGAATTTGGACCAGTCATACCCATTTGTGACACTACCCATACTAGTAGAAGTTGCTGAAGAAAGCAAGCATTAGAAAAGATATTCAATTATGATAATCTTACTTGCCTGAGCAATTCCAAGAAACTTCTTGAACGGTGATTCTTCCTCTTGTCCTCTTTGATCTCCCGCAGTCGGCGCTGCATCAGCAGCAGGGGCTGCAACTTGTCGTTGTGGCGTTGACATCTCCAAGAGTGGAGGTCGACAATGGGAGGAAGAGTACAGGCAGCAGATAAGTCAGGCTGAGGTTCAGTTCGAATTAAATGAATGAGTAATAGATAATCCTTGCGAGAAGGTTTGGCTGGGCTTTAGCCCCGCGCGGGAGGGCAAAATTTTTTAACTATAAGAGGTGAATGGGTGAGATAAATACGCGCGAGGATTAAAGCAGTAGCATACAGCTGGGAAAAATAAGTCGGTGCGGGTGGGTGGGTAGCGAGAAATATGTGAAATTTTTTAATTGGCGGTGGGAGTTGGAAGTACGAAGATAGGCGCCAAACTGGCGCTGGCCAACTCACACCACCCGGCTGACTTATCCTCTGATAAGCCTCCTCTAGCAGCTTATCTCGGAATAAGTCAGGCTGAGGTTCAGTTCGAATTAAATGAATGAGTAATAGATAATCCTTGCGAGAAGGTTTGGCTGGGCTTTAGCCCCGCGCTCCCGCCCGTGGTCGCCGGACAGGCCGGACAACCCAGACAGAGCCAGGGCTCAATCGAGGGGAGAACGGCGGACACAGTAAATAAGGACCCAGAAAGAGTACGGCTCTGGATAACTTAAGTTATGTGGGAAGGGTAAATTGGCTTAGGCAGATATAATTAGTTACTCTTCAGTAATATCAATACCCATAATACAAGCGTCAATGAGTGAATTAGAAAGACCATTAGCTTTTTGGAAGTCATCTAATGAACGTTTGAGTCTCGATATCTGTGATGAATCATAAGCTTTGAGAACATGAGTAGGTAGAATATCTTCAAAACGGCGCCAGTAAAGTAGGAAAGCAAGGGAGGTCCAGCCGCCGATAGCAGCTACTACTTCTGGGGTAACACCCGCAATCAGAAGTTCAACTGCTCCTCCAATGCGGAAACTATGACCATGAACATGTTCGAGACCTGCGGCATTCCAGATACGGTCACAAAATGAAAGAAAAGTTGCCTTGACCATATGTTGGGGTAAACCTTGGTCATCGAGGTAAGCGAAGAGAGAGTAAGTTTGGGGTATGAGAGCATTAACAGCCATGTGTTGTTCGATAGCATGATATGGGCATAAGGTCTGTAGTGAATGATGCTGAGCAGTGCAGACCACAGATGCACCAAGCTCTTTGGTAGTTTTGGTCCAAGGGATTTTAAAAGAGACAGATTTGCGGGAATAATCAGGATTCTTTGCAAAATTGAAAGCGGCTGAACGAGACACATGGTATTTAGGGTCGAACTTATTTTTGGAAGGAATAGTTAATTCGCCTAGGCGACGACAGCCCCAAAACGCGGTTGATGCGACTGCCCAAATGGCGCAGTGAAAAGGTATGGAGAAATCGAGAGCAGAATAGAGGGCTAGCAGATGAGCTAAGGTGATTGGATTTCGTTGGGGTCGTTTTCGACTAGTGCCTGCTATACGAGCGCCTGCGCGAGCGAAACGGATGAGACGTGAGTTGGCTGGCCAGGGGGCACCTGCAAGTTCGTGCCAAGCGCGCAAACCAGAAAGCCAGTTTTTTATACATGAGCTCGAAACTTTACCCATGTGGAATCCGATGAATGCTGTAATAAGGGTGTCATCGGCAGGCATGCGAAGATTTTCGTTGATGGACATTTCATCACAGAATTGGTTCCAACGTAAAGGACCTGCTCCATAGGATTGCTTCGTCGAGTCTGCCAGCCCTGCGGAAGTAGCTTTCTTACCCAATTCAAGGATCTCAGGTGGGTAGATTGAAGATATCAAGGTACGTTTGCTGATAGTGAAAGGAGTGTCCCAGACCTGAAGACGGTCTCTCGCACGAACATTGGGGCGCAAAATATTCGGAGTGATTGAGTTATTTGGCAAAGGTTTACGAGATGCAGGAGGAACAGGCGGGTGTGAAGAAGGAGCAGGGGTAGAGTGGAAGCGACGTCGGAGAGAAGGCAAAAGGTCGCGAGGAAGAATATTCGAAGGTTTAGGTGGTTTGGCATGATACGGATGCATAAAGAAACGAGTACGGAGTGCAAATTGGGACTTTCGAGTGACCAATGGGCGTGGGACATTGGCACTCGCGACTGAACCTTCAGCCGCAAGAATGCGAGTGTCACTGTAGAATAAATGTGAGTTTGCGAAGGGTGAACAAAGAAATTTTATGAACCTCAACATGATAGGATAATATATTAGTGAGCTCATCGGGGAGCTGGAATTGTAATGGAAGGCGATTGTCTTGTAGACCCAGAATTCCACGCGAAATCGGGTCAGCAGGGTTGTTGGCGGATTCGATGTAAATAAGTTCAGGTAAAATGAAAAGTGGGCCAATGATGGCGCATGTACGACGTATGGACATATTGATCCAGTAGTTGGGACTGCGGGATTTTCTTATAGCACCAATTGTGCCTTGGTTATCGGAATGAATGAGAAGGCGGGTGTTACTGTAATCCATGGATTCGAGGAAATATATCAAAATTTCGACTGCAACTGTTTCGAGCCAACAGATATCACGGCCCTCAATTTTCCAATCGTTGGCCAGATGGAAGGCAGCCCATTTGCCTCCAATAATGATGCCAATACCCCAGTCAGTAGAGGCATCGACGAAAAGACCAAGGTCTTGCACTGGTCCTAATTCACGAAGTTGTCGGTAGACATGGGGCACTGAAAGACGTTCGATCCACCATCGAATTTCGGGGATGATTTTGTCTGGGTATTTACCCTTTTCGACCTCGTAATTGCGGTAAGAGGACATGAAGTTGGAGATCGGAGGGAGGTGGGTCTTGCCGTCACTGTAAATGAAAGCGATGTGGCAGAGGGTGCCGTGGATGGATTCAATCTTCACCCTAGGGGTGAGACAACGATGGGATGTTTCGAGAAAATTTTGTAGGTGAAAGAGGTATTTTAGCCTCTTGTCCTCAGGGAGACTGACGCGTTTATGTTCTAAATCCCACAGGAAACCGATAAACGTGAAATTGAGGACGAATTGGTGTTCGCCTTTGTCCGGGTGCCAAGGGAAACCTAGCTCGGAAATGAGGGCAAATAAGTCATTGCGATTGATGAGGTCAAGTGAAAACGAGGTGGTGGGAGTGATGAAAGCAGCAAGATCATCTTCGACTTTTGCTATGGGAGCGATTCCAAGAGCTTGCCAAATTTCCCGACCTGCACTTGATACCATTCCTGAGTTTGAACTGGCAGAAGCAGCCCCAAAGGCGTAACAATGCTCGACCCAAAATTCTCCATTGGGATCACGTACCACCATATAAGGTTTGTCTTGGGGACGTAAAGGTATAGTGCGATGGAATTTTGAAATATCCATTGTGCAGACTTTGGTACCGTGGGGTGCGGATACCACCTGGGCGAATTGAGTGAGAATTAATAAAGCGAATAGTGAATAGTGAAATAGAAAGTAAACGAGTGAATGAAATTGATAGAGGACAATATGACCATCAAATAGGATGGGAGTAAGCCAGCGAATAAGCGAATAGTAGTGGCGAGTGGAAAGTAATTATTGAATAGTAATGGCTTACCAGATCGGCTGTATAAGCGGCTGAATCGAAAGAAGTGGGAAAATGCTCTTTGAGAATATATGAGTTAATGCAAGGAATTGGTTTTCCGAAAGAATCGCGACTGTCCTTGGAAAGATTCCGACAAACGCGACGCTTTGGCGGTTTACCTGGACCTTGAGATTGTTCGATGATGATGAAGGGAGAGCAGAAGAAAGGACCTCGCATGATAGTTTCAATTTCGTTCTGTGAAAAAGGACCGGACATCCGATTAGATGCTGCTTCTTCATGGATGTAGTCCCAGACTACATCCGGATGTTTGTGAACCGAGCTGTGGTTTGGAATGATGATACTTTCGTGCAGAGCTGGCATGTCACCAAGAGGAAATCCTGTGGTGAGATATTCGATAAGGAAGGGGAAACGGTCCCAGATGTTGTGCCTGACTAGTTCAATTGCAAAGGCAGATGCGTTGTAAGGCGTTATAATGCGATCATATATCTCCAAAAAATGAGGTGGAGTGTTGGGAAAAGGCAGGCGGGACATCTTCGTTGCGGAGAAATTGTACCAAGCGAGAGAAGGGAGAGAAATTGGCTTGAAGGATTCAGTAACCTGCGGGACGGGAGACAGTACAGCTGGAATCCCATCGGAGTGCGGGGTGAGAACCGCCGCAGAAAGTGCAGATGTGGGAAGCACTTGGACATTTCTTGGAGCAGGTCGAGAAAATGTTCCAGTAGGTGCAGAGTCGCACCTTGCTGGATGGGTGGAGGAGCTCCTTCCCATCACGTAGGGCCCACTTTGCTGGGCCGTGGGTAGAGTCGCTATGAGCGAAGAATGTATGACCGACGCCTCCGCAGATGATGCAACAAGGTTCGCGGGAGGCCTTTTCCTTGTTGCCAAGCGGAAAGGAATTCGAAGATGTTGTAGGTGGAGTGTCATGCGCAGCGATTTTGGTGGACCTGAAGTTTGGGATGTGGGAACGACGGTTAGACTGAGGCTGGGAGGAATTAGAAGATGAAGATGTATCGAGGGAGTCAAGACGCGATTTGACGCGGCTCCATTCGGTTCTGTAATCGAAGAGGTCGAAATGGGTTTTCTTGCTTTGATGCTTCTGACGAAGTTCAAGCTCGATGTCCTTCCACAGATCAAACAGTTTGACTGAGTCGGTTTGATTCTCGAAGAAACCGAAATGTTTCCTGTAGAATTGAGGTTCGTTAGCCTCGTCACCTTCAGCATATAGCAAGGATTGATAAACAAAGAAATTCGCCGTGGCTTCAAGCCACTCAAAGTGTTCCATGGCCAGATCTTGGGTAGGTCCTCCCTCGCGGCTGCCTTTGACCTTTTTAATGACATCCGCGAGGTCTAATATTTGAGGTTTGCCTTCGATATGCGAGATTTTCGTGCGATGGAAAGAAATTGAATTGTTGTTGAGGAACTCAATGTTCTTGTTGGTGAACAGAGCGAGAGGGATGTGGTAGCCGTAGAGTCCGAGGTCAAGGAAGGCTTGGTCGAAAAATACATTTGGAGGAGAAGTGGGATCAATTTCGTTGAGGTCATCGTTGGCCCTGAAGCGTTTAGTAGGCTGGGTGCTCGAAGCCTCGACAGATGTGTCGTCTCCTTCCCTTGTCCTCAATCTCAACGATTTACGTTTATCGACTAACCAGCTGATGGTGTGGGCAGAGAGCCATGCTTTAACTTTGTCGAAGTAGTCTTGGTCCTTCAACATCTTATCATATTCTTCCTCAGGAATAGACAGATAGGACGACACATCGGAGACATCGTCGTTGCCTTCGAAGACGCGTTCACGACGGCTGGCGTTGCGCGTTTGCTTGTTGAAATTAATGCGAAGTCTGGATTCGATAGGAAGCTTGGATATTCTGGATATGGTTTCGGCATCCTTGTGAGTTTTCCTTGTACGATTCGCCGAGATTATCGAGGGATCGTTAGGAAGAGGACCCTGTCGTGTGATTTGCATAATTATAGGAAGCAAAAGAAAAAGACTATGCGAAAATAGCGAGAAATATGTGAAATTTTTTAATTGGCGGTGGGAGTTGGAAGTACGAAGATAGGCGCCAAACTGGCGCTGGCCAACTCACACCACCCGGCTGACTTATCCTCTGATAAGCCTCCTCTAGCAGCTTATCTCGGAACTGGAGAGAAATTCTCACGCGGCTGGGCGCTCCTGGCAAGCACTGTGTCTTGAACTTCTTTATTATGATTTTTACAAATAGATACATATGTACGCGGCTCCATATAAACGCGGGGTTCCAGTGGAACAGCCGGGCCCAATTCCCTCTACTGCAGCGGATGCTCATTCGCATCCCGCAACGAGATGGCGAGATACAGAGCCTTACAGGGCAGACATGGACGATAAAAGTAGATAGAATAATGAGCCCTAAATAAAAACCTCATCGTTCTTGTACCTCCTATTCAGTCCAAGGTATCTGAGCCAGTGTCGAAAAAGTGTTGCAAATGTAATTTCGCCTTAGGCACAATAAGCTCCCGGGCAAACATGAAATTCCAAAAGTAAGGTAGCGCCGTGAAGTCGCTGAAAGAGGAGGGGCAGCTGCTGCACGAACCGAATCAGGGAAGGAAGAGCAGACAGCAATGACCTTTGGACGTGCCTCGCATCGTTGTGGGGGAGAGCAATTAGGTGCACGGCACAAGCGAGTCTGGAGTTTGGCGGGCGACATCGGAATGCGCAAAGGAGTTGGAAAAGTATGGAAAAGATGAGGAACGGAGTCACCGCAAAGTTACTTGATTACTGAACGGCGCTGTAATTCGCTCGGAGTACGTATGAGTGATGTTGCACAATTTTCAATGTCCAGCTGTTGGTTCCAAACCTTTCCAAACGGCCTCGAAGTAGGGAGAACTCGATTTCGACCAATTATCAATATAATGTTGAAGATTATCGACACTTCATTTGCGGTTTTAATGGCTTTGATCGAAGTAATGCGCGAGTCAAGGAGGGAGACGGAACTCGGGCTGGCCTGGAAGATGAAAAATAGAGTAGTCGAGGTCGACAGCCAACATGAGTGGTTGACGTTACGGAGGGAAGAATGCTGCGACGAGTTCGGATTGGCATAATGCTTGTCTCTGGTGTAACAATCGAGACGGTGACTCGAGAGGACCGAGGATATGGCGGAGGAAACGAATTTGGACCAGTATCCGAGAACAATGTCGCAACCATTTGTTAGATGACACGACGAGTGTTGTATAGTGATCGCATAATTTGAAATTCACTGTTCCTGTATCTGTAGTAAGGTCTGTTCAAGTCTCGGGATGTTTACGAAGAAGGGCACCGCTTGATTCAACAGATCTTTGTCAGGGAGAAGGAAGAGTAAGAGTATGGATGGCGTAGCATAATAATACACTCTATCGTCTCTTTCACGAGAGAAGCGTCAGGAAATTGGCGGTGGCCATCAGTGAAATGAGGGGTCCGGGATGTCAACGTCAATAAATTCATCCCGCCAATCCGCTTCCAGCAGTTCCCGAGCAGTTCTTCATCTTCAAGCATCCCTGGTATACGAGGGCCCTCCAGCCGTTCCGAGACCCCTTTGTCCATTTCCGTTTTCTGATGTGTCCAAACAGTGAGCCTTGAGGAGCCCGCAGTAGAAGAAGACCGATAGATCTAGAGCAATGAGAGCTTTATTACTAGTAAACGTTATCATCATAGCTCGATGTCATTGATTTCATCCAATTTGAATGCTACGATGTTCGTATCCGGGCTCAGGGCCCTTTCGTAGAGTTCCAGTTCACGTCGAAATCCTCTGGAAATTGACGGTGATTTTTCTTCAACCTTGTGTTTAGCTTGCGAGATTGAATTACAGGAGGTCAGTTGAGCCTGATATCTGAGGAATTGACGGTTGCAGGTCTCCATACAAGCAGCATTGGGACTGGCAACACCGGTGTTCGAAGAACTGTTCGTCACTCACTGTAAGTATGATCCCTGGAACAACTACTGGATCGCGCCTCACCGATTTCTAAATATCTAGGACGATTGCATAGCATGCATCAATCAGGAGTATTTTCGTTCATTGTTCGAGCACCTCGCCATATATCTTTACCCCGAAGTTGGATGATGCGCGTACTGCGATAATACCGTATAGAGTGCCAACGCATAGGAATATGTGTTGAAGAGCAAATCGAAAGTTGCATTACTAGAGGCATAGCGTTTGATCTGGACATCTCTGATCTTGAAGCCTGGAAGTTGTTGCCAGTTGTCATGCATTCTGGCAAGGAAACGACCTCAATTGGTTCTTCACTTGCATAACCAGCGGTCGGAGAGGAGGTTCTATTTACTAGTATGTACCTGGAGCTCATTGATGGTCCCCGACGCTACGAGAAACATTCACGTACAGAATTTGAGGAACAAGTTTTTGCCCGAATGTTTTGTCTTGTATCTAGGCTCAGGGCCTTTCCGATATCATTCAAGCACATGAAAAATCAAGCCAAGGTAGGGCAGAGGTGTCGGTGATCATTCGCTCTCTAGATTTTTCTGAGATAGAAGAAACCAGAACGCAGGACGGCGTATGTAGTGTACAGCGACAACAGCAACGATCTTCCGAGTTAAGAATGGGATTTCGCTGTGAAGACACATGAGTTTGTTTGCTGTAAAAAGACGAGAGGATTTTACGCTGTACGCTGTGAGGTGATATCGTACCACATTGCTAGTACATACTGTACATATGTACTACAAACGTCGCGTCGCGTTATTATGTGACAAAAAAGGAAACTAAAAGGAAAGTTCTGATGGTAGCGCCTAACGAGCCACGCGATAACCCTTTGCCCAGGGTATTACCTAAGGCGATGATGATAAAATGCCCTAAACCCAGCCTATCATTTAGACGACTGCTTTTCTCTGAAAACCCCCATCATCTCCTCATCGTATCCAACAATCACCACCCTCCCAATCTTGTGAGTTATCGCGTTCCACCCTATCATTTTTCTTAAACTGACGTTTCCGTCGTCTAGATAACATTATCTCTCATCGTAAGTGACGCGCAGCAGCTACTACGCGTCGTTATTGTTTAACACAACCACTGCAGATGCCTGAAACTCGTGAAGACTCTGTCTACCTCGCCAAGCTCGCTGAGCAAGCCGAGCGCTACGAAGGTGCGTTTTTTCAACCCTATCGCGCTTATCTCCAGTCTTCTCACATCTTTGTTCAGAGATGGTCGAGAACATGAAACGCGTTGCCTCGTCAGACCAAGAGCTTACTGTTGAGGAGAGAAATTTGTTATCTGTCGCGTACAAGAATGTTATCGGAGCTCGTCGTGCTTCGTGGAGAATTGTATCGTCGATCGAGCAAAAGGAGGAATCCAAGGGCAATGAGGCCCAAGTCTCCATGATTAAGGGCTACCGGGAGAAGATCGAAACCGAACTCGCAAAGATTTGCGAGGACATTCTCGATGTTCTTGACAAGCACCTTATTCCTTCCGCCGCTTCGGGCGAGTCGAAAGTTTTCTACCACAAGATGTACGTCGTCTCCGTGGGCGTTGTCTTTTCTGTTCTTTATCAATAATTACACAGGATGGGTGACTACCACCGTTATCTCGCCGAATTTGCCACTGGCGACAAACGGAAAGAGAGTGCTGACAAGTCCCTCGAGGCATACAAAGCGGCCTCTGACGTTGCTGTCACTGAACTCCCTCCCACGCACCCTATCCGTCTCGGTCTTGCATTGAACTTCTCCGTGTTCTACTACGAGATCCTCAACAGCCCCGACCGTGCATGTCATCTTGCCAAGCAGGCATTCGATGATGCTATTGCAGAGCTTGACACCCTCTCGGAAGAAAGCTACAAGGACTCTACTCTCATTATGCAGCTCCTCAGGGACAATCTCACTCTCTGGACTTCTGACATGCAGGATTCTGGTAAGTTGCGCTGACCATCTTGTTTTCCCATGGAGCTGATCCCGATTGTCCAGCCGACAAACCTGCAGAAAAAGATGAAGCCGCCGACGCACCTGCTGATGAGTAGATTCGAGTTTTTTATTGATCAAATTGTATTCCTTGTGTTATATCGCTCTTGCATCCCTCCACCACCATCATGCTTATATCCGGAACGCCGTCCTCCCTTCCCCGGGCTCCTCACCACGTTGATCTCGCCTTCGCACTCATTCCTCATATCCGTACTTGACGTCCAATAACTCTACACTTATTATGGCTACATACTACATAGTATTTGACTTTTCTTTTGCATGGTCTCCTGTGATGAATTAAAAGCGTAAAACATGATATTTCTTCCAGAGTGAGCTGTGTAAGGACGTGGTTGCTGCTCATGCATGAGTAATGATGGTTTACATCTGGATTGTCACGGAACTAAATACATGCAGTAAATGAATTGCGTCTTCCTTGCATCCATGAATGTTCGGTCTTATCACTTGGTTTCAAGGATCATTCTCCGTTGCTGCGGTGTTAGTATTCCTCTATGCTAGCCAAGACGTTGCAGAAAATCTTTCACCTCAAGGATGCCGAATGTCCTATATGAATCCTCTATATATTCCTCAAACCCAATTTAACAGCACTTGGACACCGTTAGCGGAGCGATATTCTTTGGTCCTGTATCGAGAAGACCAATGGGAACGAGAGGTATGTTTTCGTACTCCCAAACCTCTGCAGAATTAGCTAAGATAATGGCAGCTTCATGGCGGAACTCCGGTTCTTTTTATTCCTGGAAATGCAGGTTCCTCAGGACAAGTACGATCTATCGCGTCCTCTGCCACTAGACAATATTACTCCAGACCAAATGTACCGACTTACGAAACATGGTCGCGAAACATGAAAGCCTTGGACTTTTTTGCGGGTTAGCATCAATGCTGCCTTTCGTGCGGGTGAGAGCTGATTCCTTGGACTTAGCGGACTTCAATGAAGATCTTTCCGCATTCCATGGACCAACCCTAAAGGCACAGATCGAGTACTGTGCTCGTGCAATATCCTACATTCTTTCACTGTACCCACCAAATACATCAATCATCATCATGGGCCACTCTATGGGTGGTATCGTCGCCACATCTCTGTTACCGTCGAAAGACATTTCGTCCATCATCACCATGTCGACTCCACATACCTTGCCTCCTGCTCGTTTTGATCAGCGAGTGGACGAAATTTACGCACGTAATCGAGAAATTATGCTCCACGACTCCACACCGATTTTGTCCCTTTGCGGAGGCGCAATGGACATGATGATTCCTTCCGAGTCGTGTATACTGCCTCCACTCGTTGAGGGGTTACCTGTACCTTATCGACGGACTGTATTTTCTTCTGCACTTGAGGGTGCTTGGACTGGTGTCGGTCATCGGGAAATGGTCTGGTGTCATCAAGTACGATGGCGTGTCGCGCGTGCTGCAATGGAATTGTCTATGGCTCCCTCTCTAGCTGAACGCGGACTCATCCTTGACAAGTGGTTCAGGGATGGTCACACTTTACCTCCTGCGGAAAACACAGAAGCGTTTGAGAGTTTTCCACTTTCTGAAGATCAATCCCGAGTGTTGTCTTCTGGAGAGCGCCTTGTGTTGGCGCAGCCTGAGGGATCTCAGACATATTTATTTCCTATCTCTAAACAAAACACTACCGATCATCGATTCGTACTCTTCGTGTCTCAAGGCTCTGTACCGCCGGTATCACCTCAGAAGCCAAATTCACTGCGCATATCGGTCGCGCGGTGCTTTGGTTTGACAGCTTCGCTAGATTGCAAAACTCTTCATCCCCTAGTTCATAAACTCATACCCAATCCTATACCTGGTCATACTTTTCCCGTTCCTCAGCAGGGTACAGACGAATCGGAAGGCGTTGTGGTTTTTGATGCGGACGTCATTCCAGAAAGAAACTCCGATGCTCAGTGGATAGCTGCGAACATAGAGCGGGCGGCAGGAGAGGGATGGCTTGTTGGTGGGTTTGTTTCTGCAGATCAAGTATTTGACGATGTTTCCATGACCAGTAATGTTTTTCCATCTTTGCATATTGAATATATTTTTCACTGACCCTTACGTTGTGACAGAAATGCTGCTTGGTGGTACGAGAGTGACGTTATCAGATCCAGCCGCACTCTGGACGTCTGTGCGCTTTCCGAAGTTGAGCTCAAACGCATTGGTGGTGTACAGAGTTGTTCCGTTGACAACGGATAATGTTTTGTGTAGAGATCGTAAGTTAACTCAGTTTATTCTCCCTTTCAATGAATCCAACTCGTCTAGAACCACTTTTTCCACCTTTGCTGGTGCACAATTCGCATCCCGCGGAAACTCATTATTTTCCTCTCATAACGCAACCCCCCCGTCGGATTCTTCTCCACACTCACGGCTCGGCCCCATACGTACATTCAAATCATGGTCGGAGCGAAGGTTTTGAACTCGTGATCTACTCAGTTATCAATGGTTGCTCTATGCAACTCCGAGGCTTCGACCTTCAAATAGACTGGACAGCCACTTTGGGACGATGGTCTACACGATATTTTACGACAGTCGTGTGCTGGGCAGTTGGCATCGTATCGCTCGTCGTCTTCAAAGCCTGGAGAATTGGAGAGAGCAACGGCATCCGTGAGTTCTCTCTTTGTTGGTTATTCTGTACGAATCTGTTTGGGTCCTCATCGTTCGCTCAGCGTGCGTGCCTCCTGTTAGCCATTCCCTCCGCGATTTTGGTCAACGACAGTTACCCAAACTTATGTTGGTATCTTATTTGCTTTCGCTGTTGCCCCTCCCAGACTATCTCTTCATAGGGATGGAGGGTGAATGGCTATATGCACCGATAGCACCCTTGCTTCTTATGGTTGCTTCCGGGCTGGTATGCGTTTCGTGGATGCTCCTGGTTGTCCTTATGTGGCCAATAGGCATGATCAGGCATATATACTTTGCGAGGTTCGGGGAAATCATAAGGTTTCTGGAAATTAAACTGATGAAATGTATACAGACCGCGAGAAGAAGTTATAAGCGCGCGAAGAAGCACAGTCGTATCAATGTGCTTCATTTTTGCATTGATAATCTTTTTCATTCCCTGGCAGGTAGCCTACCTGTGCTGCTGGCTCATACATTTGCAGTCTTGCGCCTCAGACTGTTTCCCGTCGCCAGATCCTGTTTCACAAGTCGATACAGCCATTCCGTTACTCAGTCGAGACGAATCTCCTTCTGGGGGTCGTCGAGGCAGTGAACAACCGTCTCACAAACATTTGATTAGTAACAGCCACCATAGAGCACATTTATTGCTTTTAATGACTTGGCTACTTCCTCTAGCCGCCCCCGTATTAGTCGTGTGGGTGCGAACACTGGTTACTGCGGGGCTCAGTACGCCGTTTGACGGAGATCATTTCTTCTTGAATGTCGCCCCGTTCATGATTCTCGTTGACTATGCTTCGTGGACTTCGAATCCGCTCTTGCAGAAACACAGGCTTGTGTCTTGTTTTCCGATGTCGAGAATTAGTTCTGATTTTTTTTCTTAGGGTCGAGAAGTATTTTTCGGCATCATGGACACTTTGGCTAGTTGCAGGAGTTGCATTTTTCGTAGGACCGCGAAAAACGTATCATGTCTTCGATGCGGCGCAGGTAGCTATCGGGATGCTGACTGTTCTTCGAATTGGTCCTCAATACTGGGGTGGAAATCCATGGCGACTTTCTATCCCTCAAATGCAACTCTTTCGCTGAAGTTTTTTGCCTTCATGAAATCATCAAGTTCCACGTGGGATTCTTGATATCGCTCCCAGATCTTAGATTGACTCCGGTTCCTTTCGCTTGTCAGTCACTGTCAGATCGACTCATTGAAAATCGGAGAATGGACTAAAATGTGCTTTCTGGATAGTTCTGGCAGGGTTCTGGATTGTCGTCTATTGGGCTTAATTTCTTCAGTTCCCTGTATCCTTCTAGAGAGTAATCCACGGAGGTAAATAGCGGACTTCTACTTTTAATATGATCGATGATCGCGCAAACAAATGATCAAATCGCTCCCTTCATTAGGACGGAAATACATAATCCTCTTGGGAAATGTGTCTAGTGTGAAAAAATGTAGTCTTCTGCTCTGTTTTGGAGCTTTCTTTTGGTACAAGAACATGAATTCGTACGAAAATTCCAATGAGCATTCAGATCATGATGGAAACTTTGCAAGGCCCAGATCACATTCTTAGTTATTCAATATCTGCCCTGATAAACCCAGATCCGGACGATGACCTTCCCACCTCCCTTCGCACATGCGGCGGTGAGGAACGAAGTACAAAAAATCTGTTGTCACTTCAGAGCGCTGGATTGTACATACAGTAGTTAGAATATCATTATTTGCAGCGTCAAGCCATACTTTTGTAAGAATTGCGTAGGTTTTTTCATATTCAAAGGAACAACCCGATGTGTGATTCAGTTGGTTCCCACGCCCGAAGCTTTCCATAGCTGGATCCCATCAAACTGTTCTCTCTAAGCAACCTCTAACACCTTTGCGGCGGGTATGTGACCTCTCTTCTATTTCTCTATTTTTCCCTAATAAAATTACGATTTGTCGAATAGGCAATGCATAGTAACTCTGCGGCGAATTCCCCTCGCGGAACTCCCTCCCGTCGAGGAAAATCACCTAAATCATCGACGACTCCGAGTCCCGCGCAATCTTCATCGGTCTCTTTCCACCCAGAAGCGGCCAATAATTCCACCAGCTCCTTCTTTTCTTGTATTAGCATTCCAGTAGAGGGTGCAGTACCCATTGGAAATGTTTCTTCTCAGGAGAAATTACCTACTCCAGATCTCGAGACCTCACCCTCAAGCGAATCAAAGAGGGCACCTCGAAAGTCGAAAACATTTGCATTGGCTGCCCTTAATAGTCATGTGAGGGATGATCTAGTTGATGTAGATGAAACGACCACTTTGAGCGCTTTGGAAGAAAAATACCGCCAATCCGCCCCAATTCCTGTCACTCCAACTCTTGATTTATCGACCGTCAAGAGAACCAGTCCTCGTCATTTCTCGCATCCCCGAACTATTCAAAGGCCTTTTGGATTGCAGGATTGCCCTGAATATTTTCCATCTGCGGAGGAATTTCAGGATCCCATGGCATATATAAAGTCGATTTCAGCAGAAGCCAAAGAATTCGGCATTTGCAAAATTGTACCTCCTGAGGGATGGAAAATGCCTTTTGTCACAGACACCGAGGTTCGTTTTTTTCTGTAAGACTATCGTTCTACACATGCTGATATATTCCATAATGAGCAGCGATTTAGATTTAAGACACGATTGCAGCGACTCAATTCGATTGAGGCGTCATCTCGAGCGAAGTTGAATTTTCTCGAGCAGCTCTATCGCTATCATAAGCAGCAAGGCAATCCACGTGTGGTTGTGCCTACTATCAACCACAAACCGCTAGATCTGTGGCTTCTGCGGAAGGAGGTGCATAAAATGGGCGGCTATGAGGCGGTGAATAGGATATGTATATCTTAGTAAACATCGGTAGCTCATTCTTTTTTAGGTAACCAAAGGGAAGAAGTGGCCCGATGTGGCTCGCATACTTGGATACACCAGCGTTCAAGGTCTCTCGACCCAAATCAAGAATTCATATGCCCGAGTGATTCTTCCTTATGAAGACTTTTGCGAGCGGGGTCGAAATACACCTTTTTCCCCTCCACAAAACTCCAATTCCAAGCCTCCAATACACATTCAAACTCCTGGAAAGGCGCCTCGTTCCAGCGCCACTCCGGCCGAAGATGACAGCACTGTCTCCAGTCCCCTTACTGCATCATCCAGCCCTCTTTCTGAACCTCCAGATGAAAGTGAGTTGAAGGAACAGGGGCCTCGTCCTCGAAGGAGTATCAGACAAGATTCGTTCGATCAGACTAGTCGTGAGTGCATCTACACCATCGTTCAAAATCATCCTCTGAGATCTCCTCAGATTCGCCTCAGAAAGCAACTCCAGCACCCGCGCTTGCGCCTTTCTTGCCGGTGCCGACGTACTTTGATGAGAAACCAGTCATAAAGGCCCGCGAAGCTGGTAATGAGGTATGCCTTGCATTTCTCAATCAATGCAGGTTCTAAGTTATATCCAACAGCATTGTGAGATATGTGGCAAGAAGAACAGAGGAGAACAGATGCTACTTTGTGATGGATGCGATTGTGGTAAGATAACTTCGGTTCAACTTGAGAACCGATCTGCATCGTCATCTTTCTCAGGATTTCATATATTCTGCTTGGATCCGCCGTTAGACTGTCTTCCCAAGAGCGAGCATTGGTACTGCTATTCATGTCTTTCTAGAACTGGAGGAGATTATGGCTTTGACGAGGGAGAGGAACACAGTTTGTCTAGCTTCCAGGCTCGAGACTTGGAATTCCGACGAATGTGGTTCAAATCACATCCTCCTCCTCCTCAACCCGCCGCGATGAAAGATGACCCAACCGCTTTGCGCTTCGGGGACATAACTGTTTCCGAGTATGATATAGAGAATGAATTTTGGCGCTTAGTACAATCAACCAACGAGACTGTTGAAACGGAATACGGCGCTGATATTCACTCAACAACTCACGGAAGGTGCGCGCTCCATGCAATTTCAGTCGCTCTGACTCATTGTGTATTTGCTACGCAGTGCAATGCCTACGCTTGAAACACATCCGCTGGACCCTTACTCCAAAGACCCTTGGAATTTGAACAACATCCCGGTTGTTTCTGATTCGCTCTTACGATATATCAAATCAGATATTTCTGGGATGACGGTGCCTTGGACTTACGTTGGTATGGCTTTTTCAACGTTTTGCTGGCATAATGAGGTGAAGCCGCCGCGACAAATAGTCGTCTGCTCCTGTACTCATCAGACAATTTGAATATAGGATCATTACACATACAGTGTTAACTTCAGTAAGTTTGGTGCTTATTTACACGACTCAAGTTCAATAATGTTTGAAAAAAGTGCATTGGGGCGAAACAAAGACTTGGTATGGGATTCCAGGAGCAGACGCCGAAAAGTTCGAAGCTGCTATCAAGTATGAAGCACCTGATCTTTTCGAGACTCAGCCGGACTTGTTGTTTCAGCTTGTAACGCTAATGAACCCGAAGCGTCTGACTGAGGTCGGCGTTCGTGTTTATGCCTGCAATCAACGAGCTGGTGAATTCGTCTTAACTTTCCCAAAGGCTTATCATGCCGGATTTAATCACGGCGTCAGTGCAATGTTTTTTAAAAAATATGCTCGCCTCATTGATTTCGCTCAAATAGTTGAACTTCAATGAAGCCGTCAACTTTGCACTTCCTGACTGGCTCCCTTATGGACGGGACTGTGTTCAACGCTATCGTGCCTTCAGAAAGCTCCCTGTCTTTTCTCATGACGAACTACTGATTACCATAACGCAACATTCACCTTCAATCAAGACAGCAATGTGGTGTGTGTTTTTCTTCGAACGTCATATAAACCATCTCATGTCTTCCGGTAGGTTAGCGGATAGTCTACGCGAAATGACAGATCGCGAAATAGCCAATCGTGGTCGAGCTCGCGCTTTAGGATATGTCGACTCTCTCGAAGAGCAGGATCGCCCTGAAGATCAGTACCAATGTACTGTATGCAAAGCCTTCTGCTACCTATCGCAGATCTGCTGTCCTCATCAGTCCAATGTCGTTTGTGCTGACCATGCCGAACTCCTCTGCGCCAAGTGTAATGATTCAAACTCACTCACTCTACGCACGCGCTTTCCAGACAACGAGATCATTGATATTCAGAACAAAGTCGCTGAGCGAGCTGCTATCCCTGCTGCTTGGAAAGCAAAACTGGATAAACTTCTTTTGGAATCAGCTCGACCTTCTTTACGTCAACTTCGTTCCCTACTAGCCGAAGGAGAGCGCATCCATGTCAATTATTTTCTCGAAGAGATCTATATGCTGAGAAAGTGTGTCACTCGTGCTAACGAGTGGGTCGATTCTGCAAACACTTTCATTGTTCGAAAGCAGAGTAGGAAACGTCCTCGTCGTTCCAAAGGTCGTTCAGCACAGGAGGGAGACGAAAGTCACGAAAAACCTGAGAAAACCCTAGCCGACCTCTATGATTTATTCCGTGAGGTTGAAATCCTTGGGTTTGATTGTACCGAGATAGCCACCCTCCGTACACTGGCCGAACAAGCTGAGGAGCTCAAGACCGTCGGTACTGCTATACTTCAATCACCCCCCGTCAATCGCAATCGGGAAGATTATATGCAACAGTGCCAGAAACTCGTCCTCGATGCTTCATCGTTGAATGTTCTGATTGACGAAGTTGCCGAGGTTGAGAAGATTGTTGACAAAGAGCAACTCTTAGCGGAACTTGAGGAGAAGATGGTAGACGGTTTCACTTTGACTCTCGAAGAAGTTCGCCAGCTATTGAGTCGTAGCCGTGCCTGTCAGTTTCCTCCCGACAACAAGTATATCCGCCTTCTGGAAATTCGGTTGCGCGAAGGTACCAGCTGGGAAGATCGTGCGCAGGAGGTTCTGCAACAACCAATTAAAACACTGGAAGACCTCGATCAGTTTGCTGATCTAGATCCCAGCGTACCCATTGATCCCTCGGTCCTTGACCGTCTCATGTCGGCTCGCGACAAAGCGCGTGACTTTGAAAAAACCGCTCAGGGTTGGTTGGAGCCTGGGACTGCTACTAAACCTCGACCTAGTGATGTCATTAAATTGGCCAAACGGGCAGAGAAGGAATTTAGTCTTCCAACTCTTCTTGAGGTAAAAGGCATGGCGAATATTGCGAATGAGCTAGAGGACCGCGCCGAGCAAATCCTGAAGTCCTCGTATGTTCGTAGCAATGAGGACGTCTTTCGGTCCGTTCAGGACTGGAAGGACTATGCTAATCAGCATCTCAAGATCTTCTCATTGCCCAAGTTTGAGAAAGTCCATGTGCAAGTAGCTGCCCATGAAAAATGGGTATCTGACCTTCCGTGGTATTGTCGCAGACATAATGGGGCCTACACCCACGGAAAGGAGGTACTTGACGATGTCATCGAGTGCACCCGTCCTGATGATGACCAACCACCTAACGATGAATATCTTACCTGCATCTGCAACGTGCCCGTACGTCCTCCTCCCCCAGGTGTCCCTTCCGATGCTGTTCAATGCGATCATTGTTTCGCTCGATTTCATGAAGAATGTGCGAAGAATGGAGGATCTTGTCCTTTTTGTGACCATTCTCATTGGACTGGAGACATCCCCAAAGCCCGTTCTTGGCACTTCTGCTTCTTGCCCAATCTCCTCATCAACGCTCCCGAGATTTCGAAGAAGTACTCAGAGGAATGGAAACAACTAGAGGTCATTGTACATCGAGTTGATCGTCTGTCAGCTGTGATTGGACAGTTTTTAGCTTACACATCCCAGCCTGCCAATCAACATCCCACCTACATTCATCAAGTCCGTCACTACATGCGCAAACTATACAAGCTACAGTTTGCTGTGTCTCCCAATCCTAAGGTATCTTTCGGTCTCGACCTTGCCGGTCTCCATCGTATTCTTGCCGGTAGGCCGAAGAAACGCAGAAAGCCAAAATTCCACTTTGGGCAAGATTCCGACTCCAACTGGGCAGATGGAACACGGTGTATCTGTCGAGGCCGCACACCCTACTTACTTGGTTATCCCGCTGTTGATTGTGAACAATGCGACAGACGCTATCATGCTGGGTGTGTTTTCTATAATGTTGAACAACGTGCAACGTTCGGAAATCGGCCTAGGCCATATATATGTCCTTTATGTTGCCTGCGGAGGAATAAAACCTATCCTTACTCAGAAGTACGGGTCAAGCCCCCACGTACGTTTTCTCTCTTCGCCCATTCTTTCTTTGTATGCTCACATAGTTGTAGCCGAGGACACTGCTCATGCGGACTATTATGTTGACACAAAAGAAATGCTGGACACCTTCAGCAAAACTATAATTTACAAGGCGATGGGCCAGCCTTATACCCAGACCTTGTTTGTTGAGCTCCTAAAGTTCACACCAGGACAACCAGACACCCATGCAGGAGGCTCTGCCCAGCCGCCTTCTTCTTCTGGCCCTCGAGCATCGAGCATCGAAGTTCCTGGACAACATCTAGTGCCTCCCCCTACGCATGCACCTGTCGCTTTACCTCCGCCCGTTTCTGTCAGTGCTTTAAACGCCGTAACCAATGTAGCGGTCCAGAATGTGCCCCCGCCGCCTTGGTCAAGATGGAGTACTGTTGCGACTCCATCTCGGCCTCCCTCTATATCCAGAAGACACGAACTTCCCCCCGTTTCTCTATTATCACAGGAGCACCAGGATACTCGGAAACGCAAGCATGTAGAAGACTCTACCCGTGAAGATCTACTTCCTCCTATGTCCAGCTTGACTGAGCCTGCTGCAAAGCGACGAATCATTTTGCCTCCCGTTCATCACCAGAATCCTCTGCCTCCAATTCAATCACATCCTCCCCGGGCGTCTCACCCGCCTCAAACTCGAACGCCTGTGCTTCCCCCACCGACGCCTCAGAATCAAAGTCTTTCACCGTCTTTGGCTCGGTTAATGTCACCTGTTGACCAATCTCCTAGATCACAGTTCTCTCATGCGCATTCATCGAATGGTATGAGCACCAGGCTTGAAACTCGACATGACTCTCCTCTCATGAGACCAGGTGGTGTGGATATCCTTAACTCTCCACCAATGCGCGGTCTTGACAGGGATGTGCCGCGATCGATTCGTAGCAATGACCCGACCACACTTCCTGGTCCCTCTACTTCACGAAACAGGCATACGTCTCCGTTGATCGAGAGGGATATGCGCGGTAGTCCACCTCTTGGTGCTCTGTCTATCGTCAATGGTCGCCACAAGCTGCTTGCGTCTCCGTTAATTGAGAGGGATGGTACGCGCGGAGGTCCGAATGGTCACGATAAAGTTCATAGGTCCCCAGTCGTGCGTAATGGATATGCCAATCCTCAGACTTCACTCGCAACAGGCATTGACGCACCTCCAATACGAAAATTGATGATGTCTCCTGGTAAACCTTGATTTTTTCCCCTTGCCTTTCCATTCAACTCGATATAACCCTTTGTTGTTTGCTTTGCCGATGTAGTCCTTATTATAGTAATGATTATGCTTTCCCGATTTTTTACATAGGGCGTAGGTGTTCTGTGAACAATCACAGCGTGTAGTCCCTTTGATTTGTAGGATACAATTTTAATTTTCAAACTATGCATTATATTTCGGAGCTTTGAGGTCCTGCTATGTACCTAATGTTCACGGTTCAATCCAGTAGTAGTACTGCTAAAGGTGGAAGCACAGGCAATATATATATAGACATCGGAAGTAATGTGTAACGTTGGTTTTCTTATCCTTGATTGTACACACTGGCAGACACTTGCACGTCAGGGTTACTAGAGGCCTTTTATAGGCAGGTATGACCTGGGGATGTGTAAAGCTTGCCATTTGCCCTCACTCCAGAGTCAGACAGCCTATGTTGTTAGATCCTGACAGAATTTCCGGGAGGGAAGAACAAACCTAACGTGTCTATGTTGTTGTATTCGATCTTCGTGGAAAGGAGCAAACTCAAACATCTTTCCATACTTTTGAAGATTCCTTCTAGCATCTTCCCTCACTTGTATCGAGGGAAATATCGGCCACCCGCCTTCTTTCGATGTGATAGTACGCGGATCCACATGGAATCTCGAATGCAAGCCCTAGATTGGATTATTTCCGTCCATACGAAGCACCTGCGAAAGGCGGTATTCATAGTATCAGTGCTGTTCTAAACTCTGCGTCACCACAGAACTACGATCAGGCAATGCCAGAGATCTTCAGAACCCCCAAAGGGAATTTATAGACTAGGGAGAGAGAGCAGAATACGCCGCTTGTGAATATGTGAATCCCGGGTCTGTTTCTTTGGCTCTGTTAGGACATTCTCTGGCCTCCTGATTTTTCGTCGTATTCAGATTCCAGAAAATTAGTCGCAGTCCCTTATTACAAGGATATTTGGGTATTTTCAACTGTATTTGGAACATATTGCAAAGTTGGAACTTGCTGTTTGTTCAGACCCCAGGCCTCAGTATTGAGCACAAACTTCAGAGTGATGATTATCCAGGTGTGGCGCGAGGAGACGACTGATCATGAGAAGGTGGTGGCGGCAATTGACGCGCTACGCGTCGTGTGTGACTGGGCACGTGCATCGTGGGGTTCCACTTGTCACTTACAAGTTTTTTTTTTTTTTTTTTTTTTTTAAACTCTTCATTAACCGCAAGTAAGTAAGTCTAGGTACTAAGGCGCGGGGAGTCACGGAAACAAATAAGTAATATCCTCGTCTGTTGCCTTTCTCCATTCTTCTGATATGGGTACACCTTGATTGGGTCCCTGCGTGGTGGTAGAGCTGTGGGTCGTAGGGTTGTTCGGTATGTATTTGTAGTGTATAAAGTAGTGTTCAGCCAGCAAAATGGCCTGATAAAGGAAAAGGAAAGTTTTCACACTCTGCCCGTGTAAGGAGAATAACCGTTAGGGAAAACCAAGTCCACATTGCAGGCGTATCCGCTCTGTGGCCTATCTGGCTCTTGCTGGACTTGGGCAGCTAACCTGTTACATCTCCTGCAACAAGAAAGCCAAAACCCACGCTAGCAAGTTGTGGGCTTGCCGCACCAACGGTCTCGGGTTTTGTGTTTCAGCTAGTAGGTGGTGGTATGGTATAGGTTGTGTTTGTTATATCTCGGTATCGGAGTTGTCGGAGTCTATGACCTCCTCCCTCCAATCAGCTTCCGGAGTCATTTCTTCCCCGGTTGGGCCATGGAACATGGCTTCAAGTTCCTCCCCGATGCCCAGTGGTGTGTACGTTGGTGCTTCAGCGATTGGGCGCTGTTTTCCTGTTTTAGTGAATGCCCCACTTTCTTCCAGGAACTCTGTGAGGGCCTCAATTCCTTCCTCCGTTCCAAGTATCTCTTTCAAACAGATATCATCCGATGCTTTCCTGAGTATGTGCCGAAAGTTGTCATATCGAGGGCAGGCACGTAATATGTGTTCGCGGGTCTGCAGATCTTCGCCACAAGGGCAGTTAATGTTCTCACCAGGTACAAACTGAGCATAGTACTCGCCTAGGAAGGCATGGCCTGTCCGACATTGTGTTAGTCGTCCGAACACTTCCCTTGGTGTTTCCTTCAGCCGCTTTGTTGGTTTTAGGGAGGGTGGGAGCTGGTTGGCAATTGCGAAACGCCCATAGGTTGAACGTGATTCCCATTTCTTCTTCCATTCTCTCTCTGCCCGCACCTTATTTAACCGCAGAGCATTTGATCGTGACCTCCCCCACATTGCCTCATTTTTCTGTTCTGTTCCCATTTTGGCTAGGAAGTCAGCACGTTCATTGCCGATTATACCTATGTGGCTCGGCACCCATGCCACTTCAACTGAATGTAATGGGTCAGAGTCCAGAAACTCCACTACTTTTCGGTAGAAGTTAGAGCAATACACTTGGCCTGGCTTGGGAGAGGTGTCAAATATTGAGTCGATGCTTGAAGCGCTATCTGTGAAGAATTGCCAGTGAGTGATAGAGTCATCTTGGGAGGATATATTTGCTGCAAGGCCCGCGGCATAGCTGAGTGCAACAATCTCCCCATCATATGCTTCTGCATGAAAGCCCAGCCCAATGCTTCGGCTGAACATTTCTATATTATTCTGATAGGCCACTAGTCCCGCACCTGCTCTCCGTATACGGCGGATGGGTTTCAAAGACCCATCTGTATATATACACAGGTTTTTTGAATGTGATTGAAGGATACTTAGCTTTGTTTTGTGTTCTTGGACTTGTTTGTGCATTCTCTTCTTCTTGTCTTCCTCTTTCCCTTTAGGTGGTGGTGGGATAAAGCGGAGTCGGTTTCCAAAGTCTGATCCCACCCTTCGCCATGGTGGTGTGGAGAAGGGAAGGAGGCGTTCGTCGCTAGAGTTGGTGAGGCGCGCAATGTTCTGGAGTTGGGTTGTGCGGTTTTCATCTTTCTTGCCCTTCCGATTTAGCTTGTAGTGGACAGCTGGGGGGCGCGATGGTGGCCTTCCTGCTCTCCATGTATTATCAAGTCTTTGTATGATGGGGTTGGATGTACTTAGCTTGTTGAATCGTAATGCACAGTTTCGGTTCAAGCGATTAAGTTCCACCCGAACCGGTGGAATAGATGCCTCAATCTCCATTGCTGCTATGTCACTTACAAGTTACATACAGACTGGAATCGGAACAACGGCATCGTACAGTAACAGTGTACAGTGTATAGTTCAGAATTCGTTGTCTCACCCTTCGACAACGATATACTTTGCTCGATGAACCTAGGATCACATATGTAGCCTAATATGGCGTCATATTCTCTAGGAACAAACTGAATATTAAACGGTGCTTCGAATTCGTTTCGCACAACGAAATTCAATGATTTACGAGTTCAGGTTGATGTTATTTCTCGACTGGAGGATGGGGGAAAGCTGCTGCTGCGTTTGCTCATGGTCCGATTCGGCTAAAATCAAAAACGCAGAGTTTTATGAATTTTATCAATGCAGAAAACGACGCGCAGCCTTCCTCATTCTATAATATGATTGTCATATGGGTACGTCCGTGTAGTACGTCCGTTGCTTCGGTTTACATATTTCGGCTCTCCCAGGCTGCCAGAGTATGTATATAAGGATGCAATAATTTAGAAAGCAACGGGCTTGCGGTCACCTTAAGATGCGGTCACTCTTGTCCTGTCTAGCGATACTCACCTTCTCCGTGCTTGCTTTTCCTTCTCCCAGAGAAAGCCATTCCCAGATCAAGGAAAGAGTATTTCCACCTCGGGACTGGGAGATCCACAGTGTCGCTCCTTCCAGCCACAGAATAGAATTGAAGATTGGCCTTCCTCAACCAAATTTCAATATCCTCGAAAAACATCTATATGAAGTCTCAGATCCGTCTCACTCTCGCTATGGACAGCACCTTTCCAAAGAAGAGGTGGAGGCTCTTGTGGCTCCTCATCCAGAAAGCTTAGCACTTGTGACCGACTGGCTTGTCTCTCACGGCATCGGGGAGCAAGATATGACCCGGTCCCCCGCCCAAGATTGGATCACTATCACCGTTCCCGTGAGAGTTGCAGAGAAGATGCTCGATACTGTACGTCTTATAGAGCTACATAGGTTCAGCCCAAGTTCAACCGATTGACTTCTATAGACGTATCACGTTTGGAAGCATACATCAAGTGGCGAGTCAATTGTTCGAACCACAAGCTACAGTCTTCCTATCTATCTGCACGAGCACGTTGACGTGATTCAACCCACGACGACATTTGCACGTCTCAAAAGTTTCAAGTCGACTATTCATAGGCTCGATATGGAAACTGGGCAGATCGTTGAGCAAAGCAATACCCCCATTGTCAGCGCATCCGGCATCTCTGTTGACCCTAGTTGCAACACTACAGTCACGGTAACCTGTCTAAAGCAGTTGTATAATGCCACAGATATTACTCCTTCTGCTAACATCAACAACTCTTTTGGAATCACCGGTTACCTTGATCAATTCGCCAACTTTCAGGATCTTCAATCATTCTTCGCCGTTCAAGTCCCCGAAGCTGTGAATTCAAGCTTCACTGTTCTATCTGTAGCAGGTACATAATTGGATCGTAATGTGAACTGTGAACTTGCTTCTCATGGTGTGTCCAGGTGGTCAGAACAACCAGACTTTGTCCGAGGCCGGGGATGAAGCAGATCTTGATATCGAGTTCGGGTTCGGTATCACCTTCCCGATTAATGTGATATGCGCCATCTTTTTCTCTTTCTACTCATGCTCACGCGACATTGTAGGGAACCTTTTTCACTACAGCTGGAAGTCCGCCATTCATCCCAGACTTGAATACGCCTACGGATACCAACGAGCCTTACATTACGGTGAGTACTCAAGCGTTCCAATCGGCGGTATTTCTTTCATTGATGGCTTCTAATAGTGGTTGGACTTCATTCTTGCTCAAAACGAGATTCCTCTGGTCATAACCACAAGGTAAAAATTTAGATTCTCCAGAGGGACGACATTGAAATCTTTCTTTAAGTTATGGCGACGATGAGCAAACAGGTACGTAACGTTTATCCGTCATCTTGCAGTCATGTGTCTGAATTTTGCAACGTAGTTCCCGAAAGCTTCGCGAAACGTGCTTGTGCTGGTTTCGCCCAATTGGGTAAATATTTCCTCCTGACATGGACATAATATGAAACTAGGATTCTAATTTCTGTTGGAATGGCCAGGTGCTCGGGGCGTCTCTCTTACATTTTCCAGTGGAGACGGAGGTGTTGGGGATGGAGACCCCGATCCTGCCACTCAAACTTGCATCACGAACGATGGGACTAATAAAACAGAGTTCCTCCCTCTCTTTCCAGCTTCTTGTCCCTAGTACGTGCTTATTTCCCTTGCCCTTCATTACACTTTTAATAATCAAATGTAGTGTTACTGCCGTCGGAGGTACCATCCATGTTCCAGAGGTTGCAGTTGACTTCTCTGGAGGTACTTGAGATTTTGGTGTACACCGCCAGTTTGATCCCCTTTCTCATCGTGGCATGACCAGGTGGATTCTCCAACTACTTCCCTCGTCCTTCATATCAGGATGCGGCCGTAGCTGCCTTTTTCGAAAACTTCCCCAATGGAACATATGCAGGGCTCTTCAATCCGTGAGTTACTGTTGTCCATCCGCATTCACAAGCTCTGTATTCTGAATTCACCGCAGTGATGGACGGGTATGGCGTTCCATGCTGACAACTGCATGAATTATGATACTGACTGGTTGAAATATCAGGCGTTTCCAGATGTCGCCGCTCAAGCTGACAACTTCCAAGTAATTATCGGGGGACAGACCGGTCTCATCGGTGGCACTTCCGCTGCATCGCCTACGTTTGCGGGTTTCGTAGCTCTGCTCAATGATGCAAGACTCAAGGCTGGACTGCCGTCCCTCGGATTTTTGAACCCACTATTTTATTCAACTGCAATTAGCGGGTTTAACGATATCACGACCGGGAATGCTCCTGGATGCGGCACTGAAGGCTTTAATGTGAGCCCGGTGATATTCTTCCTTACCTTGTCACTCATTTGTTGTTCTAGGCAACTGTTGGCTGGGATCCTGGTGAGCGATTTTCCAGATAACATTTATTCTATCGGATGCTGATATTTTGGACACCAAGTGACGGGACTTGGGACGCCTGATGTAGGAAAACTTGTCGCGTTAGTGACACCTACATAGGGAGGTCAAGGACAGAATAATAAATATACCCCAGGTACATAAGTATGTACTGTTATTAACTACTTGTCACAGGAAATTCCAATGGAACCCAGTTGAACGCGTTTCTAACGAAACAAACTGACAGACAGGTACATGTAGGTACAGGTAGGTCAACGGTGTAAGTCAGCGTGGAACAGTTGCACAATTATACATAGCAGATAACTTAATGGAAAGCAGCACGACTGCTACTGCAACAATCAACACCCTCATTTGTCCAAGTTCCATGCGGCTTTCGACTCTCCTTCCTGGGAACCAAACCCTTCGTCAGCATGTTTCTGCGACTAGAAGACGTACATGAAGTTTCGACATTTTTTCGCAGAGAAAAACTTACACTGAAAGGGGCCATTGAATAGCTTTCAACTGGTGCATCGGTTGTACGATTCACATTGACATCAACAGAGATGGCGCGATTGAAGACGCTATCACTTGATATCCCTGGCCGATTAGAGGGCGGCCCCCCTTCTCCATCCCAAGTATAGTTGACGGTGGAATGGGTGCTTTCGTGTCTCCGACGGCTGTTGAAAAGAACCATCAAGGCGTTAGTGTACAATTTGGCAAGTATAGCAACTGGGGCAGCATGGTGATTGTTATGCTGGAAAACAATATACATGACTGCATCAACAATTGCGATACTGGCTGCAGTCCGTCCGATCAGAAATGTGAGCACGGTTTTGCATGAATAACATACTAGTGAGAAGACCACCACCGACTGTCAAGCCAATGAGGCGGGACAGCATGTTTTCAGTGTGACGGTAGCTAGTGAATTTCCTAGCACGAGTGAGCTAATGAAGAAATCAACAAGTAGTCGCATTTCATCTATAAAAATAATCACCAGGTATAACATGCACACGGAAATAATCACGTCGCAGGAAGCGCTTCCCAAAAGCCAGACCTAATCTATGAGCTTGATGCTAGGCAGCAGGGTTTTCGGGGTAGGTACATACCGTGGTCACTACAAAGGTCTTGCTTTGTAAATCAGAGAACGTTTGAACCGAAAGTTTAATGGTAATTCCAAGCGCCATTGCAGCGCTACCTTCCATTAACGCGAGCTAAGATAAGAGAATTGAGCATTGTTCGCCAAACAGATTTTAAAACCTACTGCGGCGATGAAAAGGGCCAATGGTATAGACCTTCCTAGAACATAGATCCGCCATGCGTAGAAGCACTGCACTATACAACTTGCTGAACAAACCCCAAATGAGTTCTTGTAGCAAACCTTGTAAATACCATCTACTTACCGACACCACTCATGAAGGGAATGTCGAACCAAATGAGTCCTAAGCCCTCCAGCGCTGCAACATCGCCCCAACCAGAGGCTAAAGAAGCAAAAACTGTACTAGTATACAAGGCAGTTTGCAATATATCCCAGATGAAGAGCCCATAAACTAAAGTTTTCAGTCGCCAGCTGTCCTTCGGAAAATTGAGGTAGTAGAGATCTGATACGGGGGTCATATATTAGCCTATAATGAACTAGATTACGGCGGGATTGTGCAACTCACACACTTGAACAGCGCTGCATCCAAAGAGGCCCCAGTTACCGACTAAGCCTAAAAGCTACCAGGGACCCATAAAATTTTTATGGGAGCATCCCATAGTCAGACCTACGCACCAAAGGACCAGTTCTAGAGGCACAAAATCATTCTCGTTAGACTACGCGGATATAAGAAAGAGAGGAATCTAACAATTGAGCAACGTTGGGAGGGATTCCGGACATGACAGGAAGGTAGAGGAAGGAAGTGGAACAGCTTAAGTTACAGTCATTTTGTTTGCATTGAAGATAAATATACGGGCAAATGCGAAATAGTTGCCGGAGCCTGATCAAATTGGGAAGGCTTGCTTAACGAAGTTCTTCGCATCAAATATTGACGACACCGAGCTCCAGGCGAAACACTAGCCACTTGTAACGATGACAGCGGGATGGCGGTATCATTATACCTAGGATACTGAATTTGACCAACTTGCTCAAAATATTTCCGTTGTCATATATCAGGATTCATATGAGCACCGTTTCAGAAACTGGTGGTTGGAGCATCTGAGAGAAGCGAAGAAGCCTAAGAAAGCATACGCCACAGCTTACGATCATCAATGCTGCGTTGATTCGGCCAGCGATGTCAGCGAGAGAAGTTGAACACATTTATTTGCGGGATCCAGCCTGATCCAAGGTAGGATCGGACTTGTTATAAGGCTGTGATGAAGACGCGCAAAGGATGACTAAGCTTTACAATGATCCGTTCGAGTTGGATTGGTACTAGATAGATCACGTCTTCTGAACGGCGCCGTGTATCTTTTTATCTATTTTAGAATCACTTCCCAATCACTTCCAACTCAAGCTTCAATCTCGGTTTCTCAGTTTTCTGATGGATTTTTTGATTGATAGCTCAATATGAGCATTTCTGATACTGTTACGGCTACGTTCTCTTCAAAAGCGAGATGCAAGCCAGTCAAGAGGAACAAGTTGGTCCCGCGTTGGTATTGGGCAATGGTCTCCGCTGAATCGTTCTGCTCGACGTCTTTCGACTATCTCATCCTTGGTGGTGGAACAGCAGGGCTTGTCCTTGCTGCTCGGTAAGAATGCCTTCTATCTGTAGTTGCTTCGATAATATTCAAACATCCACGATTATGGTCCAGTTTGTCAGAAGATCCCGATGTTGTAGTCGGTGTACGTGCGTGTACTGCTTACGTTCGAGCAACACTGACTACCCAAATACAGGTGCTTGAGGCCGGAGAGCATATCAATGAGATGCCAGAAATTAGTGTACCAGGTGAGTTCAACATTTCGTCATTTGACTGGTTCAAATGATGTCGAGATTCTTCAAGGTATGATGGGACAAGCTCTGGGAAATCCAAAGGTCGACTGGGCATTTTCAACTGTGGAGCAACAGGCAGTCCTGAATCGTAAAATATTTTCTCCTCGGTGAGATTCTGATTTTGCATCTTGTGCATGTATGCGCATAGAACTCATGTTTAATCAGAGGGAAGGGAGTCGGGGGTACTTCTGCTGTGCGTTGAACTTTTTCTCGGCCTGTTAAAGGTAGTAAATGCGGTTTTTTCCAGATTAACTTCTTAGTTTACCAAAGGTTTATCAATGTTTTTATCAACAATATCCCACTCGGGCTAATCATCCTTCTCGCAAAGAGCGTCTGAGGAAGACTATAATGGTATGTTTGATAATAACTTCAATGTCAGTGATTCTCATTTTCGGGGCATCTATTCTCAGCGATCGAGGCTCTTGGGAATCCATATTGGAACTGGAAAGATACTTTCCTCAAATACCTCATGAAAGTCTGTCGTTTCTTTCTCCGTTGATCATGGATTCGACTCTCAAGTCGTTGTTCTGTGACTTTGGCAGGTAGAAACCTACGTTCCGCCCACTGACCCGAAGATCGCTAAAGATCCACACATCGGCTACACTACAGACTATCATGGCTCTAGTGGCCCAGTGAAAGCTTCCTTTTCAGCCTGGTTCAATGATCTGCATGCTAAGTTCATGGATACACTAGTCAACATGGGAGTCCCAATCAATCGAGACACTGTGAGCTATCCCCCTGCAAACAATTTTACCAAAGCTTATAGGGAGTTTTTAAGGGTAACGGGCGGAACATCGGAGCGTCAGTTGGCCCCATCTCTGTTGATCCTTCAACCATGACTCGCAGTCATGCCGCGACTGTAACGGTTATACTATTACGCTGTGTCATCCTGCTGATTAACTGTATTTGTAGGCATACTACACTCCAAACTCACACAGGACAAACCTTGTCCTGCTCACTGGTGCTCATGTTACCAAGATTTTATTGGATACCCCCTCTGGAGAGCCTGTTGTTGCAACTGGAGTGGAATTCTTAAAGGATTCACAAAAGTTCAGTGTCCGAGCTAAAGTTGAAATAATATTAGCGGCTGGTACATAATTCATTTTTCTTCCAGACGTTTGATGTACTGATGAATACTTGTTCATCTATTGTAGGTGCTTTCCAAACCCCGCAAATCCTGGAACTATCTGGTGCGGCCAGTTCTATACCACAGTTTACTGCGATTCTGAAACCTAGAGGATTTTAGGAATAGGAAAGACCGATGTATTAACGAAGCATGGCATTAGACTAATCTTAGATCTTCCTGTCGGAGAAAACCTTCGTACGTACCATCTGGTTTCTACAAAGTGCAGCTCCCATCAAATCTAACTCCGTTACAGAGGTGTGTCAGCGGCGGAAGATACAAGGATATACGGTCTGACTAAAAATCACCCCCTTGAATTGCGCACAGGATCATCTTACTTTGCCTTTCATACACGAAGTTCCCGAAGGTTCCGAGACGTTCGACAGTTTGCGTGACCCAGCTTTCTTGGAGCAACAATCCACGTTATAGTAGGCCTATCTCTTGTGTCATACAGCATACAAATGTATCTGACGTTGGTTGTAGCAAGAACGAAAGGAAGGGTCTACTGGCTGGTTCTATCACTGCATATGGCTACCTGCCTTCAGAGAAACTTTTTGACTCGGATGGCCTCACGGCTCTGCAGAATCAAATGCTCCAAGATACAACGCTCACTGCATCGCCAAGCTTGAGCAAACAGTCTGTGCTCATCAAGAAATGGTTTCCAGACCCCAATCAAGCCCAAATTGAGTATGTTCCTGTGATAGTTATATAGCAACCTAACGTCTACTGAAGTGCACTTCTTGTACCAGGGTGTTGCAGTTTCCTTTTTTCCTTTCTTTTGGCCCGTTGCCGGAGCGTCGAGAAGGCAAAGTGTACCATTCAATAATGATCATTGGTCTACACCCCCTTTCCCGTGGATCTGTCCACATCAGTTCCGCCGATCCCTTGTTCCCTCCAAGCATCGACCCTAGGTATTTTTCTAATCCAGCAGATTTGGAGATCATGGTCAGTGCTGTAAAGTTTGTTCGGAAGCTGATGCGAACGGAACCTTATGCATCTGCTGGCTGTAAAATGTACGACCCTCCAGAAAAATCGGCGGTCTCCAATGAAGATCTTTCGGACGATGAGATTCGAGATTGGTGCAGGTCCCGAGTTATCAGCATCTTTCATCCGATAGGGACGGCAGCGATGATGCCAAAGGAAGATGGCGGTGTGGTTGATTCTTCATTAAAGGTCTATGGGACCAAGAATTTAAGAGTGGCACGTATTTTCTGTTTCCTGCCAGCCGTATGTGTTTTTGATCAAAGTCTGTGCAGGTTGACGCATCTGTTATTCCCCTGGTACATTTCTATTTCACCCTCGCGCCTTTGGTTTCACCGGTCTCAACCATCATTTTGTCCTTCAGGAAATGTCGACACATCCTCAAGCTGCCGTATACGCTATCGCTGAAAAAGTATAACAATTTTTGACCATACAGTTCCCCCTTACTTACTTATCTATCTTTCCAGGCAAGCGACATTATCAAAACTGCGCGAGCTCGATGAACCTCTGATAGATGCACAGATGCGCAGATAGAGCATATAGTGTAAGTCCAACTGTCACCGAGCTCGCTATCTCTTCTCTTATACGTCCAATGCTTCATATCAGTACTCCGCAAAGTCGAAAAGGATCTACAAGGTTTAGTAGTACTATCCAGAAGTATTATTGGAATTGTAAACAAAAGCTGTACTTACTACAAAGGTGAAAGTCATGGATAAGATAAGTTTACATTCATGCGAACTTAGAGGGAGAGTGAGAGGGAGTAAAGAGTACTGTGTATCAGTGCTCAATCTGATAGTAACGAAAAGTTTTGCCCCCGAAAGGAAGCTTGGGACAATGAGAGAGCATGCCGAAAGCCATGGATGAGATGAAAGCAATATTGACTACCTTAGTCCATGCGCGAGCCTGATTTTGATGCCGGTAACCCTTTGGTATTGGTTTCGAGTTCCTGAGCAGTATAGTTGTTGACGGGGAACGGGGAACTTTGGAGTTGAGGAGGAGGGAGAGGGTGGCAGGAAGTAAACTGAAGTAAACAATTACAAATTGCTGTCGCGCAGACTTTTACGGATTTGCCCGCGGATGTTGCCGGGCCGGCTAACCGACAAACCTCCTGTAACTAGAATTTCGGAGCGAGGAGGCACTACGTTCGAGCTTTCCTTAGGATTGGAGCCTTCATCTGAGCCGGACAAAGGAGGTCCACATGCGAATGCGTACTCGAATGCAAAATTAAAACCTCAAGGGATGGTTTTGATCTATTTGTATCGGAGGACGATGCCAAGCAATGAGGTATCGTGTCGGCAACATTTTCTTCAATCAATCTATCTTTATGTCTTTCACCTTCAACTGGCCTCGTTTCTCGGACCAGTTTCATTACGATGCGATTCAAATGCTCAACAATGCGCTCAACAAAGGAAACAAACCGCCGGTCATAGCAGATAAGATCGAGGTGGTAGAACTGGAAATGGGTACTAAAGTATGTCATACGGGGAAGTATATAATATCTATTTTACACTGAAAGACTCTGCTCAGCCTCCAGACCTGGAAGTCCGTGAGATAGGCGAACTTACTGTGGATCAGTTTCGTGGAATTTTTCGCCTTTCGTATGACGGGGATGCACATATCGTGCTCAAAACAAAAGTGCAGGTGCGGAACCAATTGCTCGATTGTTCATACCCTACTCCTTACACTTGAGCAGGCGAATCCCTTGAACCATAAACAGCCTGATATCCACATAATGGCTGGTACAAAAGGCATGCTTGCTGCCAGGCAGCCACTCGTAGTTCCTATGCTTCTCCGCCTGTCACATTTCAAGTTACGGTCTATCATAGTTCTCGTAGTATCGAAGCAGAAAGGAATCACCCTTGTGTTCAAAACCGATCCTTTACAAAATGTCGATATTAACAGCACATTTGATTCAATAGCAGTCATACAAAAATTTATCCAACGCGAGATCGAAGGACAGCTGAGGCAGATGTTCAGAGAAGATCTTCCTGGCATCATTCACCGACTTAGCCAGCAATGGATCAAAGCCAAAGTTGAAGCTCCTTATATATCTAAACGACCATCCGCACCTCCCGCACCCCCTGCGCCTTCGCCGATACTTAATTCTTCACCGATTCCTGCTCCACTTTCTTTTGACAATGTTGCAGGCTTGTCCTCTCATCATACTATGCCTTATACTCGTGTTCCGCATTCGACAAGGGCTAGCAGCGTACATCGTTCGCGGTCGACATATTCGGGTGTAACCGGAACTACGCGTCGTCCCGTTACTCGAAAAAATACCACACCACCTTCCCCACCTGACGACATGCAGAGCACGTTTCCAGATCTTGAAAATTACGATCCAACTTACGGGTTGCGACCTGAAGGTCTTCCAACCAAAAGTGTCTTCAAGGGATTCCAAAATCTCTTCACCCCCAATCGAGGCCTTGCAGATCTCACTGAAGACCCCAGCGAACCTGATACTGATAGCGAACCTCCTTATGACCATGAACACGAAGATTCTACTACGTATGACATGGTCGACTGGGATGGTGTACCAGGGCTTGCTAGTCCAGGCAGTCAGTCAGATTTCACATACACTCCGGAAGATCATGGCATGGAGTACGAAACGATTCCTGCCGTTGGTGGTGGTAGTGTCATTCGCCCACGGGTGGTGCATTCGCAATCCATGATTCAGGATGCTGCTCCTCAGAGTCCATCACCTGCGTCAAGACGTATGGGTCGGCGTCCAACGGATTCTGCTTTTTCTCCATTACGTGCCGGGATGGTCTTGAGTCCGTCGAGCGCGCGTCTGCCTGGTTACAACCCATATTTTTCTGATTCAGCCACAGGCCTTGCCTCTGCCAGTTCTTCCAAGAGTGTCAACTCAGCATTCTCCCTCCGCAGCGCTCCTCCCTTCCTACCTCGACCCCATTTTGGTAGATCAATCACACCGGATAGTCTCGAAACACCCCCATCATATTCTACTGAAGATAATACACAATCATTACTTACACCGCCCGAAAAAGACTCAGTCCCGATTTCATTTACCGCTTCTCCTTCTCCTTCTCGACGACCTTCTGTTTCTTCCAATCCAAACAATTTCTTTCCCAGTTCCCCGACAAACCACAACACTTTATATGACATGGAAGACGAAACGCCAAAGATCGTTCTCCGTCCATCCCCTTTGAATAATACACTACACCAACTGTCCACTCTTAGCCATTCTAACCACACGCTATCCCCATACACCCGTTCACTTGAACATTTTACAGTACGCAGCGTTCCACCACGCTATGCTGGAGGTAATTTTGGTCCTTCCTCAAGCATAGATCGCCAGCCGGTCAAAGCAAAACGAAAAAGAACCTATCATCTGGGTGGTCAGAAGGCCAATTCATCGATGTCCTTACCTTTACCATCACAAGTGCCATCTGGTCCTTCCGACGACCGGAATCTGTATCCTCCTGCTATGGAACCGAACGGTGTACCCGAATCGGACATCGACGTATCGGACATGGACCGTTATTTTCCCGTGAATGACGTCGATCAGAAAAATCAAAATTCGCTCCCCCCGTCGTCTGGAGTTGGTCTCGATCCTTTCAGCCCTCCAAACATTCATCCCCATCATTTTCGGTTACGGTCTTCATACGTCCATCCAGAATAAACCTATCATTCTTTCTGTTTCTTGCGGTCAAATACATATTTGTGGGACAATCTGGTTTCTTTTTTTTTCGCGCTGATATTTCTTACCTATCTCAATTGTTAAATTTTTTTTGTATTACTATCATTTGGCATTTTATCCCCTTTTAGATCATTTGTCACTGCGCATGGAATAGCGGATGAAATGCATCCAATACGGACGAAGGGTTGACTTGGAAGTCCTGTTCGAACCGGCCAGCCAAAAATGGATTTCATGGTGGTCGTTAGTAGTTTAATCAGGTCGAATGACCATTAATACCTACATCCACTGTAAATCAAGAAGCATCGTTAAAAAAAGTATATTGTAATTGTCGGAGACGTGCCATGCATGCTAGGAAGCCTACTGGTGTTCTGTCTTGCTACTGCTGCTTGACGCAGTTCACGGAAGTCATTATTGAGGTAGGTTTTGGTTAGGCCTGTTGCTGCGGGCGAACGTAGCAGCGCTGCCGGTGGAGATATAACTAGGCCCAGAACATCTGGAATATTGTTCCTAGTTGGCGTAGATGGCGCGATTGGTAGAAAAGAAGATAATGGCGAAAGGATATCTTGAAGCTCTTGCATAGAAAGCTGTAGGGTATCTGGTATATTCATGTTTTCTGGAAGAATTTTTACATCCTCGTCGACTGTGAGGATAGTGCGCAATTTGTTAAGTGTGTCAAGTTGTTCTTCTGGAAGTGATGCTTCCAGGCTATCGTAGAGTGACACCAGGTTATCAGACTTGATGCCGCAGAAAACAGTCAACCCTTCTTCGGAAGGTTGAGCACTGAGCCACGTCATAAGCGAGAGGATAGCACTGCTAATCTCAGTGGATAGATTAGAATTGGACAGGGGCGTCTTGAAAGTTGCCAAAGTCTGTCCGATATCCAGACGAAGCATGTCCAAGTCCATGCTTTCCAAGGGAAGAGTAGTCAACACGGCAACAGCTTTAGGTAACAAAGAGTTGAATTCCACTGCTGACTTATCCCCTAGTCGAGCTGTCCTCAGAAACAGGACTACCAAGGTAAATCTGAACTTGTTGTCCTCAAATCCTCTGTCGCAGTGGACCAGGAGCGTTTTAACGACTGTATCAAGGTGAGAAGACACCACTCGAGCAATTGCTAGATTTGCCAAAGACGTCGTTAGACTGCTGAATGCCTCCTGGACAGTCCCTAATGCTCCAAGACACCAATCGAGCATATCAGAGCCTGTTTGCAGCATATTCCCTAAAAGCCGCACATGCAATCCAATCTGGTAAAGTAAGACAACTGTTTGGATATCTGTGTCTCTCTGGGTTTCGAGTTCAATGGAAGCCAAAAGAGTCTTTGTGCACCGCTCAAAGAACTTCATCTCTGCTGTGAATAAAAACTCTGCTGTCCCTACCAAGCTCTGACTATCTAGCCTCACGAGGCGTCGGAGCAAGTGAATCTTGTTCTCTACATCGAGTTGACGGAAGAACTCTTGGATCTCGTCCAGCACATTTGGGAGTACCTGCAACACCCATTCCTGTTTCTTTTCTTCATATTCAATATCAAGCTCAAGACTTCCTCCTATAGCCGCGGTGAAATTTGGGTCCGGCAGGACATAATCAACAAGGGCAAATATCTGTAAAAGATGATAGGCTGGGTCTTTACCGGAACTCCCGACTCCATGCTTGAGTAGCATGCTCATAACAATTTCGGCTCCGCTTTTGCCTCCCTCGGGTTCAACAATGATGCCTCCTGGCCCAGAGTTTGACGCCCTACGCACGAATTCTAGACAGGCTTGACGAGCGGATTGGGCGGAAACGCAGGCGGGGGTACCTTGTGCGTATATGGTGTCTGCAGCATCCGTACATACGAAGACATCCACGACGCTAAGGACGATAGAGCGCAAAGTGTAGGCGGATAGCGAGAAGGATAGTGGTGCTGGAGTTGTCGAAGGGTAAGATTCGGGAACAAGGACTAGATAAAGGACAAGGGCAAGAAGGTCCTCTGCTAGTCGGAAGAGCTGAGATAGAACCTGCGGAAGGGAGATTGCTGTAGAAGTCTGTGGCTGAATTTGGTGTGGGATAGGGAATGGGGAGGTGATACGGAAATTCCCATTCAAATCTCTTGATGTTTCTGCTAAGAGCTCTGCTAGCCGGGGGATCAACGCTGTTGAGTGTTCATCCCAAATCATTTGCAGGACATTCCAATCCCCTTTCTGAAGATCCTCCATCAGTTCCTTCTCAACCAGGGCGATACTCACGAGAAGGGTCCTTAAACGTCGGGAAGATAATGGATGAGTATTGGGAAAAACGAGCTCTTCGATAGCAGCTGGTAAACCATCTTCGACCACTAATGCGATCTTCCGCATGGAAAGTCGGTCGTTCTCGGATATGTGGGATAAGGGTTGTTTGAGTGAGAGTATGGTCTGAACGAGATCATCATTCAGAGCGGCATCAGGTTCGTCGAGGAGGTCAGAAAGGATTTGTTCGCCAAAGATACCTGATTTACGGGGTGTGTCGTTGCTGGTTATCCATTTTAGACGAAGCGTAAATTGGCGGAGGAGAAGAAGATAATTCACGATCTTTGAGTGGATATGAATTGTGATGAGATAGGTGTTCAAGCGAAGAAAGAACAACTTACCTCCCGATATCCATCCGTGCTCTGCCAAAGTCTCAACACGCCCAACGTTCTTTCCCGACAAACGTCATTGCCCAAACTATCTGACCACGCCCATACTGCCAACACACCGGAAACTCCAATGAAGGCCCGCACAAAGGCAATGAACTCGTCGTGAGATATCGCTGCCCCGACGCTCATCGAGCCAATTATTCCATTCCTCACAAAAAGCTTCGGATAAACTCCACTGGAATTCGGAACGATCGGGTTTTCCGCAAGTTTCGTGACTAAATCGATATGTCCCGTCATACTAGCCAACCAAATCCCTAAGCTCTGCTCCCCCGTGCCAATGTCTCGTAGGAATGCAGTGGCAGCTGCGAAATCGGCTTGCGTGTTTGATAACGCGTCTTCGAAGACCTCCCAAGCTTGGATACGCTTAGCCAGGCGCTCGGCTGCCTGTTTAGATGTTCTAGTTTGGGTGACGTTGATGGCAGAGTTTTGAAAGTCGGCGAGGACGTCCAGAAAATAGTCGGTATGCAGGTAACGCGCGATATCGGCATTTGCAGAAGCATCAAGAAGGTGGAGAAGGGTGTCTTCATCGAGAGACTGAGCATCGACAACGGTGCTGATATCGATTGCTTGCTGTAATTATCGATATAAGCAGCATTAACACTCGGGGAACGGGCCTATATACTCACACAGAGAGCCAGTGCCAGCGAAGGACGTTGGGACGCGGAAAGCTTGAATAGTTTAGCGATGTGAAAGGCTTGATTATTGGTTCTTGGACCAATATTATCTGCTACGACCTGAGCAAACTTCGTTAACGTGTCTTCCGCCACAGCATCCGAAACTGCTTTGGACATAGCATCCAGTGTCGCCTCCAGGTCAAAGTTCATTTGGTCTTCACCACTGTTCACAGTCTCGGCATCGTCATCTTCCATCTTCGACGCGGTTTGAAAGATATCTCTGTCGAAATCCACGAAAAGGAACGGAAAATTTGAATCGTCCCAATCGTCGTTGTCTGGTTTGAGGCAGAACATTAGCTTGGAAAGGAGTGAGAGCGGAGGTGGGTCGTCTAGGAGGGAAAGAAGGTTCCTCGCGAGGAACATTGGGTCAGAGGAATTTGCTGGGTCAATTGCCGAGGATAGCGTTCGTGTTCGTGTCTCCGCTGAAGAGATCGGTTTTGGCACTGAGCTGATTATTTCCTCCACAGAAAGAGGTGGAATAATAGTTTCTGATACAACTTCTCCATAGATTGCTAGTGAAAGAGCCTCAAATTGACCTTTGACTATCATTAACCGTGTAGCATACTGTAAATCCATCTCATTATCAGTGAGAATTCACTGAACAATCAAAAGTTTTCGTACCTCGGTACCTAGATCCACAGTAAATTCAACCTGGCCACCAGCATAAGCAATCGTAGTGGGCACTAGTGCGTTCGCCGCGCGCTGCTTGTCCTTCGACTCTGACGAAGGTTGTACTGGTTGCGCATTGAAGTAAACATCCAGCAGGAAGGAGTCCGGTTCGGTTTCACTGCAGATTACATTCTTAGCGTATACATAAGCATTTCAGTGAAACAATGATAGAAGACAGACCTAACGATATCCGGACACTGTTCAAAAGGCTTTGCGCCTTTCGGAAATACACGAATGCATTTCACTCGAACTAGCTTGGTGAATCGGATTGCAGCGAGGCTAGACGGTCCTTCCGGGATCAATGAACACCAGTGCAAGAGTTTCATCAGAGCAAGCGGAAGACAATAGATTTCCCCAGGATCGGTCTTTGCATGCAGCCAAAATGGGAGGCAGACGGGGACACCTAATCGGGTTGTGGCTGTGACCTCCTGGGATAATGCATAATGCTTCGCTCACAAAATGCCAATCTCTTATACGCTCCGCCAAGTCTGGCAGCGATTGGACTCAGAATGAGTTTAGAGCGTATAATATCACTGTTCAATTGCAAGACGCAGCCACCTTCTTCTGTGTCGACCCTTTGCCACAACCTGCAGTCGCTCAGGAAGTCCTCACAACACTTGATGTAGACGACATGATTCTAAACGACAATTATAAATTCTTACACTGCATGGTTTTAGCGATGAATCCTGTTCCAACCGAAGAGTCTGCCGTGGACGATCTTGCTGTTCACCTGCTGAAGCTGTTGGGATACCTGCAAGCGATTGCCGCCTTTCAGATGAACAATTTCAGACGGGAGCGGCTCCTTGGTCAGGCTCCCATCGCAAGTAAGGTCATTCCGGGTATCACCTAAGACCTTAGTAGGGTCGTCACCCACTTTCTACAAGATTCCTGTCACCACAGAACTTGCCGAAGCTGTTGCACTCGGCGAGTACCTGCGAGTACCCAACGCCCACCTTCCGACGGTGCCTCGCCCGGCTCGCCGATGGAGTGAAGGTATGAAACCGCTAGCCAACAGGGTTCACATCCTTCAATGCTACGAGGCGTTGAAGCCATTTGTCAACTGGTATGTTTTATATGGCTCCTGTGTTTTGATTAATCTCATGGCTGTATTAGAGTTTAGGCTGTAACTGGGCTGTAAGGACCGGTGAACAGCTGGCAGTGCTTTCACCTTCCCTATTGCAGGTCAGTCAGATCAGCGCGCATGGAGAGAGCATATGCATTGTTAGGTATATGGTCTTTTAAGTGATATCGTATTTATTTTCTATGTGAATACTCTAACTTTTACAGGAAGTGCAATTGAGACCAAGAGAGAAGTGACACTGCCTGAAGGTGCAATAAATGCTCTGTCGAAAAAAAGACACATGATTCATCTATATTACTGATATGTCAGTTTATATGCCCCCGTTGTCTAATGGTTATGACGTCAGACTTCTATATTACATAATCCTTGTTACGTAATGAATCTGGAGGTTATGGGTTCGAGTCCCATCGGGGGTTGTGTTTCATTTCTTTTTCTTACCTTACCAAATGGGTGTCAACAAGGACTTTCCAAATTTTCTAGGGCGGTGCGTTACTCTTTCTAGTGCAAATGCTATGGATTGTATTTTAAAGTGAATGAAAATGAAAATACAGTATGTCGTATAGTAGATAAGATGATCGCACCAATGGGGGAACGAAAATGGAGGAAACCGTGATCATGAATGCTTATTGAGAGAATAATATATCGATGCTATGTTTCCGACCTGTATGTAGGTATGCCCTAACTCAAGCTAAAAGGAATAATGAACAAGATCCTCGTGAATGGGAGACTATCATTGTCAAGATGTTTGCCGATATGGTTGTCCTATTGAAAACGTGCCGTTAACGTCGAGACATCAGCCTGTATGTCGTATAACCTCCAATGACAGCAAAAGCAGCGAGGCATGCGATAATCGACACAAACCATGCATAACCGGGAGCATCCTCGCCAGGTACGTGCACATTCATACCCCATAAACCTAAAACCGAGAAATAAAAAACAACATTAATTTGAACGCCGCTCTACACTCAAGACATGCTGACAAGGGATCGGGGAGAGAGCGAAGATGCTTACCGGTGACCAGATTCATAGGGATGAGAACCGTACCCAGCGCGGTGAGCTTGCTCAGAACATCGTTGATTTGGTTGTTGGCTTCAGTCATTTCAATGGAAATTTGAGCGAGGTAGTTCGAGTGCGACCTCGAGAGAATTTTCTCGTAGTGATTCAATGACTGAGTCATGGTAATCAAATGGTCCTTGATGCGAGCGAAAAATATCGAAAAGGTCAATTTGGGAGACGAAGCCAAAAAAGCGTGGGCTTACTTGGATATCTGATAGATACAGACCCTGGAATACAGACTATTCAGCTTAGTTAATGCATGTAGGTGAAACATTCGCACAATATCACTCGTCGGAGCAACCTGCCAGTTCTCATTACACCTCTTTGCCAAACCCTTCACCACGTCCGCTTTATTACCCATTAAACGTAACAACCCCATAACTTTCTTTCTGCAAGTTCCAATTCGTCTCAACATATCGCTTTGCTCAGTGCTGTCCTTCAAGATTAACACCAGCTCGTCGATAGAGTCGACCTCGTATTCGATGCTCTGAATAAGAGGTCCAAAAGCATCGGTGATGTCATCGATAAGAGCATAAGAAATCCAGTCAGAGGTGACGGATATATAATCTTTGAGTTGTTTGATCCGTCTTCGAACTGAAGACGGATGAGGTGTTGGGCGGAAGTGGAACTGTGAGCGGAGTGTCAATCAAGTTAGCAGACGATATTATCGAACGCAATTGCTTACGGACAAAGTTCCCTCTCTGAAAACGATGATGTACATATTCAAAGGTTCCAAGTATGTGGGACTGTATGAATCCTGATCGAAGCTTCGAAAACACACAAGATAGTAATTTCTAAAAAGCTCTATCTTCTCGCGGGTTTCCTCCATTTGAATGTCTTCAGTAGTGAGCGGGTGGATGCCAAACGCCTGACAAAGCGTGAAGGATATTGATCATTCATCACAGACCGAGCTCACCTTGCTCAACATCGTCATCTCCTCATCGGTTGGGCTGAGTACATCCAACCACCATGTGCAAGATTCTGGATCTGCACCTTCGTAGCTTGAGAAACCTAAACCACCGCCGAAGCCCGGTCGACTTCTATAAGTAGGCTTCACGTTTCCGGGAAAATATCCTTTTGGCCCTGCACTCGTTGGCCTCTTGTCCTTGTCTTTCGCGTTAGGATCATTCCGATCTCGATTGATACCTGCAAAAAGATCTTCGAACGTCTGTCCTTCTGCAGGAATCTCAGAGAGACTTCGAGCGTGTATAGTGGAGGGGAGGGCATTGGAATAAAATGAAAAACGGTAGGGTCGATCATGTCCTGCGTTGAGACCAGGTACTGAAGGATATTGTGTGGCGGGAATGGTAGCTGGACGAAATAAAGAAGGGAAACCATTGTCGAATGAAGGCAAGTCATTCGCGATGGGAACGCCGATGGCACTGGCGTTACCGCCAGGCCCAAGAGAAAATGGAATTCGATTTGGACCCGAGGAACCGCCATGTGTATTTTCAAACAGGGCAAGTTTGCCCCCAATCCCTTTTCGATGAGAGCGCGGATGCGGGTTACTTTGACTAAGCTTACGCTGTCGGATTGGGGTAGAGGACGAAGCAGCAGCTGAGTCGGAAAGCGCGGAGTCGATAGTTTCGCCGCTTGTAATTGGAACATCAGTAGAAGCAGGCCCGGCAACATCTGCAAAGGATGGTAACAGAGGTGCTTGCCTGGGGAAGAACACATCATCTGTGTTTTGTCGATTTCTAGGAGGAGGGAGGTTGAATTTCGTTGTGTTGTTTGAGGGAGATGTAATTCCCAATTTGAGCCTTTCAGAAGCAGCAAAAACTTCCATAGGAGCAAAGTTGAAAGCAGACTGGGACATGTTTGCTTGGTAGGTCGGAAGAACTCCGTACGCAGATGTAGATGGATCGTCTCGGTCGGCAGATGGATGCACAGCGCCATTTAATGAAACGAGTAAACTGGGATCATGGGATTGAGGCAAAAGATCTCGAAGGTCAACGGGTGAGGGTTGCCGTTTGGTAATGATAGATTCCAAGTCGTCTATCTCCTCCATGGAAGGCCCTTGAGCGATATCTATGTCACGCTGCTCTCGAGGGGAAAGACCCGCCTGAGCAACGACGTCTTGACTCTCTGCTTGTATTTCCTGATGTGTAGTTGTTGGGGAAGTAGTGATAGTATCTCTGCGAGCCTTGGAAAGCTGCATTGCCATATCCATATCCAAGGTTTGCTGGCGTTCTCTGACCTGAGGATCATTGGGATCGAATGACCTTGCTAATGTCGGTGAAAGTCTAGGACGATTTTCGGAATCATCGACACTGATGCTGGAGCTGCCTTTTCGACGAACTGGTGAGCCTCCTCGGGTCGAAACCGGCGAGCTGGACAGGACTCCACCGCTCGACATAATGGTTTTGGCCAAGAGTGGAAAGATAAGATAAGATTTAGAGCATCAACATACAGTGAGCGCCAAATTTGGATGCACTCTCTCGCTCTAAGCCTCTAATCACTCGAGCAAGCGGGTATGCTCATAGTTTGTAGCACTGTAATTAGGACAACAATTCTATACTACGGTTTAGAAACATTTTCTTGAGTTACGGAACTTCCGGATCGGCTCGCTTGCGAAATTGTCCGCTAGTCTCGTAAAACAGCTTGTTGAACGACTTGTTCATCAGCGACCACGTCTATCTGCATACAGACAAGTACGTTGTCAGGCCTCCTATAGGCCTCCGGCCACTACAAATCAATGAATGGTGTACGCAGATTCCTTGGTGGTGGATTCAACGACACACAAAGCCCGGGGCCTCCAGCTTCACTTGAATTGGGCAGTCCACCATCGAGCGCCCTCCCTTTAGCTTCAGCATCTACTGCTTCAGCCTACTCAAATTATTCAGATTCTCCGAGCCCATCAATACAGCCGAAGAGCCCTACAACGATTACAGCCGCATTATTCTTGAAGAAAAAGGACAAATCGCGACCTTCACTTGGTGGTTCTCAGGCTTCATTAGATGAAATTCGAGCTAGTACCAGCACTAGGGCGAGATCTAACACCACTAGCTCTTCGTCTTCATCAGTAAATGGACTGGCAAGAAAGTCTCTTTCGAGCACAAGGCCAATACAGCGCAACACGCGGGATGACTTATTGCTTAGTTTGCTTGCAAGCGAAGCAGTCGTGGAGAGCAGGGATTTTGCAATTCTCAGTTCAGAAGAGATAGATGAATTGAAGAAGGTCAGTTTCCATCGTATTATATATTCGGATTCATTTGGATCTTCATCCGTCCTGGATGCTTACAGGAGGAAATTCGTCTTTCATCACGACTAAGTTCACTGGAGAAAAAGCTGGAGACAGAGCGCAAAATCCGGGATGCTTCAACGACACTATCTACGCTCTCCGTTCCAAGAAACTCTGTTTCAAAGTCCACGCCTAGCAACGAACAATTAGAGACAGCCACCAAACGCTTTGATGAAACACAGAAAGAAGTCTGGCGAGTCTCCCAAGCCAAATCCGATGTGAGTCGTCGGTTGGTTGAACATAGAGCGGGGGTTTTGAGCGAAAGTGTACGAAGGAATGAAGAAGACAAACGTGGCGATACGTCTAATGGATATGGCACGCCTACCAATCCCTTGTCTCCTGCTTCCTCCGCTTTCTCCTTCTTCGCTGGACACCCATCTTCTGCTGTGCCCAACTCGTCATCGTTGCTTCCACAAGCTGCTCAACAACAGATTACCCAATTAGAGGAACAGTTGCGTGCAGCAACAGCTTCATTGTCAGAAGCGTCCAAGAAACAGGCTGAAACTACCAGGGAGTTAAATTTGTTAAGGTTGGAGAAAGATCAGGTCGAGACCATACTTGGAATGGAGGTACAGGCTGCACAGGACAAAACAATATCCTTGGAGAACGAAGTCCTTCCTAAACTCGAGACGGAGCTGGAGAATTTCAAACGTGAAAAAGATTATTGGGATGAGGAACGCGATGCATATCAGGCAGAGAAGATGCGGTGGGAGAATGAGAGAGCGATGCTTCAGCAAATGCAGCAAGCAAAAGGCGGCGCAGATGCAATGTTGGCGGAGGTTAGGCAGAATTTGCTAGATATGCAGCAGCAGCTTGACGCGAAGGAGGGTGAACTCCGACAACTCCAAACACAACTTTCTCAATCACAGTCACAACTCTCACAAACCCAATTGCAGTTATCACAACTCGAACAATCGCATGCCGAAGTTACAGAGGACTTGGACTCTGGCCGAGCGTTCGTTCAAACCTTAGTCCAGACTCATGCAATAGTTCTGTTTTCCCGCGATCCCTCACTGAAAGGACTGTTGTCGGCTATTGGCACTCATCTTGAAGGTTTATCAAATAAACTGTTATCCACTGAACAAACAAGTGCTCAGAGAGACGCTGAGCTCAGACAAAGGGAGTCCGAATGGGAGGCGCAGAAGAGACGATTAGAGGAAGATGTGAGAATGGGCCTAGATAAACGGGAAGAGTTGAGTCGGGAGTTGGACATTGTAAGGAGGGAACGAGAAAATATGAGCAGGGAGATGATAGAGATGAAGGTGGGTTCATTCAAACGCGATTGTCCTTGTATATTTATTTGCACAAGCCTCCAATATTTATCTCTGACTACATCCATCTCAGGACTCTGTGACCCTCCGCTCACCAACATCTCCGTCTCGACAGCTCTTTTCTCCTGCTACATCATTCACATCTATTGCACCCTCCCCGCCGACGCTCTCCATATCGACATTACCAGGCGACAACATTGAATATGCTTCTCCCGAAGCTCTTTCCGTTCTCTCTGCTCTCAAGCCCCTATGGGCGGTTTTGCCCTCTCCAGAAGCACGAGCAGCGAAATTCGCCTCGAGTCGTGAGCGGGCATTCCGTACGGGGTCTGGGCCAAGCAGTCCCACTATGACAAACAGACCATCTAGTCCCGCCGGCAATACACCTAAATCGATATCCGATTTAGACGTGAGAAGCCTAAAGTCACTGTACGACTCGACCAAAAACCCTTCATCAATATCGTCACCTCAGTCCGAGTTCACTTTGTCGTCCTTCATTTCCCGTGTCCAATCATTATTAACAGACGACCGACTCCTCATCGAACGCTTACTTCGCTTTGCCCAAGCACACGACCTTCTGAAGAAGAACGCCGACCGAGCGCAGAAACTCGCTTCTGAGGCTAACTCGGGCCTCGAAACCTACTCTCGACAAGTACGCATCTTGGAAGGTCGGAACGCTGATTTAGTCAGACGGTGTGGAGAGCTGCAGGGAGAGCTGACAGAGCTGCAGGGCCTTCAAGAAGTAGTAGATCGGATATCTGCGGCTAAAAGCGATATCGAGATTCAAGCGGCCGAGCAAGCAGAGACATGTAGGCAACTAACGGAAGCCAATAACATGTTGAGTGCAAGGGCGCTGGCACTGGCAGAGGAGGCAGCACAGGCTCCGGAAATGGTGCGGCGGCAGATGCAGAAAGAGTTGGATGATGTCAAAGCCGCAGCGGCGCGTGCAACGACATTGTCGGGGGTGGCGACGTCATTTGGAGAACATGAAGCATTACAGGCGGAGCTGGTTAAGGTAAAGAAAGAGCTGAAAGAAGCGTTAGAAGAGATGGAAGCCATGCAGACGTCGAGTCAAGCGCAGAATGTGATGTTGATGGACGAGCTTATGGTCACGCAGTCGGAGAATGCGGATTTGAAGAACCAGTTGAGGGGGTTGAAGAAGTAGGTCGGGCATAAACGTATTTCCACTCAGACGGTGATTGTTTCTATTATGAACATTGTCCTTATGTGCTTTAGTCCTCTTCCTGTACTATATTAGGGCTGCTCAATTCTTGCCTCACCTCACCTCACCTCACGAGCTGTCACGAAATTCCGCTTTTGGATGTCCGATTGATCGGTACCATATGTGTAATCTACAGTAGTTGCAGCAAGACCCAGGCAAGACCTAGCAAGACTTTATATTCATTATGCCTCAGATTACTTGTGCAGAGGTGCAGAATGAGTTGTTCGACATCGCGCAAGCCTTTACTGTTGTCTCTCACCTCATGGAGGATTCCGATAACTCCAATGATGATTCCTTTCAACTTGATGATGGCTTTGATGATGAAGAAGCACAAAATTTCGATGGTGAATTTACTGATAGTGTTGTTGTAAGGTAGGTGTACTAGCTACATACCATCAATGAACGAAGATGAACCGGACAGTCTTGTCGAACGAAAACGAGAGGATGAAAACGAGAAAACAAGGCGACGGTAAATCAGCCCGGATCAATCAGACATCCAAAAGCGGAATTCCGTGACAGCTCGTGAGGTGAGGCGGTGAGGTGAGGCAAGAATTGAGCAGCCCTATTCTTGGGATGATTATCTCCTGGATGCCTTTCCTTTTCCTTTCCAATGAGCAACTATACTTTCTGTTCAACTTCAAGTTTGCATTGTCACCTTCATGTCTGCATCTGAGTCGTAAATTCATAAGGATAATTTGAATATTACAAATAAGATTTTCAAGAGCAAGTGTACAACCACTGGTCGATATATCTTTGACCAAACTTTCCAGCTGGAGTCAAGGTGGATGAATATCCGGGGATAGGTTAGACGTGGGCGCCTATCAAGGGTACAGGTTCGTTCCGATTTATCTGTTTCCAATCTTCCTCAATGTTCAAGAAGCGAAGTCGCCCACAAAATCATGTTCGAGAATTCACGAAAGAACTTGCAACAACTGTAGATCTCACCGAACAAGAGGAGCAGGAAGAAGAGGAACAGGAAGAAGAGAAGCTTCCGTCAGTTTTGTTTCACGCGCATATGTAGTGAGAGTTTATCCTGACCCTCCCCCCTTGTCATAGGTTGGCAGACCTCCTCGAACTGCGAAAGCTGAAGAAGCTACGACAAGGAATTGATGCTGTCAAGTTGAGCAAAGGAGTTACGAAGAAAAAACGCAAGCGGACCAAGGAAGAAGAAGAGGAAGAACAAGGTGGTTTGAGGAAAGGTGCTGCTGTTGATGAAGACGAGTGAGTGTGTCTCACCGCTTTGGACTGCTCTTCACAAGAGATTTACGTATATAGAGAGGAAGACAAAGATGCCAAGGCAAGAAGAGTTGTTCGAGCTAATAATTTCACTCAACAAACCAATGCACTCGATGTCGACAAGCATATGTACGTCTCTAAGCAAATGCCTTCTTACCAACTGCTCATGCTTCAGTACTAACCAGGATGGCCTACATAGAGGAAAACCTCAAGATTCGCTCGAGGCCCCGAGAGGAAGGCGACAAGAGCAAACCGCTTGACCCTCAAGAAGCCTTGTATCAAGTTCCTGACAGATGGAAGGTTGAACAAAAGAAGGTCGCTAATTCAGAAGAAGGAAATGTTTCGAACAGCTTGACTATGCTCACTGCTATACCCGAAGTCGATCTGGGAATGGAGTACGTCCCAGATACGTTGTCATAAATTCGCTCTTTGCTTACACTGTTCTTGTTCTATATTCATCTAGTGCTCGTCTCAAAAATATTGAGGACACTGAGAAAGCCAAACGCGTCGTAGCTGAAGAGCGCAGTGAAAGGAAGCAGCCTCATAATAATGATGAAGCACATCTGGTCGCTTCGCGTTGTGAGTCAAAACAGTCATCTCATCATTCCGCTCTGTACAATGTTAACTGGTCTACATAGTCTATCGACCCAACTTGAAAATGAAATCCGATGCGGATCTCATACGGGATGCTAAACTGGAAGCAATGCATCTACCTACTTCAGAAGATCAACCTCGACGGCAGGATAAACCCCAAATGGCTACAGACGAGATGGTGAGTAGGGCCTCTTCTTCGAAATTCCAAATGCCAAGTCAGGAATTTCCAGGTAATGGAGCGATTCAAGAAACGTATGCGCAAATGACTGCATGGATGGTTGGATATATATCTGTCTCCCGTCTTTTGCTATTTCCACGTTCACCGAACCATTCCTCTCACCATCATGATACCCATCCTGAAGGTTTGATTGTGCCTATGACTAACAGTCTAGTAGCTGTATCAATTCTTATACCTAGGAAAATAATGGACAGTGCTGGGAGGCTCATTGGGCATAAGTCAAGGCCAAATGAAGCCCATTTAGGAAAAGCCAGTATATCGAACTTTCGTTTAAATGGTTCTCTACGTCGTCTGAATGGGATGAACAGCACAATTCGGACACCCAAGAGGTTTTAAGGGAATACATTCAGAATTTCCTGAAAGTGTCTTTGCTACTTCCCTGACTAAATTTCTTTGGATGAATTAATGCCTATCTGAATGCATGAGAGGATGAAGCCGAAAAACCAGATACGACATAATGTCAAAGCATATACTGTATAGCGAAATCTTCTGCATAACTGTGGGTGACGTTCATCCCGATCTTTTCCACATCTGGGATTCCAACACTATTTTCTCCAGTTTCTCAAAATTTGGAGTTCCCAAACCTGACACTGGTTTAAAATTAGTCCCAACCAAAATGAATTTAAGCCAAAGACGCACCTGGATCCCATCCTTCGGTAGCCTGAGTAGTATTAGATAGATTGGATGCAAAGAAAATGATTTAAAAAAAACAAACGGACATTGAACCCATTTGTCCCACATCCAGGATTGTTACCCACAGTAACATCGTTCAACGCTTCCGCGCCTCTTTTGTACAGCAAAGGGTTAAGGAAACCGAGAGGCGGTAAGCCAGCATGGAGTCGGGCATCGTTCAACAGAGCGACAATACCAGCAAAGGTCGGAGATGACGCGGAAGTCCCGGAAATAAGGTAGGGTTTACTACCGATGAATACACGGAAATTTACCCCTTGGGCGGATACATCAGGATAAGCCTGCTAGCGAATCAGAGGTAGTTGGACCGAGCGAGAGTAAACCTACCCGTCCGAACCTAGAGCATGGTTGAATGAGTAGTCACAACAAAGATTAATCCAACAGAAGAAGAATACCGATTGAACAAATCACTGTAGGTGTGTTCACCGAGCGTCTCCAAAAATTCATTCACTGCTCGATCTTGGTACCAGGGGCGATCGAACTACGAAAAAAAGTTCAGGAGGAAGTAGGACCAAGGGTAGAGACTGATGTGATTACGCTAAAGAAACATCTTTGGTCAGGATCCTTCGGAGAAAAAAGCAAGGGCACGAACTAAAAGCTGAAACCGCCGCCGGAGAAGAAGGCGGCTTCCTCAGGAATGCCTCGTGTACCGCCTACGGAAGTTACACTGTCGAATCACAAAACACCTCAAGAAAGAATGTTCGAGATGACATGACAAAGGCTTACTTACTATGGGCAGGAGCTAATGGGGAAAGGTAAGTGCGCGTATTTTTTGGCAGGACAAGAGAATGGAAAGCGACCTTGGAAAGACAGGAAGGAAACGGGTCTCGTTCTTTCCGTCATTTGTTAAGCAAGTCTGGAATGCAGGATCTGAAATTCCGTCACCAACGCCGCCATCGCCGCTGGAGAACGTCAACGTAACACCGCGTGCGCCTGACGAGATGCATAAGATTTGAGTCGGCCGCACCCGGGAAATTAAACAAACCAAGTGCCATGAATCGCTCGCAAGTACGACGTGCATAATCTTCGGGCACTACAGAAGAACAATCAGTTGCTTAATGCAGCAAGGAACGAGGAACGAGGAATTTGATAGGCTTACCAGTCTGCTCATGGTCGCCGTAACTCGTTGATATCGTCAGTGGAGGGTTGTCTTGAGAGAAGATGTAGTCGAGCCACTAAGAACAGCATGAGCATTAACACCGTCAAAGCCAACAAGTAAACCCACCTTCGCGTAAGGCTCGTTAGTATTTGATTCTGTGCCTTGGTCTGGATCAAATGGTGGTTCTCCGCCAGTGGAATAAAAAACGCCTGGGGTTGGATAGCTTAGCCCAAGAGCAAATTGAACATCTAAGTTAGCCTCGTCCCCGGCTTCTTGTGCGGATTGGTTGTTGAAGCCACCTGGATGATGGTCAGTTAAGTCGGCGACTGTTCAAGAAGGTTACCACGTACCATTAATTAGAATAACATCAAGTGAAGCGTTGGCGGCGCCTGGGTTCTGGTCTGCGAAGAAGAGCTTCAGGTCTTCTTGGTTAGCGTATTGCTCGAGATACCCGGTAAGTCCAATGGAATTTCTCGAATGAGCTCTGGTCTGGTATCCAACGGTGTTGTATAGGCTTTGAAGGCAATTAAGAGTCACCGTATAGTTGCAGTCATTTTGACTGTCAGAGCTAGGTGTAATGAGTGTCAATTCTTTGGCATGGCTTGAGCCCAGAGCGATGTTGTTCTTAGTCATGTACAAGGTAGTTTTCATGTTTGAAAGACGAGCGAACATTGTAGTGGGCTGGATGAGATCGATGTGGTTGAAGAGATGTTCTGGAAGATTGTAGCTGGTAGTGCGAATGGTGAAATCTCCGTCGTCGTGTTGCCAGACATAGTAATTCTGGTTAGGTATGAGCGATAAGAAGGAATTGCCAGTCTTCAAGTGAAGGGGTAGACGTACAGTGTCGAGCATTTTTTCAGCGAGGCTGATTGGAAGGGTGACGACGATCCAATCTTGTGCGGGTGTGCAAGATATATTCGTGTCTTCGATGCCATGCACATGTAACCACTCAGTTACCAGTTGAATACTCTGTTCTTGTGGGGAAATCAGAGTTTCTACCTCAGATTTGGACAGATGCTGCCCATATCTTTCGTGGTCTGGATCGCTGATCTCTTGTATATGGTTTTCCAAGACGTGCATAAATGGTTGTACAAGGCCGATTCGCAGTTCGATGCGACTTCCAGGAAGGGGAGCGCTGTATTTTCTCCATTGTTGGGGAGGCACCACAGACTGCTTGAGCCGACCAGAGGTCAGACGCTGAGGGTTTACAGCGAGCGAAAGACCCGTAGAAAATGTGAGCCAAATCCAGAATAACTTCATAGCGAGAAGAGCGGAGAAGGGAAAGGCGCATATTTTTGTCTCCCCCGCAGTTTATACTTGCGATTCGTGGACTAGGGGCTTCTATTAACATTTTCGTTCGAGACGAAAGCGAAAAGAACAAGTCCGAATCGAGTAATTCCAATTTTAGGGCGCGGTAGCCTAACAAGCGTAGACAAGCGCCCTGGTGTTGACAGGTTGCTCTTGACCTTCACCATGTCATGGTGGCCAACCATAGGAAATATACTGTCTTCCTCATACAAACCTTCCTCTCAATCTAGTTTTCGCCATCTACTGTACGGTATCATTCTCGGCTTCTCCTTGTCGTGGACTTCGACCTCCTTGGCTCTTTTCTTTCGAGCGCGTAGGGAGCGACTGGCCACTCATGATCACTTCGAACCGAGACCGATTGAACTTAGGAGTGATGAAGTTCTAAGTGGCGTAACTGGACTTATAGGTAATGGTTGCCTACGTCCGTTATCTGGCTCCGATACCTAAGTAATGTTTCAGGGAATACACCACTCATTCGGATAAACTCTCTCAGTGATGCTCTCGGCGTTGAGATTTTAGGAAAAGCCGAAGTGTGTTATTGAACGTCCAAGTAGCAGCAATGCTGATCAGCTATTCACAAGTTCCTTAACCCCGGGGGCAGCGTCAAGGATCGTGTCGCTTTACGTAGTGTGTGCTTACACTCGCAAACCACTTTCAAAACCATTAACCAATATATGCAGTGATTGATGATGCCGAGACTGTTGGCCTTCTACACCCACATACTGGATCAAGAATCTTCGAAGGAACAGTTGGCTCTACTGGAATATCTATCGCCACTATTGCACGCGCTAGGTTGTTCCCTCGTTTCAAACATGCAGCTCATTCTAAATTATTTCGTTAGAGGATATGATGTCAGTACGTTACATTTTGTAACAGTACTGTCTAATTTGCGCTACTCACTTGCAAACACAAGCTATCATCATGCCGGACGATGTCGCTGAGGAGAAAGTCAAAGCCCTCCATGCTCTTGGAGCGGACGTAGAAAGAGTTAGACCCACCAGCATCGTTGACAAAAAGCAGGTGAGCTCATTCTTCCTCTTGATTTGCCGCCATCTACATTTTTTCTTCTCAGTATGTTGTAAGTTATGAAATGTGTCATGCCAGTTAAGAACTCAAGAACCCGTATCAGAACGTTGCTAGACAGCGTGCAATTGACTTCGGGAAGCACTCTTCATTCGACAAACCACATGTTCTTCAAGCACCACCCTCGATGATTGTCTCAACTACAGGTGACGAAGAGAAGCCCGAAGACCTTATGGACAAACCTCGAGGATTCTTTGCAGATCAGTTCGAAGTGCATACAAGTTTTTGTTCGCCTTACGGTCATTGTGTTGATAGGAGCATAGAATCGAAGTAATCACGATGCGCACTATGATGGAACAGGTCCAGAAATATGGAGGCAAACTAGCGGGTCCGTAAATGCGTTCGTGAGTGGTGCTGGTGAGTGCATTTATTCTTCCAACCAAGAAGGAACAACTGTTGAACTGAAGTCCATAGGAACGGGCGGTACTGTTGCTGGGACTGGAAGGTTCCTGAAATCCATGAATGAAGACATTATCGTTGTAATATCAGACCCAGAAGGAAGTGGGTTATACAATAAGGTTTTCCCGAAAGCACAATCTTGCGTCAAGATAGAGCACTGATAGAGAATTCTCTATTTTCCATTGCGTTTCAGATTAAACACGGCGTAATGTTTGATTACAAGGAGAGCGAAGGCACAAAACGAAGGCACCAAGTCGACACTGTGGTGGAGGGCATGTACGTAGAATTTCAATACCAGTATTTCCAACTTTCTGAACGCCTCCCAAAGTGGCATCAATCGTCTGACTGATAACATTTCATTAGCTCTCCCAATCATAGACGATGCGTTCAGGTTCGCTCATCTAGCAGCATTGTTTTCTTCTTATGTGCTAACCTTTTGACGTCCATTAGGATCACCGACGCCGAAGCCGTCGCGATGTCGCGATATCTCGTTCAGCACGACGGGCTCTTCCTAGGATCTAGCAGCGCCTGTAACCTCTTCGCATGTATAAAGCTTGCCCGTAAGATGGGATGGCAAAAAGGGCAAACCATCGTCACGATATTGTTCGTATAATTCTTGTACATATATCTGTGTTTAAACACCGCGTTCTGTATAGGTGTGACTCTGGCAATCGTCATTATTCCAAGGTAAGAACTTTCGCTTGTGTGTACTGTACTACTTGACTAACTGAAATAATATCTAGTTTTGGTGCCCGAATCTTCTTCTGTTCAAATAGGTTTTTTCTGACTTGGATCAATGGATATAGGAACGACGAGTACCTGAAGAAAGCTGGAATTCCTGTCAATCCCGGACTTGTCACCGAGCTCCTGTAGTCGTCTTCAAGACTATACGTAGAATAGATACAAATGCTGACATCCTTGGCCCGAGCTTGCTCTTGCGCCACGTTGCAGATTTTGAGCGCCTACAAGCGCCTATAGACGTCCACATGAATAATATTGTTTGTCCTGGTCCACGCTGCTGCCTCAGTTTATTTTTACTCTTTCGTCCTCCTTGCCATGGTCGAAGTTGGGCCACCCGTACAAAATGGTGGTGAAAACGGCGTTCCCAAAAGCGGAACATTCTCATTGCATAACATTTTGAGTGCAGACCACGACTCGGAAGCAATAGAGAATCATCCTGCACTAAATGGCGAAACCTCTAGGGGGTGGGACGAAGAGACGATAAATAGACCTGCAACCGAAGGATGTTGCATAGAATGCGAAGGTTAGCCTGTAGATTGAGCTGACCTTTGTGTGTCATGTATTCTCATGAGGCCTGGTGTCGTTTAGATCAGCCGGCACAACTCTTCTGTGAAAATTGTGCAGATGCTTATTGCGACGTTTGTTATTCTGCACAACATCGGAAAGGTTCTAGAAAGACACACAAAACCCAAGTATTGGAAAGTTCCGTGAAGCCTAAAGAGCAGGTCGCAGCCAAAGGGGAAGATCACGTACGCCTCGTTGTTTCGACCTATCATCGAATTATCATGAATGTCAGTCATATGTAGCAAATGGACACCGTTGAGGACGACGATGGTGATGAAGACTGGGAGCCAATTGCCTCGGCCCAACCATCGGGCGCTCAGCCAGCTATGGGTTCCACCGTTGGAGAGTGGTTCGTCGATCGAAGTAGATTCATCCCCTTGCGATTAACCCTAGGAGAGCGCAAATTCCTTCGCCTTCTTGAAGCTGCTCTTTCTGTCTCCGAATATACCGACAAGATCGATACTCTCAGTTTCGGTCAATCCAAGGCAAAACGTATAGTGGCCCAGATCAAAGAACTATGCGCCATTATGTCTGGGCTGTTGCTCTCGGCGGACTATAAAGCGGGACAGGAACTATTTCAGGATAGGGACTTTCAGGCAAACGAGGACTTTTACCAAACTGTGTTTGAACTTGGGCGGAGGCATAAGATCATGAACCCAGACAAGATGCGGACTACCTATGGGAAACTGATTTACATTCTTCAGGTATGGCATCTAAAATCTCCCTTATCTTTTTTGGCTCTGATTTGTTCTAGGACAGCCAAGCACCCGAGGTCAAGGATCTACTAGGGTTCAGCTGTGTTAAACCTATAAATACAGTATACTCGGTTCTAAAAGGTGCGTCTTAATACCTCTCAGACACGAATATACTACTGATGTAATGTAATTTCAGAAAGCGACGCGTTAGACATGTTGCGTGATGACCTCATCAACCCTGCAACACAAGAGATTTACTCTGAAGGTCGTTCAAGGCGGGAAATACAGCGAGATATCAAAACCAAAGAACGAGCGATTGAAACGTTGTCTTCTCGCTATCAACGCCGTGGTCTCTCTCAGGAGACCCTTCGTCAGTGTTTATACAGTATCGGCGACAACCATGCTTTCCTTCGGGTCAATCGGGACCCTTGCGAACGCATGATCAAGTATTTGCAGGATTACTTCCATCCTACGCAAGCAAAAGATCCCAAATATAGTCTTGCGATTCGCAGCGGTAAAGGGGGAGCCCGTCTATCCCATGATCACGGCAAACAGTACGCGTATGTTATCCAGAGTTTGACACTCTGGAGGGAGATCCTACATGGTAGGTGACCCATCCCAAACACTTGCATCCGTTTAAATGACAATCTCTTTGTAAACAGACATGTTCCATCTATGGTCTCTTGCCGAAGAAGATTTGCTCTCCGACTCCATTTCGTACCGCCTTCGAGACACTGGTCAGGGTCTTAACCGCGTTCAACCCTCACCTAAAACCTCCCGACTCATGCACACCATCCTCCACAAAGCCCAAAAAAGCGTTGGCTCATGGGTAGGCTCAAGTGTCATTCACATGGGTGACCACAACGTGCCCAACGCCCTCCTCTTCATTGACAAATACACCCAAATCTACCGCATCCTTCTACCCATTTGCAACACTCTCAATCAAATTCCTAACTTGATGGACAAACCCGCTTTGCGGTCGTATATTGAAGATGATTTTGGCTCGGCGGAAAATCTAACGAAAGAGATCTTGAGTGATTTCTTTAGACATGGGTTTGATGGCTCGGGGGCGGACAACTTTTATGATGCGGGAAGTTGTATCGATGGGAGGTTGACGAGTGCTTGGAACTGGTGTTCAACGTTAGAGAAGAAAAGGTTTTTCCCTATATTTTTACTGACTGGTGAGTAATTCTTTACCGTGATTTGAAGCATTCTCTGATGCGATCTCAGGCTTCACTGGGTTCGACGGAGACTGGTGAAAATTCGGTTGTTGTATCGTCACTTTATTCCGGACTGTTATTGCGCTCGCGGCGCGTGTGCAACTAGACGTACCTTAGATGTATCCCCATCCCACTGATCTATCTACATAAGTAGCACTCAGAGCTGATATACACATACGTGAATCAAGCGAAAGATGTGTATAGATCATACGGCTGCAGCTGCTACAGTCTGTGATGTATGTCCACCTTGTCTTTTTGCACTTGCAACGACCTCCAAAACACTACTCAACCCTGCCTTCCAAGACGATAGACGTTGCTCCAGAGCTTGCCACTGCTCACGCTCGAATGAACGAGCAGTTGAACGGGTGACATATAAAGTTTGAGTAGTTTGGGAAAGTTTTCCCGACAGTAAGCCAGTACGGATAACTAGTTGGAGCATGAGAAGATATTGCAAGATAGGGAAGATAAAACTTACTATCGATAACCCATTTTTCTACTTCAGAAGCATCTACCTGGATAGCTTCGGCAATTTTAGCATAAGGTAAATTTGTTCCAATATTTTTGAAGCCCAGCGATGCAAGGGTAAGAAGTCGGATCTTGCGTTCCAGCTGTGCACGACCAAGGTCTGTCATTCACGTATTAGCACGGCATCGTAGAAAAAGGGAATTTCAGACTGACCATATTTCTCAAGTACACCAGCATGAGATGCCTCCCATGATTTGAATTCTGAGAGTCCATTGTTCAAAAAGACCTGGAGAAGGGAGAACAACTCATGGTCTTTGTTGGCTACGACTGCGTCAATTTTGAAAAGGGCGTCAAAGTCAAAGATGGAGGGGATGCGGAGTGCAGAAGCAATGACTTTTATAGATGTGTCTCTTGCGGCCTCAGACGGAGAAGGTAGGGAGCGAAGGTAGATGAGGGAATAGTCATATGACTGGGTACTGTTGAAGAAAGAAAGTAGTGATCATCATCTGGGTTTGAACGAAAGGAAGCTGGATCTCTTTTTACGCACAGTTGATTTGATTTCGCATAGGCATCGACAATTCCCTCTAAGAAAGCACTTTTATCTTCGGGAGAGATATCCCACTCATTGGTCCATTTTTCAACATCGGAACGCGATAGATGAAGTGCGTTTATTGAGTCGTCGGCGACGGCGATTTGGAGGATGGTGTTATACACTGACAACCTCAGCGATGAGTTCCGAGGAAGAGCGTTAAACAGATTGGAAAGTCTAGAAAAGATACTTCAATGCCTCGAAAGAAAATTTGTAGACGCGAACGTACATCCGGTACTTGATCGTGGTCTGTTCTGAGGGCGCTGAAGATATCACTTTAAGCAAAGTATCAAGGTGTTGTTTTGCCTCTTGGCTGGATGGAGAAAATAGAGAGAATAAGTGGGCGTAGATAAGATTGAAAAACCCTTCGATCTCTATCGCCCATTGTCAATATTTTTACTAGCACAGATCAACTGAAATCCACACACACCTTTTTCCTGGCCATGACCCAGACCCGTAATCGAGGTTAAGATCATCAAGAAGATCTTTCTTCGCCTCTCTACATCTTCGGATAATGGCTTTTGTCCCTCTGTACTAGCAAGAGCTTCTTGGAACGGACGGATGGAAGCTGCGCGTTCTTCATCTGGCTGATTTCTGACCAAATAATTTACCAATTCTTGAACCTGAGAACGATGTAAGTAACAATTCTCCAGAAAATCAGGAATCATACCTGCTCTTCGAAAGTCCCTTCCGCGAAAACAGACACCGAATCTGTTTGCGACATTATTTGCGTGACTCGGGGAGACAATTTTTGCGTGACTTGGGGAGACGACTCCAGGAATTTTTGTTTGTCAGGTACAAACAACCGCTGTTGAAAGGCCCAAAAAATTTCCAAACTTCTTCTGCTTTGTCCGTCGATGCAGCAGTTGGTGTTGCACTCTACCGCTCGTTTCACCGAGTTCTGGAGTAACGGAGCGATGGCAGAGTATTGCGCAGTATAGACTGCTGTTCCTTGTTATCTTTTAATTTGCTGTATGTATATGATTTATTCTACAGCACTTCATTTCAGGAATACACTTTCTTCAACGGCCAATGGCAAAAACCTTTATGAGTCATTATTGCTTCAGTTAAAGTATTTCAAGGAAGAATGTCTGAAAGTTGTACGATTAACGGTCTCGAAGACTTGAACTGAACCTGTCATGTCGCGGCTTGTCTTCAAACGGTATTCTTCTACCATCACCGTCAAGTCCACGCCTTCCAAAGCTCACCATCATCAACCGATACCAGTTTCATCGTTCCCTTCTGGTTATCTACTCACTGGTGTTCATGCTGGAGTAAAGAAAAAGGCGGGTGCTTTGGACGTTGGTGTAATCCTTTCAACTTCAGAACGTCCAACGTCGGCTGCAGCATGCTTTACGCGGAATGCCTTCAAAGCTGCGCCAGTCATTATATCGGAAAAGATACTGGGGGAAAATGTTGGCAGAGCTCGAGCTGTGGTGGTTAATAGTGGATGCGCTAACGCAGTAACAGGAGCTCAAGGAATCGAGGATGCTTGGGCTATGGCCAAGGAGACCGATGCTCTTCTCCCTTCAAACTCTTCCGCTTCGCCTCCCACCACTTCCCAAACCCTTGTAATGTCCACCGGTGTCATTGGCCAGAATCTCCCTATATCCAAAATTCTCTCAGCCATCCGTTCTCAACGCGACGGAAGCCAGCAGACACTTGGCAATGATTTCAATGCTTGGGAACGTGCGGCAAAGGCATTCATGACTACGGACACGTTCCCAAAGCTCCGTGCGAGGAAATTTAATATCAACGGTGTTGAATACCGGATGGCTGGAATGGACAAGGGTGCAGGCATGATCCATCCTGATATGGGTCCACCTGCGCTTGGACCTCTGCATGCGACTCTGCTAGGATGTATCATGACGGATGCAGCCATTTCACCCCGGAGCTTGCAGCGTGCGCTTACTTATGCTGTTGAACGCAGTTTCAACTCGATCAGCGTCGATGGAGACATGTCTACCAACGATACGATTCTACTTCTGGCTAATGGAGCTGCCGCGGAGAAAGATGGTGTCAAACTCAAAGAGATCGATGAAGGAACGGACAGGGAAGCCTTTGAGGTGTTCAAAAGAGAACTCACCGATTTCACAATCGACTTGGCCAAGCTCGTTGTCAGAGATGGCGAAGGCGCAACCAAATTTGTGACCGTCACTGTCAAGGTCTGTAATTTACCTTCACTGCTCACTATTCGGAGGTTGACAGGTTGCTTGTGAAGGGAGCTCCTACATACAAAGACGCACATCGAGTCGCTTCTCGCATATCCACCTCTGCTCTTGTAAAGACCGCACTCTATGGCGAAGACGCAAAGTAAGCCGCTGCCTTGACTCGTCTCTTCACTTCTAATTCACACTACATACAGTTGGGGCCGTGTCCTTGCTGCAACTGGGTCAGTTCCCCTAAGCTCTCCTCTCCATACAAACAAAGTCAGCGTCACTTTTGTCCCGTCCGATGGATCGCGTCCCCTCCCAGTTCTTATCAATGGCGAGCCTGAGAAGGTTGACGAAGCACGCGCAAGTGAGATTCTGTCTCTAGAAGATTTTGAGATTTTAGTCGATCTTGGAGGAGGAGAGGCAGTCGAGACAGCCCAGTATTGGACGTGTGATTTTAGCTATGTGAGTACCAGTTTTTGTAGTTATATCAGCGTGCTTAACTCGATCTTCCTTATAGGAGTATGTCAGGATCAATGGGGATTATCGTAGTTAAATGCTGAGGTCTGAAGGCGATATGTGTATATTGATTCAGACAATTGTACCATCACAGTATTATTGCTTGGAGCGTATCAAATGTGGACAATGAACAAAAGGAAGTGACTATAGTCTATTACTGTTACCAATCCTCGAGTGGTCATGTACTTCCGTGTCCTTCCACTGACTGACCATCACTAGTTGTTTGCGCAAAGCCACTTTGACGTTGCACGTACGGAGTCTCCCTCTATCCTATCCTATTTCATGCTACGACGGTTGACCCTGAACCATTGAATCGCTCGAATTTTGCCAGCTGAAGCTACGTGAGTTTACGAACGGCTAGCCTAAGTGTAAGATAAGGAAAGAGGAATGCGAATGGTCATCTTTAATCAGTCTCGCGTAGCAAACACGTGCCTTCATTCTTCTCTGCTTGTCGCGCTCACCGAGCCGCTACTCGCATTTTCTCTTCTCCTCCATCCCTTGCTTCGTGGAAATTTAGGCCCAACCTCCTCTTCCCTATTCACTGCTAACGCTTGGTATGTTTGGGTCTCCTCCGAATCGTTTCCTTACTAAACCCGATTTACCTTGTGTACTAGAATTGCTTCCAGGGTCTCCAGCACTCCTCCATCATCGGAGATGATGCTGACACCGGCCGCAAGCGGCGTAAATTCCATCCGCAAAGACCTCATTCAATGAATGAAAAACCATTCCTAGCTTCAAATTGTCATATATTCAAGAATATATATACCAAAGTTATACTACTCTCCACTTCCTGTTCCTCTATCTACACCTCAATATGGAACTTGCCTTATCTTCAAAATATGATGGCACGTTCTACTTATTACTTCAGTACCATTGAAATTCTTTCACTCCCTCACAAACTGCTCTCTTGCACCACCACAACCCTTTGTGACTGGCAATGCGGCAATGCCATAGTGTCTCGAAATCCACCAGAACCCTTTTGGTCAAAAGCGATTGCCCTCCTAATGTCTGCCTTTGAGGCTCAAAGCAGCTGGTTTGGCTTTGTTGATTCCACAGACAGTCACTGCCTAACCATTTCATATTTCACTCGCGGCGAAGATTTCATAAGGGATTGTATGCCGGCAGACAACCCTCATCTACCTCGAAAACCGTACCCTTTCAGAATCTTTGCGACTCCTTCGAAGGCTCAACGTTCCTCCTTGGCAGACCAATTAATCATCCCTTGTAGATATCATTACTAGATAAGAAAGATTTGTCTTTCGAAAATGTTCTTTGTTGACGGTTGCGAATTCTCGGTCTTTTCCCAATTCTGCACATCAACTTCAATGATATTCACCTGCATAGGGTCCAAAAGGATATCAACCAACTGGTATTTCGATTTCTTTGTGATGCTTAAGGGAAAGACACTATTTGATGTCGGTAAGCTGGTCAAGTGAGAACGCCTCGTAAGATACGGTTCGGTGAATTCAATGTCACGGATATACCCACGTCTTCTCGTGCATTTCCTCCTCCTCTTATCTTTGTCTCTTTGTCGCTGTGGTTCCTCTTGAAATTAGACGACCGAAATATATATGTCTAAACAGGAATTCAATCCTAAATTGACGGGAACAAACTGCGTGCTTGGAAGGTGCCCAAAGTTACATAAAGAGTGCGATAATCAATAACCCTGAGGCTGCACATGCCAGTGTACATTTGTTGAGTCGTGACTTCTCATTCAAGACACTCTTGGACTCAAATCTCTAGGCAACAAGTGACCAAAAAAGTGTCACCGTCGCCGGGCTTGAACCTTTCCTGAGTCCCTCGAGGTAAACTCCGGTAGCGGGCTGTTGCTCAGAAGGAAAAACACATGATGCATTGTTTTTTTTCTGAGCTTTTTTAGCTCTTTTACCGGATTGGTGTCACTCTGCGTCAGGGCTAACAAGAAGCTGCATGGTTCTCCGATGGAGGACCATGCAATACCGACGTAACGCGACATAAGTTTCTTCTCCGTCGGTCAGCGTTCTTTCCATGTAAAAAGCATGGTTGCGCCTTTTAATTTCACGATGTACATACCCTCTTCCTTACCATGAAACGGACGCACGACACTAACACTATGGAAAGCTCGATGGCTGGACCCTCAGCTTCCACTATCAAAACGACCAAACTACCCAGAAAACCGAAATCTATTCAAGCCTGTAATTCGTGCAGGTTGGGTCAAACTTATTACTCGTTTGGCATCACTTACTGACACACCGGGATCCTGAACGTACTACAGGAAACACAAGACCCGTTGCGAAATTCTGGATGGTGTCGAGCAACCGCTTATTATATGCCATCGATGTAAAGTTTTAGGAGTTGACTGTTCATACCAGACAATGGAAAGGTCTCTATTCGAAACTGCCCTTCCTCCAAAGCCCGCAAACGCACCCGCAGCCACTTGTGGATCTAGATCTGATACTACTACTTCTCCTACCATCTCTCATGCCTCCCATGCCTCTATGCCGCACAATGACATTTTCCCAAATCTCCCCCACCAAATCTGGAGCTTTCTTCGTCTTCCCAGAGGAACGCTTGACTGGACTGCTCCGCTAGAAGCTATTCAAGAACTCATGAAACACGTACTTGGTACTCATGATCGTCCTCCTCCTCCTGCAATCCCAAACGACTCCTTAGAGGCCATCCTTTCCCCAGACCAAATTGACCACTTGATAGCAATGTACGTGTTTTCACGAATACCGCCGGATTGAAATTTGAACGTGTTTGGAAGATTCGAACACAATTATTTGCCTTGGCTCAACTTCAATCTCATCCGTGATAGAGTCAGCCCATTCCTCGACCTCGCCTGTTGCGTGGTCGCATCACGCCACCTTGGAGATGGTACAAGATCTGCTGTGGCCCCCAGACTGCAAGCACTGGTGACAAACTGTGTGGCGAAGATGATCTTGCAGTCCAGAAAATCTGAAACGCTGGAGTCCATACAGTGTCTTCTGATACTTTCTCTCTGGGTTCCAGTTTGTGGTACTGATGAGGGCTCTCGAGATGGTCGCATTCTTATAGCCTCGGCCGTTACTATGGCTTTGAATATGCGGTTGAACGAAGCATGCGAGCTGGCGCTTGCCCTTCGTGAGTCAGAAGCAAGGGGGGACGATGCGTCGAATCAAGATTTGTACGGCGCAACGGACAGAGCTCGTTTGGTGAGTTCAAAACTCGTGTTCAATCTTTTCAACCGTGTATTAAATTGATTCGATCCTTTTGCTGCCAATCTAGTGGCTTGCACTGACGAACGTTGAATCTCTGTGAGCCTTTGCTACTGATTGAGCCTTAGATCTATTTGACAAACATGTTATTGAAATCTAGATTATGTACCGGCAGTGGGCGTCATCCATTGTCGAAGCGCACAGGTGCATACCTCAAGATGGTTGCACTGTCTCCAGATCTTCCTGGCTCGAATCTTGTAGCTGGACAAGATTTGAGGTTGAGACTGTTGGCCGAGATCTTTGACATAACCGAAGCTGGAATCGCCATTCGATTACGATCATTGTCGGATACGGATGTTGAACGGTGGCACGATGGCTTTATGCGCGTCTTAGGAAGTATGGACCGTGTAACGCGCATAATAGCGCCTTTACCTAGTGCGTGTACCTAGTTTTTCGAAATCGTGCCTTCTGATTAACCTTTTTGCAGTGGTTGCCGAGTTCGATGGATTTTACTTCAAAACACTTCATCTCATCGAGCGCACTTGCAGATCTTTGATTCTTTACCACGCCTGCCTCACCGCACGCCAGCACTTTGCAAATTCGGGCAATGATAATCCATACTGGTTCAAACAAGTTCGTCCCCGTGGTTTGGACATTCTTCTTCTTTGGGGAAAAGAATCTGTCGCTGTGGCCGAATCCGTTCTGATCACCTTCCTCGAGGCAGACGTCCGTCTACTAGGAACAATGCCAGATTATATGTTCAATATGATTGCCTTCGCGTCCAGCTTCGTCACGGGCGTCAGGTTCCTTGTTGTTCAGGTTGGGGTCGACTTTCCTGGTTCTATCGAAAGATTGCTGGAGCGGACTATCTCCAAGTTAAACCAATGTTCACTTTCTTCAGATTCAGCTGCTGCAAAGAGCTCTGCTCTCATCGCCGCGATGTTGAAGCTGTGGGTGGACAGGACGCACATTCCTGAAGAAGGGTCAAGGGAGGTCTCTCCCCCTCCTTATTCACCCTATGAGCGAAGGTCCAGCGGTCATGTTAGTACATGTTAGACTTTACTGCCAGAAATTTGACTCATGTCTCGCAACCAATCATAGTCCGAGCAGGAAACTCCACGCGCATGTCGAATGGGTTCTTCCAGTCCTTAGGGAGCCATAATCCTGAATGGTCGAACCCGGGCTTACTTAGAGATACTACCTTTTGGAACAATGTCTCTTCAACACACAACGACTATTAGCTTAACATATTGATAATTTATCAGTCTACACCTAGGTAATTTGTGTTTACACTGCACGCAACCAATAAGGGGATTTTTTCGGATCAATGAAAAGGAACCATGGAAAAGATTTCGAGAGGCCTTTGAAGGTACCAATTTGAGTGCCCCCGCCATGAATGAGATGCCGCACTCGCACGCCCTTTCGCTAACTCAAGCTAACTCAGCAAAAGGTACGCTGTGTTTCCTGTGACCACCGTATTCGAAGTCGTGTCTCGATTTCCTGCTACCACTGCCCACGAGGCTGCCAACCTTATCCTCCTCCGGTATTTGTCGTCAAGATTGATGAAGCATCGGAGAAAGAATTGAAATAAAGCCTAATAAAGCTGGGATACGTCTGGGAAAGTGGAAGCACGCTCTCATACTTTCCATAGATAGTATATATGTGCAATGGTCTGTGCTTGTCGGCCGATTAACCGTTGAAGACCGGGCCATTTTAAAATCATTTAGGCCGTACTCTCCTCGACGCATGTGATACTATTAGCTACCGGTGCGAATTGGCTTGTAGATTTCATACCCTCACCATCATCATCTATAGTACTTTCTATCCCTTTAACTTGCAGCTTTTATACAGGAGCTTCTGGAACTTCCCCGTCTGTCTTGCCTTGAAGATCTACTAGGCCAAATTCTGTGTCTTCGCAGAGTCTAAATATGCCTGTCGCGACTTCCACCATGGTCAACACATCTTCCAGCCTAGTTTGTTCCCCAAGCGCAGTTGATGTTATCAGAAATCGCTCTTCGGCCTATGGCACACCTTCCAAAGGGTCAAAGGTCAAACAGAGTCGAGCTTTGCACAAGGTATACCACCGTGCAGCGCGAGCGTTCTTAAATAGGAACGTAGCTTTAACGCACGAATTATTAGACACCGGGTTCAAATCTCTGGAAGGTGCGGGCTTAAACACCACATATTTGTGGAAGTGGGACATTCTGCGAATAACTTTCGACACGATGCTGTATACATCTCCACCGTCTTCGTCGGCTTCACATATTCCGTTCATGAACGAAATCCTTTCTAAACCTCCGCAGAGCTTCGTCGAGGATATGTACACTCGCTCTCTGAACCTGTTCCAACAAAGTGAGAACAACACAACAGCAGCACTGCCGGCACATGTACTCTCCACCCTGGTTTATTCGAGTTTGAAAGTAGATGCTCCAGATATTGGTAGGCGAATGATTGAGGATTGGCTGGCTAGCAGGGGAGATACCACCGACTTGTCCTCGTCCTGGACGTCCACGTCCACCTCGTTGACGGAGAACTCAATGTCTGACGGATATGACGCGGATGGCTCAATAAACGGGGACAGCCCGGTGGATGTCGGTCTAGGCAAAGGAAGTGACAGTTATGCCAAGATTCTCGAACTCTATTGTCTCCAAGTGTTACCAAAATTGGGGCAATGGGAATATGCAATGGAGTTCTTGGAGTATGAGAGCGAGCTTGAATTGGAACCCAGAGATGTAACTTCCTATCTATATTGTTTCGTTGCTAGAACGCTGACTTGCAACACTCCTAGAATCTTACACGATCCCTGCAATCTTTGTATGCTCAAGCCATTGCTTCACGTCTGCCTTCTACATCGAGTTCGCAATACTCATCGTCGGCCTCGTTGACTCTGCCAGCCTCTGCTACACAGAGAGCATTTTCTCCTGCCCCTTCTGCATCATCGTCGTCGTCGTCTCTATCAACTACTTCCACACATACTATTGTTGCTGCTACTCCGAGAGCAAGAGCGTCTCTTCAAGGAATATCCGCGAGCTCGAACGGAATCATTGAGGAAAACAGCCGTTCCGACGGAACCATTACACCGCGCCAGCAAACGAACGCGGGACCTCGACGCGGACAAACAGATACTTCCAAAGGAAAGCAGAGTGTTGAAACACCTCTCGCCTCTAGCTCAACACCGTCTGGTATCAACGCTTACCCACTTAACCCCAATGCATTAACACCTTTATCCCTTCCGAAGACTCATCTCAATTCCCTTCCCCACAGACAGAATTTAAGCACGTTCGCACTGATTAAAGCCAGTATAGGACCTTTAATAAATCGAATAATCGGTGCTAGCTCTGCGAACAAGATTGCAAGCTTGTGTGTAGTCTTCGTGGTCGTACCCGTATTTTCACTACTAGTGCGTATGTTTCGTCGACGAGCGAGGATACCGATTTCCTCTGGGCCTAGCGCTGGAACTGCCAATGTAGACCTCGTTCGCCATCGGCTGCAGACTGTCAATAACCGCTCTAGTGTGGTGATTGCTTTAGGGAAAATTCTTGTCAAAGCTTGGTGGGAGATCATACGGGTCGTGGTCGACACGGTGAAAATGGGTGGGAGTGGTTTGGTTTGAGAGTGTATCTTTGGTCTCGATAATGATGTAGATATTGGCTGGTTATACATTGTCGCTGAATGCTATTGAAAATGACCACCGTAGATACATGTACACAGTCGCCCAGAATTTATGTACCCAACTGGTTTCAAAAAGTGAAATAATAATATGCCGGCGGCTATTTACCTCTTCATCTATTTCGCTCGAGAAGCATCCAACTCATAGTGGTCTTAGAACATAATATATTCACCGTAATCCACCGTAATCCAGAATTAATCAGAATTTTCTGTCGAGTAGGAACCTTGGTTGGCAATAACATGGGGACGGATAAACGCAAAAGGTATAATTGGTCTTCAAACATGCAGTCGTTGAGTGCAATTGAATTCTAGTCTAGACAACGGTCTACGAGAAACACAGTCGAACACGAACAAATCGCGGAGACTTCAGAAGCTGGAAGCTCAAATATTTCGCCTGCTCCGGAAGCTCCAGTGGCCAAACGATGTAAGTCTCTTTTAGTTGGGTCAAAGATATCTTTGACCTTTTCCAATCAGCTAGACACAGAGCGGAGACTCGCGATTGTCCAATTTGCAATGAGCCTATTCCTTTGAGGCTACTGGGGAAGCATGCTGAACTCGAAGCCTCGCGTGTTGACGAAATTATCGGTCACATCGGTTCTGAAGAACCTTTTCTGGATCTCTCATACGAATCTTATACTTCTGCCCCTGCCGTCACGTCAACATCCGAGTTATCATTCACGTCAGTGTCGCATGGAAGACGGTCTGCCGTCCGTGCTCGTCGAACTATTCTCGAAAAGACCGCTCCAGTGAGAGCACAATCAACCGTGGTCACGAAAGCCATTCAAAGTATCAAGCGAAATCGCAAGAATCGACATGGAAAATTACGAGACATGACGAGAGAAGACGATGAAGGACATCTAGCTTCTCATCTCCGTTACACATCAAGTCGAGGAGGAATTGTCTGTCCTGTGTGTTTGGCCACGGTTGAAGGAGACGAGGATGTACAAGATGCCCATGTAGAGGCATGTGTAGCAAATGAGTCTGTTAGATTGGAAGAAGAGCGTCTCAAACGAGAGGAACAAGAAAGAAGAGAAGAAGCTGAGAAAGTGGACACTGATGATGAGAACGAACAAGATGATGCTGCAGGGCATTTCGGAGACGTACGAGGTACGGTTTCAAAAATTCTCGGTAGTCTTGGCTAATGAATGTCCTATGTAGGAACGGGCTTTCTTACAAGAAACCGTAACGAACAAGATGTCGAAGACGAAATCGATATCGACGGAGACGATGCGGAAATTTTTGGATCCGCTCAGTTCCACGAAGGAGATATACTTGACGTAGACGTTCCTCCCACTACAGCTGCTCGCACACAACCTACTTCAGGACGGTTCCAAACTGGAGGCGTCGACGACACATTTTCCGAGGGAGATCAGCCTGCTAAGATTCTCAGAGACTTGATTGCTGATAGTAAGGCGCGTCAAAGCTCGAATCCCCAGGAAGTGGCTGTCATTCCAGAGATAGACAAAGCTGATGTTGCCATACTCATGGCGAAGAGCAGAGGAACCCAAGCTGCGCTAGTGGTCGCATTAGAAAACAAAATCAAGCTTTTGGTAGGGTTTCTCTCCGCAGTCCTGCTTTGGAATAGATATTCATCATGACACAGGAGGGCCCGCTCGCAAATTTACCATTTCCTTCATCCTCTATCCCACTTTGCCGGATCTGTATCGAGCCCTACAATGAGCCAACTGTGTCCACCGGGTGTTGGCACACATGCTGCCGAGAATGTTGGCTACGATGTCTGGGATCAACTAAATTATGCCCGATTTGTAAGAGAATCACTGCGGCAATGGATTTGAGAAGGGTTTATCTATAAACACGTTGTTACAGTTATTTGATTGGTGTAGTATGTATAATAATAATATTCGTGTCAAACTCGGTTTTCTTACTACATTAACGTCAACTCTGAGTTTCTGCAAGTATATTCACAAAGCACGAAAGAGGTGGGGGCACTGAAGCTGTGTAACTATAATATCCTCAATCAATAAAACTGAGAACAACTGTGTATACTTACGCATATTGATTTTTGAATGGTGCGATTACAATAGATACACTTTAAGCTACATCAATATAAGTATATCCGAAGATAATAGAATCATAGAAGTATTTTTGGTAAACTTGAAGCTAGAGCTGGAGAATCATCTTAAAGTTGTAAGCTAATGTAAGCTTGGGTACACTGTTGGCGCTCATGCCCACAAATTTGCCTGTATTAAACGAAGATTAATAGCATAATCGATAACCAGCCCCAGCCATATAATCCATCCAAGTTGACCATTGCTATTGAAGTTTGCTATAGGGATGTTACAGTCAATGATATGAGGGAAAACCATAGCAGCATCCTTACCCCAACAGCTTTTAGGGATCTCCAAGTCTACAGTCCACCACTGCCTGATCAAGTGCAGAAGTAGTCCACCCACAGAAAGTGTATAAAAAGCTGGACCTTGACCATTCAGGATGCCGGCACCACAGAGGAGTACAACGAAGGAGCAGCCGCATGCAATAAGGAGTGGACGGATGTAAGACCCAAACAGGATGGCTGTAGATCGAATACCCATCTTGAGATCATCCTCGATATCCTGGCAAGCGTAGATAGTGTCTAGATAAATATTTCAATAGTTCCCAAGAACATGAAAAGATAGATTAAATGCGCGGTGCATACCGTATAACATGGTCCAGCTATAAGAAGTCGAAAAATCAGCCAATCGTACGAATGAAAAAACTGGAGGTACTTCCCACCAACACGCCGCCATAGCAGTTACCAAAATAGGTGTATCAAAGGTGTTGGTGGTAGATACCCAAGCTGTCATCAATCCAAAATTCATCGCAAAACCAAGCCAAGCCTGTGGCCAATAGGTGACTCGTTTAAGCAAGGGATAGATTGCGAAACTAATGGGTATTGTCCGTTTACATGGAGGTGGATCGAGACTGTATTGTTAGTAGGAAACTTTATTGTTTATGAACGAACGGCTACTTACATTGGTAACAGTTGTACCAGCGCCACCGAAAGCCTGCAAAAGATCGTGGTTCCGCTCGTTAGCTAGCGATTCTGGAAACCATATCCACGGTCAAAAAAAGCGAAGCTTACGCCAAGTCCTCGACAGTAAGATAAAACCATGCAGTTCCTACAGCATACAGCATCAAAGCATATGAGGTCGCCGCAAACACGGAAATACGTCCGCTTGCCAGCGGCCTGTTTTTGGTTCTTTCTGAATCACTCGTTAATGTAAAAAAACCAGGCTCGAATGAAGTAGCAAACCCACCGACTCCCGCGTCCATTTTGCGGTCAAATATATCATTGATGGTACATGCAGATGATCGTATGATGAACGCGCTGAGAAGGCATTGCATGAGTCTGAAAGTGTACGTGGTCCAGTGCATTTTGACAGAATAAGCTGCCATCGTCAGGCCCCAAGCTGTTCAAAAAAATTGGCGTGACATCTAGTAAGACATAAAACCCACTTACCGAACGGCCAAAACATCAATTTGGTCCCAGTGGGCTACAATTGTTCACTGCGAACAAACTACGATAGATGTTGCCCCAGCTTACCTTTTCTAAACGTATTAATTCTAGATACGGTCGTAGGACAGATGGGAAAACGTCCAGAGGCTTTCTCTTGATGTCAAGAAACTCGGCCTGGGTAAAATCGAAGGCAAGCTTTTCGTTCAGGTGAGAAGACATTGTCTAAAAACAGAGTACTGATAGAAATGATGATCTGGAAGGAGGAGGAATAGATGAATGTCTTGTCTCTCCTTCGAGGCTGACTATTTATATGAACTCGAAAGCTCTCGACTACATAAAACCTTCTCAGTTAATGATTCGAGCTAACCTGAACGGCATTCAATTTGCTAACGAGTAAGCATACACGCCTTTGCCCTTGAACCTCTGACATTGCGAGGATTCTTAGTTCGAAATCCCCATTCCAAAGCAAACTAGCACGGTGTAGGGTGATTACCTTACTCGGGCTGTCGATGTCGGTGGTAGAACGAATTCAGTCTGCAAAGGGTTGGAGAAAGGACACAAACCAACAATGGTTATGTTTGTACACCCAAACTGAAATTTTCGAGGGTAGGGGTAGGTAACAGCGGGAGATTTACAGGTCACCTTAAACCTTGAGCAAAAGGAGAGATAGTAATTGTTGCACCCTACGTTGAAATTTGCTTAGTAGGCGCTACATTCACATAAGACAGGCCACTTCCAAGTTGGGAATGCGTATGTTGCAAGTTGTTCTCTCTTCTTTTTCTATGCCGAAACAAATGACATGTACTGTCAATAGCTTGAGGCAGTTTATAGTCCACTCAAGGCCTTCAAGATCCCCTTCGGGTCCGAGTCACCCGGGCGAAGACTTGACAGCTGTGTTAAGCTCGTTGTAAGATAGATTTCAGGTTGTGAGCTGGTACACATCCTCCTTGAGAAGTTGTTCCATTTCAATTGCGGCAATTAGGGGACCTCTAGTTATTATGTTCCGAGCTACCGTTTGAGATTAAAATTTGCAGATAGATAAACTTTTGAACCTAGGATGTTTTCATCAGCTGTTAAACATTCAGTTTTATTGGAGCTGCACAACAAGCTATCACTATAACGCGCTAAACCTGGAATCCACATTCATGGTCGCAAAATCCTCTGGTGCATTGTAAAGCATTGGGGTACACGCGCTCGCGCAGCCTGCGTTTTGACATCACTGGATCAATGACTTTCTGTACTTACCAAGATTTAATCACTCTTGCCTATCGGACTACCACCAAGTTAGAGACGTATATCAAAAGAGGTTTGGTCGGGCATCGCGGGAATATTGACCTTTTCTGGAATTAGATGTGAGCACTGGGCGTTTGACTAGGATTCGGAACCTCTTCGGTACTCAAGATCTAGGGTTTCTATGATTATGTTGCCCGTCGTTTTCGGGAAGCTCAATATTAGCGGGCTTGAAATTAGGAGTAAGTCAGAATTAAGGAAGTTAATGGGTCCGTAAGGATTGCAACATGGAACTAGAAGCAGAAGTAAGGAACAACGATGAAAAAAAGGTGCATACCACAGGGATGATCGAAGGAAAATCATCTTGCCATGTACCTATGAGCTTGGACATCGAGGTCGCTTTCCCTATGGTCTGTATTGTGGCAGGTGAAATTAGAAAAGCATGGAACGTCTTGTTAGCGGATTGTAAGGATTCAACCAGCGAGCTAAGCAATCGTAAGAGTGCGAAATGAAGCGGATCACAAGCCATCCAGAGAACGATATTCTCCCCAGGCTTCTAACGCGATCCGAGGGGAGTGGATTCATTAATATGCAGGTACACCAATTAGTAGCGGCCCCTGCTCCCGTGGGCAACAACCAGCCAGTGATCATATTTCCTTGTGCCTTAATATTATCGAATCTAAATGAGAGAACCGCGAACATAGGGCGCCGCAAGGTGAAGATAGTGTAACTGAGGTTTTGAGCTGTTTGATGACTGGAAAGCCTCAGTTCGATCTGGAGAGGCTCTTTTGACTCATGGTCTTGATGCTGAGGCCTGAGGATTTAGAGGAAGAAATTTCAACATGATCATTGGTCACGGTCATGATCGACTGAACTTCAACAACGTCCGATAAACTTAGCTCCCAGGCTCCCACGAAGCCTTGTCTCCCCAGCTCTCCCCAGAGTCCTCTGCTTTTGAGAAGGTCCATCCGGCGGTTATAGTATTCGATGCTTACACGGTTCTCAGTTGTCACCCTTGTACTTTTTGTTTTATCCATCGCTCTGGTGATTCGCCCAATCTACATACCAATACGGCTTCCTCGCTTCGGGAGGAAAAACATTCCAATAAACTTGACCACAACTCCGCCTGCTATCATTGCGATCCTATGGGCTTCGCAATGTCTAGGCTCAACCCAGGTGAGTGCTCGGAATGCTTTGGAGCAATTTCATACTACTTAAACAACTCACAGATTCGTGACGGGATTGTTGGGACCGGTGAGAATCATTATCATATCTCTTTTGACTGTTGTATCGATCAATGCTTTTAGGTGGGATCAAACCGTACAATATACTAATACTATTCATGTCTTTAGCTTATATGGCTATTACACTTGATATCAGCGGAATTTTACAGGCATCAGCTTTCTGGGTCAGTAATAAAGGCGGATCCAACGGCTGGAAACTCTACTTATACTTCTACCTGATGCTTACACTGCTGAGTATATTTCTGGGCAATGATGCTGTCATTCTTTCTGGAACTCGTCAGTCTAATTCTACTCCGGAAAGACTAGTCCTCATTTTTCCCCCTTAGCTTTTTTGGTGTATTACACCCTGATTACACCACTGCAACCGGGTTGGAACGAATACCTTGGCTCATATCAGAGTTTTCTACTGCCAATACTGCTAGTATGGTGTTGTTCGTGGGCAATATAACCAACGTGGTCGTTTGCGAAGGCTTTTCCATCAACAACGTCGCATTTACTGCCTATACCATCCTACCCTTTCTTGGATGCAATATCGCATGCTTCCTAGCTTTATCTATCCAGTTTCGCGATGAAAAGCACATACCTCGAAGATTACGCGCTGTAGGAAGACTAAATCCAAGGGGCGCTCTTCGTGATCCAGTTAGTGCTCTCGTTGGAAGTCTTATCCTTGGCACCTGCTTGGTGGTCATCATCACTGTCAGCTTTTTCAAAGTTGATGTTTGGAAAATCAGTCTACCATTTGCAGTGGCAAAGCTCATATTTGACCTCGTGTGGGATCACTATCGCTTCGTGAAGGGAACGTTGCATCGTAGACCTTTAACAGAAAACAAAGAGGATAAATCCTCTGACAACGATGACGCTGTGTTAGCGGAATTCAAACGAGCGATGTCCTTACCCACAGAAGGAGGCTCCCGTGCGAAGGATACGTTCGAACCTAATGAGTGCACCATTCCCTCTCCAACTGCTTCTGGGACGGGGTCTCCTACCTCCCGTTCGGACCCATCCAAACTGTCCCAGTCACTCGAGTCTGTGAAAGTCTTCCCAGATGCACGCCGTCACCTACGAACCATATATGAAGGTTGGGCTGCCCATTTTCCCACTTTTTTTACTGCTTTACCGCGGCTACCTTTCGGTCTAGTACCATTTTCATTTTCGCAGTTCATCCTCATCGAAGCACTTCAGCACCAAGGCTGGATTGACGTATTCGCCGTCTGGCTTTCCAAGGCTTCTCATGGGCAGATACATGCCTCGATTTGGTTGATAGGTGTTATCGGCGTGCTCATGTGCAATGTTGCTGGCACCAACATTGGCGCTACCATCCTCCTTACAAAAGTCGTTATTGCGGCACCAAACTTCCCTTCTGATAGCTCGCGGGCAGCAGGTATCGCGCTTGCTGTGGTCAGTAACATCGGCGCGGTTAGCTTTACATTCTCTGCTAGTCTCGCGGGTTTGCTTTGGCGAACGATATTAATGCAGCGAGGAATTATCATTCAACAAACGCAGTTTGCTTTTTGGAATCTTTTGCCTATTCTGTTAATGACATGTGTCGGCCTCGCCGTAGTCTCTGCTGAGATGGCGGTTCTTTATTAGACAGGCTTACTATATTTACCGTACATAGATGTAACATATGTAGAGAATGGATTAGATATCGCAACTACAATCCAAAGATGGTACAACATACGACTCAAAAGTGACGCCGTGAGATTTACATTTACTGACAGACGGACATGAACCAGCAAGTTTGCTATCCTACGTTTCTGCCATCTTTTCGTCTCCAAAATACTCCTCTACCAAGGCCTTCTTCTTCAAATCAAGCAAGACCTGCTCCATTTCGACTCGAGTCGGCATTTTCGGGGGTAAGAGGTTTTCTGCGGAGAGGAAGGGTATGAACGAGGCGGCTGTTTGGGCATGAAGGGATGCTTGTTGAGACTGATCCGCCGGTATGGTTGCGTTCGATGCAGGGGTCTTCGGTTGCCTGTCCGAGGGAGACGGTTCCGAGTTATCACCTACACTGTCCGCGGTTCCGGCTTTTGGTTTAGACTGAACTGTCGAGGGGTCGCTCGAAGCAGATGGTGGTCCGGGTCGAACCATTTGCGGTATTGCATCCTCTTCCAAGAGGCCTAGCACTTCGTGCAAAGTTGTATATGCTTCTTGCCATTCTACAGCAGATATTAAGGTCAAAAATTTCGGAAACCGAAACCAAAACGATCATACCTTCCTCTTCCGCTAGTCGTTCAGATTCTAACAAGCTCTCATCCTCTTCATCTAAGTCACCATAATATGCAGGGCCTTGATTCATGAATTTCTTATAATATGCCAGTGTTTGATTGTCTTCATCTTCGTCCACCTTGCGACTTTGGAAAAGTTCACGGACGCCAGGTAGGTCTTTTGCTCGACCAAAGTATCTATACGACACAACACCATTCAGATGATGATATGTGGACCACAGTCGGTCATACGTACTTGTATCCTTTTGTCCCGGGGACCTCCTTTCCATCATCATCGAGCATAGCAACATTTCGGCGGTAATTTGCGCCCCCAAGGACTACAATTTGGTTTTCCCAGTGTCTTTTCTCCCGCATGAGTTTGTTGATTTCGTCGTTAAGATCTCGAACCTCGTAATCGGTTAGACCAGCTACCAAACAGATGTGTAAATGGAGGATTTCAGAGTAGAAAATTGCGTACAATCTTGAATCTTAGATACCTTCCGACTTATTTCTCTTAGGATTTCACCTCTCCACCGTTCGCATTCTCGTAGACTTTTGCAAGCGCTTGCCATACGGGGCCGACGGTCTCCTCGAGTTCCTAGCCCAAGCTCAGCAGCTTGGGCTTCACGAAACCGATAAAGCATAGATTGGGCTTTTTCTTCATTACGGGCCTACAAAAGAGTGATCAGTGATCAAGATATATGTGCATGAAAAGGTGAACCATGATACCATTTCGACGAGATGTTACGATTATTCGTTAAACTGTCGGTTATGGTTGAAGAAAATCAAGTTTAAGCGCTCAAGTTCAAGGAGGCACGGACACGACGTCGATAACACCGAGGTGATTGATTATGTGTGGTATGTTACTTTGTACGATAACAACAGTCGTGTATTCGTCAACAGGAAAGAGTTCATGAGAAGTGAGAGTTCTAGGGCCAGCATGCAGACAGAAAAAAATACGGGACGGTAACAATTGTCATGCGAAAAGCAAAGGAAAATGGATAGGTAGTTCAAATATCATGGGGAAGTTAGTTTAAGTCCTATTTATGACGAGAAGTTAAGTTAATGCACAATAAAAACGCGGGTGTTTAGGTAGTGATGAAATGTGTACAAGCCACGCTACGTACAAAAAGTTCCAGTTCCATAGGGCCATGCGGAGCAAAGAGCGTGTTTCTAGAAGCAGGCGGAGCTACGTACAGTCGCGAGCCTCGAAAAGGTATCAATTAAATCTGGTATGATAGCTGTAGTCTGACAGCAATTGCAAAATCCATGTAAACTTTCAATTTACACGTAGTAGTGCCATAGGGCAATTTCAGTATGAGAACACCATGAGCCATGGATTTAACACAATCTACACGTGGAGAATGCAGTGAGTAATCCACTCGGTTTAGACAGAGAACGAAAAGTACCGGAAACAGGATGTGACAGGAAGCAACAACGGCTAGCGGAAAGATTACTGCCCACGACGAGCCGTCGATTCGCCAGCCGATGGGGACTAAGGTTGTACTGAGGATTATCATAGCGACGATAAGGATAAACGACACTATCAGAGGGAACCAGAATCTATTGGTTTTTGATTAGTAGTAGTTCAAGATATACTCATAGTGCACCAATTCACCGTTTTGCAATCTTTGGTATCTCCTTAAAGAAGTTTGACCTTTCCACTTCCTTAACCGTGGCGCTCCAGGTAATATTATACGAGAACAAATGGGCGAGAAGCGCCTGGCTCACAGGGATACCGAGGCCTCCAAAAAAGAAGAAGCTACATATTGAAATGGCGACAAATGAGTATATGAAAAGAATGATGTAAAGCACAAGACTCACAAGAATGGTATCCACATCACATTTTCTAGGAAACCCCAAAGCTAGAGGAAATACGTCATTTAAGCATGGGTAACATATCAAAATGCGCAAGAAAGTGAAAGCACTGAATTACGCCCCACGATGACCACATAGACGATGGGAGAAATTGAACTTTGAATAAACCCGGACGCACGCATGATGGTTAGGAACACCATCGCGAATGGTTTTCGCATGAGGAAAAAGCCCATAGCCACGACCAACTCCAATGGCCAACATGCTGGTATGAGCCCCATCGTCATCCAAGCTCATAAAATCCATCAAGGGAAGAAGTAGAACACGGTGATTGTAATGTGCCAAAAACGAACAACGAAGCGCTTTCCGGGGTCCTCCAAAACGCCACTGCGACGGATAGGATGAATTGACCCAATACGTCGCTCGCAAATGATTATCATTGGGACGTCCTTTCGGACTCCCGTAAGATGGCCCTGGCACGACGTGCGATATGCAGCCAGCAAGCCACGCGAGGAAAAGAGGGTGGATATCCTGTATAAGCTCGGTAGAGAATCCACGCCAGATCCACACTCCCGCGGAAACGAAGATGTTCATAATCTGGAATGAGATATGTGGACCCAGAAGTCGCGGAGCGTATTGCATGAAAGAAGGGGCTCAAGATACGGCAATGCTGCCGTCACCAATGCACGTCAATGCGAAAAGGAAGATCATAGAGGAGGAAGCCCGAAATAGATAGGAGACAAAAAGCGGTGAAAACTACTCACCAATTGTCTCTTGCCCAGTCTATACTCCAGCAATGTGTACCCGACGTTTCCACTGCCAAAGAACACCACGGTTGTCGCGAGCCAAATCTCGAATGAGTGCATGTAAAACCCGTCGACAGGGAATGCAAACCCAAGTAAAACGTAGTTGATTATTCCGATAGTTATTGAAGCCGCTATACCGTAGTAGGAGAACATATCTGCGTAAAAAATGTGTCATTAATATGTGGCAGATAAGGAACAAGGGATGAGGAAGACTAACAAGCCATCATACTAATCTTGTAGTGTACAGGCGCATTACTCCAGATGAATCGATGAATTTGACGTGCAATGGGCCCGCGTCGCCACCATTGAGATAAGGGATTGAAAAGCAGTCTGAGAGATGTCGAGGTTGAGTAAAAGGCGAACAACGAAAGGTAAATTGGCGGAGTTTGCAATGAAGACAGAAATTTCACAAGGAAAGCGCAAAAGATAAGAAGATAACACGCACTCGTTACACCCATACGCGTATTTTTGCCATCTGTTCAATTCATCGTCCACTGTGAGCGACACACCCTCCTTGAAGCCTCCATTCGAATACGTCGCCCATCTGATATCGTAACCCCTGCCCAACAACCTCAAAGCCATATCAAAATCCTCACTGACATTACTCTCACTCCACATCTTTTCCTTTGTCACTCTATTGTTATCTGCCAGATCCGTAAAGCTAGCGTCTTGGACCGCCCGCCAGCGGAGGAACGCGTTATGTCCAACGAAGGGAGCAATTTCACCATTGGCACAGGCCATGGATATACAGCGGTTGATTCGGCGGGTGAAGTACGCGATACCGTTTTCGAAATAGTGGTGGGCCACTTGCATTACGTCGGATTCATGTTGAATGATTGCTACATTAGGGGAGTTGGCCATTTCACGAGCGGCATCACGAAGACAGTCCTATACGGATGGGAAATCAGTCCGAGCGAATTAACCTCGGGAAGATTATAGCCCACCTCAGGAACGACGGTATCTGAATCTACTAGAAGAATAATTTCGCCTACCCGTATTGCCTTCCCGTTTGCTGCCCATGGTTTCCAACCAGCGGAGTTGGTTACTGAACGCGATTCGTCCCACATCTAAGAGTAAACGAAATGTTTGTAGAACATCAGAAGGCGACCAAGATTTTAGAAGTACCTCCTCGATGGCCAAATCCAGAGCCTCTTCCTCAAGATCCTCAATCATTTCATCGCCATACAAATCTCCCAACGGATCCATACCCAGCTCATAGTATGCCTCTGCCGCTGCTGGACCGGGGGTTCCAGGGACAGCATTGGCAAACCCAGGACCAAGGGGATCGTTCCTCATGAGCGGAGAGGTTTGTGACGGGAAGGCACCAGAGGTAGGCGTAGGTACTATGATGCCATTTCCGGATCCCATAGCAGGTGGAGGATCGTTACCGTTACCCGCAAGACCGCCAACACGCATATCGTCCCCATCGCGGTTCAAGTATTGCATACCGTATATTCCGTAGGTACCATGAGAGACACGGGGTGAAGCACGACCTGATCATAGGATTTGTGTCAGAAGCTTCGTTGTGTGTAGGTCAGTAGAAGAGTGCACAGACCATTTTGGGCTGGAGGGTACGAGTGTGAAATCCTCCTGGAATGCGAAAGTTGGGACGATGTCGGACGAGCTTGCGGACCAGAATTTGGATTGAGGTTAGACGGTCCTCGAGACGATGTAGAATTTGCGTTCGAGTTGGGCCTGATAAATTTTGTTGAGACATGATGCTAAGAAACTTGACGGATCCGCTCACCCTGCATTGGCCTTCTTTGCCTCAACCAACCCCATGAGATGCCTTTCCATACACAAACTCAGACTCAATCCGTAATTCATATTGGATGCCTTTTTGAAACGACCTGCACGGACGAAAACCGGGATACCTCTATGAGAAGAGTCAGATTTTGATTTCTTTTTCTTCGCCCCAAATCCTTTTTCCGGGTCAGCCGTAGCATCGAGGGCCTCCTCAATCGAGTCCAGGCCACCAGCAGGACATCCATCCCTTGGTCTGGCGACCCAGCCAATGCCTTCGCTGCGATAATACCTGATCCGCTCATCCCGGTCCGCTTTCGACATTCCACTCGTCCTCATTCCATCATCGCATACGAAAATCGAAGACGTCCCGCCCTGTCGGGCATAAGTCTGCATTGCGCGTTTCAACGATGCGATCGACGGAGCCAATACAGTTTCGAGAGATTCGCGATAGACAGGCATTTGAATTGTGATATGAGGCAAAACCTCCGGTTTGTCCTCCTCTGTACTGGACTGGGGCGCCTTCGGTGGGACAGCTGAGTAATATCTAGAGTTTTGATGATAGTGTGCTATAGGCCCGATCGCCATCGTAACGTTTTGTAATATTTGTAGCGTGAAAAAGAGCGATACGCAGTAGAGGAAGGGTAGTGTGACGGCGAGAACGAAGCGGAGGTATCTCTGCATCGATGTAGGTTCAGGATTGGGGGTGTCGGGTACCGGAGCAGTGAGCAGAAACTCTCGGATGAGGACACGTACACCGTTACCGATAAACACTAGAGCAAGACCAGCTGCTAGACCGTTGTAAAGGGGGGCGTACAACGCAAGTTTGCGAGGAGGTTCGGGACCAGTGATCGAGGGTGCTACTGGCACTGTACGTTTCCGGCCGTACCATGTCCTGATTGTTTTTGTTTCGACCGGCCGCCCAGATTCTGCAGCGGTGATCAAACCTTGAGAGTGTACGGACACAGAGGCAGAGTCATGCCCTGAAACGGAACCAGCACCAAGGAACGATTGAGAATGTAACGATGAACTTGTCGCTGTGCCAGTAGGTCGAGATCTCCACAATAATTTGATAAGGCTGGCGTCGAAGTCTTGACATACGGGAATAATTGTATCCAACGAATTACTCCAAACAACGAGTACCCTCTCATCTCGAATGAACGCCGCACATTGTTCCTTGTCTGCAAAAGGAAGTTGGAGCATTGTGTCGATGATTTGAATACGGGTATTCACGTCAACGTAAAGAGAATTGTCATCTGGCGGGGCTTCGGCAATAGCAGCATGAACTGCGGCTGAACGGACTTTGACTGCAACGACAGGACCTAACTTTTTCACCGCAGCTTCAAAAGGCTCGAGCGAAACATTCTCATAGGGAAAGACACGATATTCGGGTACTGGGTCGTCGGCTACACGGATGGCAACTCCAGAGGAAAGATTTTCTTCTGCAGGTCTGAACCAAGCGTCACCTACAAAGATGAGTTAATATTTTAAACGTGCAGACTATTTTTCGTAAAGCAAAAAAAATACCTTGAGTCTGCTTGAATATATGGTGCAATAAAGCATCCCAGCGGTCATAATCCATGATGGGGAGCAGAAAAACCTGACTGCAGGGGCAGGTAACAAGGTGGTGAGCACAGAGTCGTGTAAAGCAAATTTTTTTTAACACTCTATATACGCGAGAATCGTTATCGCGAGGCACGGGGTGTCCGGAGTCCTATCCGAAGATTATTTCGTAGTTTATGATGTCATCGTAAATGGAAATTCCCGGTAAAGTGGCGCGTTGTCAAGTTGCATCTTTGAAATTCAAAAAAGATTGAGGTTTTGTCGTTAGAATCCAGAGCTACGCTCTCTAGGAGAACCTCCCACCTTAGGACCTCCGATTCTGTCAAATTATTGATGCAAATTTTTCCACAAAAGACTAGTGGAGGGAGGCGCATTACTTAGCCTTTGAGGCTTCTAAGCTACACCTCCCACACCGTATGTAGACCCTCTGATGAACTCCTTAATTTAGCTAGAAAGGCCAATTAACGTACAATGAATGAATTCACATCGATCTTAACACCGACCTTGATACAGAATCATTCCCGCTGCATACAGTCAAACCTGGATTACCCAGACTGTGAATCCAGCTCATATGTTCACCTAGACTGAGTTTACAAAACAAATGCGCCTCCGATCGAGGCACCATCCACGAAGACAAACTTACTAAAAACTGCGGGAAGCGACACATCGGAATAGCCTTGGTACGGAGCACACGAAGCTTTCCCGGTGAATTATAAGAAGAAGATCATCGAGTTCATTGCTGCCAAAATAAAGTGACCCGCTGGGTCCCAAGCCGAAAAACGACCGAGAGAAAGGAGAGAGAAGGGTAAATGGAAGGAGGGAATCGAGAACATCGAATTCTGATCAGTGTAGATAGACCGTCGTCGAGATTTATATTGATTGTTTGGTTCGCATATAATAGACCAATTTCCAGACGGATAACTAGTATGCAGATAACGAGCGTTTTGAGGTCGAATATGTCTATGCATGTAATGAACGTCGGGAATAAAGAGAGTCTCGGTCAATTTTCCCGTCAAGAGGAATCAACCGCTGTCGTACATACTGAGCGCCATCTAGTCAGCTACGATGGAAGAATTCTGAGGACGGCGAGGTAAGTTGGAGATGACGGGGGAAAAATTAAATAAGCGCCGGGAATGCTCCTATCACCATTTTAGCGCTCGTCGGTCCGAAAGTAACCTTTGGTAAACTCACCACCTGCTTACCACAAACTCTCAGCATCTTCCATCCATCATGTCTACCACGGAAAAGGTACCCAAGCAGCCCCTTCATCCGACGATCATATCAAGACTTGATCCAGAATACGTTAAATTCCATGAGGAAGTCCTCCAATATATCACTCCTCCTCATACTCTCTCTTGGGATCCGGCCCTCCGAAATGCGCCTGCAGTACCGGGAAGTACTGAGCCGCTCAAGGTTCATAAGACGCAGGACTTTGATTTAACTCACACCAATATGCGTGCCTTCACGCCGGAAGGCGAAGCACCCACTGCAGGCTGGCCGGTCTTTATTTTCTTCCACGGAGGTAAGCCGAGTAATATCAATGATCCGACATGGTGTCTTTGAAGACATCAACACGATCGTGCATTGTACATATAGGAGGATGGACGTTTGGAACTATCGGGAGTGAGGCGACATTCGCAACGAACATGTCTGTCCGTGAGTCATCTTTTTTATATCGTGTTTCGGCCCATTATCGATTTCCGGCAGGTGCCAAATGTATTGTCATTTCGGTGAATTATCGTTTGGCACCAGAGCACAAGTATCCTATTGCGGTCGAAGATGCGGTGGAATCTTTGCAATGGGTGTTGAGGAATGGGAAAACAGAGTTGAATATCGATACGGCCAAGATTACAGTAGGAGGTTCCTCGAGGTATGTGAATCATCTGCTGTCAATGTCATAACCAACATGAACACCTCCAAAATCTGAAGTGGAGGCAATCTCGCTGCAATTCTTGCTTTGAAAGCAGCTGAACCTTCATTCACGCCTCCACTACCCTCTCCGTTGGTTTTCCAGCTCCTCGTCGTTCCGGTAACCGATAACACAGCGACTGATGGCCCAGGTGGGTTATGGGAAGAGAACAAGCACACCCCATGGCTTTCTCCTGCTAGAATGAACTGGTTCAAGGACAATTACCTTCCTAACAAAGAAGACTGGACCAAGTGGACCGCTTCTCCCATATTTGCCCCAGCAGAATTGTTAGCAAAGACACCTAATGCATGGATCGGGCTCGGAGAGCTTGACATATTGAAAGGTGAGGGTGTGAAATATGGAGAGAAGCTGAAAGAGGTAGGAGTAAAGGAAGTCGAAATCGTGATATATAAGGGTGGGCCTCACCCGATCATGGCTATGGATGGTGCGTTATTCTTGCTTCGAGTCGACCTCTGAATAATTTACAAATGCTTTGGAATTAAAATTCATCAGCGTAAGTCACCTATATTCTGATACAATAAGGACTAACCTTCAATACGTAGGGCTGTCAAATTGGGAGCAAAACTCATCACGGATGCTGCTACTGCCTTGAATAAAGCTTTTAACGCAGCATAGATCCTATACCCATTGTTGATTCTCATATCATATCTATAGCTTTCGAGAAAGGGAAGGATTTTTCTCTGTTATCGGGCGAGAATCGTAAGCGTAAGGTATAATACATGATCTTGTTAAGATAAGGTATCAGGGTCATTCAAGTGGAATTAAGGACAAGGAAGCAACAATACCTATTGGTACAAAGAGAAGACTGATTCCACTCTACAATGTCCACACATAACCGGAGACAACCTAATCATCATGCCATGTATCTGCCCACTCATCCCTCGACGGATCCACAACAATAGGTCTATCGTTCGTAGGTCGCGTAGCCGGTTTAGACGGTATTGACAGTGGTTGAGGAGCAGGTGAGAGGTTCAGTGGCGCCGGAGGAGGTCGGCGCTTTTTATTAAGTTTACTTGCTTCTCGCATCGACGAGGTAGATGAAGTGGAGGTAAGGCTACTTGATAGGCTGGGCGGATATGAATGTGTATCCGCAACCTCGGTTCTACTGCCGGACCCTGAGGACTTGGATTCGTAGGGATTGTCGGAAAAGGTAATAGACTTGTCTCGGGAATGAGACCGCGAATTGGGAGAACTGCGAGATCGTGAGCGAGGGCGCTGATGCTCAGCACCATGTCGAGGGCGAAGATTATCGTCGTCTTCGTCGTCAGACGGAACACCAAATAGAGGTTCGCGGTCTGGGTTACCAGGATCTGGTGCATCCAAATCCGCTCCCAGCGCAACAGGACTGCTCGAGGCTTTTACAATCGAATCAATGAGCCAGAATTGCAAGATGTTCATGATGATAGGGAAGATGCCCATGACACTATTTATGATTGAGCATACCGAATCTGACGGCGCCAAATCGACGGATCACTCACAATATGACTTGGAATGCGTCGCCTTCATCCGTCCATGTCCAACTCAACAACCATGCTCCAATCTGAAAGAGGCCAGGGAATAAAGCTAGAAGGCCAATGACGAGGAACTTCATCGTGGTGAGGGCAACAACATATAGTGCAGCCTGACGCGCCCAGTACTTGACACGAGGAGGGGTGCCATATATTCCTGATTCATAGCCTTTCAGGTGGAATTTTTCGGAAAATATGTGGGTGAGGACGTGAAGAATGAGGTATATGAGGGCGACGCCTAAGCAAATATACGCCATCTGTTTAGCCGATGAACGATGAATGCTCAAACTACTAACCAAGTGTGGTGTCGACCAGTATATTTAGAAAGTAGGATACGCATGCGTTCTCGGAAGAAAAGTGAGATAGCAGGTCCGATATGAGCACATTCACGCCATGCACAAACATTTGGCCGACAATTTGCTTGGAGACGTCGAAGAGCCTGTCACCGTGTTTTCAGCATTATCCAGGTAGTCAAAGTCATGAAAACCGACCAAATCTTCCAAGGCCTCATAGGTTTCTCTCTATGGCGTTTGAATATCATTGAAAGAATGACAAGAATTCCCATAAGCCCCTGGACAATCTATACAAACGAATCGAAAAACTGGAATTGCGTTTGGTGAGTGGAATTGGACATACAAGGGCAGTAGGTCCCAGTAGCTGACATGAATGTCTGTCGACATCTGGATACGAGCCGTCTTCATCAAAAGTCGGCCAAGAGGAATTTGGAGGTGGGAATTCGAGTTCTGGCATGAGGAGGAGATTTTGGTTTGAGGAAAGGCCTGGAAAAGTTACAAAGAGTTACATCAATTTCTTTTGATCCGATTACATGAACCTTCGGGCTGTCCTCATCAGACCCTCGGAATCATAGGAGCCTCGTTCCTTCTGCCTCGGAACACCTATAGCAGGCTACTTTTTCCGAATGTACCGGTCGTAATTGGCTAGGTCAATTTGACGTCTGTCTCAGCCCTTCGCACTTGCTTCTCACTGCACAATCATCATCATCTACCACCTGAAAGGATGAATGGCTGGATTCAATCTTTGTCTCTCAGAGCTTCCAAGCAACTCTCTGCATTGCAATTAGCAACCGGGGCGCTCATTGTTGTTACCGCTTACCTCTGTCGAGTTCGCGTTCTCCGTTGGCGAAGACACACCGCTATTCACCGCGAATTTGGACGCAAGTATGAATCTGGCCTCCTTACGCCCGAAGATGCTCAGAAGATCATACACACTTCGGCGTTATATGATATGCCTGCTCTAATGAATTACGCCCTCGCGTTTGCTTTGTTCAAGACCTACGCTATCGTGAGTGGTTTTATTTCCTCGTGTGCCAATCATAGGTTCAGTTTGTCTCCTCAGCCCACAATCTCGAAGATATTATCAGATACTAAGGAGCTCAAGTCCGCTGCGAGCATTTCCAAACGATACGCAGACGTGAGTGTTTTGCGTATCATCCTTTCGGGTCGAATTCATGAACGACACTTCCTTTGTACAGACGGAGATTTTAATCAGTCCGTATCACAACCCTCTTATCATCATTCTTCGTCCTTAATCTTTTGAGCTCACAAAAATCCCTACTTCCGTGTTCTTTCGTGTAGGCACCTGGGTGTTTTGCCCGATCACTGGAAAATCGACCACTGTGAAACAACCTTCAACCAGGTCTCGACAATCATCTGCTACGATCAAGCCTGAGAAGGCCCATATTGGAGGAACGACGGAATTAGGGGACTTGCAAGTGGACGATCCTCGGGGAATGATTGCACTCGCTCGAGTCAATTGGTTGCATTCCAAGTATTCTATTGTAGGTGTCCAGTCAACCAAAATCTTGTCAATCAATTAATGTGTCCCTCTCAGACAAACGACGACTACCTATATACACTGGCCCTCTTCGCTTTCGAACCTCCGGTGGGCAACCATTAAACTCTGTGGTCAACCTCACCAATTCTTATGTCGCAGAAATGGGCACGTCTCTACGGGTGGAGAGCACTTTCGCCTATGGAGGAAGAAGTGAGTGAGTCATTCCATACTATGCTTCGCTGCTGATTCTTTTGTTCGATGTTCTGTGTTTGACACAGGCATTCTATATCTTCTGGGTTGAAATTGGGCAAAGAATGGGCATTCGAGATATTCCGGAGACCATCAAGGAATTCAAACATTGGGTTGTAGTGAGTTTGTCTGTCGATGATTATCCTTCGTCATATCTCGAGACTAAGTATCTTCTGTTTTTCACTGGTCAGGAATACGAATCCAGAACCATGATCCCTGCCCAAACAAATCACGACGTTGCTACTTACACCACTGAAGAGCTCCTTCATGCCGTTCCAGAATTTTTTGGCCTGAAAAACTTTTGTAGAAGGCTGACAATCTGCGCGCTAGAGGAAAGTGTCCGGATAGCGATGATGTACGATATCGGTCTCTGACACATATGCCAGCTATACTGACTATTTGATTCTATCATCCTATCTATCTCATCTATGCATACGAATTAGGCAACCTCAACAACCTGCCTATCTCCACAAAATCTTTCGAATGACGCTTCACACCATAGGATTCATTCAGGGCTACCTCTGTCTTCCGCGTTCTGATTCAGATCCAGGAGCTGTCTTTGACATCTCACTATCCAAGGCTACTGCTACTACCGTCTCTGCCCCGTCCTCGAAGTTGCATCGGATGCACCCCAAATGGTTCCAGGCAATGCCATGGTACATGCCTGAACCCCATACATTGTTTGGAACGTTCAGGAATTGGGTGGCTGTTAAGATGGGTTTGTATGATGCGCCCGCGGGACCGATGTTGAAAAGTGAGGGGTATCGATTAGAGGAGATGGTGAGTACTTTGAGCGTGCGCCACCTTATATACTGATACTGCAATTTTGTTCCCTCCTTTTTACCCGCTTATCCTTTTTCCCATCGCCTTCCCATACCACACACTCTTTCTATCCTTCCGTCACAGGGTCCTGCCAAATACGAAAAGTGTGAGTTTCGCTCAGTTCCATTCGGGAAAGCTGACTAACCTTCATGCTTTGCTCATGTTCAGGCGGAAATGAAGAAGTCATACGCATGGCTGAAGAGTTCTATGGTTGTCCGATTTCTGGGCCGTTTAGTAGAAGATGAAAGTGAACGTATTCACCACTATGATTCTATCTGTATAGTATGTATGGGGCCTGGGCGAGGAATCTCATCGCTGTCTCATGGTGTAATTGCTTACCTTCACACTTCTGATAATCTGTATCGCGTTCAAATAATACAAGCCACCAGCTTATAGCTCAACCCTCTAGGAAGTTGATAAAAAGGTACTACCGAAATCTGTTAAAGGATACAAACGACACAGAGTAGGTTCGTGTCATCATTCCACCGCGAATGCGATAAAAAGCAGCCTTCGCAAAGACAATAACACCGAATAATGCAAGAAATTTTGATTGCGTGTTGCGGTAGGCAATGCCGACAAGGTACGCGACGAGCGCGTATGCTTTGACTTTTCCCATAAGCGGCTTGGAGGTTGAATGTGATGTGATGTGAAAAGATCCGTGATCATGCGATATCACAATTCCTCGACCGACATTCTCATCTCGATCCTGCCCAAATCCTGACACTAGCAGTGATATTTCCGTACTGGGTACGGCGTGTACAACCTCGTGGCGAGTCCTTGCTTTGTCTGGTAATCTGTGACTTACTTTGTTCTAATTTGTTGTCCCATTTAACTCACCCACTCAGAGGACGTCAGTAGAAGGATGTAGCCGGCAAATTTTCTGCATGTACTATATGCTGAAATCCTAGAACCGGTACAGAGAAACATTCCTCCATCAGTTGACCAGTGCGTCGGTCTGTTGCTAGCTACTTATACGAGTCATGAGTTTGGATATCTGCAGATATTTCGCCCCCCTTCTGTGTTTTGTTCCAAATATTACTCCCGCTACGCCTAAAGATGCTTCGTATCGGACCCTATTCTGCCTGGGTGGTCGTCGATGGTGCTGGCCTAGAAACTCACTGCGTTGAAGCATCCCATCAGAGCCGTACTACTAGCACATCTGGATGGATTTCCTCTGAAGCCGGAAAGGTATTTTTTGATGACCTGGGCGAAACGAATTACTTATCAAAGTCGACGTACCAGAAATTTTCTGTTTACTGGAGTAACGCCGTCAGAGACGTCGATCTTGAAGCCACTGTATCCATTGACGGTGTGGAATGTAACCGCCATGTCATGTTGGCTGCAAGCGACTTCCCTCATAAACCAGACACCGTTCGAGTCTCTTACACACGGACATCGGAGTTTGCCCGTCGAGACTTCTTCTTCTCGGTCATTCAAGTCGTTGGTGAGTCAATCTGCGCGGTCATTTTTCTGTATTTCTCTAAGAACATTTCGGAAGACGACGATGAATATTTACCTTCCGTTGATTATACCAAGTTCGGAGTGATCACTCTTGAGCTCTGGCGGCTTCGCGTAAACCGTGTCGTCCGCCAGCAGCTCCAGTACGATCCTCCCAAAATACCCATGTTGGAATTTCAGGTCCTTCCTGAACAAACAAAGAAAGGGGGAACACACCATGTTCGGTAGGTAGCAAGTACTTATTTTTCTGCTGTTGCGCACAGTCTGAGGCGACAAATTTCTTTCTATTGTCAAGGTTCGGAAAAGAATACAGCGCATCACGACCTATTGTAGACATGGTCGATGGACAGAAATTGGACAAAGCACCCTACATGTCGTTTTCATTTAAATACAGACCTCGAGGTTTGTCGGAATTAATTTCTCCTCCAATTATCCTCGTCAAAATACCTTAGATATACTTTTGGCGCAAGGCGTAATTGCCCCAAGAATCGATTACCCTGTTCCGACGAACAGATTACTCTCAGCTCAGCGCCTCAAAGTTGTTACGGAAAAGGTTTTTTTTACCGCTTTCAGTGACTTCTTGCTCGGAATCCTTACTGATATACTTCAGCAGACCCACCGGCACCGCAAAAATCAGTATTTACCACATCGAAATCAACCAAGGAATATTAAAACCAAGTAGGCGTGTAAAATCAGAGTCATTATCGTGGTCAATTATTTTAATGTAATACCCGACTGTACAGAGGGCCGTGTATGCATGTACTGGCAGGACACCAGCCTCAAAAAAAAGTTTGAAACCGTGTATACTTGTAAAGCACTTCAAACTGTACTGCTATAATATTTGATTGATATAATTCAGCCCAGGAAGCACAAGATTCAAGCAGGGAAAGGAAGATACTGAAAACAACGTGTACTACATATGTCCCAATATTCGCTAGATATCTATTCTTCAATTCTCAATGAACACCGTTGATACTGACTTTCCCAGTGGCCGCTTCTAAGGCCTTCTCATCGTCATCACCATCGCGGTCAGGAATTTCTTCCTGGTCTTCGTCCGCCATGAGTCTAGCCGCTCTCTGCAATTAACAATGTCAGAATCAGATCAACAGATAGAATGAAATCATGAAGCTGACCTTCATAGCTTCAGCCTCATTAGAATAATGCCTTCCTCGAGCACGAACGAATTCTGCGTGTTTCTTGGCAGCTGGAGTCCATAAATTGTTGAGAGATTGGTTCAAATCAACACATCAACGACATATACGTACTCTCTTCGTCCATTTCTTCGTCAACCTCTACTTCGTCTCCCAAGTCTCCGTTACCAGTAGCCCTTATATCGGATCTGGCTTCATCAGGTAGATTAAAGCTAGTGCCTCGACTCGATTGTGCGCTGCTAGAGCGAACAGAGCCTGATCGACCTGTGCTTGAGAAGGAGGTTCGACGCGATGAAGGACCTGAAGTGTTGGCACCTGTTGGTGACGAGGAAAGTATAGGAGAGCTCGGGACATATCGGCCGTTAAGATCTAGAGACGGGATATCTGACCATAGCATAGAAGTAAGATTGCTAGTGATAGCTTCGGATATAACATCAACGCACCTCCTTCAACCTCATCTGTTTCGGCATTGTATCTAACATAAGGCGTCTTGGGTTCAGTGATCTTCGTAAACGTCCCTTCGGGAAACTCTGTAGACTGTATGTTCTCCTCGTCCCAGCGTAGGCTTCTGTGTAATATCAGGTTTAATCAGTGTCATGATTATAGGAAGACAGAGCATTCTTACTGTTGTCCTGCACCAGGTAGTGGAACAGCGTTCTTCAGGATACCTTTTGGTTTAGGATTCGACGCTGATCTTGGTAGAGGAGGGAGATGAGGTGGATCTTGAATGATTTCAGTGGACATGATTGTCGCTCCGGAAGTTATGCGATTATAAAGTAAAGAGAGATACACAAGAAGAATTTACAGCTGCGGCAAGTGGAGTGGAAAATATTGTTCAACCGATCGGTATATGTAGATGGTGGGAGCACGAGTTCAGGTGACAACTCGATTCTAGATTGGAAATGTTAGTTTTTAATTGAGGTATCTTCCCTTTCAACTTATTCCTAGTGAGTGTATAATATTTTATCAATAATTGAACGCGCAAACTCGACCATGTTGCATAGTGATGTCATTCAAATAACTATACATCTTCTGATTCTTTCAGTAAACTTCTCAAAACCGTCCTTGTTCTATCATATAATTTATATCACATTCCTAAACCCATTAGAGCACCAGTTAGTCGTTGCGCGACGTTGTCTGGCTCCTGCCTTGCCATCTCAATCATACTTAGTAGCTTCTTGATTCCAATGTGCAATCTTCCAGATGTCTCGTCGCCCTCAGTCGAAGCAAAGCCCGCATCTTCCAGCATACGGATTGCCTCACGTCGCTCTTGTGAAGAGGAGAACAGCTCTACCTCTTGGATCACATACTCCAGGGCAACAAGGTTGGAGATTGGCGGTACTCGCAATTCCGAGTCGAATACTTCCGAGAGCCCGATCTCTGTCAGAACAGGCCGCAAGGAAGACGTTGCAATGACGAGGAGACGACGGCCCTTTGGTGGTCTACGGGCGAAAAGCACTAGGAGTGTTTGTAGCACAGCGTTCGAAAATCTAGGTCCAATCGGTGTCCACTCTGGTAAACAGCTTGGCGTCAATTTGCGATGTATTAAGAATTCAAAGAGTAACGAACCTAACAATCGCTCTAGGTTATCTACGACAATGACACTTAACGGACTTTTGTAGCTGTCCGCAAATATTTTGTTGATAGCTGTCACCTTCTGACTTTCGGAAAATCCAACCATGCTGTCTGGTGAGATAAGCTTGATGAAAGGAAACTGGGAAGCTTGTGCTATTGAAGCTCCTAGTGCTGTTTTACCAGAACCTGCGGGTCCATGCAAGAGTACACTGACAAGGGGTGTTCGGGTGGAGGTTCGCACCTGCTCTACAAAGAGCTGTCCGGAACGCAGTATTTCCTGATAAACGAAGATATTCAGTCTCTGTTGAAAGGGAAAACCAACACAGAGCACTGACATCGATGATAGGATCGAAGTGTATTATCCCATTCTGGATGACCTGTAGCAGCTCTTCCTCTGATACACCGAAAGCTGGATGAACCTCCTCAAGGGCACTCATAAAATCCCTCCTATTCACCCTTAAATTCTCCACATCATCCGAGATACCAGCCATCGTCCCAACTTTCACATGCCTATTGAATGCAAAACTAGTCGCGCTCTTGATTAAACCACCAATCTCCGCTCCAGAAAAGTTTTTCGTAACGCTTGCTATCTCCGGGAGGTCAACATCGTCGTCCATGACGCCGTTTGTCCGCATCCTGGCAGTGTGTATATTGAGGATTTGTAGACGACCATGCTCGTCTGGTAATGATATCTCCATGTGAACCTCGAGACGTCCAGGACGGAGGAGGGCCTCGTCAATCATGTCCTTTCGATTAGTCATACCGATGATGAGAATATTGTTGAGTTGGTCGACACCATCCATTTTGGAGAGAAGCTGGTTGACTACGGTGTCTCCGACGCCAGTCCCGCTGTTGGTGGAGCCACGTTGTTTGAAGATGGCATCGAGTTCATCAAAGATGATGATGTGTAGCCCACTCTCATCGCCTTTTTCTTTGTACTAGACATAGTCAGATGTAAGTCGAATACCTCACTTTGAAAGACTGTTGACTGACCTCCTTCTCCGCATCTGCGAACAGTTTACGAATATTCTCCTCCGAAGCACCAACGTACTTGTTCAAGATTTCGGGACCATTGACAATCTTGGGTTCCCGAGCATTGAGCATCTTTCCGATTTGCCGCGCGATGAGCGTTTTACCAGTCCCAGGCGGACCGTGAAGAAGAATACCTGGAGAGGTAAACAGAGTTAGTAGGCATAGTGCTGAAACCAGAAAGAACGTACCCTTGACGTGCTGGATACCCAATTTCTCAACCAGACCAGGAGGAAATACACGCGAGGCAAAGGCTCGACGGAAGATTTCGTTAAACTCCGTGTCTAAACCTCCGATACCCATATCCTCAAATTTGAAATTAGGTGCGAGAATGGCGTTCGGTGGAGCTCTACGAGTGATATTTAGTTCAACTTTCGAAAAGATGAGATGATGTCACGTACTTCTTCGCGCTGGATTTGATCTTGATAGCACTATCCGGAGCCTTCATGAATGTGACATCCGTTTTGTCCATCAGTATACCCATATGCTGAGGTGCTCTACCTCCGCCACCTCCGCCACCTCGCCTTTGCTCTTCCGCAAGCTCCAGTACAGAAACCGCACGCACAAATCCTTTTAAATTCTGACCATGATACTCGAACACAATTGTTTCGCCGACACTTCTAAGGTTCCCGTTGAATAATTTCAAGAAATGCTTGACCATATCATCCGCAGAGAATTGTTCTGCGATTTCATGACCACGACGTAGGAAGCCGACTTCTACGTCGATGGATTGGAGGAATGCTGGAGCGGAAGGATTTGGAGGTGCAGGAAGAGGTTCAACAGTGACGGAATCACCCTGAACAGAAAGGCCGATCCAGGCTCGCTGTAAAGCTGATGCACCTACAGTTCCAGGCTGTAATTTCCCCGTGTTATCGTGTCGGACCGTGAGCGCGAATTCGCCCTTTACTAGAACGTGTTCGCCCTGCTGAAAGTCCATAGGATGGACAATGAGGCAGTTCGAAAGTGCGAGCTGGTCACTTGGAGAGCTGACAACGCCATAACTAGACACAACGGGTTGAAGAACATGTAAAGAACGATCATATAGCTAACTGTCCAGATCTATTCACCTTCCTCCAGATCTTGGAACTGGTTTCCGCTCGTAATTCCCTCTCTTTTCAAACAAAGCACTGGAAGGGTCATTATATGGAGTGGGGGGTGCTTGATACTGCATAGATGGTGGAGGCCTCATTCCTCCTCGCGGCCCAGACGGAAGGCCTGCATCTGGAGGCAATCGGCCGTAGGAACCGGATGGAGGTGGTGTATTAGTGGATCCTCGATTAAAGAAGCTCATGAAAGAAAAGGATGAAGGATTAAAACAGTGTGTACGTGGTAGGAGTCGTGTTCCAAGTTGCGCTGCAAGTTGCAACCGTCAATATGTTGATTACGTGATGTACCATAGCGCGCTCAGAGCTGCTCAGAGGCGCTTAATTTCTTCCTCGTTCAATTGTATGCGACTTGAAAAGGTTCTCTTTATTGAACATTTAAACACTGGGGGAGTAAGGGACATCTTGGAGCAGGCGATCTTAAAAAAGGAAACCTTACACAGTACACCTTGCTTGATCCTTCATCGATGCTTGCAGCTTCATCTTTTGTTGGTCTCTGAAAACTGTCTCGAGCCATGTGTCGAAAAAGGGGCGTCGGGAAAGCTGTAAATCACGCACGTCGCCATCAAAAATTTTTTGAACTTCGTTATCGATCACCTAAAATGTCCACCTCTCTTTCTGGGAAAGGTCTTCTACTTAAAGCAGATCTCATAGCAGCAGCGTTTCGCGACGAAGTAGAGAGATCCCTCGCTGAATGCTCGCGTTCTCCGAAACTAGTCGGAATCCTTTCCACCTCTTCTGGTCCAAGCAGGACATACGCCGAGTTCACGAGGAAACAATGCGAGAGTCTTGGATTCGAATTCGTTCTTAAGGAGACAGGCGCGGCTTTGATGAATGGAGGTCTGGGTGAAGGAGAGGGTGTAGAAGAAGCTATAATGGAGGCTAACGAGGATGACTCCGTCGATGGAGTTATGGTCAGTCCCGTCTGACTATCGTTTTTGCGAAGGAAATTCCATCAAAGATCACAATAATAGGTCTATTTCCCAATCTTCGGCCCCCAGCAGGTATGTTAATCCTACAACTGTTCGCGGTAGAGCGAGCCACGAATGACTCGAGGTCAGGATCACTACCTGCAGCAACTCGTTTCGCCATATAAAGACGTCGAAGGCCTGCACGTCAAATTCCATTACAACCTGTACCATAAGTCAGTGCAGATCGTTGGCCATTATCTATAATGTTAATCTTTCTCTACTTCAATTTCAGCATTCGATTTATATCTCCGTCATCTCTTTCCGCTCCGACTTCTAGTGCCGCTGGTCTTACCGGCGACGAAGCCGAAAATGATATTCCTCCACCAGGGATGGTCAAATCTATCCTTCCCTGTACACCTTTGGCCATTGTAAAATGCCTAGAATACGCTGGAGTGTATAACAAGATTCTTCCCTATGGGGATCGTGCATATGGAAAAACGGTGGTAGTTGTGAATCGGTGGGCACTGTGTTGTACCCCTTGACCCTTAAAATTGACCTTGGTCACAGATCGGAAGTTGTTGGCCGTCCGTTGGCTGCATTGCTCTCTAATGATGGCGCGCGGGTATTTTCTGTTGACATTGATTCCATACAGGTGCCCGTTGGCGTTTGTAATGAAAAGTACGGCTATGCTGACCACTACCGCACAGGAATACACCAAACGCCCTTCCGATCCCGACTCATCACGGAAATATCACCCTCGCCACATCGTACGTCCCCCGCCTGAAGCTTACAACACTTTGCAGGCGTGCTTGGCACTGGCAGACGTTGTGGTAGCTGCTGTTCCTAATGCCACGTATAAAATCCCTACGGCGTGGCTCAAGGACGGTTGTGTCTGTGTCAATGTCGCAGCAGAGAAGAATTTCGAAAAGGATGTAAGAGAGAAGGTCAGTAGTTTTGAAATTCGTATTGATCCTATCATGCAGTGCGGGTTGCTGATACCTCACTTCCATAGGCATCATTGTACATCCCAGCAGTGGGGAAGGTTACCATACTCATGCTGCTTCGAAATTTGTGCGTGTAACGGCATAAGCATTTGTCTTATTAGATGCTTCTGACTACTTTGCTTATGCTTTAGACTCCGATTACAGCGATACCAGAATGCATCCCCGGTGTCAACAACTGAGTCGCCTGCGCAGTAGATGAGTATCCGGAGATCTACTGCAATTCCATGCCATGCATGATGATCTAGAACATCAGGTTTTCCGATTCTAAGTTATTTGTTCAGCCAAGGTTGAGGCTCGATGCCAAGCTCCTTGTGTTACTTATCTTTATTTCAACATACTGCGCGTCAGAACTAATATCCTCATAATCCTTAGTAAATCTGACGTTGGACTCGGGTATGTCTAACAATGAGTGTTAAGTCGAATTATATTCTTTCGAATCGTAAGATATTATGTGTGTATCTTGATTATCCAGCAAAAGCGGTGGAAAAAATTGTGTCTACTTAGCGGGAATCCAATCACCGAAAATGCGACTCGGTTATGATCACAGGTGGAGTACCGCCATTTACTGGTGTTGATGCACCAGAGGGAGGAAAGCTGAGAGTGACGGGGGTAGAAGCGCCGGATCTATCGTCAGCTAAGAAGCGGACTCGTTGTCGATGAAGCTGCGGAAGTGCAATGAGTGCAATAGACGTGACGATTACGGAAAACGGAGAAGAGTAAGAAAAGCAATGGTATATGTAAGGATGTGTAAACACGTACTTGCGGTAGTTTCGGCAACAGTGTAAGCACCAGCGCGCAGAGGTTCACAGCGAATAGCCATGGATTGTAATTGGTGTAATGTGTGGACGCCAAGAAGCTAAAGGAATCGTCAGAGTTTATACGAAGAAGATTGTGAAGACAACTCACAGTACACATGGAACTGAAAACAGCCACTTCTTTGCTGGAGTATACTGTGCTCCATCGTCAATCTGCTCCCACATTGTCAAGTCATCGTACGCGCCGGCATGCATATCGCTTTGGAATGGAATACCAGTCACCCAGTGGAACATGAGATACGAAAGCTGCTGGGATGTCAGCAATGATGAATACCGAAAGTTACGAAAGCCCTTTACCGCTTGATAAAGCAGGTTCACAAGCGTCCAGCTGATTTGAGGTTGCATTCCTGGTATTGTGTCTATAATGATCTTTCCAATGCAAATGAGAACGACGTGAATTAACCAAGCGCCTTCGAGCCCATTAGTTGTATTATAGAAAAGAAGCAGAAGCAATGTACCCTTTGCATTCACCCAGTTAGCATTGTTATTCACATACGTGTTCTGGTCCAAGTCTTCCACATTACTGCGACCAACATGCTCGACTTTGAGTAAACTGCCACTGCGCCCTCGGGATTTCATGGAAGTAGAAGAAGAAGAGCGAGGCTGTGGTGTTATGTCAAGGGGCTGAAGGGTGATAGGCCGGTGGGACTGCATGGTCTTCCACGTATGGTAATGGGTATTATAGAAAGAGAGGGTTGACAAGCGTATGAGTTTTACTTCGGGTAAGCGGCCCGCCAAGGAACGCTAACCACAACCACGAACGGATATCGATGAACCCTTCTAGGTCTTCTATGTACTTTTACCATACTAGCTTTATGACTCGTGGAATGCGTTGGCTGTATCTCAACATCCTGATCCAAGCCCCTCTATCGTTATACTGCAAGTGGCTTCAATACTGAGCCAACCTCACGCGTCCTCAGAAATTGAAAGGCTAATACCGATCTCACTACGCTCAAATCGCTGCCGTTCTGAGAAGGTTCTATGCGAAAGACTCTGGGAAACCCTGCTTAGTATTGGGTGAACTTGGTACTTAGATAGATCCTATGTCTTGTTAAAAACAGGAGCAAATAAAGATTCTTTGAGCTATATGCCTGTTTTCCTAAACCCTTTAGTTTCTATTCCACCGAAGAGTAAGAGAGAGAGTAAGGTTGACCTTGCTGAACCTTGCCTTCGGAATCGTGGGGTAGCTACTTCGTTATTCGTTTTGAACACTTTTAACTCTGAATTAACCGTGTCGTGTCCTGCACCGAGTGAAGTACATATTGTTGTCACTGTTGCAGCGCATATTGTCGAGCTTGAAATTCGGCAGGGCGCTAAATCAGGATAATCCCACGGACGACATTAGCAGATAACCACCACAGATGAATCCTTCTGGGAATTCTGCCAGTCCAATATCCTCTCTTAGGCCTCAGTCTGCTGTTACTCAGCGCCCTCCTTCGAGTATCTCTCATTATACGAATCAGTATGGCTCAAGTGCAAGTGTGGTTTCGCTGGCTCGTCCTACGTCTAGTGCTTCAATAAGGCCAACTTCACGCGCTTCATATCGCCCAAAATCCCGCCAGCAAAAGCTTACCGTGGCCAAACTTCTACCATTCTGTCAGGATGTTGTCCGAAAGGTGTTGATTCAGCCCGAGGAAGAGAACGACGAATACGAGACAAAGTATCATGAAATGGTGGATTGGTCAATAAAGCAACTTGGAATGGAAGGTTCGACTAAAGCAGCTTTAGTACTGGACATGGAAAGCATAAATAAGATGGTTCGTGGGTGCGTTTGTTCCGTGGATTTGTTGATCAATATATGACAGCCGTAACTAGACATATTGAGAAAGCGCGTGTCAAATCTCAGGACACGCTTGCTAACGCGTTGGAAAGATGCTATGGTCAGCTCAACGAACAATCTAAAGGTGAACACGACTTGGATGATGAGATTAAGGCAAGTTTTTTTCTTCGTCTTGTTTTTTTTGGGTACTGATAACTACATCCCAGAAATCTCGCCTACCTACTCATATACAGTTTCTCGCAAGTCCTGCTCTTCCCTTCGGATTCTTGAAACACTCAACCTGATTCTAGCTTGCGATGTCATCTCCTCCTCAACCCAGTACTTCAACTCACGCGGCACTCTATTTGGATGCCCTTGATAACCCACCTCCCCCCGCTGAGAGTGAACAATTGACGTGGAAGAAGATTCTCGAAGAGGATCCCTACGAGGGAGATCACTGGGTCGGCGTCCCTGGTGGAATCCCTCTGCGTCGTAAACATAGACCCTCTGCTTATACTTCTGAAGACGATGGTGACAAGTCCCCGGACGACTTGGATATTTCACCTTCATTGTCGCCATTAAACTCGGACGACCTTTCTCTCGACGACACTGATTCCGAGTACGAAGCCTTCCCACTTCCGGATAAATCTCCAAATACTGTCGGACTAGTAACACCCGTAACCAACGCCAGTTACAAGCCCCTGTATGCTACTCATGCGTACAGACGAGAACTTGAGGATTTGAAATTCAGGCAATACTGGCAGCCGGATTGGCGGATGAATTCAGAGGCTGACCTGCAACGAAGGGGAACTTTCGATATTGGTGATGCTTCAACTCTAGGTCTGGATCTTACAGAAACCTTTATAACCACGTGGACTGATGAATTGACTTCGTAGGACCTACCCTTCAACGTGTATTGCCTCAAGATGCTTCCTTGGAGCAACTGCCCCTCGAGTTGATTATGTCAGTTGAGGTAAGAAAATCCTGCTGTGTTGAATCCTTGTTTTTCAAGGTGATTGTAGAGACATATACTTGAGCAAGATGTTGTTCGCGAGGTTCTCATTGCTCTGCAGGGGAGACAAAACATCATATACGATCAACAGTTCAGAGTAAGTGCGCGGTCTACTCTTGTAGACGAAATGTCTTATCGTCTCGTTTAGGTCACTAAAAGCACCCCAAAACTCCTTCATTTTTCTCTTGCTTCACAGCAATCTCTTCTTAACAATATCGGCGCTTCTTGCAGGACACTTCAACGTCTTCGCCAATTCACATCTTCGGTCATGCGCCATTCGTCTGACGCCCGGTCAAATGGAAGACAGACGTTGAGCGCTTTAGATAGGATAAGGGCCACTCGCGTTGGTAAGATTACGCGCACGCTTGAAGCGTTTGCAGATGCCATCGACACGGAGATCAGGATGTTAGAAGTATGGTGCTCGGATAAAGAGGAAGCCTGGCTTCGAGCTTTGGGCGGGCTGACTCCTTTTCTCGAATTTGGCAAACCAAACAAGGGTCTAGTTGTAAGCCTATTAGGGACGGAGAAAGCGTTCAGAGATCAATTTGAGGATAGTTTCAATGTCATGTTGGACGTTGTCATCCAAATTGTAGGAGAGCCCGAGTCCGAAGGATGGGCTTTACCAACTCGATCTCCCTCATTAACCACGACCCTGCTTCTTGATACACTCTTCTCCACAGTCCAACAACGATTAGAGCGAGGCGACAAAATCACGGCAGACACGCTGATGAGAGTTTGTGTACGTAGTGCTGAGCCGGTGTGGAATATGATTGGAAAGTGGATCGGAACTGGCTTTGATATGAACAGAGGACACGACCAAGGCCAATATCAGGTCGGAGGTGAGCTGGAAGAGGAATTCTTCATCGAATCAAATGGCCTTGGGATAGAGCTTGGTGTTCTTGGACTTTTGGATCCTGATTTTTGGCAGGACGGGTATTGTCTCAGAGACGGCGCGTTTCTCGGATCTACGTCTACGTCTCAAGAGAATGAAGAGCCAACTTCTACTCAGACGCAGAGGTGCATACCTAGTTTTCTGCAACACGTGGCCGTACCTGTTTTGGAGTCCGGTAAAGCTATCGGGCTGCTGAAAGCGTTGGGTGCGGATGTGCAGGACCTGATTGACGAGGAGGCGCAATTTCTTCGCGATTGGCAATGGACCTCTTTTCAGAATGTGGTGGCTGGCGATCCTACTTCGTCTTCGCAAAACGACACTGATGGTCGCGCGCTCTTTTCCGTTTCTGTCGATCAACTATCCCGACTCATTTACGACAAACTCACGCCTTATGCTCAGGCAGCTGGATCACTACTAGCCAAAGTGATTTTCGAGAAATGTGACTTTTGGTCGCATCTGAGGTCTATTGAAAGTCTATACATGATGCGAAGAGGCGATATAATCAGTGATTTTACTGATATTTTGTTTGCAAAGGTAGATGGACAATTCAGGCTGGTTTGAGCCAAGATACCTGACGTTTCAAACAGATGTATTCAAAACAAGACTGGACTGATTTCCATTTCCTCAACACCGCCTTCACCGAGGTGATCACTGCCAGTAACAGCGTTAGTAATTTCGAAGAATTCATCGAGACTTCTCTCATTCGGTTATCATATCGAGGAGGGAACATGAAAGAGAAACTTACCTCTCGAACGGTCAAAGTTATGGATGGATTATCCTTGGAATACGCGGTTCCTTTTCCTCTGACATATATTTTCACGCCGATAAATTTGCAAATCTACAATGAAATTTTCGTGTTTCTGCTACGGATTCGCAGAGCAAAGAGCTTATTGGAAAAGATCTTGGTTAGAGGTGCATCTGGGAGTAACCCTGGGTTAAAGGCTTTCTATGCGATGCGGAGTCGTTTGAGCTGGTTTGTCAAGTGAGAGTTTTCATGTTTTTCATACTGGTTTCTTTCTGACCTTGGCTTTCCTTGGCTAGCACTTTCCTCAACTTTCTCACTACTTACGTGAGCACGTTCTGATCGAGGTGTTTCGTGATTTTCATTGAGATTTCCAGGTCATTCAAACACAAGCATTGAGCTTCCACAATGCATTAATTGAGGCTCAATCACAATCTTTTGATCAGGTTATCAAAGTTCACGAAGATCAGTAAGTAGGGATGCATGAATCAAGGATACGCCTGTTTAACATTCCACTTCAGTGTGCGGAAGATGGAGAGTCGATGTCTCCTTCAGGCCAAGGTCAGATCCCTTGAATTGTCTAGCTAACTCGTACTCAGTGCTCGGAACTAGACAAACGCACTATATCGAGCGGTACTGTCAATCCTTGACATGACACTCAACTTCAACGAGCTTTTTGGTACTTTCGCTGGAGATGTGACAATGCACGATATTTCTAGCCACTCCGTAGTGCTCAAGCACCACCGTAGCCGCAAACAGCGACGCCGACGTAAAAATGTTATTGGTTTCTCGTATACAATGAACCCTTCACCTCAGACATCGGACAGCGAAAGGGAAGGTGACGAAGACGAGGAAGATTACTCGTATTCCGTTTCGATCAACGCGTCAACCTTTGCAGAGAGCGATGACCTCTTCACGAAGATCAACAAAATGTCTACAGATCTCGACGGCCTCATTCGATTTATCAGACGAGGAGTTGAGACTTTAGCTGGAGGTATGGGTGACGCTTCGACAACGTTCGGCATTTTGGCTTTCTCGTTGGAAGATTGGGATTTGTGACTAGACGTCAAGGCCCCCCTTACCCCAAGTATCATTCATTCGAATAGTCCATCTTATATTATCAAAGAGGTTCATATAAACATAAGCGTACGCATCGAACAAGGATAAGTGTCAATGGTGAGTCAAGAAAAAATATTGTAGTAAATGTATGTAGAAGATCAGGAGTTTGTACGACGGACAAGAAACTACGACACAACGACAACGATGCAAGAGACATAGGTGATTCATGATCATGAGAGTTAATGATGTATATGTACTAAGGAGAGCGTTGGAAGAACAGAGAAGGTAGACAAAAGTGTGCTGGTGAAGCCCGGCCCTGCAAGAGACGATGTGGACATAGAGATGTAACAGGAATAAACTAAAGACACGGTTTGATAGACGTAGGTCTAGTAATCAAGAGGTCTTGACGCCAGAGAAAAAAAACAACAATGGTAGAAGATCGCGGGTAATAGAGGAAGGCGGGCAGGTGAAATGATACAGATAAATTACTGGTAGTACACAGTACCCTGCGGAGGAAACATCTCATACGGCGCAACCTGTGACATGTCGAGGTAAGGGTTATATCCATAAGAAGGATCCGGATAGTAATACGGATTGTAGTAGCCCATCATGGGATCCTGCACCTGATGCTGATGAGAGACCGCAGTCAAACCGTCGCCTTCTGAGTAATACTGCTCAGCAGGTTCAAAGGCAACGGCATCAGACCTAAGTTCTGTCGAAGATTGCTGACCAGCGGCCAAGTCCACAGCCTCTGATGTAGATGTCGACCTCGCGTTCTGTTTCGGTTCGTCCGGAGCGCGGATCTGTACACGGGAAGACTGACGAGGGAACGAAAAAATGGAGGGTGTCGGAGTATACTCCATGTAACCCCCATTGATAGGCGGAGTTCCTGCTGGAATGAATTCGGAAGATGACACTGCAGAATGATGATGGACGTGGCTGGACACGAAAGGAACGGGTTGCATCATAGGGGCGGCATACATATTTGCAGGAGCTTGCAAATAGACAGGACGTCCGGTAGCAACTTCATATGTCATGCCAGCAGAATTGATCGCCAAACCTGGTGGGAGATGAGGTGCGTATTGATATGGTGATCCGTAGCCTGGAGAAACCTGATCTGACGGCGAGAATGTGTGTTGCATGGATGATAAAGGCGGCTGTTCTTGCTGTTCCTCCGGAACGGTTCCAGTCGGGTTGCGCATGACAGCTTCCTCAGTTTGTACCCATCGAGTAGGATCGGTCTTCTGTGGCTCGAGCGACAGTTGTTCGAGCTTCTGCTGAATCGCCGGATCAACGGATGAAATGGATGACGACACAGTGTGTGCTCCATTGGGTAAAGTGACCGATGCTTCTTTGATTGCTGGTTGCTGCTCCGGTAGTGGAATGAGTTTGGGCGATACGAGTTGAGGTCTGACTGTGAATACTTCTTCAATTGAAGGTTCGTCAATTCGTGGAGGGTGGGAAATCGTCTCTGCTACCACAGGCTGTCCGGTAGGCACAGACTTGGGCAGACGCACGACAAGTACTTTGTCTCCACTATCAGATTCAGGGCTCGTGTTAGGGTGTTTGGACGTAGACGCTCGAGGAACTGATTGTATTGGAACACGGACAGAGGCAGTTTTCTGACTGGGTAGTTTTACGCGTATGGAGGCTGGATGACCTGCTCGTGGTTTCCACGAAAAGTCCGAGAAAAGAAATGCCTCTGCTTGTTTCGTCCACATGTGTTCTGGTTTTTTCAAGAACCAGACCCGGGCAGGATCAGGAGCATGTGTTTGACGGGATCTGAATGGTGGGGAAAATGCGCCACGGCCCCCTCGTCCCCCTCGACCTATGAAAGATCCTCCCCGACCCAGAGCAGTGTCAAATCCACGAGATGGTGGAGTCTGGGTTTGAGCCTGTTGATGCGATGAACTGCTGTGCTCCTGCTCGTTCCGTTTCAACTCTTCGAATCCATCGTGCGTCCAAGCCTGATCCACCGGTTGAGCGCCATCCTCTTCCGTATCTTGCTCTGCGGTAGAATTGCCAGCAAAGGGGCTCCCAAGGAATCCGCCTCGCCCACGAAAAGAGCCACGACTAAATCCTACACGACCTCTCATTCCACCCTGCCAACGGCCTCGCCACCACCCACTCAAGCTTCTCAAGTTCTTGTCCAGTAATCTATCGTCGTGCCCCCAGAATTCGCCGACAGTAGGGACATAAGAAGGATCAGCTTCTAACCGTTGCTGATAAGCCTGGCGTGCACTTTGACCAGGAGGCCGCCGAGGTGTAAAATGAGAAGATGGCGCACGAGACTCTTGAGACTCCTCTAGTTCGTCCGCAGTTTGCGGTTGAGCAGGTGAAGTAAGCAAAGAGGGGACAGAGGAACGATTATTAATATGTTTTTGGTTTTTCTTCGATTTCCGCGATTGATTGGGTAGGGGAAGCACCTGGCTATCAAGTTCGGTGAAGTCAATGACGGGAAGGTTCTCGGGACCATGCTCAGCCTCATTTGCAACCATTTCCGACCAGTTCCCGGAGCTTCCGAAAAAAGGCTGACTATGGCCGTTTACGAGGAGATGAGAGGCACCTTCTGGGCTCTGACTCGTGCTTGGCGTGAGGACTCTGGGTTGTTCATTGGGTTGGACGTCTTCCGAAGCTGGTTCAGTGTCAGAGTCAGATGTAGAGTCGGATGAAGACAGGTCATCTTCAGATTCAGAGTCAGTCCTGACCTCCCTCTCGACTTCATCGTCACTGTCCAGACTTGGCTTTCTTCCCCTTCGTCGAATAAATCTTCTCCTCTTTCCTTGAGAGCCACCGGTACGTGAAGTAGAATCATTATCGGCCATATTCCTCGCTGTGGCAGAGGTAGATGACGCTACTTGAGCAGACATAGCGACAACTATGATAAAAAAGAGAATTATGTATGTATGAGAAAAAAATTCAGTAAAACCAGAGTGAAAGTCAGACCTTACTTGAGAATTTGACCGAGTGTAAGATAAAATATAGAAGGCGAGTAGAGAATGAAGATGGTGGATGCAGATATAAAGAACAGAACAAAGGCTGGGAGTGCGACTTGACCAGTGAAGTCCAAAACAAAACACGGCTCCGAGTGGATCAGTAATCATCGGCAAGGCACCGGCAGCACAAAAGACCAAGCTCCGCTCGGCAATTGCCTTCCCCGTCCGGTTAACACTCCCAACCGGCTTGCGTTTCTTTTCTATATTCATCCTTCATGAACCCTTTGGACGTGTCTAGCTTCAATCATCGAACAGAGAAGCTCTCTACCGGTCGGGAGTATCACTTCATCGATCAATTACCAGTGGACTACAAGAAAGGACGAACACCGACGTTGCTTTGTGTCCATGGCTTTCCAGATTGCTGGTGAGCGAATGCGTGTGATTATCAGTATCTAGGTAGATCAGAGAGTGAGCGCGGCCATTAGGTATGGATGGAGGTATCAAATAAAACCTTGGGTACAGCGAGGTATTCGTGTTGTCGTTCCAGATATGTTAGGTGTGAACTGAATTGTCTTCGTCTTCGCTGGTAGAAGACCTGCTTATATATCCGCTCAGGCTATGGCGAGACAGACAAACCTGATAATCCGGCAGAGTATTCCACGAAACATCTTTGTGCGGACTTATCTGCAATCCTGGATCTTCTCGCAATTAAGAAAGCTGTTGGTTTTGAACCCCATTTTCCTTCCACCAACGATTTAATCGGCGTTCATGCGTAGGTCCTCATTGGCCATGATTGGGGAGCTTATACTGTCAGCCGATTTGCCCTGTGGTATCCGGATCGTTTACTGGCTTTAGTAATGTAAGTTTTATTCCTCCAATCTGATGACAGATGCTAAATTACGCCTTTACTTAGACTATCTGTCCCATACAGCCCGCCAACGCTAGAATACGTACCTGTGAAAACGATCGCAAAAATGGCTCCCAACTTGAGCTATCAAGCTTACTTTGAAGAACAACGTTCTACAAAGGAGATAGAATCCAACGTAACCCTCGTTGCTCTTGCTCAGAAAAGCTCCTCATACTATCCCAGCTCAACAATTTCTTGCGAGTCATCTACCGGGGCCCAAATCCTACCCAACGTCTCAAAATATCACAACTATACAAAGGCCCTGAAGTTCTTTCAAGAATTCACGTCCCCGATCCAGATATTGTGTTAAATGCTCAGGTTCGCTACTATGATCATCTAATTTTTCTGGTGGCACAAGCGTACTATACCATAAATACCCGCAGGAACTTGATTTTTACAATAGAGTCTTCCAGCAAGGTATGAACGGCCCATTAAACTACTACCGCACAGCATTCTATCGGCATGAAGAGGAACTCGGTAAGTTTAATGTATCTTCATGCATTCAACCTTATCTCAGTCTCAATTTTAAACCTAGCCGCCAAACTCTCGCCTAATCTCCCGCCAGACCTCCCCGTCCTATTCATCTGGGGTACCGGAGATACTACCACAACATCTTCATTGATCCACAAAGCACATAAATTCATTCCTCGGTTGCAAGACTTCGCTCTGGAAGAGAAAGGTCATTGGATTTTGGTCGAGGCAAGAGATACCATAACCGATAAAATCGCGCAGTGGTTGGAGGATCTTGCGATGGAAGCCCGACGGGAAAAAGCACATTTGTAACTTGTACCCTATGAAGAGGATAGTTATCAATAATAGGATAGGATAGGATAGGATAGTTAAATTATACTGGCGAGGTCCGATTCCCGAACGACCAGTTTACCATACTGTACAATCTCTACTTAGATTACAGTATTGGAACACACATTTCTAATACGGGGGGGCGATAATGCCACTCTCACACTTGATGAGGAAAAAGCAGGAAAAAAAAAACCTCGTGAGACGTGCACGGTCTTCCCCGTCTCGACAATGCATGCAAGCAACCTTTGCATCAAGATGGGACAAAGATTTCAACCCCATATACAACTTCTAAAACATCATATGCCAACTTTGCAAATAATTCCGTGATTCTTGTATCAGCCAATAAGGTGCGGAACAGCATCCATGCATCTGGATAGAATTTTGCATATTGTGGAAGTCCCAGGGTTACTTTGTGCATGAAAGTCTCCCTTAATTTGATCAATTCAAGACTGCCCTTACATTCAAATAAAACATGGGCAGGATCCTCGACTGAGCCTTTACAAAGACGGCACAACCGGAGCTCTCTGATTATTCGAGGTCTGTTTCTCTCATCCCAGCGCAACCGTTCCACAGCAAGCTGGTGATTGCCAGTCACAATGTGGATCAGTGCTTTCCGATGTGAACCTGTTGGGACATTCAAATAGTGTCGAAAAGTCAGAGCTTTAAAGACCATCTTTTTCTGTTTCCGGTCATACTCCTTTCGTTCTTTCAGAGTGTCCATTGTTCTGGGACAAGATATCACAGCCTTTTGTAGAGTCTTCTCCATGGAATTTTGAATGCCAGTGATTAGATCATTCAGGTATGCAGTAGTGATATCCTCAAACTCTGGAATGTTCCAAGTGAATGGAATTGGCAGGCTGTCAAGTACTCTGCATGCCTCCAAAATTATTGATGTGTGTCCATTTTGAGCCAAAGAGTAAGCTTCTCTGAATGCTTTCCATGCGAGATGATGATGTGGTAAATTGACCAGGTACTGCATGTTCTTGAAGAAAAGAATAATTCTTCGATAGCGGATTGGCATCACTCCCGTTTCGGTGAACAGAATCTGGGTTGATGATTATTTTTGTAAAGAGAGAACCCTCCGTAAGAAATAATGTTGTACTTCCTCTAATTGGTCTCTATGAGATGCAACCACATCCATAATGAACTCGGCACCACTTTTCAAATATGGGTCAATTCTAGCCCAGTACATCGTAATCATATCCCTTATTGGCATGTCACTGCCTACAAAAGCCTTAGCATGAAGGACTGCACCTGCAGCATTCTTAGCCTTATCTGCAAGTACCTGATAGTTGTCTTTGTATATGCTTCCTTGACCAGTCTGATGATGTACCCCAATATATTTCAGTTTCTTCTTCTTTTGCAAAGGTTTGTCATGTAGCATGAAAACAGTGTCAGTGACAACTTCCTTTCCAAATACTGCAATCATACATTTAGGCACAGATACCTCAAAACCTGTGAAGGATGCATATGCTTCAAATTGTCTAAGCTTAGATTGAATGCTAGATGGTGTTGTCCCAGCCATTCCTGTGTCATCTGCTTGCAACATGTGGTTGACATACATATCATGAAGAACCACATCTGTTGGGTGTTCAGTCACTTTAAAATCTGCAACAACCAGATTAAACAAGTTTGGTGAGTCCGGACTGCCTGTAACGACCCCCATATTACCGCCAAAAGGTTCAGAGTGAGAGCCACAAACTCTGACAACATAAGCAATTTTTGCATAGAGCATACGTATCCAGTCAATCATTGGACCTTTCACTCCCATTGAGAATAATTTAATCCACATTACAGATCTATCAGTGGAGGGAAATGCATTTGTCCAGTCCATATATGCAAAATATAGTGGGTTGCCCAGAGCTTCAGCCTTATCCACCATAGTCCTCAAAATTAGTGGGTTGTTAGTTGTTCGGTATGTAGGTCTGAAGCCATTTTGAGAATCAGGTATTAATTGCTTTAGATCTGAATAAGACCTTATCCTACGGTCAATAATGTAGGCCAACAATTTTGCAAAACAACATTCTAATACAATGAGGCGGTAGCCACTTGGGTCTGAAGCATTCTTCCCTGGTTTTAGGATACCAATCACTATTGCATAAAGCCATTGCGAGGGTGCAGTCTTGTTTACAACACAGTGATTGAGAAATGAGACTATATTCTCATTGGGGATGTCCATAATTTCCTTGTATGATATACAATCGGAGCCCATGGCACTGTTTAGGTTACATTGAAGTATGTGTTCCTTGGCTTCAGCTACTTCATCTTCTTGAATTGGGCAGCTAAAAAACCCCTGCTCTGTTGGGTCCAAGTTGGTTTCTGGTAGCATTGCTTCTAGGTGCTTTAGATATGACAGGTGATTGTGATTCAACTGCAATGATGGTATCAACACACTACCCCTTCATCCAGGTCAGAGCTGTCTCCCCTTGTGTGACATTCCTAGAGCTACCAAGCTACCCCGGGACAAGTTACCTACTGGATATTCAGTGACACGTTGATCCTTTCTGAGGTTATTTCGCGCCGCCGGATCTGATTCTTTATTACTTACTACAAGTGATGATGGTCTCCCTGAGCCACCTGGCCTCCTTGAGCCACATCATATTTGTAGTAGGATCATGACATGGCTCAAGGAGTCCAATCTATCAAAAATAAAGAAAAACTAGTACATGTAGTATAATCCAACTTTGCTACACTGTACTTCGAATTATCTCAAGTGTGTTCAAAGATGTTTATGGTTTTTTGCAGATATGTCGTTTTATGAACAGATGTTTTAGAAAGTAAGTCAGGTCCACTTGATGTTTTGGCTCAAGGAAACCATCATCACTGTATTAGTTGAAATTTTTCTTCTGGATTGTTATCAATCGCCCACAGGAGTCTATAAAATGCCAGGGACAGAAATCCTCTCCCCCACCTTTGCTCCCAACACCAGTTTGGTACGTTATACTTTACCAGCTTTCCTACCGATAACGAGCTTGCCTCGTTTTTGTGTGAAAGAGAAAGGAAGGAATCTAATGGGCACTCCAACCAACCAATCTAATACACAATATGCGAGTTCACTGCTATCAAATTTATTTAATAGCAAGGGGTAGCGTTGGCAAAGGTTCCGCAAAGCTTTGAGAGCTAAGTAAGAAGCTTTGATCAATCAATTTGAATCGTTCTAAGGATTTGATATATTCCTTTGATCAAGGTAGATTCAGCACGATTTGTGCTTTGGTTTGTATTGATTTGGGTATATCAAGAATTGGGGGTTTGAATCAAAGTAAATTAAAACCGAAACACACAGACCCCTCGGAGGGCTAGAACTATGTGCTGGCACAACCACACAGCGTGATTTGCCCTTAAGACCAACGACTGATCCTAAGTTCGAAGAATACCCAACAACTGGATAGACTTCTCACAGTCACAAGGAGCAGAACACGACGTTCCTATACTCACAAGTGCCGGGCCCGAATGGCTGCTAGCGAAGAGGTTTCAGTCTGGCGGGAGTGTGTCTTTCCTTTTTACGGATTAGCACTGCAACGTCGTCCCAAAATCACTTTTATTCCAGATACATCGGATCGCTATTTATACATACAGAATATATGTTAAGACTGTCAAGTCCATGCCGCGGGCCTTCATTCCGCCGCTCGGTGTTCCGAAGATCTGCTCCTTATTGTTATCTCACTCTTATTGTTCTTTCTCGCTACACATACCCTTTCGTTCTAGTCCCTTCTTATTGTCTTTTACTCTACCCTGCAGGTACTACTCGTATAGCTCCTAGTAGTTAGTCTGGCGCTCCGCACCGCTGCGCCGTTCCGTAGATATAAATACTGCCTGTACGCTACTGTAGTTCCTCAGTTTAATTATCAACTTAGATCAACTTAGATCTCCCTTCTCAACTTAGCTCTTCTAGTCTGTTAAGATCATGTACACCGAGTAACCGTGCCAAAGCTACAAGGTGCCTAAGTGCGGAAGACGAGTGGGACAGTAGTGAAGTTATTAACAACACCGCCGTTACGCCGTTAGTCCCCGGAGAGCGAGAGTGGAGAGAGAGGAGCTAAGTAGCAGCCAGGTCGGAGCGGCGGTATCGCCGATGACGAGGAGCGGACCAGAGGACGTTAAAGTCCTAAGGTTCAAGGAGGACGTACTTCAAGGCGTTGAGCCAGAAGACTTAGAGAAGAGCTAAGTTGAGAAGGGAGATCTAAGTTGATCTAAGTTGATAATTAAACTGAGGAACTACAGTAGCGTACAGGCAGTATTTATATCTACGGAACGGCGCAGCGGTGCGGAGCGCCAGACTAACTACTAGGAGCTATACGAGTAGTACCTGCAGGGTAGAGTAAAAGACAATAAGAAGGGACTAGAACGAAAGGGTATGTGTAGCGAGAAAGAACAATAAGAGTGAGATAACAATAAGGAGCAGATCTTCGGAACACCGAGCGGCGGAATGAAGGCCCGCGGCATGGACTTGACAGTATCCCCCTCTTAGGCTTGAGCCCTCGAAAGCCATTAATACCGATAGTTGGTTAGTCACCAAAGAAAAATTTCAAAGGCCGTCAGGATCGGGAATTTGGCCCATCAGTCAGCAGGAAAATTTTCAAAAGCCGTTAGTACCGGGAATTGGCGTTAGTCATCAGTGAAAATTTTCGGTTCACCGTACACCAAGTACAATTCGAAGGGAAATTTTCGCTGGTCCGTGCGCAGTTTTGCCGTATAAAAGGCCCAGCATTTCGCCGGTAAAACCCAAGTTCCCCAAACTTCCAAGTCCAAAAAATGTCCGCTAGCCGCACCATTACTACTACCACCTCTGCTACTGCCGGCCCTTCGCGGTCGCGCCCTGTACCACCGCCACCTCCACCAGCCTCCGACTCCGCCGCTCAAGAGGAGGAAGGCCTCGAAGACGAAGACGAGGACGACATCATCAGGAAGGCGCAGGCAAGAGTGGAGCGGGTGAGAGCGAGGAAGGCGGCGGAGGCCGCAAGAAAAAAGGCGGAGGAAGAGGC